TTTCCAGCACTGATATTCCTGTGTCTCTGGCTGGTTCTGGCAAAAGGGACATGGAAGTGTTTCTGCTCTTCCTGGTTGGATTTGACTGAGAGCTTTTGTGCAGCTGTTAAATATCTGTTTAATAATAGTGTTTCATATGCTGCTGCCTTTGTCATTATCCCACACAGTGGAACAGTCTACCCTTGTTCACTTCAGAGCAGCTCCTTCATTAGAGGTTTAGAAATCAAGTCTAGAAACCTTTTTGTACGCCTTGGATTTTAAGATTTTAAGAGCTCCTTTATTTGTCCCACAGTGGGGAAATTTCAGAGTTGCATCACAAGTTACAGACAATAGGAATGAGGAGCACACAGCACAAAATAAACGACAATAACTCTATACTAAAATAAGATAAAGTAGAATCTCTAACTCTAGCATAAAAAGAAGCAATATAAAATCTCTATCTTTAACATAATGAGGAAATCAGTCTAAAATCACCAACTTTAAAAAAGATGAAAAAGCAAGACAAAAACCTCTGAAGAAAGAAGAAAAATAGTGTATATTCTAGTGCAATTCATATATACAGTAGTTGTAATATATACAGTGTAATATAGTTGTATGTTTACATTTGTACATGTTAGCAGCATGAGGGTCTGGGTCAGACTCAGTAATGACCGACTGAGTTTTACTGTTTCACATTTTACATATAGTTGTGTGTATTTGATGCGGTTTTCTTTTTCTTTTTGCGCCTGTGAAACACTTCAAATAACACTGACATTGACATTGACATTGACATTGACATTGACATTAACATGATCAGACCCCCGTCACCTCAGCACTGATTCTGCCACAGCGGCCACAGCAGCATGACTGTTTTGGAGGCGTCCCGGCGGTGTACAGAAGTGTTGCATAAGACCAATCACAACAGAGTGAGAGCGAGGCTCTGAGGAATCTCCACATCACTGAGCAATTCCTCGTTAATCTTTAATTAAGCGTAAGGTGCTGTGTTGAATCCTGCTTTATCTGCCACCGGGGCTATTTTCAGCTGCCATCGCCCACTCGGAGCATCTCTGGGGAGCCCTCTACAACAGTCCTGTACGATTTGAGAAAAGAAAAAAAACACAATTCTTGTTTTGATTGGGAATCCTTCGAGTGATGACTATTTGCGTGGCTTATTGTGATGCAAATTGTTTTTAACGACCCATTAAGAGATTATCACCGAATATAAGCAACATAATTAACATGATGCTGTGTGTTCAAGAATGATGGTAATTATCCTGTAGAGTCCACCATGTGTAACTCACGTCTGCAGTAATGGCCTCCAGCTGCATATATGTTTAACCCTTTAATGGTCTTTGGTGGAGTCACTATCTACTGGAAGATTAATTGGACTGAAATCAACCTCTTTGGGGCATCTCTATCACTTGGTTTTAGGCACTTTAGCATCCAACTGCATCTCAACCATTCAGTAAGTCGGTGGAGAAGGTGTAGAGGTGGGAATTGAACCCACGACCTTCAGGCCTGAAGGCCAATGCTCTACCAACTGAGCTACTGTCGCCCCTACAGTGATGAGACAAAGAAAAGAAAATGCTGGATGTTGGGTTTGGTGGAGAGGAGAGGGGAGGGGGGAGTGGTTTCCAGTTGGTGCTACGGCTAAGCTAACAACATCGCTTACTGCACCTTTAAATAGACTTTTGTGCTTGTTTGATTTTGAATACATTTTGATGAGAATGACTTCGGATTGTTACTAAAGGCTGCATAGTTAGATTTTTCTATCTCTTTCCGCTGGTGGTGCCACGGCAGAAAAAAGGTTTTGGGAACACTGGTCTATGTGTATCTTTTTAAACATGTTTTTCTCCTATTTCTACTGTTCTACTGTTGTGTATTTGTATGTGGAACAAAGAACCAACCACTATTGAACCACTACTTTGCATGTGTGTACTAATGCGTACTTATGTTTTCAAGAGCCCAGTTTGGCCCTGAGGTAGATGATGTTTTTTTCTCACACAGTGGATAGTTATTAAAATAAATAGTTGGAACAAGTAGTGCAGCTCATGGACCAACGCACTCTTTAATGTTCTCTCATTGAATTAAGCAAAGCAACATTTTATTGTTTTCATTTTCCAAGATGTAGAAGATCTGAGATGTAGCACTATAATAACAAGAAATTATAATAATCTGTTTTTATGTTTTGTGTTTTTTTAACCCCTAAAGGGATACTTATAAGTAAATAAGTAAGTGAGTAATCTTTATTTATATACTGCATTTCAAAGATCAGAGTCACAAAGCGGTTTACAATTGTGAGAATTTGACTCTCACTCCACACAGAGATGGGAGCGGGGTCGCCGGTACATGAGGCGCATGCCAGATCTATTGTACATATTTTTAGTGGTCGGGGAAACCGGAGCGCCTGGAGGAAACCTACACAGACACAAGGAGAGCATGAAAGGCCCTGTTCCGACCTGGATCCGAACCCAGGACCTTCTTGCTGGGAAGTGAGAGTGGCTGAGTGGATAGCTAATTATAGCTGTCGTTGTGTCCTTGGGCAAGACACACTTTGCCCAAAGCCCCCACTGAAAGATCAAGGCTATGCTCACACTCAGAGAGCAGCCGTCCTCCTGTGGACTCACCACTTGCAGAGGGTCAGTGAGGGGCTGGTGCTATGAGACTTGGGTGGCATCTCTGATTGCCACCCCCCTGACCCAGAAATGGATTAAAGGGTAGAAAATGGATGGATGGATGTCTCTTCAGGGAGAGTGGGCGGCAAACATGAAATTTTCTGTTCAGCCATTTTAGGTTTTAGAAAATCCGATAACTCAGGTGCACTCACAAGAAACAGGAAGAGGGTGAAGGGGGTAAACGTATCCCATTGAATTATTTTTATCAGTCTGCTCCAAAAATATTTTATTCATTTTTGGAGACTATATGCATCAATACCATTACTATTTGAAAACACATCATAACTTGACTACTTTTACGGTTTAGGGACATTTTCCCACAATATTAAAAAAATTATGTCTGGAAAAAAATCACTGCCTGCATCTTCTTGCATAATTTTATTTTCACATTTTTTTGAGTTATTTATAACAAACAACGTGCTACGACACACTGGTTGAAAAACAAACATATTTTGAGAGTTCTGGGTGTGACTTGCAACACACTGTTTTCCAGATTTTATTAATAAAAGCTGTTATTAGGAAGCAAACAGGTCAAGGTCATCTCCATGTTTGTTCAGTATTGACTTGGATTGAAGGAAAACAAAAAAAATCAGGTGGAGATGTGATCAATAGGATGTGGCACTGTTTATACCTGGATTATGTCGACAAAACAATCATTGTGGAAGCAGCGACTAAAGCAGCTGTAATATTTGCTCTGTAGGTCGATAAACTGGGAAATTCTGCATTGTTTGGTCTATATGTCTGAATATGAATGGTATGGTATTGAGTAATGTCATATAATATAAGCTAATCTATATTTATTAAATTTTCATTTTTTCATTTAAGCAGAAAAGTCCCATTGAGACGAAGAACCTATTTTTCAAGGGAGGCCTGGACGCATTTTTTTTTTTTTTTTATTGTTGTCGTGTTTCATTATTATCTATTTTTTATTTATTTTAGGAGCCAAAGTAAAATAGCTACACAAGCTCCTGAATTCTGGACACTTTCTAAACAGTGACCTGACTCGCCACAATTTCTTCTCTAAACTTTTGCTTCATATTTTTCTTTCTTATGTATTTCTGTTATATATTTCCATGGTTCTCTATCTCTGTGTTCCCAACCCTGGCACACCCCTTTCATTGAAAACCATCACACGGCACACCTGAAACTGATACATAACTGAAACTCTGCAGCTTTTAGCAACAAAAATAAAGTCATTCCCATCAAAGTGCATCAAGTAGAAAATCAAACAAGCACAAAATAAGTATTTGGAATCTTCTTACATTATTTAATTTTCATGTTATTTTGGCCAATTAGGTGATACCAGTGATCGGATTGGGAGGCTGTGTGCTTTGTGTGTACATGTGTGTATTTTACCTGTATAAACGAGCGATGTGAATGTGAGGTTTTAACAAATTGTGCACGTGATGACTTGATCTTTTATGTATTTTGGATAATGTAATCTGTATATCCATGTATAAATGTTATGTTTATGTTGTATCATTACATCAGCCCAGAGACTACAGGTGGATATTATCTTTTCTTGAGCTATAACCTGGTACAATGCGTCTTTCCCTTTGAGTTTAATGTTTATTCTACACTGTCCCTGTTACTTTAAATTAATAAACTCCAAAGGCAGTAATGTAAAGTTTCAGAACTGCCCCCTTTGTCCTGCGGATGGGTGTATTGTTTGTGTCACTGTGGCTCCTGTCGCGGACCTCATATTGTTGAGTAAGTTGTTGTTGACAATGGACATAAATGAGTCTGTATCAGTGTGCGTTGCATCATACACAGTCACTTAGTTATTGTTTAAAGTGGACCAACCAGCTGTCATCTGGGTCAGATTGGCCGTCGCCCACGGTAACCACACCGCTGGCTTTGCCTCTATGGAAACCCCATTTTCACTCCGCAGAGTTCTTGTGTTGCTCAGATGAAGACTATTTTATCACTTCATCACGGTCTGCCCTGGGAGCCTGGCGCATGGTGGGAAGTGGGTCTTGAGCCGCTCTCATGTGGTTATGGCGCTAGGTGTGATGTCATGCTATTAGTTTTGGATGCATCACTGGTCGAGCCAAAATCAAGTGATAAAGTTCCAGGTTTAGGTCAGGTTTAATAGGTTAGCGGCATTGATCAAATATGTGTGAACTATGATATTGTGGTCATTAAAAACAAATCTTACACTGACATCCCCTAACACTGTGGTAGGTGTGCGGTCAAAGTGGCCAATTGAAAACTGGAAACATAACTGGACCCTGAAAAGACTTTCCAACATAGGAATACAGCTGGTTCTGAAGATTAAAAATGTGACATGAAGAAAGTGTATATACTGAGTTTTGAATCTATGTTTCCGTCCATGTTGAGAAAACATTACGACACGACACCTGTGAGGAGGAGCAGAAAGGGGGAGGTGAGAAGGAGGAGGTGTGGGGAGGTGCTGAAAGAAGGAGCAGAGAGGGGAAGTGAGAGGGGGAACAGTGAGGGTGATCTGGGAGGAGGTGAGGAGCAAAAGAGAAGGATGTGAGAGAAGGAGGCGAGGGATAGAGCAGAGGAGGTGATGGGAAGTGAGGGGGGAGCAGAGTGGATGAGGAGGTGAGAGGTAGAGGTGAGAAGGAAAGAGGAGGTGAGGGGAGGAAGAGAGAGGAAGAGATAAGAGGAGGAGGAGGAGAGAAAAATGGGAGGTGAGGTGTTGAACAGAGGAAGATGAGGGGAGGAGGTGAGGAGCCAAGAGAAGGATGTGAGAGAAGGAGGCGAGGGATAGAGCAGAGAGGAGGGGAGGAGACGAGGTCTGGGGAGGAGGGAAGTGAGAGGAGGAGCAGAGAGGCTGAGAGGAAGTGAGAGGCAGAGGGGAGGAGGAAAGAGGAAGAGGTGAGGGGAGGAAGAACGAGGAGGTGAGAAGAGCAAAAAAGAGGAGTGGAGGTGATAGGAGGAAGAAGGGTATGGGAAAGAAGCGTATGGGAGGAGGTGAGGAGCAAAGAGGCGAGAGATAGAGCAGAGAGGAGGAGGTCAGGGGACGAGGTCAGGGGAGGGGAGGGAAGGAAGTGAGAGGGGGAACAGAGAGGAAGAGGTAAGAGGAGGAGAGAGAGAAAGGTGAGGGGAGGAGGTCAGGGGGTTGAACAGAGGAAGACGAGGTCAGGGGAGGAGGGGAGGTGTGAGGAGGAGCAGAGGGTAAGTACACACAGGTCCACTCATGTGTATTTCATGTATTTCCACAGAGACTAAAAATCTAGTTGTTTTTCGCTTTTCCGCGGCGAACGATAGAATTGACATTTTCAAATCCTCGTGCCCACATACTGCAGACGCAACCACCTCTGCTGATTATGCTGTGACTGTGATATAATATGCATTTAATTCATAATTGCAGCGTTACAGCGTGACTAAGCCGGTCGGCTACAAACATTAGTCAGATAGTAGCGCTGCACAAAACCCACATACACGACACCTGACAGAGCTGCAGGAGACACGGACTGCGACGTTAAATAAACACAAATGTTACGGTTTTATTGTTTTTAAAATCATTTTTATTTTTAAATTGGATAACTGGTATTTTATTGTTTTTATTAAATGTTTATTGTTACTTAGTATTTATTGTTTTTATTAAATGTTTATTGTTACTTAGTGTTTATTGTTTTTATTACATGTTTATTGTTAACTAGTATTTTATTATTATTAGATGTTTATTGTTACCTGGAATTTCATCGTTTTTATTACATGTTTATCGTTTACTGGTTTTTTTTATCTTTTTTAAAACAAGTTTATGTTTAACTGGCTTTTTTTTGTGCATAATGTTTTACTTATTCTACTTTTTTAAACTTATAAAGTTATCGAACCTGTATATCTAAATGTGTTACTTTCATCTCTGTGCAGCACTTTGGGAACTTGTTTTATAAAATGTGCTACGGTGGTATAAATAAAATGGATTGGATGCAAATACTTTTAGAGAAAAAAAACAAAAAACATGAAAAATAAATGTTTTCTGAGGCTGTTAGTCAAACAAAAGGGTGACGGCCATGACAGCTGTCAGAGTTTGCACAGGGGGACTCTTCTGTGTCCAAAATAATTCTGCGTTACACCGAGCCCGTGGTGCCGCCATGAATAACGCATGAGGAGTTCACGGCAGAAGTTGTTGGTTCTGTTGAGACGAAGCCACCGAGCCATCTCTGTGACCCACTTCCAGACACCAAGAGGCATCGTGGCTGTCTGCTAATGTGCTTGCCTTTAACTTTCCTTTTTTGCTTCAAGTTGCAGTAATTTCGTTCCCCGGGGCAACAACAATCAGAAGCAGGCAGTAATACGCAGTTTATACCGACGTAAATCAGTCACGGATGCATTAAACTGCGCTCGTAAAGAGGTAATGGGCTTATCACTGTAAACATCTGGAGTGGTGTTTAGTATCGGGCTGGATCAGGGTCTGAAATGGAAAACGTATTTACATAGTTGACATGGTTTACATAGCTCAGGCTGAGGAAGCAAGCTGCTATTTTTGGGAGATTCTGCATCGTGTTGTTACACACAGGCCCAAAGTCAGAGCAGATGGTGTTTCTGCAAAACTGTTTAAAGATTAGTGTTCTCTTTTTATTTTTATAGTGAACTATTTAATGCAGCTGGAAATTTGCATCTTCTTCATCTTCTCTGCTCAAGGATTCAACTTTTGCCATGATATTACAGCTCTAGATGATGTAATTGTGAAGCACTTTGAGTTGTCTTGTGTATAAACCTTGCTACTTTCTACATAGCAACCAGGCTTTTCATATATCCTCTCTCATATTTGATTATTTATTTACTTATTTGATAGTGTACACCATCAACACATAAATACTTCAACATGTATAGCCAAGGATAATTTGCAATGTCCGCCCCTAAAATGGCTTTACGATTAAAAACACATTTTAAATTGTATTACCTTCACATTATACAAAGGCATGTGTCATAGATGGTGAAGATGGTGACAAAACAAAGACAAATCTAGGTATGTGGTAATAACCAGCTCAGATTTGAGTAGTCTTCTATTTTTTTAACAGTAGCAGGACCTTATGTCCGTTTCCCATAAGAATTCTTGAAAATTGTAACAACCAAAAATAGTCCACTTCACGAAGTCTTCCTCAATAGAAGTCGTAAATATAATCCATTTGAGTCACAAGTTTAACACGTTGGGCTGAGGATTGGCTGGGTTTGTTCGTGATCAAACATTTGTGTGTGTAAATACTAATGAGGCTCCACGGATGGAAGTGCCATTGGTCTAATAATCTATTTCCTTCTTTAACCGTTTTTAAATCTGGCACTTTTCTTGAAAAGTGATCGGGAATCCTCAAAGCTGTCACAAGAATCCTTGTGTCGTTAGGCAAGACACTTCACCCACATGGCCTAGAATGAGTCTGGTGTGTGTGCGTGTGTGTGTGCGTGTGTGACAACAAGCATGTCTAAACAAATGCTATATTAAACCGATGCATTATTATCATTATTATTATTAATACCTTAAATTCTAGTTTGTCACAGCCTAAACACTTGTTTCAGAGTGGCCAAAAATATATAATAATTTTGTTTTCTTGTTGAATTTACCTCATAACATGGTCCATCATCACTGTGCAGAGGACCTGTTTGAAGTCTGGTCGTCCTTCTCTGTTTGCCCTGCTCAACAATCAGCTGTAGGGTAGTGGGTCGATCCGGTCACAAGACGTTTGCAGATGCATTGATTTCCTCTGGGATGCAAACCTGCAGGAGAGATGATTTACACAGGTCATTAAACCCACGCAGAAAAAACAAAACATGCCTGTCGAAAAAACCTGGAATATACTTACAATTGTTTACGATGTTCTTCAAAGCATCCCCCGCTGCAGCCTTCGGAACGTAATGATCCAAATCACGGTCTGGATCCAGAATTTTCATTATTTTTTTAATGGAACTGCGCTTCTTGGCAGAGGTCTGTGCTCTTCGAGTGCTTTTCAAGTCTTTTTTCTGATTGACTAGATGCATTCTCAAATCCTCAAACCTCAATCTTCTTGCCATTCCTTGTGTAAAACTTAAAAGTGGGAGAAACAGTTTACTCACATTATGCTCCTTGTAAATGAAATTCTCTCTCTTACATACAATACGTGATCCAAACGTCATTAAGTCATTCAAACATGAACAAAAGACTCATTTCTAAACTATTTTCCTTTGATCTTTCGGCCTCTGTAATCATCTTATGTATATGTCTTATGCATGCGTCTTGTCGTCACTCGTTTTGTTGCACATTGAATTACTGTCTTGAATGAAATGTGCTATATAATTACATTTGCCCCCTTCCTTAGCCACTTTTACAATCGCTCACGTCCAAATAATTGCATTGACGGACTTTACTCATTCTCATCAATATTCAAAGACCCTTCTGCTGCGCTCCGGGGGATTTGGGAGCCTCCACTAATACTGAAGGTCACTAGCCTGAGGACGTCCCATAAACTCTGGTATAGATTTTTCATGTCCGTACATAGAACGACGACATAACTGCTTTAGTGAGCTGCTTTAACCTGCCACTAGTCAATTTCAATAACTCACTAATGTCTTTTCAGTCAGAAGCCCTGAAGCAAACCACGACACGGTGACATCAATCATATGTCAGAAGTCAACTAGTAATTAAATGTGTAAATTATTTCTATTGCGATGTATGGGTGCCACTATATCACTTTAAAAAAAAAAGGTTAATTCGTAAATCAGAACCAAATGACAAAACATACTAACATAAACGATGTTACTATGGGTAGCGATACTATACTAGTACCATTGGAATCTTAGTGTATTGTAAGGCAGTGTTCCTGTAAACTTCCTATGCATCAGAAGACTTTGTAAACTGATTTCCGATGTTTAATTGCGGTTGTGTATTTGAACGAAGAGTTGGTTTGATATAAACAAACCGGGATGTAAGAAAATGGCAGCTGTAAAGGAAGTTAACCGTGATCCGTTGATTTAATGTGATCTGTTCTATAAAGTAATATTTCTGACCATGGAACACTGTACTATAATGTACAGAAAGTTTTTTTTTTTATGATATATTCATTGCATAACGTCAACCAGTATAGTTAATCATGAACTATACTGGTCACCTAGACGGAACTCTTTAATCCCTGAGTTAATGACGAGGGATACCAAGGAGGTGAGCATGGTCGTGTCTAACCAGAGGCTCTGTTCAAAAAGTTTCACTCTCTCTTCACAATTTGAAAAGAAACTGACCTTCATTTTGAGCTAAATCTACCAGAAAGTAAAACACTTTCTCAAATACTCAGACTATGATATTTTGGCATTTATAAAAACAAAGATATTGGTCCACGGCTTCAGTGATTTCCTCAGAATGGTCTTTAGAAGCGAGGCCGAGCACTCCTCCCTGCATTCATGAGTCTTTTGTGATTCAAAATCTGAAAGACGTCTCCTTCATTGCATCAGCACTGAGAATATTTCCCTCTTGATACACAAACAAATGTCCCATGATGCTCCTCTGCCAGCCCGGAGCATTGACATTTCAAACAGAGGGCGACAACACGCAGGTTTGAGAGACGCCCAGCCGAGGCATCAGGCCACAGGGCCGGGCCACAGCTCCACACTCCTCCAACTAATAATTCATGGCTTTTGTTCAAACGTTTTCACCCACTGTCTCCTCTGAACCTCGACACCGCACACACAGGTCACACACCCGCCTCCACATCGTCTGACTCACAATATGATAATCAGAGACAGGAAATAAACTAGGGTTTGATTTTGAAGACTATTTTAACCAAGTTCTGTCTTTCAAACTGAACTGAAATATTGCTCTTGAATGTAAATGCTAAATCAAATTTATTTTTATTTTTTACCTTTTCAAGGCACTCAGAGCGCTTCACAACAAGGAACCAATCACACATTCACACTCGACATGGGGGGTTAAGTGAGGGAAAAATGTGGGGGAAAAAAACCTTTAACCAGAAAATGTGTTTTCAGAAAATAGATACAAGATGAATTGCCTTATTTTATTTACCAAACTTTTCCGCTCGTCTCTTGAGGCTTTTATATTAAGAAAAAAGAACTGCTATACTCAGATAAATAAATGCACATAGGAACATGATCTTGAGGTTAAGAAAAGGGCATTTTCTAAGCATTAAAAAAATAATTCAACCTGAATTACAATTCAGTTGTGTATTTAGTAATCTTGATGTCCTATTTGCATCAACAAGAAAAATACCTTGAAAAGTAAAAGTTATAAAAACCATAATAAGATTATGACATTTATTCAATTCGTCAGCAGAGTAGTTTGGTTTTACATTTCGGTGGGAAAAGTGTTTTATCACCACAGCCCCAATGGAGTCGGCATTAGTCTAAATCTGGAAACAGGTTTAGTGATAAATCCATGGTTGACAGTCTTCACTCCTGGGTTTTTTCAGGGGTCTGGTGGAGGCTCGGAGATCATCAGGTCCATGGGCAAAGGGGCACTGTCCGACCTCTAGGGGGCAGCCCTGAGCGTGGTGCGTGTGAAACCAGCACAGCCGTGTTTTCAGGGCGCCGGGGGCAACAGGCCTCCTCTTCACGTCCCGGGGGGTGGGCTTCGAGTCTCGCCAGTCCCGTATGTGCACCACGCCGCCTTCCACTGGAAACACAACGCACATTGGTCCAATTCCTGGTTTCTTGGAGGTTCAATAAAAGCGCTGTTGTTTATAGAACGGGGCTGGCAGCTTAAAGGATGTTCGCTGCTCTTAAAATGAGCTCACTCAAGCCAATAAAGAACTAAACTTAACTTCGTTTAAATGAGCTAAACTCTTAAACTAAGCCCCAATAAAGCTCAGCCCTAACCACAATCTTAGAACAACTTGTAAACATTAAAGTCACGGAGCTGGAGAGGCGTTTGAGTCCAAGTCTGTGATGGTTAATTTTGGGTTATATATGTACTAGTTTTCCCCAGAAGGTTTGTGCATTCCGCCGCAGCCTCTGCCCTTTACAAAGTTGGTCCGTTTCATTTGACTGATCACTTTGAGATAAACGGAGGCCATAGAATCCTGTTACTTAGCAACAGACCACATATTTTACATCACGTCTGTATTATATTACTCTGAAGCGTACATGGTGCAGTATGTGCCAGCTTCCTCCCGAAAGCGGTTTGTAAATGTTCGTCTAATTAGTTTCCTGTGGCTATTATTAACACCTCAATGAAAAGCAATTCAGACTCTCCTCAGTCCATCCAGACCAGGACTACTACTACCTTACCTACCACTACCACTACTACCTTATCAGCTACCACTACTACTACTACCACTACTACTACCTTACTTACCACTACCACTACTACCTTATCTGCTACCACTACTACTACTACCACTACTACCTTACCTACTACTACTACTACTACTACCACTTGAATATCATTCAACTCAAATATATACTATAAAAATATATATTTTTTAAAGTATATATTTATACTATAAAAAATTAAATGGTAAAGTAAATAGTCTCATTATCATTTATAACGACCAAGGACAATGCAATAGAAAAACGCAGCCAGCCGGAGATCGACAGAAGAAGTCAAGGAACAACTTCATCTCCTGGGTGACGGGGGTATTGTCTTGCTTACCTCTGAATACCTGGTGGTTGTTCTTGAGCAGCGTCTGGAGACCGCCACACTCCTTTTTGAGCCTAGTCAAAGTTTCTTGCTGCAGTAGAGCGGCCACTTCGCTCACCGAGAGGCTGCCTGACGAGAGAAACGCAGACGATGAATGATAAGAAGTCACAAAAGGCTGAGATGGGTCAATCCATGCAACATTCATCAGGATATTACCTCCCTGAGATGTGGCTCGTGATTGGTACAATTTTCACTGCCTTCTTTTCATTATATTTCTGTGATATTGTAGAGTTGAATAAATAATCTGGAATGTGTCGCAATATATGCATAGAACCTGCCGCTTAATGGAAACACAAAAACCAACCTCCATTATAATGTTTACTCCGAGAAAACTGTATTTTATTCTTTTAGTGAAAATGTGGGTGTGTTTCCCGTGGCTTTATATTTCATATGCAACATTAATGTTTGTTTACAAGTGAAACGCAGAATATTAGAATATCGATCAAAAGTCTATTTACAAGTAACAGGAAGTCACAAACTAGGAATTTGCTCTGGTATATTGTGCAAAATAGTAAACAAAATAAATATATAGGCATGCATAAAAAGTAACCAACATTTTAATATAGAAATACACACAAAAGACATTTGACAGTGCATATTATCAGTAACTGCCCAGAGGTTGAGATTATAAAGTGGCAGAAATCTAAAGTGACTATTCTAAAAGGGCTAGTGAGAAGATCTGGTGAGGAGTTATGAAGTGTCTATGAGTCCAAATGCAGAAGTGCACCAGGTGTATATCCAATTTCAGTTCTTACACATTTTTTTACTCACTATGTTACTATGTAGTCAGATGATTTATAAAAAAATAAAATAAAAAAATCCTCAAATATGATCCAGTTCAAAACAATAAAATTAAAATTACAAAAAAAAGTACTGGAGAAGTACATGGAAGAAAGACTGTGATGCATTGAGTATGAAGTGAGAGAAGGGAAGGTGAATGGTCAGTGTTTTGAGCTGGTGTTTTTGTGTGTACGTGTGTGCATGAGTGTTTGTGTGTTTTTGTATTGTCTCAACAAAGGGGGTTGGAGCCCAAATAAGCCTTTGCTTTGTCCAACCCCTTTTCAAACTATATTTCTCAACTTGAACGTCAGTATGAAAAATGTAAATTTGAAATAAACCCTTACTTACAAATACAAGATATTACATGTTACTTGAGTGTTAATGTTTTATCTAACAATCCTCGTACTTTTACAAGAGGCAACCATTGCTCTACCCACATAGGGTGGCTATACCCTGGCAGCCTTTTAGGCACGAATTGTCCAAGTTCCAGTTTCATAGCTGCAGTCAGGGGTTGTGAACCACGCTCAATTAAAGCCGCTCCAAAAGCTGTCAGAGGCACCAGTGTGCAACATCTCCTCCTCTTCTGAGACCATGAGTCACCATCTTTCCCAAGTGGGACAGTAATTTTAGACAGCACACATCAAGCCGGAGATGAAACTGGGATGCTGTTATTTTTCGAGCAAAGTAATGTATTCGCCGCACACAGTGATTTGGGTTAAATTTCTGGCGTTTTTGTGGCCTTTCTCTCGCCGCATGAGAATTCAATCATGGCTGACCTTTGGTTTGTATGAGCAACAGTCTGCTCTGACATATTGGACATGGCCAAGCAGCAGCAGGGTTTCCTTCTAATTCAGATCACATGATTCTTTCTGCTAAAACAATACGCTTTGTCATGTGTTTGTTTTTTCATGCGTTTGGTGAGAAAAACATTTAGTATAGTACAATAAATGCATTTCCATTTGTGTACAATCTAACATTTATCAACTGGAAGGGTGCCAGGACTCGGGACCCACCTGCAACATACACTGCCAAGCTACGGCTAAATGAGAACTGAATTTAGAATTAAACTCATCATTTATTGCTTTAGGAACGTTGAATACTACAATACTCTATGTTGAGGGGGGTTTGGACATTTTTAAGCGTCCACTTTGTTTTTCAGTTCCTTTGCTCTATAAAATTGTGTTGTATAAGTGGAAAAAGAAACTTCTTGAATTATTGATTGATTGAACAAAATAGACTCTGGAATCATGGAAATGAGATACAAAATATCAACAAATCTGTAAAAGGGGCCGATTTCAAATATACAATTGATTTTCAGTGGATTTATGCATTTTTGGTTTAAGTTTAAACTGGACACAGGGGTTAATATTACTTAAATCATTGAGAATTATTTGAGAGAAAAACATTCTTATTTCTAGAAGACTTTTGCAGTGTCACACATCATATCATATGTGTAGATACACATCATATCAGATGTGTTACAGAAGAAAGGCTTGCATACCAACAAAAAAATATCCTTCAACCCACTCACTGATCTAAGGAATAGAAAAATCAACACCAAATATTTATTTTAGGGCTGTCAAAATTATTGCGTTAACTCACGTTAATTACATTTTTCATTAATGCAATTTTTTTTTTTTATTAACGCAGAATGCCGCGGACACACGCGTGTGTGAAATGGAGACAGAGCAGGTAGGCCCTCTGGGATATCAAGTTTATAAAGAATACGTGTGTGATTGCGGGGCACTTGCTGTTGTTTGCTATGAATTGAAGTTCGCCTCCTCCGTGGCCGCAGCGTTCTGACCCAGGGCAGCTGCGGCAGCTCTGGAACAAAGATTCCCACCTCCAGCGTTTGTGAGCCGGTAACACGAATGGCGCCGCGGTAACGTGGTCATATCCAAGACCATACACGCACAGAACTATTCTCTGCATGTTGTGTGAGTGTCTTTGCGTAACCTGTGCACACAAATACACCGCTGAAGCTGAACTATGGAGCCTCAGGAAGTGTCCGTGTCTCCTCCTGAAACGCTACTAAACTCGCTAAATTAAAGATGGGGTATGTTAGTATTAGATAGCAATATGGCCTACGTGCAGGACTGTACAAGGACTCTGATTATTTTGACTATGATGTGACTATCTCTGTGGGACACGTATGTCATGATGTGTGACGTGACAATGACTATATAAACTGTGTACTGACTCCATTCTGTCTGGGAGAAAGAAACAATGGAAACCACTGGAACTTGAGAGAAACTTAATAAACTTCCAAAGTTTGGCGCACCACGATCCGTCTCTGTCTGCTTCATCCCTGACAGGTACGTACAGTTTCCTTTTCATTAACAGCTCATGTTGGTTGTGCCCAAAAGTAAAAGGTTGTGAGCAAATCAAACAGATTTAAGTACATTTGGTATGAATGACAATGTGTCGTTACATTTGATAATTTCTTTTAACTTCAATTGGAGTGGATTTGAAATAGAATGTTAAAAATGCGATTAATCGTGAGTTAACTCACTATTACTATGCGATTAATCAACTAAAAATGTTAATTGTTTGACAGCATTAATTTATTTATATTTTGCTCAAGTAAGAAAAATAACAAGAAGCAGAACTAGAATTTTTTTTTTTTATTGCGGTGATCCATACTTTTATCATTCAAACCCCCTGTTTATTAATATGGACTTCAATTGGTGTGATCTCCTCTCTACAAAAAGAGGTTCTCTTCAGTTTGTGGAAACCATATTGTTCACTCAAAGTTATTCCGAAACACTAATTGGTTGAATCAGTTTGCGACACATTCCCACACGAACAGACACATGCGTCGCCAACATCAGTGTGAAAGCGGGCAGTCTGCCATCCTCTGCGCACCGACGCCAGAGAGAACCGAGCCTTAATATAATATCAATACAGCGTTTAGAGCTGGCCTTTACAGACGCTAAAGATAATGGGGATTAATGGGAGCAGGTTGGTATTGACAGAAGAGGCCTGCGCATACACTTATTAATGCATTGGCTTCAAATACAGTCACACTTGTTTATAGTCCACAAAGAGAAACGAAATGTCATCACGTCCCGTTAAAGATGGAGGTGTTAGATTACAAAATGGTTACTGGTGGTTGTGCATGTGCCACAGGGGTAAACACGCAAACTCAACACAGGATCAAACCTACAACCCTTGGCCGTGAAGCATGACCGGTCTCAGTGCAGACAATCGTCCCAATAGGGTTCTAATAAAATGTCTTCAAAACATCTAAATATGCCCTCATTTATTCACTGACTAGGGATGAGATAGAATTTCCACAGATGAAACACAAGATCGGGTCCACAAGAACGAGATTCGATTTCAGACTTTGACCAAATCTTCTTTTGTAGATTAAGGCTTCTCAAAATGTGCAACTCAATCCATTAACCCAATTTTTGCCCCTGCCGATTTTGAATCATAGTAAAAGATCCTGTTCTGTTTTAGTTTTTTGTTCACGTAGCTAACTAACTAACAGACAAACAAACAAACCCAGGTGGACACAAACAGTTGCCTCTTCAGATGAGCACAAGTCCGACTGCAATGGATCACTGGAAGGGACACTGTAACAAAATAGTCTGAGTTCTGCATTATGAATGAAGTGTAATTGTTTGTGCAAGTGCTTGTGAGTGGTTTTAAAGCGTGACAACGGCCGGAGCAGGAGACTGTGGTGTGGGACAAGCACAACCTGTCAATACCATGGTCCATTATTACAAACATGGTGATCATGAATTTAATGATATGTGTCATTTTCTTTATCTTTCTTTAGAAACGGGTACAAAAAAAGTGTAACTTTACATTTTTGTATAACTAGGTGGCACTATTATGTCTTAATAAAAAAAATAATCCCACGTTAATTATATTCAATGCAAACCCTATTTAATAGAAATAATATAATATATTTGTAATGTTTGAACATTACAAATGTGTCTCCACATTAAAAGCGGGTGAACCCTTTTGGCTGTTACGGTATAAGTGGAAACGGAAACTGCAAGGATGAGCCGCCAAAATGCCCTTTAAAAAAAAATAATAATAATAATACTTTCACGGCACATTTCCTCACTGTAATGCCCTCTACAATTGTATAAGGGGCCCCATGATATTATATATTTTCACCTAGGGCGTGCCTTGGTAGCAGCAGTAGTAGTAGTAGTAGTAGTAGTAGTAGTAGTAGCAGTAGTACTTACTACTTACATTAGATAAGATAAGAGATCCTTTATTCCTCCCACAATGGGGAAATTTCAATGTTGTAGCGCACAGACAGGACAGTAGTAAAAGCCCACAGGGAGCACACAAAAATATACAAAATAAGTAGTACCTATGTTTCTTAACTCGCTGTAAATGCTGTAAATGCTTCAATACCAGTCTTTAAAAAATATATATATATATAGTTATATACCATACATATAGGGCAGGATAATAAGTAGATAAAGTAAAATTACTTTGTTCAGTGGACACTCTGAAGTTGCAGCATTGCACATGATTTTAGTATTTAGACACAGTTGTTGCAAAATCATGATAGTATACATTTCGTACAACATGTATCGAATCGCGAGAGATCCCGTTATTCTCAGACCTAATCACAATCGCTTGACTAGTTCACACTCAACCTAATGTATATATTAGGATATTCCTTGGGCTGTTTGAGTAAAGATGTCTCGAAAGTAGTGCAGCTCCCAGCATGTCATGTCAACGCGCCGTACGAGGCCACTGGGATCATCTGTGCTCTTACATAACTGCAGCAACGCCGTCAGCACCGGGAGGTATGAATAAGTAACTCAAAGCTACTGTAGGCAGCCTTGCGTTTTTTGAAATGAAAATGAGGCGTATTTTTACCTAAATGGCCTAACATAGAAAGTGAGAGAAATAAGACTGCTAGATTTATCACTAACGGAAAACTTAACACTGGTGTCGACTGGGTTTTATATTACAAAAATGAGCATGTGTGCAATTTTTCTGTGTATAATTATGGGTCTGGGCCGGCTTTCCAGCACCATCTGCGGAAGATATTTCCAGAATCTTCCGAATATAAAAACAAACACCACCTTGGACTCTTTGAAGATAAATATGAGATGGAAAGAAGGGAAATCTCTGAGTTGTTCTGGCGGGATATGAAGCCCTCTTGATCTACTCGGCGTAGCCTCGATTTACCCTTTGTTCTAACACACATAACTGTTTCGGAATACTTCCATACAAGCGCACACTCATGCATAAATCATAGCGACTGGTGCATTATTCATCCTGTCATCTCTATACTAAGTTACAGTCTTTATATGCGGCTCTTTATTTCCCTTTGTCAAATCCCCAACCTCTAATTTGAGCAGTGACATCGGAGCGGGTTGTGTTTTAATCATAGTAGCGCTTATCTGTGTTCGGTGTGTGCGTGTGTGTGTGTGTGTGTGTGTGTGTGTGTGTGTGTGTGTGTGTGTGTGTGTGTGTGTGTGTGTGTGTGTGTGTAAGTGTAGGTGTGTGTGATGTGGGGGCGGCTCTCGTGGGGCTGCAAGCTGCGGGCGAAAAGGTGAAACTCCGGAGTTCAAAGTAGCAAAGCTTAATGTCGAAAAGGGTGACGCGGACTGACTGATGGCGGTAGAGGAGGGATGGTCCGGCGCTGGGGGAAGGATACAAAGGTTCAAGCAATAACCCAGAGATATTTAAGGCGCCGCAGTGAATCACCGCTTCTGTTTGTATCCACTGGAAAGATATTATTAGGCCGAAAGTTGCTAATCTGTAGAAGAAGTTGTGACTCACGGTTTTCAATTTCTTTCTCAGGGTTTTTACACAGCGATGAACGAAGCGGTGTTGTCGAGATACAAACCCTTCAATATTAAGGAATTAACTTGATGCCTAATGGTGAGGATGATTTTAAAATGCCCTTTTTGGACGATAATGTGACACTGACAGAGATTTATAATAGATATTCTGATATAAATGTTTATGTAAAAAAAAATATACAATTTATCCTCAAATTCTGATTCTAGTTTAATATCTTATTTGTGAAACCTTTTTTGCAAATACACTGTAAAAACCACAACTGCTATAAAAAAGTAATCTTGAAAAAAAAAACTCTATATAGTTTGTGGTGGTTATTAATTGAAATGGCACTGAGGTCCAGGTAGATCGCCAAATGATTTAGAAATGAACAAAATAAATAATATACTAACTATTTCAGATTGTATTATTCATTATATTCTTGTAAATGCACTTACTTTGTGCACTAGGAACAGATATGCGATAATTTATAATGACTGTACCCATTATCAGACTAGTTCACACCCAGGGCAGCTTAAAGGAGTAGCTCTCTGCCGTTATTGTCGTGGTAAAGTAGCTCTCTGTGTGAAAACGGTCGGAGACACCTGCTTTAGAGTCTTTAAAAAGATTTATATGATCAGGGACGAAGCACAATAAATATTAATCGAATAAGAAAGACAATGTGTAATGTGCCAGGTAATAGTTTAGGTAATTGAAAGTTTAGACATTTTTATTGTCTGTTTTTATTGTCTGTGTCTGTGTTAATCCGGACCATGAGTCTGTAATAAAGTTATCAATCTATCTATCTAATAGGAAAAAAAGAAAGTTTCAACCAGTAACTCAGAAACAGATTGGTATGATTACAGAAAAATAATAGGGATTTAGTTGACTTCATTTGGTCATGTTTTAAATGATGAGTCAGAAGAGTAATTATTATGATTTAAGTTTTCAACAGTAATTATAATGGGTTGGTGAGAGCTTGTCCAAGTTTATTTTGTGTCTCAAAAATATGAACCAAAGAATTCCCTGAGTGGATCTAGTCTCCTGTAAGTGATAATTGAAGCGTCTCAAAATAATGCGGCTGAATTAATAACGCTCTACTGCTGCTGTGGATTTAATTAGTAGGCACTGGTGTGTGGGCACTTGTGTGGGTTACCTCCTCTGTTCCAGTCCGAGTCTTCTCCCCTCATCCCCAGCAGCGCCTGGGCCACCTGCAGGACCACGCCCTCCACCAGGTCCCGCGGAAGAGAGGCGCAGTTCCTCACGCTCTCCACTTTATCTCGGGGCTGAAATCCGGCTCCCCATTGGGTCCCTGGGGTCCCTGTGCTGTCGTCAGCCCCCGCCTCCGACCCGTGGGCCGTGATCCCAGGGGCCTTCGGTCGGCTCTGGATGAAGAGAGTTCTTTGCTGCTCGGCTTCACTCGCGGACGATTGGCTGTAGTTTCTCGACTTTCCCACGAGGCAAACCTGAAAAGAGTTAAGAGTGGTCTTAGAAGGACTGTGCTGTTAATCTGGTTTATAATCCTAATTTCAAATATCTCGATAATTGTGTACTTGTGTGACCTTGAGCTGTGAATCAGCAAGTTTATTTTCAAATAAGCATAACATCATTCCATAGTGATGTTTTAATACTTCAGCTAGATCATCTCTATGACTACAGATGTGAGTTTATTATAAACAGTAAAAATAACAGCCATCTATCTTGTTTTGGAGTGTGTCCTATTTGCTTTTAAGTGCTTTTCTGGTTCCCACTGACTGCTCTGTTGCCACACAGAAATGTTGCCACTGGGGTGAAAAAAGGTTCTCTTATCTGATGTTCTTTTAAACTTTTAAAGAGAAATGCCATAAAACATTACACAAATATTAGGTTAGTATATTGTTTTTGAGAAAATAGAAGCAATAATTTGAAATGGTCTTAATGTTTGAGCCAAATGATCATGATTCTTGCTGTAATCCAGCCCCAGTCTGCGTCTGCGCCGCTCAACCTCAGTTTGGAAAAGGCATAACTCAGTTAGATAAAGGCATCATTATGTCTCAAATAAAAGTGTGAAATGCTTTTGTGAACAATAATAAATAGCACATACAAAGTTTCTCACAAACACCTGCTCGCTCTTGTTATGCAGCCGTGTGCATTGTAGCGTTTAACGGCGGGCAGCCTTTAAGCACACAGCCTCTTGGGAACGATAAAGACTTGATTTACTTCCGTCTTCCTCCAAATGAGGCTCAGGTGGGACGGCAGAGATGCGCAGCTGGCCTCGTCACAAACAGACGCACGGTTATGGTAATGCGGATGATTTTTCACATGAGCTCTGCCAACTTTGCATCCTGATTAACAAGACATGTTATCACTGGATAGAGCTATGTCTCTCATGAGGCTTTTATCATCACAGAGACAGGAAGGCATGGCCTTGGCTATTTGAAAATGAGTTTTGTGACTTTTTCATTGATTCATTTCCTTTTTTATTTGTTTATAATTTCAGTAAAGTCGCTTCTTTCGGCCTTTATAGCAAGATTAGTTTTTTTCAGAACAGAAAAGAAAAAAAACCACCCTTAACACCCCTAAACTCGCAGCCCAAAGCCTCAAATAGTGACTCACAAGGCTACAAGTACAAGTACAGTGGATCCTCGTTTATCACAGGAGTTACGCTCTAAAAATAACCCGCAATAAATGAAATCAGCAAAGTAGCAGCTCTATGTTTTAAGGCTGTAAAACCTGTCCCCACACACTTTCTACACTTTTCTAACCACCTGGACTCATGTTTTCTAATGAGACAAAGCATGTACTGGTCTGATTTCTTCACAACCTTTAACTTCAACAAGACACTTTTTGTAATGAAAAACTAAATGTACTTTTTACAAAACATGAAAGTTAGGTACCCCAGCTTTAAATGACCCGTGAGGCAGCAGAGAGACTCATAAAGCATTACCCGTTTGGTGGACGGTATCCTCAGGCAGTCCTCCTCCGTGTTGAAGCCGCTCACTTGGCTGACCTCACTGATGAAGTCGATGTATTCTTTGTACTGCGACTTCTTGCACTGGCGCCTCTGGTATTTTCCATAAAAGTCGAAGAAACAACACGGGAGGACAAAGTAGCGGCAGGAGTAAGACGACCTGAAATGGGAGTCAACGTTGTTATAAGAAATGCTCTTGAGGATTCAACGGTTTAGAAACGGATGAGTGTGTTTATCTTCGATTTGTATAGAGATATTTAACCACAAAGCATTACCCTATTCTCTTTTTTTATATAACATATGGATATTATAGCTACCAAGTTCCATATAAGGATCCTCTAACCCTCACATATTTGGTGTCAGTAAATATGATTTCAAATATAGATTGATCTTAAGACTGTATACATTGTTTGCCGAATGCAGAAGATGCAGATTTGAACATAAGTAAGCTGGAGCCAATTTCCTTATATGGGCATTTGTTTCAAACAGCATTAGCGTTGCGCCGTAACAGGGGCAGACAAAATTAATAAACACTAAGATCACAGATAGCTTTTCAATAGAAGTCAATAGGAACCATGAACACTTCCCTACAATGCAAAGCCCCTCGCTCAAGCCGGAAGCTTGACTGCATTGTCTATCTGTGTACGTTAAAGGTTGCAAATGGTAAAAAAATAGTATTAAGCTGTAAAAAGTTTAGTGTTCCCAATCTTTAGTTGTTTACTCTCATCAATAACAGTTACTTAGTCGACTAATTATTTTATTCAAACTTTAAGTATTTCTTATGGAGAAAAAGCAGATGTTCGTATTTAATCCAATAAACACATTCTCATAACGTCTTAGAACAGATTTAAGCACTGTTTTTTAGAAAATTAGAGAGAAGTGAGTAGTAAGTAAAGTTGGGGTATCTAACTTTCAAAAAGGCGCAGTGGCAGGAACTCTGGTGTGTGCTATCCTGGTGCACACTGGGGTAGTATTGCACAGTTTTTCCAAAGTGGTTTAACTGCAAATGGCAAATACATTTTTGAATGTTGAATCTTGTAATAAAATCTAGCTAACTAATTCCTGGAACTCACTACACTCACTACATTCACTACAATAGATCCAACCCTCACTCAGCTCTCATTCCGGGGCTTTTTCTTACAAGTATTCAAAATACAACGGTTTGGTCTGATTTGTTCACAACATTTCACTTTTACAAGACTCCTTCTGTAGAGACAAACTAAGATATTTAGATATTTTTTAAAGTAATGTATTATGTATCCCAAGTTTAAACACGCATTTTGGGATTTGGGGAAATTGGATGAACGTTGCCATCCGGTGGTCAGCTCATGAATTACATATGACATCTGAGCTGCACACATTCAGAGGGGCTTTTGCACATTCTCTCAAAGCCCATAATGTGATTTCAATGTGAAAAGAGCAGATGGCACTTGAGTTTGGAGTGAGATTGCATGTCATCAACGAGACTGGCCTGGCAGCGATGACAGGGATCCATGGTGTGAGCTCGTCCGAGTGGTTCCCAATCAGCCAGTCCGTATGCTGGAATAAGAAGGACTCGCTGGGAATAATTGCCTTTTCCTGAAATGACATCAAAAATACATTGGTTAGAGATGGGAGAACCCAAAGAAGATCGAATTGAATTTAAATCAATTTGTGGTCCGTGTGAGATTGAAATAGGAAGCTGTGATGTGAGATTAATTCTATATACTTTTTGTTATTTTAATTAGAAGCTAAGTTAACTTATTATAAATGCATTTATTATATATATTTATTATTGCTGACCTTGTCTTGCTGTGGAATAACCAAAGGCTCTTTATGTTAAATGCATACATTGTAAGGCAAGGCAAGTTCCTACTCACTGTGGCTGAGTGGATAGCACTCTCGCCTCTCAGCAAGAAGGTCCTGGGTTCGAATCCCGGCCGGACCAGGGCCTTTCTGAGTGGAGTTTGCATGTTCTCCCCATGTCTGCGTAGGTTTCCTCCGGGTTCTCCGGTTTCCCCTACCACTAAAAATATGTACAATAGGTCTGGCATGCGCCTCCTGTACTGGCGACCCCGCTCCCATCTCTGTGTGGAGTGAGAGGACAAGTGCCCAAAAAATAACAATTGTAAACTGCTTTGTGACTCTGGTCTGTGAAAGGCGGTATATAAATAAAGCTTACTTACTTACTACTTACTTACTCAAGGCAACTCAAAGTGCTTAACAAAATAAGCACTTTGTTCATATTTCTATTAATCCATGTATGTTTACAGTAAGGTTTAAGAAAGACTCCAGTGGGTCGATTTGTCTCTCCAGTGGCTCAGATGCTCTTCAGGATCAGAAAAATCACTGGTAACATGTGAGAAAAGGAAAAAATTCCTGGAGACACCCTATGACGCCGAAACGCATCGACTAGTCCCCGAGTGTTGAGAGGGGGTTTTACCGAATGCTTTGATACTTTTCATTATACAAACTTTGAGTTACTGAATATTATTTGCATTAGTTATAGCTCTAGTATGGAGCTATTATTGTTTCAATAATATTTGTGTGTGCGTAAAAAGATTTGTGCGTGCGTAACCAGATTTGTGTGTGCGTACCCAGATTTGTGTGTGCGTAACCAGATTTGTGCGTGCGTAACCAGATTTGTGTGTGTGTAAAAGAAATATTTGTGCGTGTGTAAATAGATTTGTATGTACGTATCAAGATTTGTGTGTGCGTAAAAAGATTTGTGTGTGCGTAAAAAGATTTGTGTGTGCGTAGAAAGATTTGTGTGTGTGTAAAGAAAAAAAAAAGTACGTTTTACACACAAGTTTTTTTTTTACACACGAATCTTTTGACGCAGTCCTGCCTTCGCAGATTCGCAAGTGTAACTTGGACTGTGTGCGTGCGTAAACAGATTTGTGTGTGTGTAATTTGACATTTGTATCTGTAGCAGAACAATTTGTGTGTAAATAACCGCGTTGTACAAAGAGAAGAACGAAAAAAGCCTAAGTGCTACGCACAGGCTCTGTTTTACACACGAATCTCTTTTTGACACACCTCTGCCGCCAAGCGTGTGTCAAAAAGATTTGTAAGTGTAATGTGGTTGTTCTAGCAGTACACCAGCAGATGGTGCTGTTGTAGCTGGTTATTACCTACACGCAAGCAAACCAAAACCTACTGCCTTGACAAGACACACTACCGCAGCTGTTTATGATATTTTTTTCCTATTTTCAAAATCCTGTCATTCACACCACTGTATGATACATGGATCTATTATAATAACTGGATAGGGTGTTACTAGCTTGGAGCTGAGGGATTCTCACGTACTGCAGACTAAATTCACGTTGGCTACACAGAAATTTTCCCCATAGAACTCAAAGTAAACTAAAACAGCTGACAGATAACCTACAGCTTTCATATGGTCGGATTTTGTGGGAATTTTAGTGTTCCTTGTCATCCTGAACTTTTCTTCTTCTTAAATCCTTCGGATTTCTCTAGCTACACTTGTTGGTTTGCTTGCGTGTAGGTAATAACCAGCTACAACAGCACCATCTGCTGGTGTACTGCTAGAACAACCACATTACACTTACAAATCTTTTTGACACACGCTTGGCGGCAGAGGTGTGTCAAAAAGAGATTCGTGTGTAAAACAGAGCCTGTGCGTAGCACTTAGGCTTTTTCCCGTTCTTCTCTTTGTACAACGCGGTTATTTACACACAGATTGTTCTGTTACAGATACAAATGTCAAATTACACACACACAAATCTGTTTACGCACGCACACAGTCCAAGTTACACTTGCGAATCTGCAAAGGCAGGACTGCGTCAAAAGATTCGTGTGTAAAACGTACTTTTTTTTTTCTTTACACACACACATCTTTCTACGCACACACAAATCTTTTTACGCACACACAAATCTTGATACGTACATACAAATCTATTTACACACGCACAAATATTTCTTTTACACACACACAAATCTGGTTACGCACGCACAAATCTGGTTACGCACACACAAATCTGGTTACGCACGCACAAATCTGGTTACGCACGCACAAATCTTTTTACGCACACACAAATATTATTGAAACAATAATAGCTCCATACTCTAGGACCTAAATGAATAAACTAAAATGACCAAATGCCTCCAAAAAGCTGTTCACCAGAAGCGAACCATGAGAAGTTACATGTTTTCTGCTCTACAGATCCAGCAGCTCTGTGAAGAGGTTTGAGCCTGGAGAGATTGCAGATCGCCCAGCCACATCCGCTCCCACAGAACTTAGTCAATAATGGATGATGTGAAACGAAGCAGAGCGTTGTGAAAAGCTCTGCTCTGGCCAAAAGGAAAGTGCTGTTCCGACTGTGGTTCTGTCTAATTGTGTGAGTTTAAATGATTCAGACCAAATTCAGCCCCCATTTAAGTATCAAGCAATCTGTATCTATTTTTGTTTTACAGCTGTTGTAGTTATGTGAGTAATACATGTAATCTGGGGTCAAACATATTATTGTTCTAATATATTGCATGCACAGTCTAAGTAAGAAATCTTTAATAATATAAAAAAAACAATTCATTTATGAATATCTTGTATATTATTGTATATATTACAATAAATATTTCTGCCTCAGTTCTTTCTCCAAATCAGTGAAATTAGCAGAGATCAAGTATTCTTCAAATCCAAGAATCGTGTGGGATTCTTGGTTATTTTTACAATCAAGTTTCTTTTGCTATAAACAAGCATAAACGGCTGATCCAAGTCTTCTATTCACACACAGTCACACTTTTTGATCTGGTTCACTCAAACTGGACCAGTCCTGGTTCATTTGTGGATATAAAGCATGTGAACATGTGTCACAGTTTTCATCTTTTGAAACAGATCTGTGAAGTGAACCAGGCCTGGTCCACTTAAAGTGAACCAGTGTGAATGTGCCCCAAGTTTAATGAAAGCCGTTTTAGTGACGGCGCTGAAACAAATAGGACTCCCCTGACTTCGTGAAGAGGTTTCTAATAACACTAATTAAATCTCAAAATGATGGGCTGTGTCGTCCCGCCCTCGCTCACCTCGAGCAGAGTCTGGGGGCCGTACATGTCCCAGATCTTTCTCCTCCGAACATCGATGCCCTTTCCAGGGTGCTGCAACAAGACACCATAACTGAAACTGTGTAATCACAATTAAACACGGCTATGTTTGCTTTTTACTCAAAACACAACACAATACAATTAATTTAGCACAGTGATTTTGAGGTAAATATCCATAACACCATGATAAGTTTTTAGCTTAGGCCAAGAAGTACATCAAACAGAAACAGTCATATGAAGGTAGTGCACTGGTTTTGTGTTTCACTCTGCTCAGTGGACTTGTCTTTTTTCACAGACTCTGAGACTAAACACTAATTGTATATGAATGTACTGCAGCAGAGAATGTCCGATACTTTGTGCAGACTTAATCAAGTCTGGACAATGACGCGCTCACCCCTTCATTGGTCAGTATGTGCACCAGAAGGCCGTTTCCGCAGCCGAGGTCCACAAAGGACTGAGGGTCAGTGAGGCCTTTCTCGTTCCGCTCCTCGGCCCACAGCACCTGCACACAGCGTTAACACTCTTTTGTTTGGTTCATTGGTTATCCACGGCAGACACCTGGACTTCCACACGACACACTGATCAATTTAACCAGTATACCCAAGCCATTGCACACTAACACTGATTCTTTGCTTTGTCCAGTTAAATCAAGAGGATAAAACAAAGAATCCACTTGATCTAAGTGTCTAAAATAATAACTTAAAGCACACAATGAACAAACGGTGTGATCATGAAGTAATTATTAAACGCTACAATTTTAATTTCAAGAAATAATGAATGAAGGACACCTAGGTTCAAGCGTATGTTAATGTTGCACAGTCACTTTAGGAAACCCCATACCAAGGTCATCTTTGTGAGTTTTGTTGTCTGATGTTAACAAATGTCATCCTAAAATGTCAACATTTTAATTGTATGGATTAAAGATGTTCTCATTGAAGAGATGGAGCAATATAAATATAAATATATGAGACAGCATAGCAGAGGATGTAACTATCAAATGCACATTTATCTTGTAAGGTGGAGAAAATGTTGGTGTCTAGGATCCCCAGCACAAATGCGATCTACTCAGAAAAGCCAGGGTCATCCTCTTCTCTGGATTTGCCCTTTTGTCATCCAGCTTCTGCCCACCACTGTTCACGAGGAACAGATCTGAGTTCTCTTTTGTGTCAGAAGCAATTACGCTCCTTGATGACTCATGACCATTTGGTGCGAATGTCATCCATGACTGTGGTTTTTGTACTTGTAAATGTGAAAATCCTCACAAAACTGCTAAAAGACAATTAAACATTAAACTTCTTTTTCATTCACTAAATACTTTACTGCTGCAAGGGAAGCAAAGGTAGGTAGGACTCTATTGGATTTGAGACTTCTGATGTATTTCAACAAATTCTCTAACACACACACATTAATGTATTGTTGACTCTGACACAGTCTGACATTAAGAATTACAGTATTTGTCTTCATCTTGTATTGTGCAAGTTGTCTTCATACCAGTAAATATGTAGCAATAGCAACATCTTCATACACAAACTTCTCTGGATCCGTCACTTCTGGCCAAACCTAACAGACATCGACAAGTCATTATCCAGTTTCAAAAAATAAATGCAATAGGTGATCAAGACATCTGCATACCTTAACCATTGCCTTATACTTGTCTTTAAGATGCTGGTACATGAGGCTGTACTTTTCCACTGGCAACAGAGACAAGGTGCTTTTAAACTCGCTGGTTTTACATTCAGTCGCCCATCGCACAAGTTTAGGAAGCAGCTCGGACTCCAACCAGGGCAGTTTCGGGTAGGCAACACCATCAGAGAACCATCGACTTGGGGACAAAACATGCAGCTCCAAAGACCTATAAAAATACATCAGAAAAAGCTTGAATATAATGAATATACACCTTCTTTCATGGAAACAGTGGGACACAGACTCACCATTTGTCAATGTCCTGGCAGGATAATCTGAATTGATAAAAGTTGCTCTCTTTGAAAAACACCTGGCCATCTGCATCCTCCTCAAAAGGCAGAAACGTCACTTGAGGAGAGTCTAAAGAATAAAAGCAATAGTAAATAATTCTTGCACGAATGCTTCTTTTACTTGTTCTTGTGACTCACCTTTACATTTGAGAATAACTTCTTTATGCTGCTTTGACCCATAGCAGTTTACTTTAGGAATGTAAGTCCTGGTACTGTAGCTCCATTGTAGGTTATTGTTGTGAGCATGTGTGTGAGAGGCTCCACTGTTCAGAAAAGTGAGTGTATGGTCTGAAAGGCCATTGAGAAGTGAGCCCAAAGCGACCTCGTCCACGTCTCGGCTTTCAGTCTCTGTGACTCCACATAAGCGCTTGTTGACTACGTGAGGTCTCCGTATCCACACATCCACCGCGGACCAGAATCCATCAGGGAGACTTTTACAATCCGCTGGAAATGTTATGTCATACATTTTCGGCATCTTGTAACATTAACGTCAAGTGAAAGATTTTACTGATGGAGTATTCTACAACGTTTTGATAATTAGAGAACACATATTTAGTCGGGTGTATTCTTGTATAAGATTCGAGCAATTTTGTTGATATTAAACCACGAATAATCAAATAATTCGACCTGTGAGGAGTTCATCCCAGCACATGACAACAGCGAATAACAACACTGTCGCTGAATGATGACGACATAAGATGCTTGTTGTAAAACAGCAGAGGGCGCTGTTGCTCACTCTATAGTTTGGGTCTGGCATAGACTGTAAATGTGGTCAAGTCTCACTGCTTGCTTGGAAAATTGTTTTCTTTCTACATCGATGTAAAATACTTTATTTATCATGTTTTGTACATTTATTTTTAGAGTTTTATTTCTCAAAGTGTAATAGGTACAATGCATATTTTTTAAATCAATAATATAATATGAAACACGTAGGTCGTAGGTTCGAATCCACCATAAGACCTACTTCACGACTCCCACTGATGTCTACTGTCGTTGTGTCCTTGGGCAAGACACTTAACCCCACTTTGCCCAACGCCCCCGCTGGAAGATCAAGGCTCCTGTGAACTCACCACCAGCCCCTCACCATTAAGCTCTGACTGCCACCCCCCAATCCAGAAATGGAATAAGGGGGAAAAAATGAATGGATGGACGACCTTCCCCTTCAGTTCATTTATTTGTAAGATTTTTTATTTTGGGTTAATCTTCATGTAGAACTTCTTAAATCTTAATTTAGACATGATCTAGACTTTGCATATGCATATATGTATTACACCGCCAGTGTGTGTATAGAACACAACAAATGTAATTAAAGTGAAGTTATTTGACACAAGTCTAAACTATTCACATCCTGCCCATACGTCACACTGTTTGTCCTATATGAAGCTTTTACAATGCATTCTCCCAGCAGTGATTTATGACCCATTTGCCCACCTGTATTTCGATCTGTCTGTCACAGTCAGGAGACAGATTCCCACACAGAAATGTGACTCTTTGCAGTCACATAGAAGTGAGCGACTAAGCATCCGCAGCCCACGCTCAAATGTGCCGCTTGAAACAAATACTGAAAATAACACTCTTGCGTAACGCCTCGGCTGAATCACAGTTTATGCTCAGGTCTCAAAGTTTCTCTGTCATAGATTTGTGTAGAAATCATGTACAAAATCAAACAAATTATCATAACATTATCTTTAAAGATTTACAAACTAAACACAATCCATATGAGTGTCAGAGAAATACAGAATAAAGATTCAGAATTGTTTTGTTTTCTGCTATTGTAAGTAACAGGAAGTCAAAAACAAGGAGTTTGCTTTTGTTCATAGTGTAAACTAGTTTTTAAAAAAGGCATGCATCAAAAGTACACACAATAGAAATTTAACAGAGCAGATTATTAACATTCCAAGCCTTTGTTTTTAATAGTACTTTAAAACCAAATTGCAACAAAATAGCATTTGAGTTTGATTGTAATGAAAACAGCTGCATAGATATATTTGTAGGCCTATCAAACAGTACGTTAAGCTAATAGATGTCATTTTTAACAGTATACATTTCCCTCGCTGAATAATACAGTGCTTTTAATCTTCCGCTTCACACATGAAAGAAAGTGTAAACAGATCTGCCAGGCTTCCTCTGTCAGCACACGGTTTTGACCCGAGTGCAGTACAGAAAAGGCCATTGTGTTACTCAACAGCAGGGTGGAGCATGTGGGGAGATAGTGTGATAGGAAGTGCAAAGAGCAGGTTGCACGTTCTTCCTACTCACTTTGAGTTTTTCATTTACATTTAAAGCTGGTGATAGGTCGAAGACACTCTTGTCAAACCTGTCCCGCAACAGCAAGCATGAAACACCACAGGCACAAGTCATTTGAGTCTTTATTTGACTCATTGCTATCGGCAAGTTTCGCTTCAGCCTCAAGTGTTGGAAATAAATATACTTTCTGATGACTAATGTGATAACCTGCCCTTGACCTGTATTAGACCTATTATTATTTTAAATATTACACCAAGACAAAAACAAAAACATTTGACAGCAGGCTGTTGTTTCTTCCTACATCACATTCCTATAATTATTGCATAAGTGCAATACTTTATGTGACTTCTCCAAAGATGGCAACATGTCGGTTAAGATGGATATGTTCTTGCTGTTTTCTTCATATGTACTGCTGTAATGCTGTTAAACTGAAACAGGTGTTTTAACTGCTCAAGACCTGGAATTCTGACAGAGAACAAACGTGCTTCTTCACAGATATGACCTGAAATTTGGTGCAGTGATGTCACTTGCTTATCTTCAATGTAAATGGATAAAGCCGATAGAGTTAGGGTGAGGAGCTCAGTCACACGGGAGGAGCTCGGAGTAGAGCCGCTGCTTCTCCACGTCGAGAGGAACCAGTTGAGGTGGCTCGGGCATCTGTTCAGGATGCCTCCTGGGGAGGTGTTCCGGGCACGTCCCACCGGGAGGAGGCCCCGCGGAAGACCCAGGACACGCTGGAGGGACTATGTCTCCCAGCTGGCCTGGGAATGCCTTGGGGTCCCCCCGGACGAGCTGGAGGAAGTGTGTGTGGATAGGGAAGTCTGGGCGTCTCTGCTTAGACTGCTGCCCCCGCGACCCGGCAACGGATAAAGCGGAAGAAAATGGATGGATGGATGGATGGATGGATGGATAAAGCCATCCTGTGGAATGTTCCAGGCAATATAACAACATTTACATGGAAAGATTAGTGCACCAGACCCACCAGAAACGTTGCATTGTGCCACTTTAAAAATGTCAGTTTTTAATAACTATTAAGGTACTGGTTGTGTCCTTCATTTTATTGTATTAATATTTGTGGCATTGTATATAAGTGTCTGCAAGTATGTCCTTTTTTGCTATGTCTGTCATTTTATAGTAATTGTAAATAATATACTGTATAAAGCTGGGGCACTATGTCCCAACAGAAAGTCAAAAAGGTTAATGATTCATGATGTCCATTTTGTTCTGTAATTTGTCTTACTATGTGAAAGTAATACATAACAGATGCTCTAATAATTATATTATGGCCTGTCTATATAATGAGTCATGTCATGTCATCATGTCATTTTCATCTCCTTTATTATTTCATTTCTGGGTCAGGGGGTGGCAATCAGAGTTGCCACACAATCCTCAAAGCGTCAGGGATACAACGACAGCAGACATCAGTGGGAGCAGGTGACATGAGCCGTGGGGGATCGAATCCACGACCATTTGGTTCAAAGACCAATGAGCCAAAAATGTAATGTAATGAATCTTTATCATAGATTGGTTTTTATATTGTAAGTGGAATCAAATAAATATAATTACATTTGAAGAATATTCTAATTTTCAGAGTTTCACTTGTATATTGCTTGTATACTTGTATAAAAATGCCCTGTAAGAGTGAGGGTGATCCTTTTTTACTCTCGGAGGACTATACAAAGTTGTCGATTCACCAACAACAGATCAGGACAGATTTTTTTGTTATGTAAATCCCTTCATGTTTCCCCCCAGAGTCTGTGATGGAGGCTCAGGTGCAGAAGGGGCGTGGCTACGTAGTGAAACTGGAAGAGGGCGGAGTGACGCACGAGTCGAAAACACACAGGTAGATCACTTTGTCACTCGTTACTGGAGAAAAAATACACGGAAAGCTGCTTAAATCTTTACGAAAACATAATTTATGTCTGTAAAGAGGAATACGCAAGATTGATCGGCGTTTTCTTGGAATTAAAGGCATCTTTCTTTACGCAGCGCTGGAGCCAAAATGTCAAAATGGACAGTTCCCCAAGCGTTTCCGCGTGTGTAGCTGAGGACAATTGACAAGGAACTAAGGTGTTTTTTCGTGGTAAGTGACTATTACTGAGTTGAAGCCATTGATGATGTATTTGTGATTTATTGCATGGTAAAGTAAAGTCAGTAAATACAATGTATTTATAGAAAGTGTCAAAAGAAAAGTGAAAAATTTAACCCAGACTTATGTTCAATGGGATATTTAGTGCATTACATACTAAAAATCCCATTTATTACATATTTAGTACGTCTATATGACTAACATTAGTTTAGAAAGCCACTAAACAGATGTATAATTGGCTCCAGTGTTTGTCATAATAATTCCAGCTTTTTGTCATCTGTTTACCATAGGATACATATAACACAAAATGGTTCTAATGTAACTGTGTCATTACAGTGGAGCTGCGGTGAGTTTCAGCCACTACAGATAAAGTGCTGAACAACCTTTGCTTTGTTGTTGTCTTTTGATAGCGTCTCCCACTGTAAACATAGCTCTACAGTGGTGGGAGTGCTGGTTTAAGCAAATAACGTGTAACAGCCCCATTTGAAACCGTCCTGTTAAAGGCTTGTCTGAATGCATACAGTTCATTTACTCAGTTGAAGCTTTGAAATGTCACATGCCATTGGGTTGAGGGAGTATTTTCAGTAGCTGGCTGGGTTAAAGATTCATCACAATGTACACAACCACAACACAAGGGTCTCTCTGTAAACTCTGTATTTTGGGCCCTACTTTTTTGCTTGATTACTATGGGAAGAGATTAACTGTAATTGGGAGGTGTCTGAAAAATCATTGCATGTCAGGACTAGTAGCCCATCGCACTCCTTAAAAACCTTTTATTATGTGATTAGCAAACAGGGATAGGTGCATCTTTGACATGTGCATTGTCAAATGTTATTTTTTTCCTAAGTGGCTGATGGGAATGTTGAAGGTCCTCTTTGAGTCATAACTTTGAGGCATAAACTGATAAGGTTGAGGTTTTATGGCATACAGTTCAACCCATGTTGCTATATATAAAATCATGAAAATGTTACTGATATACTTAAATTATTATTGAAACTTTCCTGCCAATTCAATACAGACTTAACACTTAGAATCCATAAAGACTTCCTGTCTGACATCTGTGGTTACATATTTACTGTGTGGACAAAATCCAGTTAAACTGGTGGCGGCCAAACAACCAATGAGATAATGTTTCTACCTCAAGGTTTTTTTAGACTACTTGTTCCCTGGAACACAAAGCCTGGTTCATTATTACTAGACGACATGAGTGTTGAATAGAGCGTCCACTTGAGCCTTTTGTTATGAGATCTTTCATTTGTCCGCTTTAGATTACACATTAATTTCAAAGTTTCATTGCAAAGTGCTTTCTGTCCTAAAATCGGGGTCTCCAAGTTTACCGTTGTTATTTTTGAAGAAGCTATTAATTGTTGGTGCAAAATGATTAATGGGGAGAGATCCCCCTTTGGACCAGACTATGGGTTTTTTGTTGGTCCCCATAGTAACCTAACAAAGATGAGTGGGAGTGAGCTTTTTAATTAGGAGGGCAAAGACCTGTAACACTGTTGTGGCTCAGAGCTGTATCATCAGACAGGGAATGCAAACATGCTAGAGCTATTAGTATTAGTAAAGATATAACATCTTTGAGGCACAAACAGACTTGTTTGTAACCTTGGCCCTGTCCCATAGGCAGGGGTGGCCTGCCAGGCAGGGCATGCTGATGGACCAGGACACTCAGTGGCTGTACCAGCTCCTGGCAGAAGTGCAGCTGGAGAAGTTCTACCTCCGAGTCCGGGATGGTCTCAACATCACTCGCATTGAGCATTTTGCATACGTGAAGGAGGGAGACCTGGAGCATATCGGCATCAGCAAACCTGGTCAGTCACTTCTACTCTGTCTAAAGTCTAAAGACGTTTTTTTTTCTGTGAACTAGTGGTCCTCTATAGTTTTGTAGCAACGACCGATAGAGACCGCTTAAGATGGTAGAAGGAGCTCACTAAGATTTACTGTTTAATGGTTAATTGATTCACTTCACATTGATTCTCAACAGTAATAAAAAATATTACACAAACAACTTAAAAAATATAACTTATGCCCAGTGCAGATGATTATTAAAGCCATTTATAGTGATCATTTAGGCCCAAGGACGAAAAACTGTTGCAAAGCTCCAGTAGTGTTCATTAATGTGTGTTGACACCAGTCAAATATTTTAATTTTAATCATGGGGTTTTTATCATAACTTAACATTTGTGTGTAATTTGTGTCAGTAGTGATACTGTAATGCACTGTATGTTGTAACCTGATGATATTCATTCCTAATAGCACAAAGAAGATTATGGGATGTTCTAAAACGCCATAAAAGTTCACGGCCTCGGATGAAGGTACACAACACTGAAAACATGAACACACTCAAAAACCCGACTACCTGATAACTGACTGTAGCCGCAGGTGTTCGGGGGTCGTGAAGGGGAGCGGTCTCCAGCTCCAAACCAGGAGGTGTCCAGCACCCGCATGCTGCCCTCTCTGATCCAGGACACTGAGCTGGTCCTGGCGGAAAAATTGGGCTCAGGATCCTTCGGAGTGGTGCGGCGGGGCGAGTGGCACACGCCAAGCGGGAGAGTGGTAACAGATTTTTGACACTTCATGCTCAATGATTAATATTTAGAAGATTCATCTGCTATTAAATCTGTGCATAATGCTCATCTATATGTGCCTCTAGATTATAGTAGAGCAATGATTACACATGAGAGACCAGGCATCACTTTCATGATACTATGCCTTCTCAGTCTGTAATGTTGTATCATTATTTGATTCAGTTGGTGGTAGCTGTCAAATCCCTTAAAAACACCCGATCGGCACATGCGGACACCCTTTCAGACTTCCTCCAAGAAGTATCCACTATGCAGTCACTAGACCACCCCAACATCATCCGCCTGTATGGAGTGGTGGTCACACAGCCGTTAAAGATGGTAAGATACTTTGAACAGCAGGTATTCAAATGTAAAAAAGTTTGTATTTTATAGTGAGTGATGGTGATCTTTTCTTCTTTCTTTGCAGGTAACTGAACTTGCTGCTTTGGGTTCGCTCTACGACACCTTGCGCTCCCGTCAGTATGAATACCCCCTTCTGCGATTTTGGCTGTTTGCGACGCAGATTGCATCCGGTATGGAGTATCTAGAAAGCCGGAGATACATCCACAGGGACCTAGCAGCAAGAAATGTGTTACTTTCGTCCAGAGAAATGGTTAAAATCGGGGACTTTGGCCTGATGAGAGGACTGAACCAGGAGACGGACCATTACGTGATGTCGGCGCACAGACGCATCCCGTTTGCATGGTGAGGAGCTACTCATTTTATCTTGCACCTACAGAGTCTGGAATGGTATCCGAAGCATTGGAATTTCTCATATTTCTGCATAAAATCACTATCAAATGTGATCTGATCTTTCTCAAAATCACACTGCCTGTTTTAACTAACAACACCCAGACATTTATGTGTTTGTGTTTTAGATAATGTTTGCGTACAAACAATGACAAAAGGTGAGGAATAAGTTACGGAACCATAGTATAATTGGGCTCCGTAACTTCAACCAGACGCTTCCTGTAGTTGCAGATCAGTCTGACATCGACCAGGATACATTTTTGGCCATTCCTCTTTACAAAACTATTGTAGCTAAGTCAGATTCTTGGGATGCCTGGCATGAATTGGTGTCCACAGAATATCAATGGGTATCAACGAGCCCTTCCTCAGTGATTGGACAACACAACACAACAACAACAAAAACATGAACATTTTACCCTACATGTGTAATGAATGTAAGGCGTAGATGGAAATGTTCTGAAATGTGTCAATACTACTAATAGGGTTTTTTGTAAATTGGCCAACATTATAACACTATTCAATCGTGTGGGACCAAGAGTCTCCTGAAAAGGAGACTGAAATCTAAGGTGGGCGGCACGGTGGCTGAGTGGATAGCACTCTCGCCTCTCAGCAAGAAGGTCCTGGGTTCAAATCCCGGTTGGACCAGGGTCTTTCTGAGTGGAGTTTGCATGTTCTCCCTCTGTCTGCGTAGGTTTCCTCCGGGTGCTCTGGTTTCCCCTACCACTAAAAATATGTACAATAGGTCTGGCATGTGCCTCCTGTACTGGCACCCCCACTCCCAAAACATAACAATTGTAAACCGCTTTGAGACTCCGATGTGCAGTGAAAAGGCGGTATATAAATAAAGATTACTACTACTACTAAGGTGGTCTTTCCTGGTTAAATAAATGTAACGGAAAATATAGTCCTGCTCATGATTGATATCTGAATGAATTGTTCTGCATGGAAGATTTAGGATCTTGCATCTATTGTTGGTTTTGTGTTGGGATTGGCTTTTAGATCCTATTGGTTTTGTGGTGTATTAACATGCACTGTAAGTAATAATAATAATAATACTAATAATTGTATGCTAAAGAAATGTCAAAAGTTGTCCTGGTTATGTAATTTATTTTTGCATATATAGATAAGATGAGATCAATTTGTTGCTTAGTTGCTCAAGTTTAGTATCTTTGAGCAAATTTGAGCTGTAGGTTAATATCTGACACATCCCTAACCTGTAGTTTAACAGTTATAGGCGATGCACATCTAATCCAAATGGCAGGATAATGTAATTAGATGTAAAACTATATCAAACAATGCTATTTGTCTTTGTAGAGTATATAAATGATATAAATGAGAACCTATGTACTGTCAGGTGCGCTCCAGAGAGTTTGCGTGTGGGTTCGTTCTCCCACTCGTCCGACGTGTGGATGTTTGGAGTGACTTTGTGGGAGATGTTCACATACTGTGAGGAGCCCTGGTTCGGCCTGTCGGGCAGACAGGTACACGCTTGTTACATTTCTCACTACAATGACGGCGTTTGCGCCATTAAGTTTGTTCACGTCACGTTTGGAATACCCCACCACACCCAAATGTCTTTTTATGAGTAATGATTAATGCTATGTTTGGCATTTACTTTGTTTGATGTAGATTTTGTGGCGTGTGGAACGAGAGGGGGAGAGGTTAGAAAAGCCAGCCGACTGTCCTCAAGAGATGTACGTTGTTATGAGAAAGTGCTGGGCCATCACTCCCGCAGACAGACCCAATTTCTCAAAGCTCTGCACATTAGTAGCAGAGGTCAGCCAGTACAAGTTATTAGTTCATTTATTTATAATCACCATTATTAACATACTTTTCATTCATAGGCTAAACCCATGGAGGCACAAGCAGTAAGGGAGTTTGCTGAACCAAGAAAACTTGAACTTTTGCCAAATGACATGGTAACAGTGATTGATCATGGGTGAGTGAGAGGGGAAGTCATTTCACCATTCTGTTGCTTTTTATGTCACCATTTATAAGAATTGTACATCATGTTTCACAAACTTTTCACAATTGCTTCCTGTAGATTTATGTTCCATTTGATTTTGTCTGATTATTACAAAAGTGTACCCTGTTTGAAAATAATTATTAGCATCTTAAATGTTCCAAAATGCCCCATTTAAGTTGCATCTTATGGGAATCTTTTTTTGTCTCAAACTGCTGTATCGGTAATATGGCTTTTGTCTGCTGTTGTAGTCTGGATATGAATGAATGGAGAGGTCAGAACCAGCGGTCACTGAGTGTCGGCTGGTTTCCCTCCATTCTCATCATGCCGCCAGCTCCACCTGCAGCCGCCCCCACCCCCTCCCCAGTCCCAGGCACCGCCTTTATCTCACCTCCAGTGAAAGGTAGTCTGCAGCATACGGGGCATGGAGACATCAAAGTAGAGCAGTGCTGGGGCTCCCCAGAGGCTGCAGACAAGTGAGTGACTACGAACAACCAAACTGCACAAAAGACATGTGAAAAAGTGAATGAATAATCATTTATTATATTGTCTTATGCAGCAGTATCTGGAGATCTGGGCCAGGAAGGGAAAAAGAAGGCTCCAATTTGCAGAAAATGGCAGGTGTGAATCTGGTTATTTGCATTTTGTTGGTAAAAAAAACTGACTAGTATTCTATCATCTTAAATTATTATTATAAACATGTACTTGCTCAATATCTATATTCTGTGGTTTTCACAAATGTGTTTATAAGTTTCATAAGTGCTTGGTGCACACTTGGGTAGTCTAGCACAGTTTTTCCAATGTGGTTTTACTGCAAATGGCAAATAAATGAATCTGAATCTGGAGCCCTTTTGGATTTGCTTTTTCAACATATAACACTTATTCAATTACTCAGACTGTTTAGGTTTCAATGACTGCACATTGTAATGACAGAAATAAACTAACCTCTGTTGTAATCTCTATAGTGTGTCACATAAATCCTGATTTGTCTGCAGGAATGTCCCTCAGTCTGGAGTCTGTTCTCGGCGGGAGTCGTCCCAGAGCTCACACTGTGGGCGTGATGCGAGTGGATCAACACGGGAAACTCATGCCTCCTGTGATGGTGGCGAACAGCGTGGTGACCCCCCAGGACCCACGCAGGTTCAGTGAGGCCAGCATTGTCCCACCGCCCCGGCCCCCTCCACCGAACCTCAAGCGGCTGAACATGAAGCCCCAGAGAAGACCCCCTATCCAGCAGGCCCCACCGGGAACATCATGGCCTCCTCCAGGCCTCATTTCGCCCCCAGCGCAGCAGCCCCCTCCCCAGTCTGTGACGGGGGGAAACTTGATGAAGATGGCCCAAATGGCTCGCTCCACTCCTCAGCTGGATGAGCCCGACAGCAAAGAGAGGGAAAGACCCCGGGAAAAGGCAACGAACTTATACAGCACCAAGGACTCGCTCATCTCACAGGTAGAAGAAGAAATTGTTTTTGTCTTGCATGTCTACATCGGGCTAAGCATTGACGTAATAAAAATATTTGCACAAATTGTTTATAGATTGAAGTTTAACAGAATGAATTGACTAAACTTTCCCATGATTTTTGTGTGTTTGGGTTTGCCTTAACTGAACTATGAATGTGCTTGGATAAATGCTCTAATACATTTTGAGAGTAGTACAAAGACCTAAATGTATTGAAAAGTAACAGCACATACCAACTGGAATCAGAATTTTTGTCTGTTTGGTTCTATGGACATCAAAGCTAAAATCAGCTGTATAAATAAAGCAGAAGGAACAAGATTGCCATGGAAACAGTTGCAGTTTTGTATTTTTTTTATGTTTTAGGTGAAAAACATGATTTAAATGGTCAAGAAGGTGTGGTATTGTGTATTGTGTATGTGAATGTGTTGAATGTGTTTGAATGCACTGTGAGAACTTATTCTGGACATTTGACGACACAGGTGATGGATGCGGTTCATGGTGTGACCACAGAAGAAGTGCACAACGCTCTGCAGAATTGTGACTGGAACCCTGTTAGAGCCGGCCAGCGACTAAAGGTACTCTGCTCCAGTGTTTCATAAACAGGGGTACTGGGACCTCATGGGAAAATTGATATTTTAAGTAGCATTTGAACCCAAAACGTAGTAAATGTGATGCTATTTTCTTGCATGTGAATAAATGGCAGATTAGTGAATGTCAAACTTAAGAAACACAATGTAAGAATCTCAATGTGGAAAAGAGCAGTTAAGACCAGTGCATCAACTGTACTCAGATAATGTTCAGTGTGTTTAAGTTTATGTAATGTTTTGTCTTCAGTTGGAGCAGCTGTACTCGCTCAGCCTGTGCTCCAAAGAGGACTGTGTGAGGATTCTGTCCAAATACCAGTGGAACCTGGAGATGGCCAGTCGATACCTGATCCGATGGTCCCGGGACGACCGGTCAGGCCCCTGCGAGCGCGACCGGCCTCAGATCAGTGCAGAGAGACGAATGTGAACAGACCACGCTTGTTCTTTGACTCTTTCAGAAACTTTGTTGTTTTCAAAGAATATGGACGACTACACGATGAACTGGTGCAGGCCTCACCACTATGGATGTACATTAATGGGACAATGAAGTGTGAACATTACCAACTGGATACATTTTAATTTTATACTTTTAAGTCACCTTTTATACTTGTATTTTAATGTGTTTGAATAAATAGATGTATTGCAAATTATAAGTCCAGTTATCTGTCCTGAATCCTGAATAGTGTCCTGAATCGACTTTTGGGCATGTACCATGATCGTACAGACGTCCTGTGGACCCTGTGATGTTCCCTTTACTCCCAGTAGATGGAGCTAAGAGCAAGGAAAAAAACCATACACAAAATCCAGATCGAAGTAGGTCTCAAAGTTTCAGTCATAAAAGTATTTTCCCCTCTTTTTATTAAAAAAATCCTTGTACCATTTGTCAATAGGAAAACAGGATTTCTTTGTGGTTCTTTTTTTTCCAAGTGAAAACAGATGTGTAGCTTTGAGTTTCCCTGGGCAATCCCCAATCTTTCCTACACAGTCACTTACCAAGGAAACACAGAACAATGGAATATTAACATAGCTGTACCTTTATTTAAGAACATTTTACAAATAAACAACAAAATGACAATAACAAACATTAAACATCAATGCAAAGGAATCCCTGTACGACTGAGGGCTTACACAAAATTAAACATGAATGTTATTTTTATAGCTGGATTATTGGTTTCAGAGGTAAGAGTGTTGAAGTGGGAGTGGACATGTAGCAGGAAAACCACATTTTTCTGAGATGACATTGTCAAAAGCTGTATCCAGATAGTCAATATTCTCACCTATAGCCTAGCCATTCGACAGTAATAGAGCAGAGGTATAATCATGTGTATAAAGTGGTACACCCATTTCACATCTGAAAATTCATTTAAAACTGGTCAAACATACATTATTTTTCCAACTACAATGTTATATTTTGGCTTTCCACAGAAAAATGGTATGTCCACAAACCCCTTGTATTTTTCAGATAGTTTCCATACAACATAATTGAATATTTTCAATCTCTAACAAGCACCAAACTCTTGCATCGACACAAACGCGAAGGTGTGAAAGATATTTGTAAACTCTGTTAGTAAGTGCACTTCAAAGTAGAGTTTTATGACTCACTCTGGTCTGGTTACTTTGACACATTTGGTGATTACAGTTTCTACAAAGCACAAGAGTCATAGTATACTTTAAACGTACACACTTCACATTTTGTCAACTGGCATCTACATACACAAATAGTCCCATCTTTGGACGGAAGTGATTTGCTTGATAATGTTTGATGTATTTGGTAATGTACACACACAAGTTATAAAAATGAATCCAATACTGGATCTGAATAAGAAAGTGTTCAGTTATGTTCAGGGCTGACATGGATGGTTGTTAAGGCAAGATGGAGTTTCCCCGCAAATGAAGGCATCTGATTGGTAAATCCTTATTGCTCACATCTGGATCTTTAGTTTTTCTAAGCCCAAAATGTTGAGCATGACACAAACGGTCACTGAGCTAGGAGTTTTCTAGCGTAAGTCAATAGGAGCTGGAGGCATAATGAGCACTTCCTTTTTGGCTCCATGGAGCTATGGGGATAGCATTGTCAATATATATTAAATGTATATACACAGTCCATACTTACACACCAGGGAATTACAGGGGAAACTTGCCTTAGCGGGGCTATGAGTACCAATTTGTTTAGTTTAATCCTATTTGATTTTTGGAAAATGGAATGCCAATCAATTTTTAACACTTAGCAATCTACATGCATAGATTAATAAAAAATCTCTGCTGCTACTATATTATATATTTGGTATAAATGCTGCAGCTCGATTTGTGAGAGACATTCAACTTTGGCAGGAGTATATTAAAAGTAAAGTACATAACAAAGGGAGGACCTTCTGGTTGTGGCCTTTTCCAATTCTATGAAAAGACTGAGCTGCGCTGGTTCGCCTCGCCAACTTTCTCAAAGAACATGAAATCCTGTTAAGACAGAAAAATCCGACACTTAATGACGGAATGGCTTAACATGAAGTAGAATAATTTGTTTAAACTATCAACTTACAATGAGGAAGCAGGCGCCGAGGAGCACGGCCTTCATCTTAACATCCAAGTCCAACGGGAACTGGATCCCGAAGTTGTCCGTGTCTGTGAAGACTTCTTTCAAGAGGCCACTCCACTGTTTGCTGATGCGGCCAATGCTGTGGTCTCCATCTTTTCCTTTTAACTGGGGGGGGTACAGCAATAAATCTCTTTAGTTGTCAAAAATAAATTACAAATTATGTGTACACAACGTTTTGCTTTTATAGATACAGTGGTCCCTCGCTCTAACGTGGCTCACCTTTTGCAGCCTCGCAGATTGTTGTGTGTGCAATTTTTGTGCCTTTATTTCTACAGCTTGCTTCTAACACTCCCAACAGCCTCACATACAACATCATATAACTGCTGCTGGTATAACATGACTGTCACCTTTAATTTTGGTCAAGCAGAAACTTTTGTGGCACCGCATAGATTAGTTCAGAGGAGTTTTGTGGTTTTCCCATAGCCGGTAGCTTCAGCTGTACTTTACAATGAATGCACGGCTTTTGACAGCTGCTTTTGAGACCTACAACGAACAGGTTTGAGATCTCCCTTTCTTCTAACTTGAGCAGTTGTGAGTTCAGGTGGTTAGAAAAGTGTAAAGTACGTGGTGAGGGGTTTTCCTGCTTAATCCTCAACCCTTTGGTAGATCACCTTTTGAGTCACTTTTCACTTGGTTTAAGGGAACTTTTCCCATCAAATTGTATCACAACCATTTGGTAAAGGCGTATAATAAAAATAAAATATATGTAAAAACACGAAATTTGTGTTATAAGTGTTCCTACGTCTTTGAAAAACCAAAAAAGACCACAACATCCTGTTTTCATCTCAAAATAAGGGGCTCAGAGTGAGTCACCGTTTGGTCACTGTCAATTTAATCAAAAGCAGCAAATACATGCACCAAACTGATGAGAGCAAGGAACTGATTTCATTCTATATTTTATTCAATAGCTTTATCACATTAGTAGTGTATCTAATAACGTACCTCAAAGTTGACATCTCCACAGCAGTTGCAAGCAAAGCAGGGACCCTCTAATCTTAGCACGGTGTCCTGGTTGGAATCCTGAATGGAAAACTTGGGCAGGAATGGATGCCAGTCCTGTTTGACGTAGCCTATTGTGGTCCCAGGTGGAGATTGAACCTCCATCTAAAACATAATACAAAACAACATAAAAAGGTTACATACTGTGGTGAATATGCTCTAGTATAATCTACAGAAAATGCGTTTCTTTTGGTGATTTTAAACAAACTCAAAGGCAATCCCTTGATGATAACATCTACAAACAAATGATCATGAGTTACTGGTCACATGGTGAGTCAGGAATGAGGAGGATAGGTGACTGACTGCTTCATTGTGGCATGGCATGACAAAAGTAATGAGTCTCACATGGCTTAGCCCAGGACACATGGGAGAGGAGAGAGAAATGTGTGCAGGTTTCCCAGAGAAGTGAAAGTGCTCAGTGCGGTGATTGACGAGAGAAGTGAAAGGAATCCCAACATCCAACGAACCAAATACCATCCAACCGATAACATCCAACCAACCGATACTGTACGAGTTTATGAAGTCAATGTATTCTATTCAACAAAGACAAAAATTGACGTAGAGCAGCCACTAAATGGGTAAATCCTTACTAATTAATTACTTAAACTGGTTCATATAGAATAGAATAAAGTGGCAAAAATGCAAAGGAGAGGAGATACAAGAACCCATACAGATACTAATGCTCAACCCCATTTTAACTAAAAATTGCATTTATCTTCAACTTATTGAAGACTATTGAAACATTTTCTGTCATTGTGCTGGCTCTGCATTTCAAGGACGTAATGTCAAGAAGGAACATTTTGCAGTGTCAATAATTACTAAATAAAGAATTGGTGCTGTATCTATATAAAAACATTCCAATATTGCTGGTCAATCCTTATGTGGCATATATCTGCATGTACAAAGACAATAACAGGATCATAGAGAGCACAAACCACAGATTTTTAAGCCCAAAATGGAGAGTGTGAGACACACAATTACTGAGCGAGAAGAGATATATTTTGAATGCAAGTCAATAGGAGCCAGAGCCAGTTGGAGCCAAACTTCTTCTATGAGCACTTCCCTAGTGGGCTTCATTGAGCTAGGGGGTCGTCTACTTATGTGCAGTCTATGATTATTACCTATTATTTGACCATTTCAAAAACACAAAAAAAATATTTGAAATATTAGCCAGATCGGCCAGCCCCACGTCCAGATATTTAGTATACAGCACACGCCCACATACGGGAACAATAACTGGTTTTAACCTTTTGAAAGGCCTGAGTCACTTAAAAGTGACGTAAAGCTGTGGTAAACATAAAGCCAGTAGATATTCATTCAAATAGCATATATTCAAAGTCAATTTAAGCACATAAGGTAAATATTGAACAGTCTATTGAAGTGAATCATGGCAACAATGATCTGCATCAATGATTAATAGGTTCTACAGCGGTTAAAAGCACTGTTTAATCCAACCCGGGCTCGCAAAAGTTACACATTGGCTACATTTGCGGTGGTGCGGCTAATCTTCGTAATAAGGAGCACTAGACAATGGCCTTTGACTTGCTGCCTTCACCTCTTGCAGGCAGCAGGGGCACCAGCAGGACACGCAGCGGAAGGGCCTGATGAGACGGATCACTTCTCGGTCCATGTTGTCCTTGATCTTCATGTCGAAGCTGCGCAGGGAGCCGCAGCAGTTCCTGGTGCAGCAGTCGTTCTTCTCTTTAGCCTTGTAGAGCTTTTGGCCCAAGCTGTTCTTTATCTCATACTGGTTATTGGTCTCAAAGCCAATAAAAGCTGGGTGGGGACAGAGAACAAAGAAAAACAGTGAATAAGCACATATGTTCATACAGCTGAAGGCAAAAAGAAAGTTAAACAGTGTTTCTTTACTTTGTTGATTATATAGTCAAAACAACAACACGTGACGGAGAGAAGAAAACAGACTTTACCTTCTAAGAGTTCCACTTTTTGATGAATTAGGATTTGGTCAATCTATAAACCAGATACATTCTGTTAGTGTACAGTTGTATTTAGTTGCGGCTGCCAGAGTTCAGAGCCAAGTTCATATTTGCAATTCAAAATACCTCCTCTCATACACGGAAAACAAAAATAGACTTCGAGCATTAAAGAATCCTGAACAAATAAGCAGCGTTATCCACAAAGACGTAAAAGCTCAGGGTTGAACTCTAATCTACACAGTTTGTTTGAGAACGTATTTGAATAGAATGCATTAGTCAAACTGTAGTGTGGTTTAACATAGAAACTGTAAAGGACAAATATGAACATACAGCAACAACTTTCTGAAACATGAGATATTTTAGAATTGCTATAATAATGAGGGAATAGCAAGTACAAGCATGTGTTTGAAAATCCGTTGCTCGAGTCCAACTTGTTTATTTGAAGAGGAACACAGGTTTTAATAGAAGAATAAATGAAAGGTAAAACTTACTTCTTATAATCAAATATACAAGACTACCTAGAGTTATACCACGTTTGCTGTGGGGCTGACCTGTGTGAGGTACTCCAGTCCTGGTGGGACGCCCACAGGAGCCACCCCGTGGGCTGGAGAGATCCCTCCAGGAGGTCCTCCATACTCCGGCCCTGGCGCTGGTCCTGCTGGTCCCACAGGTCCTGGCGCTGGTCCTGCTGGTCCCACAGGTCCTGGCTGGTACATGACTGGAGGAGGACCTTGGCTGTAGCCCATGTTAAAGCCAACGGGGGGAGGGGCTTGTTTGGGATCTCCATAGCCCTGCTGAGGGACTGGGTAAGGTGCAACGGAGTGGCCAGGAGTTGGGTAAGGACTTTGTCCAGGAATACTGGGGTAGCCTGCAAAAGTCAACAACAATTAGACGGATGTAATCTGAAAGTTTGTTTTATTTTATTTTTTTATAGCTTTGCATGAAACAAAGATGAAAAATAATTATCTGGATTTACCCAATGTGAAAACATTACATAAAAAGTCAAGGGCGGATAATTCTGTGAAGTATGTAAATAGTATGTAAATAGATGCATCGCAACAGTTACAATAATGTAAAAAAAATCTCTCACTCTTTCAGCCCATAATAAAGCTGCCTCTGTTGTTTGTCAGTTCATTATAAATAAATAAATATGTAGTTTTGAGATTACATGTCAGGAGTAAACACTCTTTCAATCCTTTTAATAGAGCATATACACAAACTAATATACAAAATTCAGTTTTGGTTTGCATGTTGACAGTCTCTCGTGTTCCAATCATTCGAATAAAAGTAATATCCCTGGTGTGTGGTAATAAGAACGTACTGTAACTCTACTGTAGTATTACTCTTTTCAGGAAACATTTTATAAAAGTCTTGTGCCAGTTCGTCATGAAAACCTGGCCCGACTGGTTTTGGTCACTCCAAACGTTTTTTCTATCTGCCCTGGGAGCTCAACATAGTCATTGTCAGGCCATCGGAAAAATCAAATATCATGGCCTCACTAAGAATCCTTTTATGAGCGCTTTCAGGAAATATTTCAGTCAAGCAAGCAGAGGCAGGCTGGTACCACACTGTTTACAGACCCAGCTTTCACCAAACACATCTTACACAGCGCATTAGGGACTGACTTACTAAGGTGATTTTGAAAACATGTCAGGAATGTTTCTACACTCGTTTTTAAGAGGTGTATCATTACATGAAGCCCCCTGAGATTCCAGTGGAGAGGTTGTCCTTTTAGCCTATTAATAGAGCATATAGGTAGACAACATGTGTACTGCATTTACAATACTGTACAGTCGGGTCCACAGATAAGAAATGTAATCTACTTTCCAACAATAAATCTCTTACCAGGACCGGACATGATGAAAGTTGGCTGATTTCACCAGAAGCAAAAGCAGGTCAGACTTCCTTGTCCACTCCCTTGGTCTCTATGGGCAACTGAGAAACTTAGAATGAGGACTGGGAGTGGGAGCTGGACACTCAAAAACAACATAAAAGGAAATCTAAGAGCAATATACAGGCTTCATGACTCAACGTGGCCACTTTATAGCTTTTTCTAGAACTGATTACTTTATAACAAGCAATTTAGTCATGTTTTAACTTGCTTTGACAATCCTACTCATGTGATGTGATGTGATGTAATGAACACAATACAGCGTCATTTTCTCTTTGTCCCAAATTAGTATTTTATTATTTTATTAGGGGACAATCCTTGGAAGGAGAGGTGTGGCCTAGAGATTCTGAACGCGGGACGAGCATTGCAGGGGGATGGTCACTGCCAACCACTTTTTCCATCTTCTTTGGAAGATAACAAGCACGTTTTTGTAGTTAGAACCCACGCACACGTCACCAACTTTTAAAAATACTTGTAAAAACCATATTCACGACTTGTAGACATTAGACTTTTCTTGCCTCAAAATCTTTCTTGACAGTGACGTCATCATACACAAAGCAACATCTTACCTTCAGCTGAATATTTGACGCGTCAAAGGTTAGTTTGGTGAATGTATAATGGTGAATCCAAACGTAGGAGATACAAGTGTGTGTTTTATCGTCTTGTTGCCTGTAGCCTCTCTAGCAGCGCTGTGGCTTTCGCTCCGCCTTAAGAGCGTTTCCCCATTTCCTCCTCCCTCTTGTTTTCACTGGGGCTCAGAGACAGTCATGGATCTGACCCGCACAGACCGCTGGGAACTACAGTCGTTATGGTGCATCCTAGTATTGCCAATATATGCAAAACTTTATTTAGCTATATTATATTGCCTAACCTCACCTACACCGATGTGTTTGTACAAGCACAACTGGATGTTTCTCTTTTTACTATCTATATTAGTTGTTTTGTTAGCCTATTTGTATTTTTTGTGTCCTCTGTGGGAGTGAGGGGAGGGGGGTAAAATAATGTATCTCTGGCTTCATTATTTTTCTGCAGGTCCGATGAACTTATTTACAATCACCGCAAGAGGGTTCTGTTTTTTTGTGTTTAAAAAAAAAAAAAAAAGAATAAATAAAAACTAAATAGCAGCACATAGTATTATTTAATCAGTCACCAGCACAAACATACTGTAGGCGTAGAAAAAGAACGCTATGAAAAGATTCTGTGCAAAAAATATATAAAGTACAGTAACTTGGTACTTATAACAACTCATTTGTTTAACTATTTAGTTCACACTGTGAGTCACTTCTCCACAGATAGAGATAACAGTGATGTGTTCTGGTAGGACCACAGATAGAGAAAGTGAATAAAGTTTCTGTGCTTCACAGCCTGTCATTGATGACAGCTGATGGAATGTAAACATAACATCTTTGTTCCTTCTACCTGCTGTGTCTGAGGGTGGTGTTTGCTGTAATGCCTTGTTCTTATACAGCACCAAAACCTGGGTGGGGGCATAGGAAGCACGTGCCCAACAAACATATTTTTACAGACTGGTGAAAAAGAGATTTTGATCTTAAGATACTACTCCCATAAACAATGCTCAATTTGGCAAGTTTGGCATTGAAAGCTATAAAATCACTATATAATAGGCAATCAGTGAATCCAATGACTGCAGCCTCAGGGGCTCTGTTGCTGCTGCTTTAATCAGTCTAGCCTGTCTGTCCTCTCGCTGACTTGCTGCCAGTCTCCCCATAGTTTATTTATACTCGCCTGATCTATCACCACTTGGTTTGGTGCCCTCTCCCAAAATAGAGACAATTACAAACGGGCGGGAAAAAGGAAGAGTGAAAACATGTTCAAAGTCTCATGAGCTTGGAGCTCAATGCCGCCCACCGTAATCAATCTCTCCATCCATCTAATGATCACAGCATTACTGTCAAGAAATTAGTCTTTTTCTTCATGTATCTGATTCTGGATAGTTTGTTCCTTTTGCATTTGTTCAAGAATATAATTACTCCATTCATATATATTATATTTTCTATTGATTTTTTCATCCCTATAGGAATATTCCTCAACTTTGATCTTTCTGAAACGTATGGATTTCTGTTTTTCTTTATTTCATTTAAGAGAATCTATGGAGAGACCACATTTCCCAGAGGAATAGATTCCATTCATTCAACTAATTTAACAGTTAAGATACCAAACCAATATGGAAAAACACATTGGATAAATATAGTGAAGTATCCAAATTTTAGAACATAGAAAATATTTTGCATGGCCCATACCTGTATGTAAATCTTATCCCAGTAACTTCTTTTCCTTGTACACGTGGCGTAGCCAAGTTTCAAGTTTCAAGTTCATTATTGTCACAAACACCTGACATGCAGAGAAATTCTTCCAGCTCCTTCCAGCAGATATATAATGATTCAGAACATTCAATAAGAGTAAAACACAACGAGTTAAACCTGATTTAACGGTCTTATAGCTTTGGGATAAAAGCTCCTTCTCATCCTAACAGGGATTGGGACTATGCCACCTGACGCAGACATCAAACGTTTTATCCTGATGCCATCTGAACCCATTTCATTGCGTCTGCAGGCCACAGACGAGGGCGTGTAGTCGCTCATTGTGTTTATGTCCGTGCGACGTGTGTTGAGACATGTTGTCACCAGCGCACACACAAAATCTTAAGGAGTTGGAGAGATTTGACCAGAGTTAATGGAGCACAATGCAGAGATGTAATCGTATCTGAAGTCACCACCCCAGACAGACTGCTTATAAGGCCACGCATGAAGCCAGAGAGGACTCCAGCATCTTCAAGGCTCAAGAGGAGAGGACTTTAGACGTCAAAAGGTGAGCATAGTTTATACTTTAATACTGTTTATCATGTTATGTTATCTTACTCTCAAACCACCGCTATGAGCTATGCAATGAAATCCATCTATGAAGTGTATGGTTATCACACACGCATGTACAAGCTGAACAAGCTGGTCAGGAGGGCCAGCTCCACTCTGGGCTGCCCCCTGGTCTCTGTGGAGGAGGTGAGGGACAGGAGGGTGCTAGCCAAAGCCACCTTCATCATGAACAACACATCCCACCCACTGCACAAGGCTGTAGAGGAGTTGAGGAGCTCCTTCAGTGGAAGACTGAGGCACCCTCAGTGTAGGAAGGAGCGCTACCGCAGGGTCTTTATCCCCACCGCTGTCAGACTGTACAACAAGTCACTTTAAGTCACTGCATTAAAACTGAAAAAACCTGCACTACTATTGACACTGTTTCTTGATTGCCACTTTTTAAAATGCAACTTTTATTGTACATAATATATCCTACATTTAACATGTTTGCACATTTATTTTTTTTGCACAATCTTGAGGGTTTCTATCCATGTCAGATGTGACATGTAAATGTCCCCTGTGTGAGATCAATAAAGTATATCTTATCTTATCTTATTTGCTAACAATAATAATAATAATGCATCAGTTTTAATAGCGATTTCTTTGACACTCAAAAACGCTTCACATTTGCGTTCATTCACACCATGTACGATGGTGACAAACTACTACTGTAGTAGTTTGTCACCACTAAGGGCAGCCACAGCTGCCCTGGGACACACTAACAACACACACACACACCAGACACACTCATCGTTGATCAGCTCTCATCCCAAATTGTCAATGAGGCAGATAGGGCTTTCCCCCCTTTTTTTCACAACTGTGCAAAATATACAATGTTTTCTAATTGTGATCTGATTTGTCATCAATTTACTTTTAAGACACCTTCTGACTAACATGTTATATTTATGGTCGGGCTAATATGTTTCTCCTATACATATGGTTCTAGTACATTATTTGACTTATTCCTGTGTGTTTATAGATGCTTTGCACTAGGGTGGTAATGTTACTGCTGACTTTGCACTGGTTGATGGAAGAGATACGCGCTGCTGCTGTGATGACTGAAGACACAAGGGTAGGTCTTTAATTAACATCATTATTTCCAATGCAGAACACTGTAAGGATTTTTTTGTTGGATCAACTTGCAGGATCTGGAGACTTTGCCACAGCTCAACTTGGAGGGGGAATTATCCACAGGTGATGGAGCAGAGGTAGACAGTGCAAATGGGCAAACCCAGATTGAGACTCCAACTCAACAGCCTTCAACTCCCCAAAACCGGTTTCAGTACGTCCGCAGAACCAATGAGAAAAGGCATGTATTTACAGTAGCTAACATAATGTAGCACTGTAATGTTGATGAAGGATTTGCGATTGGCCTATACAGGAGGTGTCCAAGCAATGGGCCACACACTGGTGGGAAATCATGTGAATTAATAAATAAGTAGCATTATTCAGTGTTTCATCATGAATGACAAAAAGCTTGGTATAATACAGTCCATAAATGTTATAAAGATACTTTTTTTTTTCTCAGATAACTTGGTCTTAGGGCAAATTATGATTTATTTATGGATAAATGGAAGAACCAAACAAGGAAACAGATCAGTAACATTACCAGGACCATTACATTTTCTTCTAAGAGTCTGAAGTGGGAATGCACCCTGACAAAGCTTTGTTGAGGTGCACTATTGCTATACCAAACGGATGACTTTAAATCAGTGGTCTCAAACAAGCAACCTGTGGGCCATTTGCGGCCCCCTGGTGGCCATCAAATGTTAATACCAGCGCGGCCCCCACTGAGAGTGTGTGCAAACATGGCATGTAATAAATCTTTTTAAAGCTAATTTTAACAAGACGACAACCAAGCCATTTATTTTAAAAATGTAACCCTGAATGCAATAATCAAAGTCAATATTAATCAAACCCAGCCTCATTGCTGTTTGTTTCAAGAAATATAAAAATCATCAAACTCATATTCAATTAAAAGTAATTATTTAGTCAAAAATACCTTCATGTTTAAAAAAAAGTCATAGATACTAAAAATGAACCATAAAACTGTCTTGTCTTTGTCTGTTAGTAGCCCAACTTTCTCTACTGTTAAAATGTTACAGAATGAGACGATGGAAGTTAGCAGATATTGTATTCATCCAGAAGATACATTGCGTGAGCAAAGTAAAATAGTGTGTGTGATTTTAGTGGTTTGATTCTGTCTTTGCGTGTGCATCGATCTGTTTGCGCCAATGTTCAATGTTCTTATATTTTGCACACAAAACACGTGACAAACACAGAGTTGACCCCTGCTTTAAATAACACGGTGCCTTTGTGTCTATAGAAGAAAAGTCGCTCCTCTTGATTCAATTGGCCGGTTTAAGATGTGAAGACTGAAAAGCAAAAGGTATGTATTTAAGAATAAGTATGAGGAGTCTCATGCAATTTGCATAATGCCTTCGCTTTCATTGTTGCAGAAGGACAAGTTGATGCCTCCAGAGTCCAGCCTAGAGTCAAGACTATGGTCTAAAAGGCTCCCTCTAGTGGAGACAGCAGATATGAGGCAGTCACGATTTGTGCATCAACATAAAACAAAAAGTTTAACGTTAGTCTTCTACTTTGGTTTTGAGTAAATCAAAAAAATAAACAATTTACAGATCTTCCCAGTTTTTTTATTTCTCAAGCTACATTTAAAGAAAACAATATCAGACTGCAGAAAATATAGAATTTGCTTGGGTAGTTTTATCTTCACTTTCACATATGTACAGTTGTCAAAGAACAAAATATTTACAGAGGATCCAAGTTGAGAGTGCAATTGCTACTAGAGACTCCTCAAATCTCTCCCAACAGAAATGTACACAGTTAAATCAAATATAAACAAGAATACTGCCACCAACGTGGCAGCAAATCATAGTATATACATGACTTTGTTCTCCTTCGAGACAGATCCATGAGACAGATCCATCTCATACAAACATAACATAATCGGCTATTCTTTGTCAGATCTCCCTGCTGCCACACCGCTTACCTTACATCCTCTTGTCTTTCAATAAACAAAACACAAAATTAGACATAACTGCAATGAATAGTTTGCTATTAAAAAGGTAAGGAGTAATAAACCTGCAAGAAACATTAAGCGCTCAATAATAAGTGTATAGGTGCATGCCTTTTACAGCTTGAACTGCAGTTGTAATCCTCAGTGTGCTTCTGAAAGAATATTTGGGTTGATTTTAAAAGTGCTATACTGAAAAACGTATGACAGCTAATGGGCAGCAATACAGATACAAACGCAGAAGAAAATTAGTGAACAAGCTGGAGGTGTCTTCGGTGATCCCCACAGATAAGGAATCAAGCAAACTCATAACGAATCCCCGAAAATACAATCAAAGCAAATCTAGCTGCCTGCCTAGAATTGAAACTCAAAATCTGATCAAATAAAGTTACATTTTCTAAACATAACCATTTTGTAAAACCTCCACTGATTGAAGTTAATATTCTATGAACTGAAAGTAATACAAGCTTGAAGGAAATTAACAAATGTGTCTATTGTTTCAATGTTAAGCAAATTTAAATAAGTGTATGGCGTATGATTATTACAATTTGGATTTGTTCTGCAACAATTTAATTTCCTTTGCCACTGTCGGCTTCTGTCCAATATACACAGTACCCAAAAGGAAAAAAAAAAAAATCTAACTAAAATGTAAAAGATAAATAAGAACGATTGTCAAATTATTTCCTACAAACTGACAATTATGTTAACATTTAGGTCATAACTCAGGCTGTTTTGGCTGTAGGCATACAAGAAGTTAAACAGAAAAGGACAGAGAAAAACAGCTCCCCTGTCCTCATCAGTTCTAGGTGTCCTTTTTGTGTCCTGATCGCCGTGTGTCCCTGCACTTATGGCAGTAAAAGATGTCGGGAACATTAGACTTCTTGATTTTCGCACAGGACAAGTGCACCCATATGCTGCACTGGTTGCATTCAATCATTGGCCGCCCAGCAAATGGTTTTCCACAATAACAAGTGATTAAGTCCCAAGAATCATCGCCTGAAAATAGAAAAAAAAAAAAAAAAAAAAATGAAACATTTGAGCTACTCCTTAAGTTTATAAAAGCTTCTGTGTTTAGAATACACTGAAAGTTATTAATCTTAATACTTTGTAAATACCTGATTCAACCATAATATCTTCGTCTGCAATCCAGGTCTCCCCCTCACTCGAGCTGACTTCTGCGTCCCTCAGAGACTCGTCTGTCCTCGTCTTGCCCATACTGCCCGGTGTGGATGCAGAGTGTGCATTCAGCTCATCTCTACCAAGTTGCATGTCAGTGTCCATCTGATTCGGCCCTGCACTCTTAAGTTTCTTGGCTTTTGGCTGTTTGGAGTTTTTACTGCGTTTGATGCGAGCCCTCTTTTCACTTTCACTGCTGCCACTGTCTACTGATGTCATGGCGGACCCTAGAGACAGTTTTTTAAGTTTTTTCTCCTTTTTACGCTCTGCTTTCGAGCTGGACTGGCTCTCATACAGGGAGTCTTTGAGGCGCATCTTATCCAGTAGAGTGCTGTCCGAGTGCATACGACGTATGTTTTTGCCTTTGTTGGCGCGTGCTTTGCGGACAAAAGTATGAATTGTGTGAATGTCAGAACTTCCGTCTGTCCATGGGTTTCCCATGGAGCTGCTGCCTCCGCCGCCATCTGCTGATAAACCCGAACTGTGTGCAGAGCTGGATGATGTGGGGGACCATGAACTCTCCTGTAACAATAATTCATCATGATAAAACTTATTATGCTTTCTTTTGGTCGTTAACACTAGCTTACAACTGTATCCAGTTTACCTCTTTTGGACTTGGGATGTAACCAGCATATGCCAGGACAAAGCTGCAGAATTTGTTAAAGTCCTCAACAGTTCTCTTTTTCTTCTCTGGAGGCTTATGAAAACACAAAAAGTTTGATAAAATACATAGAAGAAAATAATCTTAATACCATTTCCTTAATTGATTAAAACAACTTACCAAGGGTTCTGCTTTGCACGTCAACAGTGATTCTGTAGAAGAAAAGCAAGATTATAGGGTTACCCATGCTGAAAGATTCAAACATCCATTCAAAAGAAATCCGTTACTACACTGACAGAGTAATCACACCTGAATGCAAGAGGGAAGTCCTGGTTAATACTCTGATGGGAGACTCCTTGGAAACCAGTGCCACAGAGGGACAGCTGTGTTGTGCTAAACTGGCTTTGTTTACTATGTAGCAGTGTTACTCGTCGGTGGTCAGAGGGCTCCGATTGGTAAACTTGCTAGTTGCAAGTAGTTTACAACATATGGAATGCATGAATAGTGCCATGTAGAGATACTTTTGCTTTTATATGAATGTAAGATATACTCCGTTCGCCCCATTGGAAAATGTGTTTGATCTCTACTTCTCCCATGCCACTAGAGCAACCTGTCAAGAGCAGTCAGCGCGAGTTGATGATGCTGGGCTTGGTCAGGACGACCGGAGCGGGAGGATAATAATAATGTTTTGGTGGTGAGGGCAACCGGAGTGCCCGGAGGAAACCCACTGAGACAAGGAGTCAAACCCACGAACTTCTTGCTGTGCCGCCATATGTTAGCAACTTATCAGTATTGTCTGTCCTATCTAGCTTGACATGCTACTGCAACTGTTAACTGCCTCATCACTAAAGGACAATCAACAAAACTAACACCCAGCAATCAATTTACAGGCACTTTATAGCGTACTTTACTGAATTTTCACTTCACTTCATATTTCGTTAAACGGAATTACATTAACTACCGAGAACAGACAACTTTATGAGAGCTAACTAGTTAGCGCAGGCTAACCAAAGAGCGTTAACTAACGTTAGCTAGTGTACTTTTAGTTGAGTCTATTGATCAGACCTCTTCGTTAATACAAACGCATATCCCGTTGCAGATTGCAGTAATTAGACCTTACACCTTAATAAAGCCGTTTTACGCGCTCAAAGCTAATCTGAATTCTCAAGTAACGCTATGTGCTAACAATCAGCTATAAGCTAATGATAAAAGCGTCACAAACGCGGCTTTCCAAATCACACCAGTGAATAAACAGCCCAACAATAGAATAAGAACAATCTTGAATTATACACCACGTTATTGGTGTGTGATGATAATAAGTAATTGACAAGCAACGCTTTTGTTGAGATGTTTGCTCTACATTATTTGCCGCTGTCCGATGGCTCGGCGCGTTCATAGACATTACACTGCAGACTGTGCATTCCAAGTGCATCATAAAACAAATGCAACAATAACTCCGAATCTGAAGTCTTCAATCATGTATCAAATACAGATTTAATGTATGGTCAAATGTACCATGCGCCATCAGCGTTAGCCATTAGCATTAGCTCCCTCCGCAATAGACCCAAGACAATACTCTGTCAGCGTAGAAAGTGTTGTAGCAAAAAAAACACAATACACTCGTGTTGGTAAATTGACATGGCATACCTTGGTGTTCCGACATTATGTCAAGCATTGTCGTCTTCCCTACTCAGCCCGATGTGGGGAGAGCAGCGGGAGGCAAGCTCCAGCCGGGAGCGGTGTGGACGTCGAATTTCCCCCGGTGTGTCTTCACTTCACCGGACAAATGAAGCAACCGAACGACTGCACAAATATAAGACCTTCAAGTTCTCAAAAAGCCTCTTCCTCCTGTGCTTCCATCAACAGCGCCTTGTCGCCAGTGTCCCTATGCCGTAAACATATTAGCGGTGACAAAATACTAATTCCTCCACCGCTTAACATGCAGCGCTTCTCCGTCGTCACTGCATTTATATAACCATCGGCAATAAACCACGATAGAGTCTTTAAACACGCAAGATCCGCGAGATCGGTGTTATATTTGGTCCAAGAAGAAAACTTTTAGGTAGTTCTACGCAACGCTGTACGCACACTAAACGACTGGAGTTTTGACTTTAATTCCGCTCAGTCTGGTCTCTGCGCGGTAGAAGCTTCTCCAGGATGCCAGCGCAGTGCTCTCAACAGGGCATTCTGGGAGATGTAGTTTAGGATGGCACATTAACCGTTTAATATGTCGAGCCTACAACTACATCACCCAAAACGACAAATTGGGTATGAGAAAGGGTCCTCTGGGAAATGAAGTCTTTCGTTCACAACCCGTCCGTCCCTCTTGGTAGCATCTATGGGTAGCATGCATACCGTAGCATGTCGTGCTAGGCTTCAGAAGAATGTTGTGCTCTGAACTTTTGTGTCTGTTAATTACCTTATATGGTAAAGAAATCTATATAAATATAATCGACGTGTTATTATCGTGATTAATGGGTTGGATGACAAATAATTTAACTAAAGCTATCTAACGTTAGTTGTTTCGTGGTCGATAGCATGTTACTTGAGCTTCTGCAAGGAAGTGATTCGGGAGGAATCCTACTTATAAAAGGTATATCATCATTGTTTTGTATCTGACCTAAAACCATACTTATGGTTAACGATAACCCTTTTGAATATTATAAAAAAAATGAATGAATTTTGTTTACTTGACAGACAGGGCCCATTGTTCTGGGAGAAATCTACTGAAAAGTTTTATCAAAGCTGCATTGCACAAGTGAGGAAGACCGCCATACCAATGTATCAAGTTAAGTATAATCAAGTATGATTGATAAACGTGTGCTTAATATTGTAAACAGGGAGGAAGAGGTCCACGTACTTCTGTTTGAAGTTAGCGACCAAGAGCTGAAATCTGGATTAAAAGATATTACACTTCAAAGGTACTTGAAAGGATCACTATAACTAACAATATGAATATTTTATATTACAATTACAATGCAGCTTTTGTCCCTCTCAAAAGGTTACACATCCATAATATGTATGACGACCCCCTTGGCTGGACAAATAACACTGATTTTGTAGCTCAACACTTCAGTTTTAATTACATTGCAGACATATTAAAACTGAATTCTCAACAAAAAACTTTAACATTGGTAGTAGACTCCCTTTCCTGGATTTTAAGGCATATTTGTACTACCTATGTTTGTACTACACTTCATCAACTAAATAAAGGTAAATCCCTTTCACGAAAAAGCTAAAATATTTGTTAAAATCAATTACATTATTGTTTTTTTAGGAGGAACGGTTAAAACCATTATGGGTTTACTCCATGTTGATATGCATCAGAAAGGTACTGTAGGAAGTGTGTGTCATCTTGCCACTTCACTCATCTCTTTAGCACCTGGCAACAGGAGTGACAGTTGTGTTGCAAAGATAACAAAACGTACAAAATCTGGTAAAGTCCTGCAGGAAGTGAGTATTCTTTATAACTATATATTTTTCACTTTTGTTTTAATTAATCATGAGTGCATATTTCAATAGGAACAGCCATTTTGCATCAATGAAGATTTATCAATAATAGTTCTTAACAAATCCTCAAATATGGAACAAACTGTGCAGGAAGAACATCAGGTATGCTATTTTTAGTTTCTATGTATATAATGTTTGTTTCAATAAACGTATTTGTATAATTCAGTAATATGAAATCTTTCCAGATTGACCCAACTGTAAATTTGACATTCAACCTACGTTTATCTGACAAAGAGCGTGAAGCAAAAGAGAAACTTTTACTACCCTATATGTTCAGCAAGGACAAGTCAGACATCTTCACAAATGTTTTATGTAAGAAAACAACTTGTTATAGCTTTATTTCTTTGTTACAGAAAAACGGCTCTTCTTTACTCTGGTTCTGGTTCTGGACGAATCTTGTATGAGCCTGATGCTAATGATGACTATGACCAGGAAGACCCAGATGATGATCTGGATTTTTAACGTTTTTGTCCATATAATTTGTATCTACAATCTTTGATGAAATAAACACATTTTCACACTTCGTGAGAGGAATTGCCGGTTATTCATACCATACATTTATATAAAATAATACGTCATCTTTAAGATGTTAAATAAACTAGTATGTACGTTTGCGTACAATAAACATATTTAATATTAACCCAATAATTTAATGACCATAATACTATACTTGCGCGCGCGACTGTTTATTTTCAGCACACGTGGACGTGCTGCGCGCGACCAAGGGAATTCTTGCGGAAGTGACGGCAGGGCGACATGGCGGCTCGCTGTTTCATTCCGGATTTCTACTGGACTACAAAATAATTTTACCCGGACCGGCTACACTTTGAGGATCTTCGACTTAGTATTCCTCCACAAACGCCACAAAGAGCCGGCGCGTTGCAACAGGACCTCACTGGGAAGAGTGTGGCAGCATTTCCTGATAATTTTGACAAAGGTTGAAGGTGGTCACCCTGCTTGTCTGTCGAGCTAGCGGCGGCTCAGCTACAGGCTAAACGCTGCCTGTACATTGCTAGCGTGGGAGCTGCGTGCTAACTTCACACAGCACCAGTCGTTTTTTTCTTTCGCTCACATTTTGGCCACGTTTCTATTTAACAGTAGCCATGCGGGTGCCCTTTGTTTAATGCAAGTTGTGCCACAAGTGTGCAGAGCGCTGGACTCACACGTTTGCTGGCCTCTTCAAATTGGACTGCTAGTTTGGCTAAAACTGTGGCTAAAACAGTTTTAATCAGTTCATATTATTATTTGAGGACTCTGTATTCCAACTACCAACACCAAGGACTTTCGTAATAGTTCGGTGCTTTGGGGTCTTTGGTGCAGTTCATCATGCTGAAGACCCGGCAGTGTTTACTTGGCATCCGCACTTTTCTCGGCGTTACGTCCAGAATATGGGGCTTCATCATGTACATCCTCAGGAAGCACTTGAGAACGGTGAGATGGGGAAGAATTAACCTTCTCACAACACACACATTTTATGCTGTAGCAAATCTCGGATGTGGTTTGTTCACGCTGTGCATTATGAACTTTTAAAAAGCAAAGATACAAGTGACACATTTCATTTAAAATCCACTGTATTAAGGAACATTATGTAAAACTCAATCCAAGCAATGCACAATCTGGGTTTATCTCCATATTATATTTACTGTATATGACTTTGACACTGTGTAGTTCATTCAGTGTAATGGTGTAATTCGAATGGACTTCGGCGTTGACTCTGTCAACCCAAAGCTTAAAGGAGGGACCTGTAGTAATAATCTTTCTTGAGTTTATTGCAGGCAGTAACACTTGCAGGCAGTCCACAGGCCTTAGATTTAGGACTTCAGTCACCATTGTGGCGGTAAATTGGATTATGTGGTGTACACAGAGCTCTGTGTTCTCAACACATTCTGTTGTTTTAGGTCTGGATATATTTAAATTTTATTGTATAGATTGACCTCTGACTTAATTAATTAGGCATCATAAAACGTGTGGCATTGCTCATTAAAATGTTATCCTTCCATTAATCCTTTTTTTTAAATCCACACAGACAGAAAAGCATAGTGTCCTCCTGATCCAGACATTTAAATTGTAATTCACTAAAGCTCTACTGGATTACAATTATTAGGCCAGTCATAATCCTTACCTGCTGCTTTACGTAAACACCATGAGATGGTTATTCATTAATCCATCACTGTTGCTTAATGCTCACTTGTTTAGCCCTTTATTAACGGTGAGGTATAAGGCATACTTGTTTCACTCTTTCTGTGTCATTATGACTCAAAACCAACTGCTTGTATAAATCATGAAACATTTCTTTCTATTTAATGTTATGGTTTTTAAATTGATTGATTTTATGATTATGGCAAAGGATGTAATCAACAATACAGGTGGAACTCAGAAAATTAGAATATTGTTAAAGTTCATTTATTTCTGTAATTCAACTTAAGATATAGAAATATCATACAGACTTATTACATGCAGAGTGACCTATGCCAAGCATTTATTTATGATTTTTATAATGGCTTACAGTCTATGAAAAACGTTTTTAAATTTTTATTTTAAAATACAATTGAGGCCAATTGTAATTTATCTCACTTTGCATGTTACGAGTCTACCCTATATTAGTTTCTCGTTGTTAGTTCAATTACTTGAGTAAATGTACTTTTGTACAACGTTCTAATTCAGTTTTTTCACCTGTACGGATTCTTTTCTGATTTGCTCATTTAGGATCTGAGCAAATGTGTTTGAAAATGAATGAATGAATGGAAAGTGGAAGAGGCTTTTCTCTGTTGGCCACAGCTGCTGACTCCGATAGGGTTTCCCAAGTGTGTTCTTCAGACCTGACTCAAAGTCACCCTGCAAGTCTCCCTCTCTGCCCCATGCTCTGCTGACACCCACTGACAGCTGGAGGGGTAAAAATAGTCCTGTAAAGAAAAGGTCTGCCTATGACCGAAGGTGTTAACGCTGCCCATTTTGAAGTTGATGAAGCATCTAGTTCTTCAAATCTTTTGTTGGGTCATAATCAAATGCACGTATTAATTGTGCAGTGTACATTTATTAAAAACAACACAGTACACATTTCTGAAATGATTATTTTCCAATCTTCATTCTTGTGTTTTATTGTCTCTTCCAGATAATCCAGTATCAAACAGTTCGATATGACATGTTGCCTTTGTCTCCAATCTCCAGAAACCGACTCAGTGAGTACAAGCATGTTAGCTCCATGCTCTGTGTGGGGCAGCAGGCACCCATGCTTGTATTGTGTACTTAATGTACGCTGCAGAGTTCAAGTCAAACCAGTCTATCTGGGATGAAATGATTGTGTCAAATGGCCACATCAGTGCTGTCCAACCTGGCCTCTTTTCCATACCACTGAGCAGCACAGTAAATTCATATTAAAAAATAAATAATAATAAGAGCCCACTTTCACTCCTGCTAAAACAAAATCTGGAAAAATACATTTGCACTAAAGTCTTATATTGTTGGTCGGTGCCATTCCAAATAATAAGAGTTGCCAATAAGCATTAAACGTAATGCACAATGAATGGTTATACATAAAAATCCACATAATGTTCCCCTTTGTTGACCAACTATAGATGCAGTAAAGCGGAAGATCTTGGTCCTGGACTTGGATGAAACACTTATCCACTCACATCATGACGGGGTCTTACGGCCCACAGTTAGACCAGGCACACCTCCAGACTTTATTCTTAAAGTAAGAACAGATGTGACATATGCCTACTTGTTTGAACCTAATGCTCTTAAGTAAACTTTGTCTTTACTTGCAGGTAGTCATTGATAAACATCCAGTCAGATTCTTTGTACATAAAAGACCTCATGTGGATTTTTTCTTAGAAGTGGTAAGTGTCACCACCTGGAGAAAAGTGTCTGAAAATGTGATTTTATTATGCTAATTATTTATTTTTCCACTTTTTATTCACATAAAATAACTTTTTTTGCTGCTCTAATTGTGTTGTTGTAAATAAGACCTATTATATTTGTCATTGGCACCCACTGCATTTACAACTAAATATCTCGTGCTTAGAAATGTAAACAAAGTTGATTTGTGTTAAATGCAGGTGAGTCAGTGGTATGAACTGGTGGTATTTACCGCCAGTATGGAGATCTACGGCTCAGCAGTAGCCGACAAGTTGGACAATAACAGAAACATCCTGAAACGCAGATATTACCGACAGGTTCGACATTTATGTTGCATTGTATTTTTCAAAGATTCAATTTAAGGCATTAAATTAAAAACTGTCCTTCTTTTACAGCACTGTACATTGGATCTAGGTAGTTATATTAAAGATCTATCTGTCGTCCACGACGATCTCTCCAGTATTGTCATCCTGGACAACTCGCCTGGTGCTTATCGCAGTCATCCAGGTCAGTTGCATGTTATTTATTTTTTGTCTTTGGTAGATTTTTATCATGAGAATGATGAATAGATGAGGCTTGTTGTCTCATTTGCAACACAGTGTATATAGGAATGTCCTTTTCTCTGGAATGTCTGACTAACTTCTTCTTCCTACAGACAATGCAATACCTATTAAGTCTTGGTTCAGCGATCCAAGTGACACTGCACTTCTTAACTTGCTGCCTATGTTGGATGCGCTAAGGTAAGATGCATATTAAGAATTTTCTTCTTTTGCAGACTTGCTGATACGTTTTGAAATTAGTCCAAGTCCTCTTTTTATGGAGATGAAAATTTCATAAATAAAACTAGCTTCCAAAAACCTGTACTTTAGTAAACTGTGAAACGAGGACATGGGTTACTTTGAGCAAAACTAAAAGGCCACTCTGAAGGCCCTGTCCATCTTGTTTAAGGCACCACAAACTGGAGGTCGCAGATAAGCAAGTGCTCCTTATTTATCATTTCTGAATGTATAAATTCAGCTTTGTAGTAGTTAATATTCCAATTGAAAACAAAAATAAAAATCTTGCTAGCTACTACTTGCTTAATTGGTACCTTAATGCAAGACAGCAGTTATGTATTGTACTTTATATAGGGAGGGGAAGGGAGGGGGGCTTGACCAGGCCCACCTACTGTATTTAATTCATGGATCTATAATAACTGGGTATTACTAGCTTATAGCTGTCCCACCCATGGGCACAGGGGGCGCCCGTGGTACTGCAGACTAAATTCACGTGAGCTACCCAGAAAAAAGTCCCATAGATCTCAATGTAAACTAAAACAGCTCGACCTCAGCTGACAGAGAACCTACAACTTTCATGAAGATCGTATTTTGTGTGGATTTTAGTGTCCTTTGTCATCCTGAACTTTTTTTCTTCTTAAAGGCGCTATACCCGTTTCTACAATGTTTGAATGTTTAGCACCGCCCCCCAACTCGCTCACATGCTTCTCATTTCCCCTACGCTCTCATAACACGGAGCCACCTAGTTTTATTTGCGATCTGATACTATGCTAACATTAGCATTAGCGCAACTTGTAAGCTGTGCAACAATCACTGATGAAATGGCACTAAAGCAACGCACTGCTAAATCAATATATAAGTAAAAGAATACCATTAGTTTCGCATCCAAATGTATTAATTTAAACATTAGAATATATTCTAATATTTAATTATAATTTATTATACAGCTCCTCACAGCAGCAGCACTCCATTGACTTGAATGCAATTCTTCCGATCATTTTTTCTTGATAACAGAACTCTCAAACCAATAATGACCGCAGCCCCAATGCAATTTCTGTTTGTAATTCAGGTGTGTAAAATACTGCCATTACTTTGCAAGTACAACAAGCTATCAGCGCCTGTCACTGCACTGTGCAGTTTTTCTGCACACTTGTCTGTGTAGAGAAGCTAGCGGAGCTAGCCACGCTCAATAAACAAATACATATCAATCAATCAACACCATTAACCGTCAATCGGACAATACAGTACACATATACATCCTTAACACACATGCACGGACGATTTCAGAATTTGCTGTCAACGTTTTCATGACAAAAATACTGTTTCAAGGTGACAAAAAGCGATCGCGAAAAACCCGGAAGTTACCATGAAACAGCTAGCTAGCTTAGCTGTTACCTGCCTAGCACGTCCCGGTGAAACCTTTGGGAGCTAACTATTTTATTTGCAGTCATTAAATACATTTCTAATTATAAGGGTTGTCTAATATTTGTTCAAATATGTATATATTTTTTATTTTAGAATTATATTCGAATTTTGAAGTGGAAGCCCTGGTGTTAAGCAGCGCTGTAGGGACTAGAGGACGCAGGCTGTTCGCTGCTCGTTCTGTGAGTGGAGGAGAACGTCCCGCTCAGACTCTACTCAGCACTTTTCACTGCCTGAATTTCATACATAGTGGAATCAATGACCTCAAGTTTTCAATTCAATTATGTATTATGATACAACTTGTATGTAGTAAAAAGCATTTTTATGAACTACTTAGAAAAAAAATTGGGTATAGCTTCTTTAAATCCTTCGGTTTTCTTTAAATCCACCTAAACTGCCACAAACTCTGCTCGTTTGGCGCAACGCATCATGGGCGATAATCCACTGCGCAGAACCGGGAGGACCAGACGGTGCCCAAATATAGCAGAGTTCCGCTGATATGTCAGCGCCCGTGAAGTCCCATGTGCTACTGAGCACAAGCCATTCATTTGAATAGGGCGCCATCTTGGATCACCGGGGCTTAATTTAATTATGCAGCCGATGTGCAATTTCTGGCCCTCGTCCATTATGTAAAAATCAGTGTATTTATTCAGAATATAAACAAGGATGGAAGATTCACATTATTACTGTCCTTCAGTTGAGCTCGAGTGTCCTTGATTGGTTCTGTTGGCTGTTTGGTTGAAGTCCCTTTTGAAGACAACAGACCCAGTCTCTCTTTCTTTTTGGGTCCAAATGGGTTTCATACACACAAACAACTTGAAAACAAATGCGTTTGAAAAAGATGGTGGAACTTTTGAGTGATTCTGTTTTTTACTTCCTATCGTTAGGTTTACCGCCGATGTCCGGTCTGTCCTCAGTCGAAACCTCCATCAACACCGCCTCTGGTGATGGGCGGATAAGAGAGGTGGTCTCTCTTCAGCTGGCTTCTATCCTGCCCTCCACTTTATCACAGACAACCCAAAAGCCCTGGTTCTATCTCCCAGGTTCACCCTGAGGGCAGAGTGCTGGAGCAAACCTAAAGACATGAACAATACGGGATCACCACAGCCCACAAGTGATTCTGGAGGGAGAAGCCAGTATTTTTTTTTTTTTGATTCTTTCGTATATTTTTTCAAAATAAAATGGGAGCCTCTTTGCCTTATAGCTCCTGATACTGACTGAGCGTTTGGAGGTAAGCTGGTGTATGCGAGTGCTTGCCGAGATTGATGGTCATTTTTTAACTTTTCTGACAAAAATCCACCCAGCAACATGGACTGAATTGCATCGTTCCACATCCCCAAATGTTGCACTTAAGCACACATTAACTGTCACAAATCAATTCATGGTTGAATAAATCAAGAATCAATTTATTGTATAATGGATCAAGACGTGCTTGCAACAAACATTATTGGGACAGCAGTTTTTCATTTCCAGAAGTTTCCCTTCCCAAGTGTTGTTCAATAAACCTAACATCAAAGGCTCCACTGAGAAGTTGAGAGGGATAAAACGCTTATATGTGGACTGCAGTGCTGTCTTCCATGTCTGAATTTTTCTCTTTCCCATTCTATTAAATCATTTTGACTTGAGTGCAAACCGTAACATTTCACTTTCCCATTTTTGCAATTTGAAGACATCCTGATTTACTCTTATTAAGAATTGCACTTAACTCTTAATTTCCAACATTGCAGGCTGTTATTTTTTGTATTACAGACTTGAAACTTCCCCAATTTAGTTTTTCTCAATTGTTCACATACTGTATTAGGCTTATGCCGTCTGAACTATGTCGGTCTCATTAAGGCTCTTCACAGCTTCTTATTGGCTCTGTCTCCTGGTCTGTGTTACTAATAAAACACTTGTCAGAATGACTCGATTTTTCATTAACGTTCTATTTAAATTTATTGTTTTACATTGCATGTTCTGGCAACCCTCACAGGCACTAATATGTGACAGTCAGTCCGTAGAGGAAAGGCCTGGTGCAGGACATAGAATAGTTTCGCTTTATTCAACAGCTGGGCATGACTGTGACAGACGACATGAGGTAAGTATCGAATTTTGATCACTGCCACCTCGTGGTGGTGAGTGGGAGAACAATTGAGTTCGTAATGTTGTTATAGTATTTGTGTTCTAACTTTCGTGTGACCAGTCAACATACCATTCATAATATCCGTATTTTGTCTTGTCACAACACCTCAATAGCCTGCAGTAATCAACTTTGATGCAGCATGCTGAGTTTTCTCTGCCTTGTTGGCTAACTGGGCCTCGGTCATATGACAAGGGCAGAGGCCGTTTCACGCCTTCGTCTCACAGCGCGAGAAGTAAACAAACATAAAAATATGACACAATACATTGGGGATATTTGCCCAAAATACACATGTGGTATACAATAAACACGTGTCTGCTTTTTCTACTTGATTGTTTGTCATATTATTGACGACGCCAAAATGTAAGCACCAGCTCACAAAGTAGATCTTACGCTACGTCACTATATTATTGTATCCCTCCGCCTCAGTCGCACAAGGAAAACAGCTGTGTAGCTAAGGCTAGTTAGCATCGTTTGTTTTTGTGGTGTGTGTCAGCGTTTCGAGTCGACGCAAAACCTTTACTGCACATCCCGGAGTGACCGACTGTTCGTCTGTCATCTCTCTAACCATGAAGTTCCAATACAAAGAAGAGCATCCATTTGAGAAGAGAAGGTCTGAAGGCGAGAAAATAAGGAAGAAATATCCGGATAGGGTACCAGTAAGTAGCTAATCTCTGCTAGCTCGGTGCTCGGTCCGTTCTGTGTTGTTGACAATAAATTCAACACATCCACTTTGCTTATCCCCCAATATTTTGCCAGAGTTAATTTGACGTTAACATGTTTGTGTTTTGAACATAGATTGTTTTGAATCAATATTTGGTTACGTTATTATATTATGGGTTTGTCATGTAGGTTACTTCCTACGATGCCTGACGCGTTTGTTCTGAAATGGGAATCATGGAGGTTATTCGCACTCTTATCAAAATGGTCACATTTACAGATTTAATTTGTCTCTGTTGTCATCATGGTTGGGTAACTAAAAGCTTGCGGCCTCGCAGGAGTCGAGAGGAAGTTGCGTAGTTTTAAGTTATCGTAAAGACCACTAGTTATCTTAAAATAGTAACAAGGTGTAGGATTCTTGTTTACCTCGTCCTTCGCCTTGTCTATAGTCCACATGATGCTGAGTAATATTGAAATTCCAGTTACAAAACGTTCAGTATCATGTGTTTAACTGGTGGTGCAGTTTATCCACCATCAAAAACAAGAATTTAACTTTCAGTTTTTGTGGGTGTGTGTGTTTTATATCTTGTGTCACAAAATAAATAATATATATTTGGAACATTTTGTTCTATTCTAACATTTTCATTGTTTTTATTATTTGATTTTGCTCAAAATATACACTTGACATTAACACAGGTATTTCTTCTTCTAAGGTAATTGTGGAGAAAGCCCCCAAAGCCAGAATAGGAGATCTGGACAAGAAAAAATATCTTGTTCCTTCGGACTTGACTGGTAAGCATTTATTCTAGTCTGTGTGCTTGGGACATTATGTATTATATGATATGTATGATAATTTATCATGTTTTTGTTGATTATATATATAGTTTTGTTATATATAGTTTTCAAAATAATATGCTTTTTTTCCCCAGTGGGCCAGTTTTACTTCCTTATCCGGAAAAGAATCCACTTACGTGCTGAAGATGCCCTCTTCTTCTTTGTAAACAATGTCATTCCACCCACTTCAGCTACTATGGGGCTCTTGTACCAGGTTATTGTCACATATGTTTGAACAAATGCTTAGTACCTAAATGGGTTGTTTAGTTAATTATTTAATTATGTTTGCAGGAACATCATGAGGAGGACTTTTTCCTCTACATTGCCTACAGTGATGAGAGTGTGTATGGGAACAGCCAAAGGGAAATCTGATCTCACCACCATCCCCCTTTTCCCACAACCTCCTCCTCCCAACCTACACTATTCATTCATTTAAATATATAAAATTCAGCTCATCAGCCTAAAGTTCCTGGTGGAAGTATGTGAAATGCACTTTCACCCACAGTTCATTATTCTTCAAAACATTCAAGTCTTTGTAAAGTCTGAATTGTAGTTTTCTCCGTTTTCATTCTTCTAATGCTATTTGGGTTAGGTGGTCTCATGGCCAGTTTTATGTAATAGATAATCATGCTTAATAACACCAGAGACATAATATAATTTATATGATGTTTAAAATGTCTTAAATATAGTTGTTTCAGGTTTGAAAAAATTAAAGGGTCTTTGTAAGTGCAGAAATTGATGTTTGGGGTCATTCTGATTTCCATTGTTGATAGAGAGTTGGTAGAAGGTTTAAATATCCTTGCATCCACAATCTTAAGGCATTTTTAGAGTCTGAAATTTGAATCCCTGTCTTGCAGCAGTTTGATTCTGAAACGGAGTGTTGGAAAAATGATGCAAATATGTTATACCTATCACTGAAACATTATACATTAAATAAAACAACCCAAACTGGTGGGAGTGTACAATAATTCAGAGAAATAATCTTCTGCTTTCAGTGGTAAAATATTTTTATTTTATGATTATTATCGATACATTTAGTTTGCTTACTATATCGATATTGTAAAGCTGAGTGCAATTTTATTTTTTATGTTCTGTGTTTTGTTTTTTTAAAGAAAACATGTATACTGCTGCATTACTGGCTCTTCATAAAGAACATGCAATAAAAAAATATAAAATTAGTTGTCATCTCTCGCTTTCATCTGGCAGAAAGACACTAGGATGAAGATTTGTGTAACACGTATTAACACCTCATTTGATGTCCAAAACGCAGTTCGTTTTGACTTATTTCTTAAAAACTACATTTCCCATAAAACAAGCGCGACTTCGAAACTAGATCCGGAAGTGAAGGTGCTGTAACCGGAAGTAGCTATCGTTTGTTTTTATTATTTGAAGGGGACTAATTTTCAGTGTTATTTGGTCACGCTCTTTTAAACACCACATTGCTACCACAATTCGGTTAACTAAGTGGAAGGCGATTAACAAAGCGACAAAGGTAGATATTCTAAAAACATATTTACTCGTGTGGAAGTGCACAGCGTTGGCAGTGTTGGAATAGCTAGCTCAAAGCCTACTGCACGTACACAACCTTCATACCAGATACACCAGATAGCAAAGTTGCAACGCCTCCCAAAGCGTGTGGAGTTATAATCAATAGACTATTGTCAAACTGACCGGCAGTATATTTACCCCACAATGACCAGACTGTTGTTACTCATCACTAGCTCATAATGCTAAGTACTGTTAGCCATTAGCCATAGCAAATCTGTTTGGGAGGCAAAATACCGTTGATTCCGTTCGGCTACATAAAATAATTAAATTAATCTTCTCAAACTAGGATTTTCTTCAGGTTACACAATTTATCCAAAGTCCAGGAGCACAGTTTAGGTGATTATCTTGGCAAAACACAATTTAAAAAAAGATTTCATAATACACAATTATAATCATAATGACAATAATGTATGAATATATTATGGTGTTCATAGATTCGGCTAATTTTACTTGTATGCTTTTTCTTTTTTAAACTCTCATCTCCAGCTGGCCCCACCACTGCCTGTCACCATGCCCGCTCTGTTGGAGAGACCGAAGCTGTCCAACGCCATGGCCAGAGCCCTTCACAAACACATCATGAGGGAAAGAGAACGGAAGAGACAAGGCATGCTTATTTAGTGCATTACAGTTAGACCTTTTTTGTATCTATTTGTAAACTAATTACTACTGTGGTTTTCAGAAGAGGAAGAGGTGGATAAAATGATGGAACAAAAGATGAAGGAGGAGGAAGAGAGAAAACGCACAAAAGAAATAGAGGAAAGAATGTCTTTGGAAGAAACCAAAGAGCAGGTAAATGTCGTTGATTGACACAGAGAAAATAGTGTATACTGTAATATTCTTTTAACTATCTCAACAGGTTATGAAGATGGGAGAAAAACTTCAGGGGCTTCAGGAGGAAAAACATCAACTATTTTTACAGCTCAAAAAAGTACTTCATGAAGAAGAGAAGAGGCGTAGAAAGGAACAGAGGCAAGACTGAAGGTTTCTGTTAAAGTCTACAGTGTTTAATTGTATATTAAAACCCATTATTTTCTTCCTATCAGTGATATCACAACACTGACTTCAGCTAGCTATCAACAAAGTCTGCCTATGCATGCTGGACAGCATCTCCTTAACATTCAAGGTAAATTCCCATGTCTATATCAGTTTTTGCTAATTGATCTGAGAATCATTTGAGTTTCATTTGTGCAGGTGGTTCAGTCTCACACAGTCGAACAGGAGCCTTGCTTGGAGAACGGAGCAAGCAACTTTTCCCAACCACTGTTATTCCAGTTAGTTTGAATTTTTTTCAACACAGTGGCACCACTAATCATACCTTTCACTGAAGTAAATGTCCTTTTTTCTTTCTCAGGGACGCCATTATCAGACACCAGGGTTTAGCTCAGGTTCAGCTGAGCACAGCCAGTACTCTGGGGGTCAGGGTGTGCATGACTCTTACGGCGTGGCACAATCTCAGCATCCATCCACATACGCCCCTGGACCTTCTGTACCAGTCAGCTTCGCCAGCAGCTCACAGATAAGAGGTAAAAATTCCAATTACTCCCAGTCAGTGATCAGTGAAGTTTACCAATTCTTTCTGCTCTTCAGGTGCATCTGCGTTTCAGGCAATGCAGTACCTTCCACATCAGCAGGCCGGGTATCCAGTCCACACTCATTTCACTTCTCAGCCTGGTTCGTTGCCATTTTCTGTTCATAGTCTTTCAAAAGTTTCCTTTTTCTGTTCTTTTTTTTCTCATTTTTTAAAAATAATAATTGGCTTTCTGTGTAGGATACATCCCTGGAGCAGGTATTCCTCTCCAAAAGCAGTTGGAACATGCAAATCAACAATCTGGCTTTACGGATGCAGTAAGTACATATTTTTATATTGCAGTGCTTCATAACTTTTTGATTTGTTTTGCGTTTTGCTTTGTCAGGGTGCTTTGAGACCCATGCACCCCCCAGGTATGCATCCCTCGGCTCCCGGGCTTTTACCTACACCGTCAATGGGAGTCCAGATTCCTACGGCTAAAGTGAGCACATATCTGTAGCAGTAAAACCTTTTTAAATAATAAAAAAAACACCTATTTAATTAATAAAATAAACAAAGTTACATACTACTAATTTTGTTTTTAATGTAGTCATTTTTTTAATTAGTTTATTCTATTCTCAAAGTGCAAAAGATTTTTATTTATTTTTTTACACTATTTAATTTTATCTCTTACACTTAATGTTTAATTATCAGTTCTGACCTTCTCATGAACAGTGATGCCCATGTGTGATTAATTTTATAAACGTTTTCTTAATTTGACCATAAAATCTTGATATAGTAAGTTGACAAATGTTTCAGTATTAAGTATTTAATCTGATGTGTTTTTACTCAGGCTCCTTTCCAGAGCTCTCCTCAAAGCGCTCCACGTCACGGTTTCCTCCCTCACAGTCAGAGCAGCCAGAGGTTTTACCACCACGGCAAGTAACGGCAAGATCAACTTTCAAGACTCGCGTATTATGATTCTCTTTTAAACAATCTTTAGACTCATTCATTTAAGCTTTTTCACGCCGAGTTACTGTTGTCAATCATGTTATGTGCTTCTGGAAATTATTTTAACCTCAAGATCATGAAGAGACTTTTATCTTAATTGCCATGTTTTACTTTTGCTCTCATCGTTGTAAACCCCCCCCATACAAAGCCGCACTGCATGGCCAAAATTTGTGTGTCTGAACTTCAACATTTTTCAATAAACATGCCTGATATTGCAGAGGACGTTTTCTTATTTAATCATTTCGTCTATGTAAAAGTTCATTCTGATTTGCTGAATAGGATCAGTGGCCACATGGAACATGACATACAGTAAAAAACCAACTCTTCACCTTAACATGTAAACCTGTTTTAAAACTTTTTATGATATTAAAATGTATGCAAACTTGAACCAGATGTTTTATTATTTTATCCGCTGACATGTCCTGAATAATTAGGTCTTTGAACGACCAGTTGTGATTCCAAACAATGAACTTTTTATGGCCTCATTAAAGTAGTGTGTCAAAAGTGAATATAAAATTATACCGTAGTTTAATTTAACAATCTGTAAATTTCTCCATTGTGAGAGAGTTTCTTATCTTACCTGGTAATAGACCATGAATTGTCATGTTACAGAGGAGACATCTGCCAGTTGAGTTGACCGTGGCACAAACCGTTAATGAAAGTTGATTTTGAAGCTCTGATGTCTACATCCTTGTTCAACAATTATAGTTACATGTGTTTAAACTATTGATTATCTTTTAAGTGAAGGGAAAAGTTACTGATTTGAGAAACCATAGCTGCAAGATGGTCAAATAATGCACTAAGTTTTAACAGTATTCACAACTACCCCCTGCACAGTTCGTTAATTGGGTTCAGGTCCTGTTTCTGACTTCTCTGGGCTTGGACTTGGACTTCACAGGTCAACAGTTCTTATCAGAACTTTAGGTTCGGTAGAGAGGGACCACCACCCCGGTCTGCCAATAATAAAAATTGTAAACCGCTTTGTGACCATTGTCTGTGAAAGGCGGTATATAAATAAAGATTACTTACTTACTTATGTCTTTCTTTTGTATACATTATTGTTTCATTTGGTGTCCTGTCTGTTGTGTGTTTGTATTGTTTGTCATGAAAACAGAGGACCTCTACTATTTTGAGTTTTTTTTTTTTTTCTTACCTGGACTGGAAATATATGGACATTCAGAGAGCTGGAGTAACCAACTCTTTGTTTGTGTAAGCCCTCAGTCGTACAGGGATTAGTCAAAGCAAAGGAAGGTTTCTCACCCATCATCTGTACTTCTTAGCAAGTTTTCCCAATGGGAAAACTTGCTAAGAAGTACAGATGATGGGTGAGAAACCTTCCTTTGCTTTAACCAACTCTTTGTTTCTAAACAAATGTGACCACATTACGCTGTCTTCATCTTAATAGAGAACATCTTTCACATACTCATGAGAGAACCCTGTGAATCCTTATTTTCTGTCTAAAAAGCTATCAGTCATGCCAAAGCTTAATTCTTCCTCTTCAGCCTTGATCTATGCTCTTCTTTTTGCCTAAACCTCATTTAGGGTTCTTCGGGTCCCTCATCACCCTCTTTCCTGAAACAGAGGGGTAACCCTACAAAAGGTGTATTGCACATACACATTTTAGAACCTGAATATCTGATTGATTGAAAAAGGACATTGTATAACATGTTTTCCTATGTTGTTTGGAATAACAAGTAGCAGATCATGTTTAGTCTACTTCAAAGAATGTGATTTGAACGATGGACGAGAAGTTTTATCAAATAAACTATTCTCAATAAAGTCTCTTTACAGTCCTCCAGCTGAATGTAGGGTGTTTCCTGGTCCTGGGTGTGTGAACCGCGGTAAAGAGGTCCGCATATTAAAAGCAGGTTGCCGCTTTATGCTGTTACTTACGGTAACAGCTGCGCAGCGTAAAGCGAAGCCAGGGGATGCCCGCCACAAAGCACAACAAAGCACTGTTTAACATGATTTTTTTTAATTAAAAAGCGTTACATAAAGCTTTCAATGCGCACTTGTTCACTGTGATGCCCTCTATTAGTGTGCAAAGTGACATTCACTGTGGAAAGTGACAAGAAAATGGGGGTCAAAGTGTGCAATATGATCCAAAATGTGCACTTTTTAAACTGGATTTTTTTTTTTAAACTAAAAATCCTTAGAAAAATCTTTCAATGCGCACTTGTTCACTGTGATGCCCTCTACTATTGTGCAAAGTGACATTCACTTTTACTGTGGAAATCCCAAGAAAATGGGGGTCAAAGTGTGCAATATTGATCCAAAATGCACTTTTTAAACTGGATTTTAAAAAAAACTAAAAATCCATCCATCCATCCATTTTCTTCCGCTTTATCCGTTGCCGGGTCGCGGGGGCAGCAGTCTAAGCAGATACGCCCAGACTTATCCACACACACTTCCTCCAGCTCGTCCGGGGGGACCCCAAGGCATTCCCAGGCCAGCTGAGAGACATAGTCCCTCCAGCGTGTCCTAGGTCTTCCCCGGGGCCTCCTCCCGGTGGGACGTGCCCGGAACACCTCCCCAGGGAGGCGTCCAGGAGGCATCCGGAACAGATGCCCGAGCCACCTCAACTGGTTCCTCTCGACGTGGAGAAGCAGCGGCTCTACTCCGAGCTTCTCCCGTGTGACTGAGCTCCTCACCCTATCTCTAAGGGAGCGCCCAGCCACTCTGCGGCGGAAGCTCATTTCGACCGCTTGTTTCCGCGATCTCGTTCTTTCGGTCATTACCCAAAGCTCATGACCATAGGTGAGGGAGGGAACGAAGATTGACCGGTAAATCGAGAGCTTTGCCTTTCGGCTCAGCTCCCTCTTTACCACAACGGTCCGATACAGCGACCGCATCACTGCGCACGCTGCACCGATCCACCTGTCAATCTCACGCTCCATTCTTCCCTCACAAGACCCCGAGATACTTGAACTCCTCCACTTGAGGAAAGACCTCTCCACCCACCTGTAGAGGGCAAGGCACCTTTTTCCGGTCGAGCACCATGGCCTCAGATTTGGAGGTGCTGATTCTCATCCCAGCACCACTTCATACTCGGCTGCAAACCGCCCCAGTGCATGCTGCAGGTCCTGGTTCAGCAGAGGACCTCCGACCCCGTACTCCGGAGAACCCCCCAAAGGACACCCCGGGGAACACAGTCGAACGCCTTCTCCAAATCCACAAAGCACATGTGGACAGGTTGGGCGAACTCCCATGAACCCTCGAGTATCCGATGGAGAGTATAGAGCTGGTCCAGTGTTCCGCGACCGCGACGAAAACCACACTGCTCCTCCTGAATCCGAGATTCAACCATCGGCCGTAGCCTCCTCTCCAGTACCCTGGAGTAAACCTTACCAGGGAGGCTGAGGAGTGTGATCCCACGATAATTGGAACACACCATCCGGTCCCCCTTCTTGTAGAGAGGGACCACCACCCCGGTCTGCCACTCTATTGGCACCGCCCCCGATCGCCACGCGATGTTGCAGAGACGTGTCAGCCAAGACAGTCCTACAACATCCAGAGACTTTAGATAATCAGGACGGATCTCATCCACATCTCATCCGGAGCCTTGCCACCATGGAGGCTACCAACGACCTTGGGACCTCAGCCAGGGAGATGGATGTATCTGCAAAAACTAAAAATCCTTAGAAAAATCTTTCAATGCACACTTGTTCACTGTGATGCCCTCTACTATTGTGCAAAGTGACATTCACTTTTACTGTGGAAATCCCATGAAAATGGGGATTTTTTTGTTTGTTTTTAAATCCAGTTTAAAAAGTGCATTTTGGATCAATATTGCACACTTTGACCCCCATTTTCTTGGGATTTCCACAGTAAAAGTGAATGTCACTTTGCACAATAGTAGAGGGCATCACAGTGAACAAGTGCGCATTGAAAGCTTTATGTAACGCTTTTTAATAAAAAAATCATGTTAAACAGTGCTTTGTGGCGGCTCATCCCCTGGCTTCGCTTTACGCTGCGCAGCTGTTACCGTAAGTAACAGCATAAAGCGGCAACCTGCTTTTAATATGCGGACCTCTTTACCGCTTGCTCCAAAAAGCCGGACCTCTTTACCGCGGTATGTGTGATGGGGTGCAGCACTGCTTGGAAGAGGATACCTGTCCTCACACTCCTTCACCTGTTCATTTCTCACTCCCATTTCCTCTAGACTCAGAGCCAATGAGGGGCCGCCTCCTGGACTCATGGCCAATTAGGGCGTGGCTCGGCGCGGCTCTAGGAGCATGTGTATAAAGCAAAGACAGCCGTGTGGTTCTGACAAGAGCCAACACCAGAGACAAGTGGCGGTGTAGTAGAACCCAGACATGACAGACGCTGAGGCGCAGAGCGCTCCATCTGCTCCGGTGGATGATGACAAACTACTGGAGAGGAAGGTCTTAGGTGGGTTCCGCTACAGACTGGACTTTAGGTCAGAAAATATATTCACAACACGTTACTGGTTCTGATGTCGTTGTTTGGAAGAAGCACGTGTTCTTGGCTCCGTGTGGAAACCAGTGAGACCAGTGAAACCAATGAGTGAGGGCAAGTGCACGCGCGCACGTGCTCTTAAACCAGTATGTTTGTTTTGTGAATATGGCTTTGGGTCATTGAGAATCCGCGGTTGCGCAGTGGGTGTTTCCATCACAGGTGGACATGATTGGAGTTTTCACTGGTCTAGGATGCTGGTGATTTATTGTGGTGGGTTTCCAAACATTGGTAAAGTTGAGCACAAAGTGCCTCTGACTTTCGTTTCGACTGATCTTTTACTGCTGCGGTCGGTGCCACTCCTGCCCTTGTGACAGTGTTAATTATTGACTTACTGAAGGCGTATTTCTTGTTACTAAAACGTACTATTATTCTCCTGACACCTGATAACTTTTGTTTTCCGTACTAACATATATTGATATGAATTATTGTATTTATTCCAGCAACACTAGTCCAAGGCACAGTTAAATGGTTCAATGTTCGAAATGGATATGGATTTATTAACAGGTGAAAATCAGATTATTTATCTTTTCATGGAACATTGTATTCATGGATTTTTATTTTCATTTTTTAGAAATGACACTCAAGAGGATGTCTTCGTCCATCAGGTAGGGCAGGGACCACTGCCTTTGAAACAAATGTTCTTAATAAAAACTCTGAACTTCTCTCTAGACTGCTATAAAGAAGAATAATCCTAGAAAATTCCTCCGCAGTGTGGGAGACGGAGAAGTTGTAGAGTTTGATGTCATAGAAGCGGCTAAGGTGAGAACTCTTGCGATCTGCTTTTTAAAACGTTGTATTCCATTCACTTTTATGTGACAGGGTTCAGAAGCGGCTAATGTGACCGGTCCTGGTGGTGTCCCGGTCAAAGGCAGTCGTTATGCTCCAAATAAAAGACGTTTCAGGAGGCGCTTCTTTCCCCGCAGCCCGCACCCCGGCGATCAGCCCAAAGAGGGGGACGGGACTGAGGGCGAGGACTCCAGACCGCCACCACCTCGTCGCCGGAGACCACGCCGTCCAAGGCCACAGGATGTAAGCAGTGTCAAGAGGTTCAAAGGAGTTCTTCTTGTGCTTTGGTTGTCTCCGGTAAATGGTAAACTGAACAAGTGTGTGCCAGGGTGAAGCTGTGGAGCAGAATGGAGTCGAAGGTGATCAGCAGACGGAACAACCGCAAAGACGAAGGTTCTGGCGCCAGTATCGCAGGTGCATCTCGACTAGGGCTGCACAATCGCTATTTTAGTTTTGACAGTAACTTTGATTACTTGATTCACTTTTTTACAAACCGCAAAAGATCCGGCTATCCCTGTGTTTGGCGCTCTAAAATTAAATTTAAAGATCCTTTTTGTCCTACAGTGGGGAAAGTGAGCCTAGAAATGAAAGCATCCCAGCAAATGAGGCTAAGAAAGGCTTAAATAAGGTTGTATCTTTGTTTGAGGGCATTTTGATTACTTAAATTTTCAATTGGCCAATAAAAGTCTTAACTAACTTTTAAGTGTTTGGGGTGGGTTTCTGTCTGTGTTTGTCCTCTTGGTCACCGTGGGCTGGTGTGGTCAGATGCAAGACTTTAGTGCAGTGTGCATGTTCCAGGCTTTACAACTGGCACGCATCTGAAATGTGCCCCGCAGGACCCTATGCCCGCTCCTGCATGAGTCATTCCGCTTCAAATGACATGTGGTGTGTAGGGCTGTAAGGCTGTAATGCTCGAGTTGACAGACCTGAAATCTAAAATAACATTTCTTTAAACTTGTGCAACCCTAGTCTTGACTGTTTGTAGACATTTGTAAAAAAACAAACAGGAGCAAATCTTGCTGATTTGTTTTTCCAAGGCCCTTCAGGCCACGTCAGCCTGCAGACCAGGAGGCGCCTCAGGAGGTGCCTCAGGAGGTGAAGGACTCTGAGCAGCAGCCTAAGGAACAAGTGGAGGACAAACCAACTCCTGAGGCTCCACAGACCAACGGCGATGCCCCAGAGAGTCCAGGAGAACAGTCACGACGCCAGCAAAGGCGCCGCAAACAGAGGACCTCAGAGTCTTCAAACTCCAAAGTAAATTGATAAAATTCCTAAAGTGATGAAAGTTTGATCTAACATTACCTTGATCTTAATTAGAATGATGCTGAAAAATCTTCCTCTGAAATGGAAACTCCGCCTCAGACGTTGCAACCATCAGATGTAAAGGTTGCGTCTCCAAAGACTTCACCCAAATCAGAAAAATCTTCAACAGTAAGGAGTTTTTAACTATAGCCACTTTCATGGCATGTCTGTTGGTTTTGGGTGGAGCTTTCAATAATTTGAGATTTTCATTGTTTGCTCTAATAAAGAGCTAAGTAAATCTCCCTTTGGAACTATTAGACATGAACATGAAGGCTTCATTCATACTTGAGGTGATCAGGCTTTTATAAAGTTGTGACTATTATATTCACAGCAGACGACATCCACACAGTGACCAGCCGAGTAACGGTCAGGAGACTCAAGGCTTCAGGTGAGGCTGGTGGCTGTTTAGATTCACTTTTAAAGTTTACACCTTTTTACAAACTGGAAAATCTCCTTTTATCCGCAGGACTAAGTTTTGAGACTGTATTTATGTTTGTTCTTGCAGGACCTAGGGTTGGAGACTGCATAGTAAAGTCCGCACTGCTCTCCCATACTAAATTTCACTTTTCCTCATGGTCTTTCATCCTGTCACCTGCATGTTGTCGAGACATTACACAATGAGAACCTGAGCAGGTCGAAGGGGAAGTAGTGGGTGTATATTTGAAGTAAAATTAATATTTAAAGAAAATGCATAACAATTCTGCTTTGTGACAGATGTTGCTGCCCCTTAACTATTTTCTTTAACAGATACAACCACGTTCGAGAAACTGCCTTGATTTTGATTTAACAGTTTTAATTTGGTTGAAATGGGGATGAGGTTGGTTGTGTTATAATTCCTTGTTCTTTTGCAACCTCGGAATGTCCCATTCCTCTGTTGAGGGAGCATTCATAGAAACTGTTTAAGTTTGACTTTTGTGCTTTTGCTTTGGAGGGGATCCTGTGCAATGGTTATTAAATTTAATAAAACACATCTGGCAATCTTGTTTCATAGCCCAGTTTCTATTGAAATAATCTTGTACTGTGATTTATTGACTATATAAAGGCAGTTACAGACATAGGGTTGTGCACACTGGAACACTCATGTCTACGCTACCATGCAGTTATGAATACATGTGTCACTCACATTTGTATTAAATCAGTAATGCCTCCTAATTAAAAATGTATGCTATAGATGGTGTGGTTTTGTAGATGTGCAAAGTCATTACAGGCAATCTATGTTTGATGCTGCAAACAAATTTTACATATGGGTAACATCAAGAATCAGTATTTTAAACACATACTTTTACAGTTGCCTCCCCCATCTCCATGGTGGAATAGGTTTTCAACCTGTCAATACAATCATATCCCACCTACAAGCAAAAATCAATTCTATAAAATAATTTCTCTAAATATCTCCCACCGACTGGGAAATGTAACTGTTCCCAACTTATTTTGTTCAACTATAACGTATATACAAACCAATGTCTTCTTACAAAGCTCTCCTAAAGTGCAGGAATCAAGATCTCCCCCTGGAATACCTCCCCACAGTCTTCAGTGGGTACTGGTGTCACCCAGATAGTCCAGTTCAGTGCTGTCTTTTTCAATCTCTCTGTCTGTATCCATGTTGAGTCCCATGTCCAGACTGACTCGTCTCATTGATGAATGGAAGTTGGAAGCAATTTGGTCAAATGTCTTCCCTCTGGTCTCTGGGACATGGAAAAACGTGAAGACGAGGAAGAAAAGCAGGAGTACTGCAAAAATTAGGAACACGTAGGGTCCAGTAACATTCTGTAAAAGAAAGACTGCATTAGTGATTTGTTTTTTACTCCTGCTGTAGTTTATTAATGTTAAAGTGTACAACATATGGATGGAAAATACCGTTTATACCAAAACATTGAAGTGATTCAAGAAATCAATCTTTTGATGGATGTACTTACTGCCACATACTGGAATCCCATGCCGATGATGAAGTTGGCTGTCCAGTTGGAGCAGCCTGCTACAGCCATGGCCGCCGGCCGAGGACCCTGCGAGAACAGCTCCGCCACAAAGAACCATGGGATAGGGCCTGGACCCACCTCAAAAAATGCCACAAACCCAAAAATAGCCAGCATACAGATGTAACTCATCCAGGGAACATTTTCCTGTAGAGAACATAATATCATGATCTTGTTTTACAAGCTGTTTGGCTGAGCTGATGAACACAGTGAAGAGTTGAGATACACACCAGTAAAGCCAAAGCTATGGTCATCACGATGGCACACACACACATGCCGGCCAGTCCTAACATGTGCAACGTCCGCCGTCCCATTCGCTCAATCAAGAAGAGCTGTTGATCCCATTAAAACATGTATAAGTACATGGTAGATGTGTTACCTGGTGCTTAAAGGGGCTGTATGTAATATGCACTCATAGTGGGCTAATGAAGTCATTACAATTACACGTTTGTTGCCAGAATCCTCCTGTCCTCTGATTACTGATCATCCACCTGCTGGGGTTTAACTAGAAACTGTACAAACTCTTTGTGTTACTTATGATTATTAATTTTTGTGTCTGCTTTCATGTTTGTGTTTTTTGTTATTAAAAAACAAAAAAGTTATAAAAACATTGTACACATAATATGTATATTAATAACTCCACTTTAAACTTTTGTTGGTACATGTTGACCTGTTATCTCAGGACACATATAGAATATGTAGATGTCTTTTAAATTGATTTTTAATATGCCTAATTGTTTGACTGCTGCCAAAAATATTCTTAAAACAGTTAACTATAAAGATACAAACTACTTAGAATATAACAATAAATGTAAATTAATTTGATATACTAAGAGTTGACCAAAAAAGATTTCACAGTAATCCAATGAACATTATCTGCTAATTTGCCAACAGTTTTATCTCAAGCATGTGTTTATTACTGACCGAGACCACAGTGAAGGCGCAGTTGACCACGCCTGCCCCTATTGTAGCGTAGACTGGACTCTGGACTCCAGCTTTGATGAAGATACTGGTAGAGTAGTAGAATATCTGGGCAGAGAAGACACAGCTTTACTCTGGTTGTGGACAAAATGAGAGTCTGTCGTCACTGCTTACTGCATTGACTCCTGACAGCTGCTGCGAGAGCTGCAGCATGATGGCGATGATCATTGGCTGACGGTGTGTAGGAGACCGAAACAGCTCTAAAATGGACACCTTCCGCTCCATGTCCATCCTCCGTTTCTCTTCCTTCATTTCAGACAACATATCACCCACCTCCTGCCTCCCCGTTAACCTCCTCAGGCCTAAACAAAAATAATGGACACATCAATAGTAGAAAAAGAAAACACAATTTACAACACTAATCTTAACCTAAAAATGTTTTAATTATTGATTGTTTTAAAATTGTGAGGAGAGAAAGAAAATTTTAAAGGCACCAGATACCCATTCCCACAGCTTCCACAAAATGTGTTACAATTCTTGCCTTCTCTTATGCATAAAACTCTATCAGCTGTGGTTTATGTGAACAGCAGAGAGGGCTGACATGAGATACTCAAAATACAAGCCGTTGTTATAAGTTTATGGACTTATTATCTTTGACTCTATCCAGGTTTACTGGCAATAGGACGATATATATATATATATATATTTATATATATATATATATATATTATTTTTTCAAAATAGGTAAATGAGTCTCAACATGGAAGCTAACGGTTAATATTTCCTCCTAAGAGTTTGTGTTGTGTGTGTGTATTAACAAATCTTTGATCAAGTCAACAGTGCAATAAATAATGTGACCAGTTAAAACAGTTGTCTATCAGCGGTTAGTTAAGTTTTACATTATGAAATAGGCTTATATTCAAGCATGGTCTATCTATATGTGGACAAAATGCACTTTATTTAAAAACGTTGCTGCTGCGCTTTACATCCAGGTGTGCTTAATAGTCAAGCAAGTCCTATTCGTAAATTATATTTGTATGTTTCAACATTTTTAAACATTATTGACCACTGAAATCTCACCCCTCTTGGCCTGGTGCTCCTGACAGCGCACAATGTACAGGAATCTTGGGCTCTCAGGACAAAAAGGCAACAGTGCCATTTGTAATACAGTGGGCACAACAGTGAGCCCGAGAAGGACCGGCCACAACTCAGCACTCCCCAATAACGATTCAAGACCTAGGATCTGACCAATAACGACATGATTAAAAAACATATGAATCAGTGAGTGAATATGGTCAGATTTAGTAATTGTGTGACCGTACCTGTGCTAATAGAATCCCTGTGACAATAGCCAGTTGGTGTAAAGTGCCCAGTGCCCCACGTAAACTTGTAGGAGCAATCTCCCCAACGTACATGGGAGTCAAACCAGAGGATAGCCCTAAAAAGACAGCGCGATTACGAATAGAGTATATCGAATTTAAAAAAATCATAACAGTACCTACCGCAAAATGCCCCAATTATAAAACGGCCCAGTATCATCATTTCAAAAGAACGACACAACTTGGAAAGCCCCATCAGACTTCCACCAATGAATGCAAATAAATTGTTTATAAGCATGGCTTTCCTCCTGTAATCACACAAAAACATGATGAATTAGTCAAAGTCATAGTTTCCACCTAATCTAAAGTTGATTATTAAAAAAAATGTGGATATATTGTTTAGTTACCAATGCAAATGAGGTGATGTAATAGGCAGGGTTTGTCTGTCTGTCTATCTGTTAGCAAGATATCTAACTAATAACAGCTCATTTTAGTTTAGTTTCACGTAACAATCCATCCACGTACAGTCCATGGGAACACCAGAGCCACAGTGGGGCGGTTCTGTCTTTAGAGTGTCAAACTGTTGTGGTGTCCTTAGGCAACACACGTCCCTCAGATGCTACAATATTCTCAGCATTTGTATATTGTATAACTAAGTCTAGATGTGCTGAAGTTAAAAAGTTTGGTTTAATATTGGACTGACTAGAGAAAGTAATCACAAACAAGTGTTGGAGAGGTGCTGGCGTATTTTAAACAATCAATCATGTTTTGCCAGTTTTGAACTTGTCTATTACTATTACTGTATCTGACAAAGATAGTATATGTGTGGAGTGAGGGTTGGCTCGGGAAGCATGTTGGGCTTGGAGGTCAGAGCGACTTCGGGTCGTGCCAGTGGTTTTTTTAGAAGGCCGTTGTCCTCAGTCCCCCCTCCAACCCCCTTGTCCCCCCGATCTTCTTTCAGTCAGTGCAAGCAGTGGTCTGGTTCCTCACGTTACCCATGACGGGGGCACCAGGTGATCAGCTGACTCTAGGATCCCCCAACACGTGATTTACACTCAGACAACTGAATCGACCCACAAAGGCGATTACTTGGATCCAGTAGCTTACATTTATCAAAGCAATTAAAAGCAAATATATTTATGATATATATCTGGAGTAGTTCTCTGGACAAACTTAAATAATACACATTACACATATTATTACAACTAACAATGATAACTATGTCATTCCATGTTTTAGAATGTGAAATAATATCTTCCCATAAAAATATATGGAGGGCAAAAAATGCTATCAGCCGACCCTATGTTACCGCCATATTCGTTTCTAATTTCTTCCAGATTTGAAAATAATTCATGGGCAATAGTTTTGCTTTGCAGAAAACTGGCAGAAGTTCCTGATATGAGTGTGGATGGATCTAAAAACACCTCCAGGTGTAATATTTTAACATGAGGGATACATTTTTCTGTAGAGCAGAACCTGGTAGATAACAGTAGTTTTACAACCGTAAAATGTTGTGACCAAAAGCTGAGGAAAATGTTTTAAAGTAAAAAAAGAAAATAATTTTGAGTTCTAAAATGGAATCCCTCCACCTGTGACATCACATTCCAAGACATTGAGCCCACATGTAGACTGCAAGGCAACCTGTATGTTACAATACAGGGGGGGGGGCCTTGATCTTTCAGAAGAGGCTCTAGGCAAAGTGGGGTTAAGTGTCTTGCCCAGGGACACAACGACAGCAGACACCAGTGGGAGAAGATGAAATGGGTCGTGGTGGGATCGAACCCACGAACATTAGGTCCAAAGACCAGTGCTTTACCAACTCTACTAGTGTCGCCCCAGTAGCATGGTTGTTACAATACAATTTATTCTTGTATAGCCCTAAATCACAACAGTATCATCTCAGAGGACTTAACAAAACCATTGAAATAACCAACACAGATCAGAGAATCAACAAGACACAAAAAAGAAAATACACATATGTTCCATAGGCCCCTTCGACCACCACCAACTATTCTCCCAAACAGCCGACTCATAGGAGGCAGTGTGGGTGTGTCTTGCCAAAGGACACAAATACAGTTGGCTTAGAGTCTAGACGTATCAAACTTTAGAAACTATAGAGAAGACAAGATTTTCAACCAAACCTTAAATATATCAGTCTTAAATGTGCTCCCATAAATAGACCACAGTCTAGCATGTAAAATGGGCTTAAGACCGGTCTAAAACTGGACCAGTATAGGACACAACCGGCTCCATCAGGGCGACAGTCAGATGAGACACGGTCTACATTCTAAAATAACCAGCCGCAAAAAGTCTAGAATAAACCTCTCCCTCACAGATGTATGGGTACAGATTTTCATTATTCATTCATTTATTAGTCCATGTCTGGATCGGGGGGTGACAATGAGAGCTGCCAGCCAATGCTCATAGCACCAGTCCCTCTGATCCTCTGCAGGGGGTGAGTCCACAGGAGGAGGGCTGCTATATCAGTGCTATATCAGTGCCACAGCCTTGGTGTTTCAACGAGAACAATAGCAGAGAGAGTGGGAGCAGTTGGAGTAGGTCCCGAGGTGGGCTCGAACCCACAACCTACAGGCCCAAAGGCCAATGCTCTACCAACTGAGCTACGGTCGACCCATTGTCAATAATTTAAAGGAGAAAACAATCGGTCTGTCAAATAAAACTAATAAAACCAGAGCAAAGCAAACAAACTGCACCAGAAGCATCTTATCTAAAAATCCAACTGAAAAAATACCCTAATAATGTAATTAGTTTATTCTTTCATCAACATTGTTCTGATTCACTCCGAAGGAGACAACAGACAGCAATGAAACTCCAATGAAAGAAGACCGTGGAGAAGAACTTTCTGCTCCTCAGAATCAGAATACTTATTATTGTGTAAGTAACAGGAAGTCACAAACTAGTTTTCTGAATTTGGTTTGGCTCAAAGTTAGTGGGCAGTTCTGATCAGAGTCGTGAGGATGACATAGTCAGCCTAGTCCAAACAGTAATATGAGTAAAAATAGATAAATGACAGCATGACACATACAGTATAGAGTGACAGTTGTGGAATCTGTGAAAAGAGCAGCACCTATACCATTTTCTAAAGACTCCTGAATAGACAGCACCTGGACTCCCCGGGGACCTACGCCAGGGTCCTGTTCGTGGACTTCAGCTCTGCCTTCAACACAATCCTGCCATCCCTGCTCCAGGACAAGCTCTCCCAGCTCAACGTGTCCAATTCCACCTGCAGGTGGATCACTGACTTCCTGACGGACAGGAAGCAGCGAGTGCGTCTGGGGAAGAATGTCTCGGACTCTCGGATTATAAATACAGGAGCCCCACAGGGCTGTGTTCTTTCTCCCCTGCTCTTCTCCCTGTACACCAACCACTGCACCTCCAGCCACGACTCCGTGAAGCTGATCAAGTTCGCGGACGACACCACCCTCATTGGACTCATCTCCAACAACGATGAGTCCGCCTACAGGAGGGAGGGGGACCGGCTGGTGCAGTGGTAACAACCTGGAGCTGAACGCCCAGAAGACAATGGAGATGATTGTGGACTTCAGGAAGAGCACTGTCCCCCCGCCCCCACCTTCCGTGATGGACTCCCCCATCACCTCTGTGGAGTCCTTCCGTTTCCTGGGCACCACCATCACCCAGGACCTCAAGTGGGAGCCGACCATCAGCTCCCTCATCAAGAAGGCCCAGCAGAGGATGTACTTCCTGCGGCAGCTCAGGAAAGCCAAGCTGCCTGCACAGATGTTGGTGCAGTTCTACACGGCCATCATCGAGTCCATCCTCACCTCCTCCATCACCGTGTGGTTCGCTGGAGCCACAGTCAGGGACAAACAGAGACTACAGAGCATTGTGCGCTCTGCAGAGGAAGTGATCGGCCGCAGCCTTCCATCGCTGCAGGACCTGTACGTCGCCCGAGCTCGAGGCCGGGCTGGTCGTATCACAGCCGACCCCTCTCACCCTGCACATGGACTATTCCAACCACTCCCCTCAGGCAGGAGGCTGCGGTCCATCAGGACTAGAACCTCCCGCCACAAGAACAGTTTCTTCCCCTCTGCTGTTGGACTCTTGAACACTTCTTAACCTGTCCCCCCGCCCTTTATAAAGTAACTTTACTGCCCATCATACGTCACTTTACTTCACTGTACTGCTGTCACCTTACATTGTGTGCACCATGTGCACTTGTATATTGTAAATAGTAACTGTGACTCTATTTTAAATTTAAATTTATTCTTTAGAAGTGTTTTTTATTCTTATTTTTATTTTCTCTTTCTGACTGTTGCACTGAGCCAAAGCAATTTCCAAGTCTGTGACCTCCTGTTACTTACGTGGCAATAAAAATGATTCTGATTCTGATTCTGAGATAGTCCTTTTTTAGGCGTATATGTGGGAGTTCTTACCTGCCCAGCCACTCGGAGACGATGCCCACAGAGAAAGAGGAGAGCATTCCCCCGATTGAAAAGATGGCGACAGAGAGGGACCACAGAGAGGTGAGGGTCCCAGAGGGGATGTTCTCTCCATACCGATGAATCCAAGTGGCATTATACTCAGCCTCAATGATCTGAAAGATCACACAAAATAGATATTAGCTGACAAATAAACCGCATTACTGTGCAAAGGTTTGGACACTGATCAAAATGATTATTCATGTGACTGTGAACACAGAAAATGGACATAACCTCTCAGTTCAAATAATCCTGATTATTTGAAACAATATTTTATACAATTTAGTTCTTCTTACAATCCAAGACATGCAAATCAATTCTTTTTTGTTGTTCCTAGAATCCGAAAGAAATAGACCAATTTTCATTCCACCTCAAAGCACCTTTTGACTGGAATAATCTCCCTGCCTCTATCCGCTCTATAACCTCCTATAATATGTACAAAAATGCCCTTTTGTCTTATCTACAAACACCTTGTAATTACTTTTGAAATGTGTGTTCTACAATGTCCTATTGTAACTGATTTTGTTTACTGTAGAGCTGTGTGAGTGTCTGTGTGTGAGTGTATGTTGTCGCTTGTATGAAAGGAAGTGTGAAAAGGTTTATGTTCAGTTAATTTTTATTTATTTATTTATTTTGGTTATGAGCCTGTACTGCTGTTTCTGTCTTGTGTTTTGACTTTCTTGTAATTCTTTCGAGGACCCTCTTGAAAACGAGATGATGCATCTCAAGGGGTTTCTCCTCTCAAAAGACTAAATAAATAAATATATAAAAGAGGTTTTGGTTTTTTATTGAAGAACATCCTTAATGAAAGTAGAGCAGATTTGATTTTAATCAAACACATTCTTATTGCACAGGGATAACCTCATCTGAATTGTTTTTGTTTGATTAAATAATATTGTTTTGGCTCACTACACAATATGCTTGTGGCCCTCCTTGAAATTCTTTTGAGACCCAAAGCATTCCTAGACCCCAATATAGGGAGCACTTGGATACACACATCCATTCATCATCTTTCTTGTGATTTAAAGCTATGATCCAAAGTCAAACTAAACTATTTTCAAATATAAATCCTTTATACATCAGAAAGTTTCCAATTGCCGCACTCACCAGTCGGCCAATACAGGCCTGTTGGTGGTGTGTCCAATCAGAATGACATTCATAAATGTTTCTTAGCACAATTTTCCGCAAAACAAAATCTCTACATATGACAGACCAGTACGTACTTCTAAGGTTGTTGTTATGTGTCTAACTAGGTCAGCTGTGTGTGTATTGTAACTATGTGTGTATTGTACATTTTCAGCTGTAGGTCAAGACGAGTGCTTAAATACTTGATGAAACTAAAACATCTAACCCATACATACCAATTCAAATATAATCACAGTAAGATATATCTTCTATTTGCTGACCCGTCCATTACGGTCTTGTAGTTTGTGAGAACCCCGAGCGAGAGCAGTACAGTGTACAGTCTGAGTGTCGGCTCGGGCCCAGAGGAGTCTCCTCCCACTCAACCAGTGCAACATTCAGTCAAACTACTTTAATAGTATAGGAGGTGCTCAAACTGTTATCAGTGTGAGACTTGTGATCTGCCTTCTTTTCATGGCCTGACAACACGAGTCCAAGACAAATTTCTACCAGGGAAAAACCAAATGTATTGTATTTCAGCGCTTCAGGATGCTACTTTTGTTTGAAACTTCTGTATTGATCCTTATTATCAGGAAAATTGTGGCTTTCCTCAACATTCTGTGAATAACCAAATAACCAGCACCCGCCACTTACAGGACGCTATGTCATAAAACAACCAAACAATATAAATCAAAACAATGTTATTGCAGAGTGTGGAAGATTGATTCATGACAATAGTGAAGCATTTAACACTGTAATCATAAATAATATACTGTAAATATTATAGTCCACTTTCCATTACTTTCAAGCATGAAAAATACTCTAGTTATTTACCATTTTATAGTTACTTGTTCTGTTTTGTTCACGTATGTGTAATACATGTATAATCTGTTTATTTACAGTTATGGTGCCACCTGCGACTGAAAGCTTGATCTCGTCAGACCTTATAAGCTAAGCAGAACTGTACTGTGATGGGAGACCTCAGTAACACCTACTTTAAAGTGCTGTTGTGTCCCTAGGCAAGACACTTCACCCACACTTCCTAGAATGAGTCTGGTGTGTACGTGAATGGTTGGCAGTGAGTGTGACTGAATAATACCATTTGAAGTGACGGTGAATGTGCAAAGAGCGCAATGGAAAACCAATTATAACATGTGAGGTTTGAAGTGAGAAAATGCTGTTCCACTGTGTCTTATCGTAATCATTATTACTATTATTATTATTACTATTATGATTGTGTTATTGCTGTTTTAAGTTTCAAACAAGCAAAAAATGAACAAATAAAGCACAAAATAATGAGTTTTATCACTTCCTTCTCATATAATCCAAATCCTCCAGTCTTGACTCGACCAGGATCAGGCCGTAACTCATTCGTCTGTCGTTTGTCTGTGTATATACAAACTGATATACTTTGTCTGGCCCTGTTTCCTGTTAAAGATTATTATCTAAACACAGTCGCACAGAATGTTGTGGCATCAGATGCAGGAATATCTGTGAAGAAGTGTTTAATGTCCCGGTGAGGAGCTGCTTGTGACAGATCTGTACCTTCTGTGGCGCATTGATGACTCCGATATTGTATCCAAACTCCAGAGATCCCAGCACAGCCGTGAAGACCGACAGAGCAAGAGTTCCGGTCACTGTCTGAGCACATACAGGCATTCACACGTGTGGTATAGCACTAATGCACACTTAATCATATGGACTAAATATAAAGGCCATCGCAGAGACACTGACCATTTGAACTTTAACTTCCCTTGAATTTCCCACCAACCCCTGGCACCTGTCTCGTCAATGACAGACGCAGTGACCTTTGGGAATCAGTCTTTTCTCTTGGCACCATTTAGATTGTTAGATAACAGAAAGAGTAGTAACATAGCAGTAATGTTATTGAAATCACTAACTTTTTGGATCAATGCAAAGAACATGCACACTTAATGTATAAACAATGATATGCTTTCTGCTTGTGCTAATCTCTGACTTGATTATAGTTGCAACTTGTTATATGTGTTTCAATCCACAAACAGCAACAATATTTCATTTTCTCAGTTTGAATTGGAATGACATTTAGAGGATAGCCTTTGTTTATGGGGAGCTGTTGGAGAAACCTGTCGTACAAGCGTAGACGTGAAAAGCGCCAGCTCTAACTTTGATACAAGGTCATTGAGGAACCACAGCGCTCAAACCCAGTTAGACAGTAACATAAAGGTTTTTGACAAATGTTTCAAGATATTCAGGCAAATACTGTAAAGGTCTGAGCATTTGCTTGGACAGAGACCAAATCTGCTAAAGAAATCTGCTAATAAAAACATGGCATGGAGATGGTTATAGCTTGACTCAGTTATAAGAGCCAAATATTGAAGTCACAAATTGTGTTACCTCCCCTCCAAGTTGCTGAAAGCCGGCCGGCATGACGTTACAACGGCTTCCTTCAGCCACAGACGGAGACACACTCCAACACAGTCCCAGTAAAGTGTGTCCAGTGAGAGATATATCACAACAATGACCCCAAAAGAAAGAGCCTGCGCGCCTTTTGCAAGTTGCTGTTGCCTGTTTCAAGTTTTGAGTTGTGCATCTGATCAAGGAAGCGCTACACCCCCCACGTGCGTAGCGGTTTGTAGGGGGGGAAGTGGTGGGCTGATCTTGAGATCCGGTTACAGGTGAAAGCGTATGAGGATGAACTGACATGTCATGATGTGTGAAAATGCTCCATAGACTTCAGTAAGAGTCTTGCCCTCTCCTGACCACTGCACACTGCAAAAACATTTATCAAACGCATTTACAACATGTGTGTAATGTTTATTTGTAAAGTGCTCTGTGTGACCTTGGATTGTGAAATCCAATATAAATATTCAATTTACGCTCATATAAGAAGGACCTGACAGTGTCATGTGTAAAATGTAATCCGGTATTGGTGTAATTTTCTCTGCTGTATGTACATTATTTGTGCTCATTTTTCCATGTCCTAAAACTGTAACAAAATTTTTTTTTAAAAAAAGTAACAAAAAAAAGAGCAGATATCATATCATATTTAAATCGCACACCTGCTACCAATTTTCAGCCAGAACATTGGGATTTATTTTAAAACATTTACAGGACTGTGGTACTTGACTGGACCTTAGACGAACCCCTGTCCGCATTGGCCCAGAACAGAATGACTCACCATTGTCCCCCCCATCCATAAAGCCGTCTTCTACATTAGACACATACCAGAGGGGTCACAATACATACAGCCCCACTGCACACAACAAAGCCAGGCCTCCAAAGGCAACAGGTGGGCACTAAATTTGGAACATGTGAACATTGGTTAACAGCATAAAGTAGGTTTGGCAAACGCGGTTGATTGGCAGAGCTGAACAGGAAGAGCTGCATTGGGGGCATTGTCAGTGAACATATGAGTCGATGGAAAAAAACATGCTATGATTATATTTATTAACAATTCCCTCCCCTTTGAGACACACCCCCAAGACTCGCCAAAACTCCTTCCTTTGCCTTTTGGGACACTGGGGAAAAAACAGGAGGGGGAACTTGACACTCTTGATTTTGAAGCCAGGGGCCCCCAGCCAAGTCATGTGTGAGCGTAGGACTAAATGTAGAGGGAACCTAACGCCATAACCGTGTAGCACAACCAATATAGTTTTAGGGCTCAATTTCCAAAACTGTGATGTACAATATTCCCTCTTTATTCAAGTCATGAAACTCAAAGTCATGGTTTAAATAGATTTTTTTTAAACTACATTTCAATTATTACTGTATCAATGAATGCCAAAAAAATATCAACAAAATGTGTTCTAAAAATAATTATAATAGATGTCCAAAAAGTGGGTCATGACATTAATATTTACAGTCTATGGTCATGACATTCATTGACATTGTATATTTAGAACTATCTCCAGCAAGCATCCACAATGCCCAACAGTGGGGGTGCAGGACACGTGGACAAACTTTAATCATTATTTATTTGAGTTGTGAACAGAGACAAGGGTGTGAATGTTGTGTATAATCCTGTGTTAGAATGAGACTTGCCTCTCCTTCTCCGAGTACAGCGGCCAGTCTGTAAAAGATGCCCTTCTTGCTCTGACCTGAAGGGGGTGATCTAGATCAAAATAATGAAGAAACTCATGTGAATGGGACAGGTGTTGTATTGACCACTGTAATAGATACCAACAGTGGTCGACAGTATGAGGGAAAAAATTGAAAAATATAGAAATAAATAAAATACATTTAAACATCTGTGTGTACAAGATGTTGTATTTTGGATCCCCTTTTGTGGAATGTCAGAGTGTCACAAAACACATGCATTATTCAACCGTTGCACACTCTGTGGTACTTACTACTGTCGCCACAGCTGCCCTGGGCAAATGGAAGTGGAGCTGCCGAAACAGCGGCGCCACCAAACCCTTAGACCACCACCAATCATTTACACACACCACTGTCATGTTCAAGTAATTTGAATTTCCTGGAAAGTCATTGATGATTCGATAACATGATTTGATGGGAGGAAATATTACAAAGGCAGCAGGGCCAATAGTTGTTCAGGGCCTCAAAGCCACCAGAAACCCCCAGTTTGAGTCACATAATGGGAGAAAGCGGGTTCTCTGATTATTAGAATGTTCATTTTTGGAGGATCTTTGGATGTGCGTATGTAAGAAAAGGCACCTGAGAAGGTATGTTTAAACTTGATTAGAATTTTAAGAACCGTATAAAACATTTGTACTGAAGAAGTATGAAGAGGAAAGAGATTGATGCCACAAGCACAGACTGAGTAGTGGGAGGGAGGTGTAGGGTCAGAGAGTGTACGTTATTTCTGAGTGTATGTGTGTGTGTGTTTGAGTGAGTAAGAGAGGATGGAGTCAAATAAGCGTTCACTTCATCCAACTTAGTTTGTATGTACAAACTACATGTCGATTGAAATAGATATATTTGGTTCATTAGGATACAACTGTTCAGAGCTTTCTGAATAACTAAAAGGATTAGGAGTCAATGGAGATACTTTAAAAACATGTGCAATATGTTCAATTTCGACAGGAGTGAAAGAAATAGGAAAAAACGTAAGAGTTCCTCTTTAAAAATACAGTTTGTTTTATGGATTCATTTTCTATACAACTAACTAACTAACTAACTAAATGAGTGACTGACTAACTGACTGACTGACTGACTGACTGACTAACTAACTAACTAACCATCCATCCATCCATCCATCCATTTTCTACCCTTTAATCCATTTCTGGGTCAGGGGGGTGGCAATCAGAGATGCCACCCAAGTCTCATAGCACCAGCCCCTCACTGACCCTCTGCAGGTGGTGAGTCCACAGGAGGACGGCTGCTCTCTGAGTGTGAGCATAGTCTTGATCTTTCAAGGCTATCTTTCTTTTACTAACTAACCAATCTTCAAATAGTCTTGATAATATTATTCTTTACTTACCTTTTTCTCGCCATGATAATCATCTCGGATCACTCCTCCCATCGAGTTTCGCTGCGTTTACGTCCCGTCGGACATCAGCTAATATAATATGTCTATGTGTGTAAAAGCGTATACAATTTAAGACATTTAACTATATCATCAATATGGATGCTTTAAGAAGAAAGTAAGCTAATTTATACTCCATATTTATTTTTTGCGTTGTAGCCTCGTCAATCTCCAATTGTCTTTCACGCATAAACGTTAATGGGATTATGTAAAATCCCATAGTTATGAAAGCGGCGGAGGCGGAAGGCAGCAGCGTGCTTTGGGATTGGCTTGGTACAATCTTAAAGCACTGCACTTCCCCCTTTCTTTTGGTGGGAATCCCCAAAACAACGTGCTTTTCACACCCAAATATTTTGGAGTTGGACTCAGACTCGTTCCCACGACCACATAGCAGCGAGTGAGGTTTGTAGTTGATATGAGTATGTCTACACGTGGTTTACTGCGCGTAGCGACTTTGCACCATTCATTTGGTCATTGAGGTGAAGTTTTGCGATGAGTTTGCGAAAATACGTCGATCTTACGTTTGTCTTGATTTTGTGTTTTATAATGGTAAGTGTTCTCGCCTTGAGTCAACTTTAAGTACTCTTTTATAGCTGACATATACACATTATAATCAGGTTGAATGATTGTGCCTTTTTTATTGAATGGCGCCCGCGATGAAGGCCGCTCGATAGAAAATGGACGTCATGTTAGCATCACAATAGCATACTTGTTAGCTTCATAAAAGTAATCAAACGAAATATAATGGGAATAGTCGCAACGATGAACACGTGAGAATGAAGTTTATTCGTCGTAACTTTGATTATTTTCTGTGCGAGTAAAATGCCTGCAGCCTACTTCCTGTTTTCGCATTTGTTTATACATTTTTTTTTTTACTTTTTCTCCAATTACGTAAACATTTTGTTGTAGCTGCTTTCATCAAAACAATAATTAATGGAGCGAGTCCGTTTCATGGAGTGAGTCCATTCTCTGTTGCATCATCTGCCAAACATAAACACTTCTTGCTATATGTGCAGTTTCATATGTCGATTGAAAAAATCATAAAATCCATCCATCTATCCATTTTCTACACCTTAATCCGTTTCTGGGTCGGGGGGGTGGCAATCAGAGATGTCACCCAAGTTACAGAGCACCAGCCCCTCACTGATCCTCTGCAGGTGGTGAGTCCACAGGAGGACGGCTGCTCTGTAAGTGTGAGCATAGCCTTGATCTTTCAGCGGGGGCTTTGGGCAAAGTGGGGTTAAGTGTCTTGCCCAAGGACACAACGACAGCAGACATCAGTGGAGAAGGTGTTGAGGTGGGAACTGAACCCACGACCTTCAGGCCAATGCTCTACCAACTGAGCTACTGTCGCCTCCATAATCAGACAATGTAATAATATTGTCGTTGACAAACATCAGGTTCAGTGCCACTCTAGTTCAAAGATTTGGAGACACTGGTATGGCTGTCTTTGAAAGTCCTAACTGTTTACTGTATTCTTTTGTCTTGTTAGTCTGTTGGACCTAGAGTCTGTACTAAAGTTGAATTATAAGGATGCTCTATTTATTTATGTGGGCTTTGATGTGAGTTTATGAACATGATCGATGCCTGTTGTACCTTTGTCTCCTATTGTCTTTGCAGGTGGTACAGTTATATTGAAGGCAATTCAGGATGGGTGACCTGCCCCTCAGCCAAGACACTTTTGCTGAGCTATGGGGGAGCTTGACGTACGTCGAGCACTGTCTGTTTAGCAATGCTTTCATCAAACTTAACTACAACTAATGTGTCTTAATGTGTTTTTCTATCTATTCCAGGGGGGGGCCATCTCGTTCTCCCATTGTGGTGGGCGAGGAAACCTGGACTGCTGTACTTATTTTTTTCTTTTTACATTAACTGAGATCTGGCTTTTTTAAGAAGTCTAATTCATGTTATATTTTACAGGAGTTTAATGCCCTTGCAGAAGGATTCGACGAAAAACTTTTTGAAATTGGAGGAACACCGGGTGCCTCATTTTGTTCTTCTGCTTCCTCGGTTCTGGAAACCTGCGACCATCCAGGGAACCATGATTTTACCCTCCGGTTTCAGAAATCTGGGACTGCAAAAAGCGTTACTTCAACGGTTAGTGCTGATGCTGTGTGTAATGTGATTTTTTTATTTTTATTATCTGTCAGTTACTGCATTCCTATGGACATGTTTTTAATTAGCATTGTTTTGATTACTCCTGAAGGCAGTGCATCTGGTCTTACCAGTGGAACTGTTGTGTCCTTAGCAGATAAAGAAACCTGAAGGTTGGATAGTTATAGGATTCCTAATTGAGCACCAAATTATTTTGTTTCTCCCTTCTTTTTTCCACCAGGCACTTGTGCTATTGAAACCAAATGTTGTATGTAACAGAAAAGTGGGGCTTGCAGACCATAGTCTCCTTGCTCTAAAATGTTTTAGTTGGAGGATTTCAGTGCTCGAGTTCTAGTTTGTTTTGTAGCTGGAGTTTAAACCATTTTGTTTAAAGGGACTGGTATTTTTAGAGCTACATTTGGACAGTTTAATGCCAAGGTTTCAAAGGAACCTGTTAAATTTGTTTTATTTTTAAATATCAAAAACGGATGTAGTAAACTGCCAAACATAACTAGTCTAACTGAAGAATATCTAAATGTTCTTACCTTTTATGTTTTAAGCGATGCGAAAATGTAGTTCTTTCAAATCTTCGTACTTCATTCATGTGGAATCATTCATTGTGACGATTCGCCAACATTAATGGGCTGTCGCTGCTTTAGGATGGCCAATGACAGTTGCTTTTCCTGCGTGACTCGGCCAGCAGCCTGCTGCAGTTGGTCAGAGCAGATAAAGTTGGTGGTCTGCAGTGCGGCCCTCCCCCTGGTCCTGGGCTGTACTCTGCACAGAGCTGAAGTCTGGCTGTAAAGCCGACATGACGGGACATGTCCCTGCAAGGACTTCCTCCAGCGCCCAAATGGTTAAAATTGAATTGAGGAAGGTTTTAGCTGTTAGTTCATTGACAAACCTTAGTCATTAGAGATTCAGATTTGTAGCTTTTAATTTTGTTCAATTTTAAGGAATGGTAAAGTTAAAAATCTTTTAGCTTTACCTTTTTTATAATTTTACTAATTTCTGATTTTTATTTAATCTACTTTATCTCAAATTTAAGTTTTTGCTTTTCTTTCTCAGTATTCCGAAAGCCTTAATAAACTTTATTGCCAGCTGGCAAAAACCAGCCCAGTGGAGGTGCTGGTCAGCAAGGAGCCTCCACTGGGCTCCGTGTTGAGGGCCACTGCTGTCTATAAGAAGACTGAGCATGTGGCAGAAGTGGTCCGTCGATGCCCCCATCACCAGAATGAGGACGGTAAGGAAAAAGCCAGTCTTTAATTTTCATTCAGTTTTAACTTTTTTTTCCTAAATTATATTTGTGTGTCTGCAGTGGTGGCACACAGAAGCCACCTGATAAGGATCGAGGGCAGTCAGCTCGTGCGTTATTATGAGGATGCAAGGACTAACCGCCACAGCGTGACTGTGCCCTACGAGCCGCCGCAGGTATCCTCTTGAAATGTGGGTTTTAAAGGGAGCACTTGTGCAGGATGTGCTTGTGTTTCAGCTCGGTGCAGAGAGGACCACCATATTGCTAAGCTTCATGTGCAACAGCAGTTGCATGGGGGGCATGAACCGCCGTCCCATACGCACCATTCTAACACTCGAGACTCCAGAGTAGGATTCTTTTCCTATTTGGGAATTTGTAATTCTATAGTCCTCTTTAAATTGTGACTCTGTTACATTGTGGCATTTTTAGAGGGGTGGTCCTGGGTCGAAGGAGTTTTGAGGTTCGTGTGTGCGCTTGTCCTGGGAGGGACAGGAAAACTGAGGAGGGCAATCAGGACAAAGCCCAAACTGACGTGAAGCAGCCCAAAAAGAGAAGTGAGTCTTAAAATGATGGGACATTAGAGTAAAATAAATTAATAAATGACAATGTTGACTTTTGCTTTTGAACAGAAAGTGTCCCAGTTGTTCCTCCTCTCAAAAGGACAAAATCAGCCTCAAGCGATGAGGATGATAAGGTGTTCACCTTACAAGTAAGCGGCTGTGACTACGTCTTTGATTCTGTTACTTTTTTGTTAATCTTGTTTATCCGCACACATTCACCCATTTCTATTTGGTTCATTCCCCAGGTTAAGGGCCGTGAGCGTTTTCAAATGCTCAAGAAAATCAATGATGGCCTTGAGCTGCTTGACAAGGAGAAGTAAGACTTTATATTTTTAGAGTCCATTCTCTTTAGTTTCTTGTTATTATTATTGGGCTTTTATTACAAGCAGGTCTATAGCCATAATGACATGAACCTACAAAAACTATACACTTAAGTTAGAGTCGGTTCTTTTTTTGAAAACAGAAAGAACAAGCCTAAAGACCCTGTCCCGTCCAGTGGAAAGAGACTTCTGGTCAAAGGAGAGAAGAGCGAGACGGAGTGAGCGTCTGCATGCCCGCTGAACATTTTGTTTTTTAGTTTTCAGGTTAAAGCATTTGTAAGCTAATGCATTCAGTCAATATCTATGTACATATACTGCCTTTCGAATGAGACTTAAAATGTTTCGATCATGTATTCTCTCATTCGTCCAGGATTGAGCATGTAAAGTTTTCACTGGACTGAATTTTCATTTTTTATTGGATTTTAATTTTAAATTCTGAAAGCTGGATTCATGCTACTTTTTAAACTTGCTGAATTCGTTCTTCCATGTTTTTAACTGAATACCAAATGTGGCTATTTTAAGTCTTTTTTTCTTTTTTTTTTTGTCTGTGTTGACTATATATGTTTTGCAAAGACACAATATAATGTATTTAATTGGCCAAGTGAAAAGATGCCAACAGTATTGGCACAGTCTCTGTAGAGAATATGGAACAATGTTTTGATAAGTGTCAATTTTGTTTTATTCATGACCAGTATTGATGCCACTATTGCAAGAACAAACCTGTTGTTTAGTTGCCAAATGAGATGGCCATTTGTTTTAACTTATAAAAAAAAATCTTGTCAATAGAACATTTACTATTGGAGGTAAAGGTTAATCGCGCGATCAAGTTTTCAACGCTAAAAGTCCTGGTATATTCAGCACCTCACTTTAAGTTCAGTCACCTGCTTCTGACATGACCACTTTCTAGCTGCAAAGCATATTTAAAGGCATTCCTTTTTTTATATATATATATATATATTGTTGTAGACATTTAGTTTTGTACAAGAGCTTTTGTTTCTATATATTTTCGTTCATGACCATTTTGTATTAATCCTCTTTTATAACCGGTGCTGTAAGCCTAAATAAAGTTTATTCCCCCTCTCATCGTTTCTATTTATTCTCTAGTTTAATGTCAACACTTTAAATTGTTTTTAAATATCGAAGCTAATTCCATTTTAAATGTGTTTTATTGTAGACTTGTATGAGATGTAACTGCGGATAATTCTGCAATGCTTTTCTTGTACAATAAAGCTACAGTGTATTCATGAACTACACTTTTACATTTGTAATATACTGTATGAGGATACTGTTGGTCTAAAATATTAGTTCTTCAGTCTGTTTTACATGACTGTTTCCTGCAGGAAGTAGTTTGCATGTTAGCTGGCTGAACATGCAAATCCAGTATCAATGTCTCCTTGTTTTATCAAAGTCTTTTATATGCAGCTGGTCAGAAAGCTTTGTATATTTTCATGATGCAGCACAGACATTGCCATCAGACCATTTGACGTCTTCGTTAAAGGCTCAGGATATTCGTTTCTTCTGAATGAACATGGCAAAAGTTTTGCCAATGGACTTGTGCGGTGTGTTGGCCCTCTGGGGTAAGCTGATGTGGGCCCTCAACATGTTAATTGCTTTTTCCTTCTCTTTAAAATGTTTGTTCTCTGAATTTGTCCTTAAGTTGTGATGTTGGCGTGTGGCTTGGCAGAGTTGCAGTACTTTCCTCAACATACAAATTACAACTGGTCTGAGGCGAGGAATCACTGCCAGGTACAGTTTATTTATTTGATCAGGTACTGGGTGATCTTTAGCTTTTTATCTTTGAGAGAAATGGCTGCAAACGCATTCCTTATTTAATGCAATAACACTGTCAGTCCTCCATCAGGCTGGCATTCATTTTAAAATTGGAATTATACAGGAAAAAAACAGGCATAGTTAGATTTTGGCAAATTTGAGGATCCTTACTTTTTCCATTTTATTATCACTTCCTGTATTTTAAATAGACCTTTTGATGGGAGGGATACTAATGTCCTCCACAAGGCTCCTAAAATGACCTATTGTATCAGTTCATTGTAAATATCTTAGAGGATTGTGTCACCATCAGATACATTTATTATGTGTTCAAATGTGTGTTTTTAATTCTTTAAATGCCTATGCAATTAGAATCAAAGAAAAATTACATTCAAAAATCAATCCAAATTATGTATATAAACTTGTTTACATATTCACAATGTAAATATATACAGGATACAATATAAACTATAAACTAGCTTGATAAGTGGTTGTACGAAGCAGACAGTGTCTCCAGCTGCTCCCACTGTAAATTTGTGTCATATCACATATCTGTCATATGAATTATTACAAAAACAATGAACGACATATCGTTTGCATATAAACCTTTGGGACAGATTTACATGTTGTTCTGGAATAGAATGTGAATTATTCTGGAAATACCCAGCACATAAACAAATGTGTGAAAGTTCCTGTTGTCTCTGGCACATGCTGGACTGAAAGCTGCTATTTTTTTATCTAGTTCTTTGAATCCTGCGCTGCTATATAGCGAGGTGGCCAATGTATGTAACACGGACAATATCCTTAACCTAAAGAGAGAGATGCTTTTTACCAGGTGTTGGCACGAGTCCTAATTTAGTCGCCCGTCAAGCTTTATGCTGTTATTATAAACAATCATATAATGTTAAACAATCGTCATAAATAACACTGATCCGATTGTTGCATTCACCTCAATCAGCATAAAATAATCTCTCATTTTGCTTTAAAAGTAACAGCACAAACATGGAAAAACCAGGAAAGGGTGAGTGTAATCTTAAATATATCCCTTTATTTTGTTGTAAGTATGTAATATGAGTGTGAAACTTAAATTATTTTGGGTCTGACTTCACATTACGTTTGGTGCAGGTCTGTTTCAAAGATCTTGTGACTCTGACTCCTGAGAACATTGTGACAATCGTCCGGAACATTTCCTCGGATCACTGGATTGGCCTCCGCAAGCGCCCAGTCAGCCTCCCTGTCCACTCCTATAACGACACCTCCTCTTTCTGGTCTCGCTGGGCCAATGGGGACCCGCTGACGTTTCAGAACTGGTACCCGGGCTACCCAGTTTTCAAATCCCCCACAATGGACTGCTGCAGCTGCCAATGTACCTGCCCTCTACAGCCTCTAACCACACCTCAACCTACACTTAACACAACTGTGCGGAGAAATTACACTTTTCCGAACACCACCTATTTTAGCTCACATACAAGTCAGAGTCCATTTAACCCTACGACTCCAAACTTGTCCAAACCAATCCAGTCTGAGTGTGAGAAAAGTCCGATGGTGTTCCAAGATGTGCCTGATCCGAATGAGAACTACATAGAAGATGGCTGCGTGGTTGTGCTGAATTTTGGGGCATGGGTTGAAAAAGAGTGCTCGATGCTCCTGCCTTTCATTTGTTATGAAGGTAATTCTGATTCACTATAACAGAAAGCATATGCATAAGGCACACAAAACACATTAGAATTAGATTATATACCTGACGTTTTGGTAAAATGTTGTATTTTGTATGTGTACGTATAGGTCTGTGTGTATATCTCACTTTATTTTTTGTAGGATTTGGTCAATTGTTTACCTTCTATAAGTTCAACGCTATTTTAATAGATATTTATAGATATATGGTAGAACAATATATCCCAATTTCTTCATATATTTCAAACCGTCATGAATACTTTAAAGTAGCAATATGTCAAAAGGCATTAATAAAGCATTCCCTTTTTGGATACTTAACTGATAATAGTCGAGATATTTGAATTTCATCTCATTACGGTCAAATCATCAATGACAAAACAAGGAATAAAACATGGGTTTCTATCGGGGATGCCTTTGTGAAAAAGTGTTGGTTATAGATTTGTTGTCGACAAAACTCTTGCCTATTCAGATATTATGGTCCCGGCTGGATTCATCTGCATATCTGGCAACCTGAGTAAGGGAGAGTGGGAGAGGTTGCAGTACCGCTTATGGCCAGATTCTTACATATTGCTCCTTTAAACTTCAAGATCTCATGTTTAATGGTTGAAATAATTTATCTTAAAGAGTGTGTGAAAAATGGCTGAGAGTCCTACAATCTGTCCATAATCAGCGCTCTAAAGAAGTGAATGTCAGCGAGTGTCTAAAAGTGAAAAGAGAAGCTCTGTTTTAGACCCGCCCATGCTCACCCCAGCAGCTCCCTGATTGGTCAAAGTTAAATCAAATCTCGTCATTGGTTTAACTATTCTCCTCCTGCAAATCTTACTGGTCAAAGTGACGCCAAAGGAAGGGACTATTTTAAATATATTATTGTCAAAAAATACAGTAGATAATAGTACAATGCCCCATCATCAGAAATATACATTCCTTTAGAAATTAAATACAATTTCAGTTTATGACATTTACTGAGCCTGTTTGTCATCGCCATTTATCTTAACTTGCAGAGCGGTTCTTTGGCCAAGTTCAGGTGACAAACATCACATCATCCAGTGCAAAACTCAATTGGATGCAGGCACCGGGTGATATCGAATTTTACCGTGTGAAGGTCCACCCTGAAGGTCCGCAGAATGAAACTGTCCTTGAGAGTTTAACCCTAACCGTTCAGAACCTGACTGCAGGGACTAAATACTTTGTTCAAGTGTTTCCCGTCAAATGTGGCCGAGAACTCAACCCACAGAACAAGACTTTCTACACAGGTATTGACCTCTCCGTCCACATGGTTGTCATTTGTGCTAACTGTAATTGTCTCTTTTTGTTCAGTGCCAAACAACGTGTCAAACTTGACTGTGGTAAACGAGACGGTAGATTGTGTATCTCTGAGTTGGATCCCGCCTTCAGGTAACGCGGACATATACTTAATCAGATCAGAGGGAAAAACAAACGCCACTGTAAAAAAAACCGAGGAAACTGTCTGCAACTTGAAAGCTGGGAGTTTGCACATCTTCACCGTCCAATCAGGAGTCGCTGACGAGTCACAATGGAGTGAAATCAGCAAAATCTCTGCATTCACCAGTAAGCAGTACATGTTTATGTTTGTCTCTGACTGTTGGTCTGCTGGCAGTGTTGAGGAGAAATGTGCTGTGTAGATGGAACGTGGTGATGAGAAGAGGCAATACAGATTTTGTGACCTTGGTGCTTTCCCAGTGCAAGTTATTGGTATTGCCTGCACCAGTTTGCCAATTATGACGCTAACATGAGGTCTATGCTCTAGAGTTCTGTTGTAGTGACATAATGCATTAACTATTGCTTCATCTTCCCATTAGATCCTGAAAAAGTGTCTAATCTTCAAACCGAAAACGTCACAGACAGCTCCTTGTCTCTTTCATGGAAACAAGTCAATGACACTAATTATGTTGTGTCTTGGTGTTATAAAAACGGGTAGGTTACATAAAGTGTACAGTATATGCATACTTTAAGTACATATACTGTATGAACTGCCTTTTGTTAAGATTACAGCTCTATTTCTGTTTTCATTAGGACATCTGATGACCAGTTATGCGAGACCGATGTGAATGAAACTAAAGAGATCAGTGATCTCCCCAGTGGGACTAATATTTCTGTGAGCGTGACAGCACTGGCAAACAAAAGAAGAGGAGAACCTGCGACAATATTCACTCTCACCGGTGAGTTAATGATACAATATTAAGACAGAATAAAGCAATGCATTGTTGCTTTATCATGTTTTTCCCTGTAGCCCCAAAGAAAGTACAAGAACTAAACCTTTACAGCACAGAATACACCATCACCGCCAAATGGATTTACCCTAATGGGTTTCCTAACTTTAGAGCTGAGCTGTTACCAGGAGGTGTTGTGAGAGAGAATATCAACACATACAATGTGACATTCGATAAACTGAACAGTTCCACGAGGTACACTGTAAAAGTCTACAGTGTGGCTGAAAAGAGCAGTGAAGAAGTCTCTGCGTCCAAGTATACCTGTGAGTTTTTCCAATGCATGCCTCTCATACGGTCTCACAGTTGCAACATTTTAAGACTATTTCTATCCCATTCCTTGATTTCAGTACCTGTGCCTCCGCGTGAACTGAAATGCACTCATAGCAACAAAACTCACCTCCGCTTCGTGTGGTTGCCACCTAAAGACACAGAGAAAGCGGATTATAAAGTGACGCTTAAATCAGATTTTTGGAGGACTGATGAGTCCATGGTCGTGAAGAAAGAGACAGAGTACACGTTTGGGAAACTGAAATCAGGGACAACCTACACCTTTGAAGTCCGGACAATGGCCGGGGATCTGCTGAGTAACCCAATGAAAACCAAACATGCTACAGGTGAGACCGGTAATGTAGAAAAATCAAACTTTGAGCTACAATCTCGGACGCCACGCTGACCACTCACTTCAAGGTCAAAATGCAGAAATGTACTTTTTAATTGATACACTAAAAGCTTTGTTTGAATAAAAAGTTTCATAACGCACCTTTTTTACATTTCTCTTCAGTTCCTGTTCTGAAGCAAATCTCTTTGTCCATGGTGTGCTCCTCTGCCCAGTCTCTGCACTGTGCCGCCCAAGCGAGCAAGGAGAGTGCGTTTTCAAAGGTAAAGCTCCATAGCCAATAGATTCTATAGATTCACGTTCTTTTCAACCAACCTTCCTCCTAACATTTTGCATTTTACTTTAGATGAAAAACGAATTTAACAATTTACTGGAGGACCACATATTCTGGAGCCTCAAGAGAATAAATACATCAATTACGGGAGTCTAATCTCTTGATACCAAAGATTTTTTTTTTTTCTCTCAGTTGCTTTGTTTAGAACGCTTCCCTGTGTGGTATTGAACTCATGTATCAAGTTATTAGTCACCTCTGTGAACTTTGGCAGTATATCATTTGTCAGAAAATAGAAAGAATATCTAGATGGTAGAATACTAATCAAGTTGTACTAGCATACTCATTTTTTAATACTAATTCAGTGTACTTGTTTTGTAATTTTCACATAACGTTTTCAGTTTTATTGTTATTAAATAAATGTTATACTTCATTTATATGACTGTCATAAACCTTTGAGGTCTCTTCACTCACACCCTGAAATCCGATAACAAAGATAACAAACTGACAAGGATCTAATCAGTGATATCGTGAACACAGCATACATTCTGATGGCAGAAGACCAAAGTACATAAGTGACATGTTGGTCCCATACGAACCAGCCCGGACTCTGAGGAGCACAGGGACTGGACTCCTGCTGGTGCCCAGAGTCAGAGCTAAACATGAGGAGGTTGCATTCGGTCCTAAGAAAGTGAGACAGGCTTCTTCTCTGATAATGTTCAAATTATTAATTATCTTCACACTTTGTATCTACTGTAGTTATATATGATTGTAATGCCTTGTTTTCTTTTCTTGTTTTGTTTGGAACTTATGTATGAACTGTGCAATACAAATAAACTAACCTTGCCTTAAAACAGTTATCAGCTTTTGGATAAATGTCACATACACTTATCCAAAAGCAGCCTTTATGAGGGAAAGAAATACCAGCAAGTACCTTCTACACTACAAAAATAGAAAGAATTACTAAGAAATTTTTTATTCATGCACAAAAACTTTAACTTAAAATAAAACTTAACACCTTCCCCATGGGCTGATTTCTTGAAAATAGATATTTTCTCATTGACAATTAACTTATTTCAAGATTCTTCGGATCTATTTCCATTATTCCAGAGTCTAAGGGAACTATCTAGTTGTTAATTGTTTATTGTGTAAAATGGAATTTCTTGCTTAAAAGCTTAAGTCAGTTCTTGTGGGTTTTCCAGTGTTTTTCCAGTTGTTTGGTCTTCAGTGTGTGGATGTGAGGGTCATATCAAAGTAACCAAGTAGATACAGGACTCGTACCACTCCAAAATCAATTTAAATATTTAATAGAATACTAAAATAATAAATAGAAGCAAAGCAGAACATTCTCAACGTTAAAACGACACATAGGTTTTGCGATTTAGAACAAACTAACATCACAGAGACAAACCAATATATTTACTAAAATCATTTCCATCCTTTTTTATTTATAATTCATAAAAATGGAAATGGGGAACTATGTATATCACATGGGGGCGACAGTAGCTCAGTTGGTAGAGCATTGGCCTGTGGGCCTGAAGGTTGTGGGTTTGAGCCCTCCATAAGACACTTAACCCCACTTTGCCTAAATCTCCCTCTGAAAGATCTCAGCTCCTGTGGACTCACCACCTGCAGGAGGATCAGTGAGGGGCTGGTGCTCTGTGTACTGGGTGCTCTGTGACTGCCACCCCCTGACCCAGAAATGGATTAAGGGGAAGAAAATGGATGGATGGATGGATGTATAACGCATACAACATTGAGACATCTATTGCTGCTTTTTGCTTTTGGTCCAGTCTCAGTCTTAACAGTTGGCAAGACACTTCACCCACATTGCCCTAGAATGTGTCTGGTGTGTGGGTGAATAGCTGGTGGTGGTCGGAGGGGCTGATGGGCACATACTGGTTGCCTGCCCAGGGCAGCTGTGGCTACAGTAGCAGTATACACAACTGTGTATACTGCAGAAAGAATAATGACATGTGAAGTGTCTTTGAGTGTCCAAAAAGTACTATATAAAATAAATGCATATTATACTTCTGACAGAAGACTGAGGCACTCAAAAGTTACAAATATCTTTAAAAGCCTTTATTTGACATGGCAAAAAGAGGTTAAAATTACGCCTACGCGTTTCAGCCTTCTGGCCTTCTTCAGGGCATACTGATGCCCTGTAATTTTAGCCTCTTTTTGCCAGAACTATCAACATTGGTCCCTCCACTGAAGAGCACCAAAAATTTACTTTTTTCCTCACTTTTTTCCTCATTTAATTTTTACATCCAAGAAGCACTCCAGCCCCGTCTACTGCATATTATACTTATTTACAAAAATACTTCTACGCCTCGAGAATAAATGTGAATATCAAGTGCGTTCTCCACAAGCCTTTATCGCAATCTACATACTGCAAATGTGGCATTCACCTCAAGAAAGGAAACATGATTCAGCTTTTTGTCTTTTTGCACATTACATTGAGCATTGTTAGCTTTTTTCAGGGCTAAAATTTCAAAGTGGCATTCCAATTCTCTGGTTTGAGAGTAAGTCTCATGGATGTATTTTACTGTATTTTATTGGTCTGTCTGTAGCAAAGACTGTAGATGGTTATAATTTCCAGGTTACAGTCTGTCTCATGATCCAGTGAAAGTGCCCATCTTACTAAGGCTCTGAGGCACGATCCTCATGACCGTGCTCCCATCCATCGGTGCAAACAGCGGGTAGAGTTTCCCCTCAAAGTTGCCGTTGTTGAAAGTGTAAATGTGCAATTTTGTCTCCGCGTTGAAGAAGGAAATCTGTCCTTCTTTGTAGTCAAGGTAAATCCCAACACGCCGTGGGACCAAGCTCTGTGGCAGCTCTGTCTCCGGTTTGGAGCAGGCAAACAAGTGGTTAGAACTGCGCCAAAGCACCCAGTATCCTCCCTTGGGGCTCATGGGGAAGCGGCCCTCGCGTTTGGATATGGCGGTGGTCAGTCCCACTCGCCACGAGCTTCTTCTGCCGACATCCACCTCCCAGTAGCGCCGGCCGTAGCTGTAGCCCTCCCAGGCCAGGACGCACGGGAGCGTGTCGAAGCGCAGTGAGTTATAGGGCAGGTCGGACTCGGACTGAGCCTCCTGGACCGTGCGCTGGTCGTCTGACAGCTGTAGCCAGGGATTGTGGGTAAGAGGGTCCAACACCACATCAGCTGTAATGAAAAAGGAGTGTTATAGTAGATTTATATAGTACAGCACTTTTTAGGTTGCATTTTCCTTGGGGACAATACAGTTTATCTTATCTTATTCTGGAGGTGGGTAGTTAAAAAATATTTCCTGGTAGCTATGGTAATTTCTCAATAATTGATCTGAGGCCAAATCAAATTTAACTTAGTGACAGTTTTTGTAGTTCCACATCTTCTTTGTCAGCACATATCAACTTCAGAATAATTATTTTCTCAATAATATGTCCAGAAGCGGTTACTCTGAAGTGGTACGTGGTCGTTTAAAAGAAATCTATGCATAATGTTGGCCAGTAGAAAGGCTGACATCAGACATGAGAATGATGGTGGGTTTGGGAATCGAATAACTACCAAATAAAGATGCGCATTTTCTGCATCAACATTCTTTCAAAAAATCATGGTCATTTACTGTAATTTGATAAAAGATAATAACACGTTTTGGGGTCTCACCCGCTGCACTGCAAATCCAGGTCCATACTGTGAACATAAAGAGTTCAATCAGAAAACCAGGTCAAAAAAACATTGTTGTGATGGTAGTAGTAGTAGCAGTACCTGAATTGGGAATATATCTCGGTGTCCCAGCCTCCCAAGTCTTTTGTTTTGCCTGTAGCCACAGCTGAGGGACCATGTTCTGAAACAAGACAAAAAGTAGGTCACTTTTCATCAATGTTCAAGTGAACCCTTTGAAACGAAGGTAAAGATATTGAAAGGACACATGTTGTTAAAAACTAAACTTGGGGCAGATCTATAGATAACCTTTGTGCGTACAGGCTCCACCCACCCGCTCCTGAAATCAGCTGGCACCGGGACAGATGGCGAGTCATATAATGCAGTATTATAAAAGTTCAATCTGATGGGAATCTTAATTTATTGGGTCAAATGATGAGTTGGAGTTCAAAGTCTCTGATCGATTTTGAGTTAAAGGCAGTTTATCCCCTTCATCCCGGCTCCTGTCAGACTGTACAACAAGTCACTTTAACAACCTGCACTGCTATAGTCGCTTTTGATTTGATTTTACATAATAGACCTTGCACAAAATAGACTCTCCTTTACTTTTTAGCATGTTTGCACATTTCCAGTCTTTTGCACAACCTGAGTGATCAATACATTTTTCTCCATAAAAAACACATTTAAGTAATTTCATGACTGCAAATGTCACTTTTTTAGTTGTATATAAGACACCTCTATTGAACACCTTATATCTATTACTATTCACACACCCTGAGCAATCTAAACTGAGGTCAAATGTAACGTATAAATACTTAGAATACATTTTGCACTGGTATCTATAAAACCGTATACACAATGGGTAGAAGCTGAAATATTTGAAACAAGACCACAAAGACTGTAGTTGTTTGCAAAGGACTTAATAAATGGTCAAACTCTCACCACACTGTCTTCTCTGAGCAGCGACCATGTAATAAACTCCAGCAGCGGGAGCAGGTTTCCCAGACGGTTCTTTTTGAGGCCCAACAGACGAAGGACACGGCCCAGCTTCTCACTCGGCACGCCACAGTTCTGAGGACCGAAACAAACACAGAATTTCATCAGCAACAGCCTCTTTGTTTTAATAGAGTCCTAACCCTAGACCAGATTATAATATTCCTTACACTACAGTAATGGACCAATTAAATTTGAGTCTGAAATAAAGATGACTAATAATTGTGCTGAATTTGTGCTCTTCAAATATGCACAACTCTATATATATTTACAGAGTGAGTTATGTTCTCTCTGAGTAATGTAAATAGAGAAAATAGAACACTCAATGCTTGTGTTAAATATGGCAGCCACCACTCGTGTTTCGATGTCGGTTTACCTCCATTGCCTCTTGGAGCTCCTTGGCCCAGGCCATGATTCTCATCTGCGACTCCTCTTGTGCATTATTGTCTTTATCTTGCTTTGCTGGATCTTCATGCAGCTTTTTGCTTTCCTTCAGCACCTAAATATTCAGAAGAAATGATAAAAAGTTCTAAAACTGAACTTCAGACAGATGTGTAAGAAAGTTACCTCATCAACGTGGCGGAGGTCGTCGGCCCATTGTATAATCAGCTTCCTGCTCTCGTCCAGGCTCCTCTCAGTCTGATTCTGAGTCTGCTCCTCTTCTTCAGGCTCAGCTGAACCCTGCAACCACCAAAACACACTCTTATTCATCATTCCATATGGTGAGCAGCAGTGGGAGGACTCACAGGGAGAAGTATGGTAATTGAGCATGCACTGTCTTCTCCTTTCTCCTACTTTATCAGTCATCATTATGACTTCAGCTGTCGTCTATTCACTGCTGTTCACCCGCTGCCCCATTGTTTGTTTCATGGTGGGATGATGGAACCCCTGAACCCGGCACTTTGACCTGCACTTATGAACTGGTCCTCATTAAGTCCTCATTCTACAGCTTATTTGTCCATTTGTCCATGCGTCCATGCGTGGGAGAGGATCCCGCTCTCAATGTAGGTGTCCCAGACGTTTCTAAAAAAAATTCTCACTAGGATTTTGAATTGTTCCCTGCAGGAGGGTCTAAAGACAGTGGTGATGATCCAGGACACTTTTGGACATTTAAGGACATTTATGGACAGTTGTCATCCTGCTCGCTATAACAATGGCTCCTGCGTGATGGTTTTTATTGCAGTTGTTTGACTGTTTGATTCTCTGATCTGTTGCTCCCAAAATAGACAAACTTGTATAAGACTCTGAGATGACTGCTTTCGTGACTTAGGTCTATAAGAAATAGATTTATTTGAATTGAATTGACTCATCCAGAGGGCACTGAACTTCATAACATCTTCCTTATCTCTACGAAAGCAGTAAATCTGTAAAAGGCAATAAACTTTGGCCGTTTGTTCTCACAAACATCGTTTGTTGGAAGATTACGTTGAAATATGAAGAATGGTGGTCTATAATTTAAATGTATCATCTATAATCTGAATCATGACAAACACATGTTTGTGTTACATGTTCAAGCCTGTATTCAGTAACCTTCAGTAGAACGGTCAAATTTAGTCTAAAGACGAATAATGATTCTCATTATTAAACCCTTCACCAATCACATTATTATATCACATCTTTTTCAACTCGTTTCAACTCAGAAAGATAGGAACATACTCCAGTTCAATATTGATACCATGTAAAAGGGTAATTCAATAATTTAGAGCTAAGATGGACAACAAAATATTGAAAGGTGGTCACTGGTTAGCCAAGTGCCAGTTCCCCTGTGTTTGCCATGAATAAGCAAGTATACATAGTTCCCACAGACCAATGAATGTCACATGACCTCCTCGGAGACGCCATCTTTGATGGCACGCTGCTGTGTTTGTGCATTCCATTAAACAGAAGAATGAGAATAAATGTAGATATTCAAACGCAAATTGGAAAAAAAAGGGGCAACTTTTGAGCAAATAATTGTATATTAATACAATGGCACCACAGTTTAACGTGCTACGGACATGTTTTACATATTTGATCAAATTATGCAGCAAAAATTAACAAGCAATGCAAACATTTCTCAAAAACTTTAGATTTAATACCAGTTGGAGCTCCATTTAATTATTTTAATTATATTAACAATTAATTTAATTAATGCTAATGCCACACGGACACTCTGGATTGCTGTTATTGTTTATTTCCGCGTTTTTGACCGTATGTTTTGGTGAATGGTGGGCAACTGATTTTTCCAGGCGTAAAGAGCAGTTTATTTTATGACACAGATCTTTTTACAGAAGCAATGCTGTTTGTGAACATTGTTTTAGCCCACCATAGAACTATTATTATCTATTTAATACATTTACGTTGCCCTCGAGAGCCTCGGACGCGACACCGATCCTCCTCATAATAAAGTAATCTAACGCTAAATAATGAAACTCTCAAGTTACCAGCTATCAGCATACACAAGTTAGTACTGAGTAAATTACGTCTGTCAACACATTATAAGATACGATACGCACCTGACACAAAGTGCTCCGAGCATATTCTTGCGTGTTTTGAGGGAGTTTCTTGCCTGTTTATCTTCGCAAGCCATAACCTCCGTGGTTGTTCTGACAAAAGCTTAGTCTTCTCACATTCATGAAGTCTAATGATGGGTATACTGTAAAATCCAAGTTTAACGGAACCTCCGGCACGATTTGAACATCCATTGACCCAGCAGGAGATGACCATTTTCAACTTTATCACGACATTAACACGTTTCAGCTTCTTTTTCTATTGTTTTGCCCACAGCATGCCAACACAAATGGCGCCGGGTCGGCAAATCCCCGTATGTAGTGACGTCATGTGGGAACTATGTATATTAAATCTAATTAATGTAATTGCAAAGCAGGCTAGCACACAGCCCTTCATATACTCTAGCCTATATTTGCTTACTCATTTTTCCTGTTGTACCATTATCATTGTTGAGTACTTCTCTCCGCGTGTAAAAGCAGTATTACGTAAAGCACATGTGTATCAGGAGCCTACCTTGCAGACTCGCTCCACCTGCTGCTTCCAGTGCTCGATGAACTGGACGCACTCCTGCAGACTGCGCAGGTCCCGCAGGCTCTGCTGACGCGCGTACTGCGGACACACACGGCACAAACTTCATCTCTGCTTTAGATTCACCAGGCATGTCCAAACTTAGTCTGGAATCTAGTTGTTAACGCTAGAACTCACAGAACAGTCAATTTGACGGTTTTTTGTTTTGAAGGTGTAATGACTCCGATTATGTATATTTTTGGTCCTCATAACTTTGTGACTTTTTCTGTATCTTTATGTAGTTTATTTCTATGTTATTAGGTTTATGAAATTATCTAGATCCTAGCCTGGTTTAGAGCAATCTCAGGTTGGAGCGAGTGCTTGTTACCATAGCAACACATTGTTTACTTGCAGCAGTTAGCGTTTAGTTTAGCTGGATTGCAGTAGCGGTTAGTGAAAACCTAAAACTTGTTGGTGATTTTTTCAGAATTCCACTAATTTGAAAGGAAGCCGTCAAAAGGACTGCTCTGGGAGTTCTGGTAGTTTCAGAATTCTGGGAGCTATGGTGTTAACTTTATAAATATTAACTATTTATTTTCCATGTATGGCTCTAATGTAGCTGTGGTGTAAAGCCATATAGACATTTCCAGTCTATAGACGTGTCATACCTAATTTTAAATCTCAGAACAACCTGAATCCGGTCATATTAAGAATCTCTTAATATGTTTTTTACAATCCATATTAAAAGATTCTTTATTTGTCCCACAGTGGGGAAATTTCAGTGTTGCATCACCGGTTACAGAACAATAGGAATAAGTAGCACACAACACAAGATAAATGAGCAATTACCCTACACTAAAATAAAATAAAATCTTGGCCCATGGACACATTTATTAACTAAAGTATTAACTAGATGTTCTGTGTGGCAGTGTTTTTACCTGTGAGGACTTGGATAATGACTCGTGTCTGGGGGTCCTGCTGGGTGCAGAGCTGTGGGCCGGAGCGTTCTCCTCGGGAAGAGCCCAGCGGACCGCACAGATGGAGCTGTGTGTGGTACTGTCCCCCTTCAGCACCGCCCGGACCCCTGCGGAGAGCGGGACACCCATGTATCAGACCATCACGGCACAGTGGTATTAAACAAACTGCACATTTCACAGCAATAAGACCGTTCCATACTTTTGTCAGACTTCAGAATGCTCTTGAGCTCCACGGCGCCTGGTCCCATGTCTGACAGAAACAAAATAGAAACTTTTCAAAGTTTGGAAGACATTAAGAAATCAAAGTGTATCCCCATTTATTTATTTATTTTAACTTTATTGTGTCATCTTCATTAATTCACACTTTCTTCATGTTACAGACACATTTTGAGTTATTTTATCCTTTTTTCTCACTATCCTGCTCTTGTGCCAAAACCCCCCTGAAATAATGCTATGAATAATAATAGTAGTAAAGTCTAAAACAACAGTTACAACAAAGCAAAAAAAAAATAAAACAAATGAAAATGAATATATACAAAAATAAAAACAATAGATGATTACTATGTCTATAGCTATATATATTTTATATCATTTATATGCACAAAATAATCATGACTATGCCCTGTCACAACGATGGACCAGTTTTTTCAGACAGAAATGGGAAAAGTGTTAAAGAAAACGTACCATTCAAAAAATATTAATATCAAGGGTACCAAAAAAATACTTTAGGTACCCAGCATTAACATACAGTATGTGAGATAGGCTTTTACAAATCTGTTTTGTAAATTTTTTTTAAAAAAAAACATAAGAAATTTAATAAATACATAACAAAATGAATAGGATGAAATCGATTATAGTCTGTAAATAACGTTGTTTTAATAAAGGACACAAAAAATTTCCTTTGAACATATAAACTGACAATGTTGAAGACAAAATGGTTTTAAACTGACCTGCTGTATGTATTTTCCCTAAACTTAGACACCATACTGAAAACAAAACTGAAATTATACACAACTTCTTACAAATACGCTAAATATTTCTAATAACTGGTGAATCTGAACTCTGTAGTAACAAAGGCAAAGGCTAACTCCTCTTGTATCAGTTATGTCATGTCAGAGTAGTTCAGATAAGTGTGTAGTGATGGTCGTACCTGAAGCAGAAGGTGCAGCTCTGCGTCTCCTCAGAACTGACACAGGGCTGAGTTTCTCAAAGGCTTTTCTTCAGAAGCTCTGCTCTCCCATGGCCTGGACTCTGGACTCTTTTATTGTTTTATTGATCCGATGACACAGGGCTCTTGGGCAGCCACTGGCACGTTCACGGGAGGGCACCAGCCGCAGGTGGACTTTCCAACACTGATAATTCTCCATTTTCCAGAAGTTACACAACAACGACTGTAAACTCTATGAGTAACTCAGTTTTATCAAAATGCCTGAATAAACAAAGGTTTTCCTCTGTGACCTTTTGTGGTTTCACTTTTATATTAACTTTGACTAACGGCAAGAAGGTCCTGGTTCAATTCCACCTCCCCTATGTGTGGAGTTTGCTTGTTCTCCCTGTGTCTGTGTAGGTTTCCTCCAGGTGCTCTGGTTTCCCCACCACTAAAAGCGTGCACAATAGGTCTGAATGTAGGGAGTGAGTCAATGGGTGGTGATAATCGGCGTCTAGTTTCTGTTGTCACGGTGATAGTGATGGGGAAGTATTGGTATTCTCAAACACAATGTTAGGTGCTTGTGAGACTTTGGTTTGTGAAATGTGCTTATGCATTATTTTTATATAGCGCTTTTTGGACACTCAACTTGTCCTTTTTCAAACCATACACAGCAATGATTAACTACTACTTTAGCCACAGCTGCCTTGAGGCACACTAACAGAGGCAAGGTAACCAGTTGCACCATCTGCCCCTCTGATCACCACCAACCATTCACACACACACCAGACTCATGGTTGTGTCTTGACACAACACTTTGGCATTATACAGACACAGCCACCCCACTGTGGCACCTGGTGTTGCCAGATGTCTCCCATCACAGTACAAACCAGGCCCTGCCCTGCTTAGCCTCAGAGGTCTGGGAGATCTGGCTTTCACATGCAGGTATGGCCACTGATATGATTGGTCTGTATATCAATAAAGATTTCTTACAATTATCACACAACAATCACTATAGTTCCTTATACAGTGGGGCAAAAAACTATTTAGTCAGCCACCGATTGTGCAAGTTCTCCCACTTAAAATAATGACAGAGGTCTGTAATCTTCATCATAGGTACACTTCAACTGTGAAGGACAGAATGTGAAAAAAAATTCTAGGAATTCACATTGTAGGATTTTTAAAGAATTTATTTGTAAATTATGGTGGAAAATAAGTATTTGGTCATGTCAAACAAGGCTGAAGTTTGACAAGTTTGGCTGTAACTTCTTCTTTAAGAAGCTCTTCTGTCCTCCACTCGTTACCTGTATTAATGGCACCTGTTTGAACTGGTTATCTGTATAAAAGACACCTGTCCACAGCCTCAAACAGTCAGACTCCAAACTCCACTATGGCCAAGACCAAAGAGCTGTCGAAGGACACCAGGAAAAGAATTGTAGACCTGCACCAGACTGGGAAGAGTGAATCTACAAGAGGCAAGCAGCTTGGTGTGAACAAATCAACTGTGGGAACAATTATCAGAAAATGGAAGACATACAAGACCACTGATAATCCCCGTCAATCTGGGGCTCCACGCAAGATCTCATCCCGTGGGGTCAAAATCATCATGAAAACGGTGATCAAAAATCCCAGAACCACACGGGGGGACCTGGTGAATGATCTGCAGAGAGCTGGGACCAAAGTAACAAAGGTTTCCATCAGTAACACACTACGACGACAAGGAATCAAATCCTGCAGTGCCAGACGTGTCCCCCTGCTGAAGCCAGTGCATGTCCAGGCCCGTCTGAAGTTTGCCAGAGAGCACATGGACGATACAGCAGAGGATTGGGAGAATGTCATGTGGTCAGATGAAACCAAAGTAGAACTGTTTGGTATAAACTCAACTCGTCGTGTTTGGAGAAAGAGTTGCATCCCAAGAACAACATACCTACTGTGGGCGGCACGGTGGCTGAGTGGATAGCACTCTCGCCTCTCAGCAAGAAGGTCCTGGGTTCGAATCCCGGTCAGACCAGGGCCTTTCTGAGTGGAGTTTGCATGTTCTCCCCGTGTCTGTGTAGGTTTCCTCCGGGTACTCCGGTTTCCCCTACCACTAAAAATATGTTCAATAGTTCTGGCATGCGCCTCCTGTACTGGCGACCCCGCTCCCATCTCTGTGTGGAGTGAGAGACAAATGCCCATAATTAACAATTGTAAACCGCTTTGAGACTCAGATCTGCAGTGAAAAGGCGGTATATAAATAAAAACTTACTTACTTACTTACTTACTTACTTACTGTGAAGCATGGGGGTGGAAACGTCATGCTTTGGGGCTGTTTTTCTGCTAAGGGGACAGGAAGACTGATCTGTGTTAAGTAAAGAATGAATGGGGCCATGTGAAGCCGATGTGAAGCACTTTGGGTTGCATTCTGTATGAACTGTGCTATAGAAATAAACATTGATTGATTGATTGATGTATCGTGAGATTTTGAGCCAAAACCTCTCATTGAGTTGAATTGCAGTTATTGACCAAATACTTATTTTCCACCATAATTTACAAATAAATTCTTTAAAAATCCTACAATGTGAATTCCTGGATTTTTTTCTCACATTCTGTCTCTCACAGTTGAAGTGTACCTACACTGTAAAAAATACAACTCAAAATTGTTCACCTTACTAAGATTTTTGCATTCACTGACAATAAAATTGCCAGTTGGAACTGCAACTGTCTGTTGTGAGCCACTTGAACTCACTTTCAGAAGTTTCTGATGAAAAGTTCATCTTATTTGTTTATTAAGTTGATTTTACTTTGCAGTTGTAGTGAACTTCTGAAAGTGAGTTCAAGTGGCTCACAACAGACAGTTCCAGTTCCAACTGGCAATTTTATTGTCAGTGAATGCAAAAATCCGAGTAAGGTGAACAATTTTTAGTTGTCGTTTTTACAGTTCACCGAGCTAGAGTGAGGTCAACTTATCTGCGTTTGCTCATTTAAATATTTGTCATGGCAACCAGCTGCATTCAACATTTTGAAAAAACTAATTTGACCAAAAAAATCATTGTATTTATTTTTACCAACCGTAATCGACAGGGCCAAGCCAAAGTAGCCCTATGTATTCCCTGGGTCAGTCTTAGAAACATTAGTTTTCCACTAATCGGGTTCACTGTTTGTGCGGCATGGTGGCTAAGTGGATAGCACTCTTGCAGGGTTTGAATCCCGGTTGGAACAGAGCCTTTCTGAGTGGAATTTGCATGTTCTCTGTGTCTGCATAGGTTTCCTCCGGGTGCTCTGGTTTCCCCTGCCCAAGTGACCTAGGTCTGTAAAATGTGCTATATAAATAAACATCATGGTTTAATGTGGGGGCTAATTTAAATTTAATCTGAACTTAAAAAAGTAAGTTTTTACAGACTTGAAGTTTCCAGTAACTTGAATTTAAAAACTTAGCTGACACAACTTAATAAGTTTAGTTCTTCAAAACGTGAAGAATTAAGTTAATCCTTCGCAGCTGGTTGCTTTGAAATTTGAAGTTGAACAAACTTTTTCTTTTTTTACAGTATATGATGAAAATTACAGATCTCTGTCATTATTTTAAGTGGGAGAACTTGCACAATCGGTGGCTGACTAAATACTTTTAGTACTGTATATTTGACATTGTTTAATGGATGTCAGAAACAAAAACACGACACGCACACAATCAATTTCAATTACATTTATTTAATACATTTATTTAATCTATGACACTATTCCACCAATGTAATAAAAAACAAAAAATCAAACCATTTTATTTACTCATTGTTTTAAACTATACTGTAATAGGACATTCATATTACAAAAGTGGCATTGAATCTTAAGAGTCAAAAAGCAGGCGTTGGTGACTTACAAATATTATATACATACATTATATAAAAAAATATGTTTGGATTGTAACGTTTTTGTCATTTATTCCCGAGTTCAACATTTCTCGCAGCTTCTCAGTTCCAGTTTTTGAAAAATTGCTTGAAGATAATTGTCTCTTTACCTTGAGGAAGTATCTCCACCTGTCAAAGAATAAACATTGACATTATTGCATTTGTGTGCGCAATGGTTCCCAGCCCTATAAACCACAATATTATCATAGGCTGTGTAAAGTTCACACGCTAGCTCAATGAAGCCCAAGAGGGAAGTGCTGAAGTGCTCAAATCTTTTCAATTTATTCTATCCATCCATCCATCAGCACCAGCCCCTCAATGATCCTCCTGCAGGTGGTGAGTCCACAGGAGCTGAGATCTTTCAGCGGGGGTTTCAGGCAAAGTGGGGTTAAGTGTCTTGCCAAGGACACAACGACAGCAGATATCAGTGGGAATCGTGAAATAGGTCTTATGGTGGGCTCGAACCCATGAACTTCAGGCCTAAAGGCCAGGGCTCTACCAACTGAGCTACAGTCGCAATTCGGGCGTTCTGCTCTCCCAAAATTCCATCCGATGGGCGGGGGAGCGACTGAATTTTGCGTTGCATTATGGGTAACACTTGCCTTCGCAACTTCCGGTTCTCTCTGCCCGGCGCATTTTCTCTAAATGGTTGAGTGTTTTCGTCATTTTCTGTATGCAAATAAATTCCCGTCTCTAACTAGTGGCATATTGCGCAAATCATCCGTCCAATTCACATTCTTCCCTCTTAGCTGAACTTCATTCTCATTGTTACCATCTGTCACTCGCACACACAGCCGTTTTCGGTCACTCTGCTCGCTGCCATCTTCTTCTAAATCTTCATAAACACCATCCGCTCGTTGAACTAGCAACAACAATTCCTCCTTTCGTTTTCCCACACTGCAAATACCCTTTCGCTTCAACCTTTCACGCAATTCAGGCACTGTCAATCGTTTGTTGTTTTCGTGAGCCATATTCGCCATTGTATGAAATCAACCGGAAGTGAACTGGGCAACAAACGGTGTCATTTTTTGATCACAGCGCCGCTCAGTGGATGAAATTTTGGGAGAGCAGAACGCCCGAATTTATACTAATCTAGTCTAAATCAGTGGGGGTGGGTCCCGGCTCAAAAGTGGCCAGAATGACGTGCGCTGACATGCTTGCAATACCAGCCCGGGCCGATGGGGGTGGACCCGGAATAAGAATTAGCAAACCTCTCAAAAACAGCTTTACAAGATGGTCCAAAATTTGGCTCTTGGCCCAAAGCTCCGTTCCAAATGTGTGTCAATGCTGAGGGGAGAGAATTTCTTTGGACCACTCTAGTTTACTTGCTGTGAATTTTTGAAGGCACTCGTTTAAATGAATGGGGCTCGTGCCGGCTGACGCATGCGCAGATGCGTTTTTTCACATTTTTCAGCCCCCGCGACCATTTTGAATCACTCCATAAAAGCTCAATTTTTGGCCCATTAGTTAGAACGGCGGAGATAGGCGTGACTACGTCCGTTAATATATACAATCTATGGTCTAAATCCAAATAGGGCCATACAAGGATTGACCAATCAGATGCCTTCATTCACGGGGGACCTCCAGCTTGTTTTAGCAACCATGTTAGCAACATGTCTGCTCAATGGATTCTAGCTAAAATCACCAGTAATTTTGATGTACTGTGATTATTCATGATTTTTGATGCCTTGTGTAATTGTTTTGTTAAACACTTTCAGTTGCCTTTCAACTGTGCTATACAAATAAACTTGCCCTGCCTTGCCTATGGATATCTGTTAGCAATACCCTATCCAGATTATAGGGTATTGCTAAAATAAACCTGTCTCCAACATGGACAAAGGGCCACATTTTCCCATTGACCTCAGTGTTAACTAAAACAGCTCGTCCTCAGCTGACCGGGAACTTCCAGCTGTCCAGGGAAGGTCAGGTTTTGTGGGGATTTTGGTGTCCCTTGTCATCCTGAACTTTTTTTCTTCGGTTCAAGATGCCAAAAGGTCAATTTCTTCGGTTCAATCTATTTTCTAAATGGAGACCTGCGGCTTGCTCTGCCCCTGTTATGGCGCAAAGCTAACCCTGTCAGAACAAATGCCCAAATACGGTAATTGGTTTCAGCTAGCTTATCTTCAAATTCAGCGAACACTCTTCATCTAAAGTCTATGGTTATCACAGACATGGTACAGATATGTAAACATTACCGTACGCTGCCATTGAACTGACCTGCGTTTTCATCCTGGGATAATTCATTTGCTCGATGAAATTATCCGCGATTTGTAAAGCCACTCTCTTCTCCTCAGTGTTCGCACCGTGACCTGCGAGGCAAGTTTGAAGCCATGATAAAACATGGGATCGTCAATCTCATTAAGTATTCAGACTCCTCTCATATGGCGGGAGTTTTACCTTTCCAAACAAAGATTTTTCCATTGGCGCCATTGTCCAGGATGAAGCAGTCGTCACGCACCAGCAGCTCTTTGGCAAACGGACTCTTCTCCGACACTTTGGACGTGGTCATTGATCCTGTTGCATCTGACACCTGTAGCACAAATGTTATTCTCATTATTATTACTACATTTCACTTTAATAGTTTCCAACACATTGCTAACATAATTTCTGGATCCCCATTATCAACTCATTTGAATTGTTGTTTGAATACTCCTTTTTTACAGCGGCTCACAAACCATTCACCAATTTGGCTTCTCAAGTAAGTAAAGCAATAAAAATAATACATTTTAATTGTATTGCACCTTACATTTCAAGGAAAATGCTCCAGATTTCAAAAGAACGAATACATGTGTACATCGATTACAAAAATACAATTCATTACCGTGCATCAAGTACATGGACATCGAAATGCAGCAAATAGTGTTTAAGTCTCGTCTTAAAAGGTATATGGGAGGATTTTTTACTTTCGGGTGGATCATCAAGACGATTGGTCCACGTAATTATCAATCATTCTGGTGATACGTGCTCGTCAAATAAGACCAGAGAGTTTTGTTCAAAAAGTGGAGAGGGCGGTTCTTTCCTAAAATTTGGGAAAATCCTTCTATGTACGAAGAGACCCATTTTTATGCACTGGCTTTTAACACTGCATGGTCCTTTTATCTTATTTTACTTTACTGTTATACTGTATGTGTTTTTTATCCAATTTGATTTGTTATGATTATACTGATTATACAGGTTTTCTTATGAGTTTTTCCTTGCCGATGCAGGAGGGTCTGGTGGGCAGTTAGTGTCCAACTAGAAGGACTGTGGAGATGATCCAGGACACTTTAACATTCTACAACATGTATGGACATTTTTCAACATGTGTTTTATATTCTTTATGTGTTTTAACGGTTGATTCTCTGATTTGTGTTGGTGATTTCAATGGTTTTGTTAAGTCCTCTGAGATGACTTCTGTTGTGATTTAGGACTATACAGGAATAAATTGTATTGTATTGTACTGTTTTACTATGGATGTGTTTTAATTAGTCTTTTATTGAGCAGCGATTTGGAAACTGTGCTGTATAAATTGTATAAATGTGTTTTGCTAGCAAACCACCAGCTGAATTTACAACTGTTAGAAGAAGACACATACATGAAAACACAAGTGAACTGTTCATGGGAATGCTAAATTTTGAGAAAACTCCATGCTCTACTGTTGATGAATTGTATGACTCTGTCACCACCAGTGTTCTGACTGTTCTGGACGCCATTGCTCCTGTGACGGTTAAAATAGTTACCAGTAAGAAAAAGGCCCCATGGACTAAGGCAGACTCGGTTAGGGCACAGAAGCAAGAGTGCCGGAGGGCCGAACGGAAGTGGCGAAAGTCCAATTTCCAGGGCGATTATGAAATCTTTAAAGATGAGTTGGGTGAATTTAACCGGGTTCTACGTAGAACAAGAGAAATGTATTTTTCTGACATTATTGGAGGTTGCAGTAACAATTTTCGTGTTATGTTTTCAACAGTTGGTAGATTAACGAACCCCCCTGTAAAGTTGCCCCTAGAATTTTCCTCTAAATCTAGGTGTAAATGAGTTCGCACAGTTTTTCGATGACAAAGTACAAGGAATCAAAAACACTATCACCTCCACAGCACGTATAACAATGCAACAGCCAGAGAAGCTTTTTGAGCTAACTCACTTTGCACCTGTGGATACTGAAACTGTCAAAAAGATAATCATGAGTCTGAGCTCCTCCACATGTAGCCTGGATATATTGCCCTCTAAATTTCTGAAGTCCGTCCTGAGCAGTTTGTTACCTTCACTGACACAAATAGTAAACATGTCTCTGTCGTCAGGAACATTTCCTATGGCCCTAAAAACAGCAGTCATAAGACCTCTCCTAAAAAAGAGCAGTCTGGATCCTGCGGGACTTCAAAATTATCGCCCCATATCGAATCTGCCATTTATTGGAAAAATTCTTGAAAAAGTGGCCTCCCAACAACTTACTGAATTTTTAACAATGAATAATTCTTTTGATATGTTCCAGTCTGGGTTTAGACCCCACCACAGCACTGAGACCGCTCTAGTGAAGGTAACAAACGACATTCGACTTCACACTGATGCAGGTAAAGTCACAGTTTTGGTCATGTTAGATCTTAGTGCCGCGTTCGACACTGTCGACCATGAGATCCTCATGCAGAGACTGGAGGACTGGGTTGGTGTCACTGGCACAGCCCTAGACTGGTTTAGGTCTTACCTGGAGGATAGGAAGTACTCTGTGGAGATTGGAGACTGCGTCTCAGATGATGTGGCCCTGACCTGTGGTGTACCACAGGGGTCGATCCTGGGACCTCTCCTATTTAATCTCTACATGCTGCCGTTAGGTCAGTTAATACAAAGAAACAAAGTGTCCTACCACAATTACGCTGACGACACTCAGATCTATGTCTCACTGACTGCAGGAGAACATGGACCACTGGATTTGCTCCTTCACTGTATCCAACAGATCAGTGACTGGATGCAAAATAATTTCCTCCAGCTAAATGCAGACAAAACCGAAATCATTGTCTTTGGTCCCCAGAAACAAAGAGAGGGCGTCATTTGTCAACTTCAGTCTCTCTCCCTACTTCCTTCAGACAAGGTCAGAAATTTGGGGGTAATACTGGACTCAGACCTAAATTTCAATAGCCACATAAAATCAATAACATCAACAGCTTTTTACCATCTGAAGAACATTGCCAAAGTTAGAAATATAGTGTCCAGGGCAGACTTGGAGATTCTTGTCCATGCATTTGTCTCCAGCAGGCTAGACTACTGCAATGGCCTGCTTACAGGTCTGTCCAAACAGACCTGTAAGCAGCTGCAGTACATCCAAAATGCAGCAGCTAGAGTCCTGACAGGAACCAGGAAGTATGACCATATTAGTCCGGTCCTCAGGTCTCTGCACTGGCTTCCTGTGGCTCAAAGAATAGATTTTAAAACGGCTCTGCTTGTGTACAAGTCTCTCCATGGCCTTGCACCAGAATACATTAGTGACATGTTGGTGTCATATGAACCGGCCCGGACTCTGAGGAGCACAGGAACTGGCCTCCTGCTGGTGCCCAGAGTGAGAACCAAACATGGGGAGGCTGCGTTTCAGATCCATGCAGCTAAGATCTGGAACAATCTCCCTGAAAATGTGAGGGAGGCGTCTACTCTGTCAATGTTCAAATCCAGGTTAAAGACTGTTCTGTTTGCCTGTGCATACGACTGAAGGATTTTATCTCCATTTTTAATGCACTGCTGTCATTTATTTATTTTTTTAAATTTCTTGTGTAATTTTGAAAGTTTTAATGGTTTTATTCTTTTGTGTGATTTTAATGTTTTAATTGTGTTTTAATCTTTTGTGTGATTTTAATGTTTTAATTGTGATTCTGGTGTTTGTTTTATGTGATGATTTGTGATGTGGACTGTGAAGCGCTTTGTGTTGCCCTGTGTATGAAAGGCGCTCTACAAATAAACTTTGATTGATTGATTGATTGATAAAATGTATAAATAAAGTGTATTGGATTGGAAATAAATGAAATGCTAAAAATATTGTATACATGCATAATTCCATAGATCAGTGGTTCGATAAGTACCTTGTAAAGAGAGGCCGAGTTGGAGGCGTCTGCTTTGGTGTCCTCCTCCGGTGTGCTCTCGGCCAGTGGCGGCATCTTCCCCAAAACCTGCACGACCAAAGAACAAGCTGCGGTGAAACTTTACATATTTTTTATACAATTTTGGGTGGGCTTCTTTTTGTTTTACCTTGAGCATCTCTTCTGGCTCCTCCCCTTCACAGCTGTCCACAATTTTGGCTTTTCCGTGCCGATCCGTGTCCCGGATCAGCGATGCAATTTCACGCACTTTCTGCTTCTCAAAGATGTTGGCCTGGGAGCCGATCCAGGAGACAATAGTCTGGAGATACACGCGGATCATTTACGTACATAAACAATAACAATAACTACACAAAAAATACAGTTTGCAAGTGTGTAGCTATAACATTTTTTTAATTATTGTTTGTAGAACCCCTTTCTGCAAACAAATCAATTCTACCAAACACAACCATTCCAGGCATGTATTGTGTTTGTTGTAATAAAATTCTCATGTAATTTTATTTCAGCTTTGTCACATTTTTCAAACTGATTGAAGTTTTGGTTTTGATTCACGGTTACAAAGGCCACAGGTGACAGGGTTTATGCTAGCAGTAGTGTAGGGTTGTAAAGGCTGTAAAGGGTCTTTCACTTCAGCCTAAACCATTTCTTTCATTTTCTAAAGATAATTGTCTTTGAAAACTAGTGGTTTGTGAGAAACCTTTCTTTCACTTAAGTTCCTGTTGCATCAGTGACCTTAAAGCTGGGATACCTAACTTTTGTAAAACATAGATAATATATTGCGTTCGCCCTAACAGAGGGTCTTGTGAGTGAGTCACTGTGAGGGTGGCGCTGTCCGCCAAAAGTTTTATTTTATTAAATATGGGTTAGGGTTAGGGTTTTGAAGGTAAGGTGCCCCAGCTTTAATTGTGAAATACATGACTGTAAAGATGGTGAAAGTGTGTGTTCCAGTCTGACCACTCCGAGGTCGAGGATGAAGCAGTCGCCCTTGTTGAAGCTGGACCAGGACAGTTCCACCTCTCGGGCTCGGATGTTACGCTTCCCTTTGATCTGGTACAAACGCTGCACCGGGCCAGAACCCTGCGCCCGCCTGAAGCCCGACTCCACTCCACCCTCCTGTCAACAAGTCCAGGGGTTTAGGATCATGGATAAATCAGGCCTTTTCTGAAACTCCAAATATTGAGCATTATTGGATTGTGTGAAAATCTTGTTTAAACTCATCACTCCAGTTACAAATACACTTTACACACATTTTAAAGATGGAAAAATCTATGACTTTTAATTATTAAAATTACATGGAATGACCAAAAAACACTAAAATATATATATACAAATGGGAAATAAATTAATCTTAAGTGTTGGCCTTATTATTGAAATTGGAGCAATCCCTGGTGCCACCCCTGGATCCTCCCAGTGTCTAAAGTATTTCCTCCACTCTCAGACTCGCTTCACCCACATGGACTTTGGCATAGTGACATAAAGCCACAAAAGGTTTGATTATAAAATCATAAATTTGATTATGAAATGAATATAAATTTTATCTATGCCAGGTAAATTCTTGACTATTGTGTTTGTAAATGTTATGTAACCGTCACCCTTTTTAAATGACATAATTCTACCTCCATTTCATTTATTACAAAAACCAAATGTCAAAAGTCTATATGGTTTATTTTCACATTTTAAGTTTCGGTTCATAAACTGATATTTCAATCAGAGAAAGAGCCATTACCTAACCCAAACTCTTTAATTGGGTTGCCAGTTTTTATAATGAAATCCAGTTGCTCTAACTCCACACACACAGACAATCATTCATCATCAGTGCAGCATCAGAAGCAGCAGTAGTAGCAGCTGCCGAGGCAATCAAGGTGTACATGTGATTGTTAAAACATGCCACAAATGTGCATAGTGCTCCTTTAAAAATGCTGATACACATTCTTCCTGGTGGTGATTGTGTCCTGACCTTGTAGCTGATTCCTCTGGGGAACAGGGTCATGAACTCTGGGGACTCGTAGCCCTGGACCTGCCTGTGCTGCACTGGGTCTCCCCCCAGGTAGTTGTCCAGCTGAGTGGCCAACATGGCACAGGCCACCTGCTCGTCCCGTGACGACTTCTCCCCTGCGACACACACAGCTTTCACTTTAATACTTGTGTGCTGAGAAAGCCTTTTCACTTACACCATAACTGCACCATAACTACACCATCCTCAGTTCAAGCTGCTTTTAACTTTGTATTTTAACTGTATTTCAAATTTAAATGTACTTTTTATTGTGATGTAAAGCGACCTTGAGCCTAAGAAACAAAACGTATTATTTATTCTTATTAGACCGCTCATGTACATTTACTTTACTAAAATACTCCTTTTGTTTTTAAAGCCTGAAATAACTTACTAAAGAAACCACAATAAGAAAAACAAAATCAAGAAGAATTGAATTGGATGGCATTTTATATTATCCTTAAATATCCCTGAATTGAAGAACAAAGGATTTAAAAAAAAAAAAACACATGTAAAGCTTTTCTTCAGCCTCATATTTGTGAATTCTAACCCTGATGGACCACAGATGGACAAAGGCGTGTGTTTACGATGCATATTGTCGCGGTTGATCCCTCACACAGGGCAGCGGTGAGGCCCTGTGTGCTCAGCCTGACCCTCGGACCTGTGTGAACGCAGGAACAGGACTCATGCATCTTTAAGGCGCCTCACTGTCAGCGGCCATCATCCCACTCGCTGCAGTGAGGGTCAGCTTTGTGTCTCGTGTGTCATCAGTGTTCATGTCACACTCATTACTGCTCACCTGAGGACTGAGCCGCACTAACGACCACTGGAGCGGAGCAGAGCAGCCTATTATGCACCGAGTGTGTGTTGCACGAGATAAATACGTTTGTAATTTATTCACATTATCCTGAGAGTGTGTTCGTTTACATACACTGTGTTACTGCGGTGACACCTGTTGAAAAGGAAAAACAGCACAGCCACTGAAATAATAAACAGGAAGCAGAAAAGTCAACACAGATTCAGAATGTATGTTAAGGTGTTAAGGAACAATTTTGATTACTTTTTATTATAACTTAGTACTAACTAACTTATAATACACTTAAATAAATATCTATTCCTACTTCTCTAATAATATTCTAACATCTGAAGGGTTGTGATGATGTAAAGCGGCCCGCTTCCAGGTCTGAGCTAAAGCTAATGGAGCTGCAAAGTAAACAGATCTTCCTGAGACTGAAAACGTGTCGGTGTTGTGAATATTAGATATAGATCGGTAGCTCATTAATTCATTTATTCATTTGAATTTAGGACAGCACATATTAATCAATGTGTCTGCAAACAGCGTCAACATGTACAGTATAAGCTGGAATTAGCACAATGGATGCAATAGCTAAATTGTATCCATTGTCCTAAGGCAGGTAATAAACACACAAACACACAGTTAGGTAAAAGTACAAACAATAAGTCGACAAGCACAACATAAAGATTTTAAAAGAGAAGAGAAAGAGAAAGTCCAAGGATGAGCAGATCTTCATCTATAACTGGTTTGATTTCAACCAATGTTTGAGGACTCCTTTAAATGTTTGGTAGGTCCCACAGTTTTGTGTGTGTTCCGGCAAAGTGTTCCAAAACGTCGTGCCTCTGATGGACGCCACCATTTATTTATTCCTGCACCTTTGTATATTACAGTCTCCTCTGGAATAAAAACTGTGAATATTTGGAATATTCAAAATTCCTTTGGGGATTTAGAATGGAACCTAAAGCTTGATCTAATTATGTGAAAGAGGCTAAAATACATGAATGTGAAAACTAGTGATAAAACTGAACTGTTAGGTTGATTTCTAGTACATATAGTTATTTTTGTGGTTGAAAGTTAGATACCCCAAGCTTTAACAACTCAATGTTATCCTCACATACAATGAGGATGTGAAATAAATCATAAATGATTTAATAAATGAAACAAACATCATCCACGCCTCAATGACTCAAACACAGACGAGTCAAGTGAAATACTGTAAATCAGTAATAGATGACGGAATAGCCTTCTATCTGGGACAGAGTTCAATATACATATACAAATAAACTTGCCTTGCCTATAGTGTTTTCTTGGTTAATACAATTCTTGACTTTCTGCGCATGGGACCCTCAGGGAATCACACTCACTTGTGATTAAAAATGGCAGGAAACAGTTGCTGAATTATTATCATATCATAATGTAAAGTTTGCCCTTTCTTTTCTCACCAATCCACATGTGGAGGTCGGCCCCGTCCACACCGCGGTTTTGCAGCACCAGATACGAGTCCCCGTTGTAAAAGGCTCCGATTTCTGTGGGGTCCAGCAGCATGGCCTTCATCTTCTCCACCCTCCACACCCAGAGGCCCGGGGTCCGCACCTCAGGCCCAAACTGGCCTGGGACCGCCTGGAAGGGGAGCATGCTGCACACACACACACAAAAAACAGACAAACGTCACGTGAACGTCACAAGTATTGATCCAGTAAAGAATGAGGAAGTGAAAGCAAAACAGGGATGTGATAAATGTGCTGTATGGAACTTGTCACGCGATATGAACTAGAACAATGTTTTTAAAATGGCATAAGAAGTATATTGTTTACACACACACAGGCAGAAATGTCATTATTCTGGTCACATTTAAATTATCTATGAAAATATGATATTCACAGGGGTGGGAATCTACAAATATCACTCCTTTTCAAATCTACTTGAGTACAAAGTTTTAAAAAGTAATTGTTATTGAATAGATGTTTGAGTATTCTATGTACGAGATATTTGATAATAATATTTGATGTACATTTAACTCAAGTCAAATATCAATGAAAACACACTACTACCACACACGACTCCACACAGTGATAGATGTGAAAGAGGAAATACACACTTTTGAGGACTGGGGGATGGAGACTTTGGCACAGTCACATAAAGTCATAACGCCATAAATGTAACGTACACTACTATAAAAGGATAAAACATAAATCCAATTATGAAATGAATGTAAAATGTAACTATGTGTGCCGCTTACTGAGCATTTTAAATTACATAACTCTAACCAGGAACTCTACCTCAAGGTTTTATCTTTTTCGTTTATTACAAAAAACAGTATCAAAAATCTACATGCGTTTATTTTGCGTTTTAATTCATAAATTGATGTTTAAAATCCAAGAAAGAACCAATTACCTAACCCAGGCATGTCCAAACTCAGGCCTGGGGGCCAAATGCGGCCCTCAGTGTCATGTTATGTGGCCCTCTGCCTTGCTAACTCAAAGTTGTCTATGAGATCATAAACACAAGTTCACTGTGTCATCCAGCCAACTTCAGCTCAGCCAGTATTGACCTCGTTCTAAAGCCCAGTCCCAAATTCAGTTGTTATTTAAACATAAACTTCCATTAAAGATGCTAATGTAGCTGGTGAGATGGTGTGATGGTGACATGTGTCATTCATTCAGTTTTTTTTAATGCTTTTCTTTTTTTTTATGTTTTAGTGCATAAATGTTTTAAATTGATTTTATGTAATTTTATTGTGAAGCACTTTGGTCGCCTTGAGTGTTGTAAAGGGCTCTATAAATAAAATTGATTGATTGATTGATTCAGGCAACTTCAGCTCTGCTATAGATCATTCGAGACAGTTTTTCAGTCTGAGACGTTGGCCCCTGAACTAGTCTGGTGAACTAAAGTGGCCCTTTTACTAAAAAGTTTGGACACCCCTGACCTAACCCTAACTCTTGGGTTGCCAGTTTCAGTATAATGAAATCCAGTTTCTTTAACCCTGACTACTCTATTCTCTTTACTTACTTTTGCTAGACACAAGAATTCAAGTCAAACATTTTGGGTTTGAAAATGATATACAGACCAGTTTTCCTCAATATTACAAACATGAGAAGAAAAGTTCAGCATTTACCCCCCCTCCATCTCATACCCCATGCCCCCCTTCCATCTGTAAATATGTACTTTATGCTGTTTCTCCGTTTACTCCCTGTAGATCTATGACTGCATGTATTGTTAGTTTTGTCTGTTTTATTTTTCAGCATTTAATCCCCTCCGTTTCATACATCCATGTCCCCCTCCCATCTGTAATTATGCACTTCATGTTTCTTCTTTTGCTTGTATCTCCAACTACATATTGTTAGTAATATCTGTCTAACCCTATCCTCTTTCATCAGTTCTCTTCACCTCTGCAATTGTGAAGAAAGCGATATTTCTGAACTATGCCTTTTCTTTGTTTCTCCTTTTTTTTCTTTCTGTATATGCGTTTGTCTGCAAAATAAAAAATAAAAATAAGAAAAGAGAATGAAGTTAACAGTGTAAAGATGGAGCTGATCAGTTTGGTAGTTTTGGCTTTTAACACCATGCAGGTTATCTGTTTTATGCATTTAATTGTTTTTAGTTTGACTTTATTTTTGAATTGGATAACTGGTATTTTATTTTATGTATCACATGTTTATTGTTTTTACTTTGTACATCATATTGTGCTTATTTTATATTTATAAAAAAAACATATATAGCTGTCAAACCTGTATTATTAAATGTGTAACTTTTATCTCTGAGCAGCACTTTGGAAACTGGTTTTAAAAATGTGCTATATAAAAAAGTGTGCATCAAAAGAAAATAAAGTAAATGAACCATGCCTGTTGAGAAGAACGTCATATCCTATAAATAAACATAAAAATCCTACTGTCTCTCCAAATGTACTTGAATGTCTCTCAAGTCGTGGCTTTTGTTTAAGGAGCGCCTTTACAACAGGTCTGGACACAAAATGAGGTCTTGCGTCAATGTTGGGATTACAACACTTTTATGTAACTTGAAGCCAAAATGTGCGCTGTCATTGTGGACGACAAGGAGTGGAAATATGCAAGCTGTGTCAGGCGGGCACGCATCTAATTTATTCAAACCAGGAAATGTTAACAGTGACACGAAACCACACAACACTCTCTTTTCTCCTCATATTGCAGCTGCGTGGAAAAGCAGCAGAACAGTGGTTGTTTATGTAGTTTGGAGAGCGTCTCATAGATCTATTGCCTTGATTAGGTTGATCTATCGATAACTGGGATTAGAGCTTATCTTTGTGATACCTCAGGAGGTGCCAAGACGTAACCACAACCAATAAACAAATGCTGGACAAGGCTGCATGATGACTGGGTTACTTCTTTGCTCACCACGGACTCTTGTTTTGTAACTTCTGCTCGAAATTGTCATTTTTGCAGATGCAATTAGTCAGATTGGATAAACAACCAGATTTGTAAAAACAGATAAGTCCCATGAGAAAGGCTTCAGTTTTGCCCTTTACCAAGTAGTATTTTGAAAAGCCAGATCTATTTTAGTAACATACAGATACATTCTCACCCTTTCTCAGGAAAATGTGTTCAGATTTATGGCCAATAACAAAACCATTTGAAGATTGTAGCCAGAGGAATACAACTTTTTGAAACATTTTCAAAACAAAGAAATGAGTTTTTGCAAAAAAGTTCTTAAATTTTAAACAAAATATTAGCTGAGTTTATTCTGATGATTGGAAAATTGAAAAAGCAAGTATATTTTGTCTTATTGTCGGGCAGAAGGATCAATTTCTCATTCCAAATGCAACATTTCATCTCTTTTATAAAGTATAAAAGCCACAAATGTTACACAGCTCAGCTCTGAGAATTTTATGAAAAGATTAAAACCACGGTACTTAAAGTTGGAGTACCTAACTTTTCTTGTTCATGAATACATTTTGTTTGACTTATTTTGTAACATTTTGTGAAGATATCAGACCATAACACGCCTTCTTTATCGTATTAGAAAACATTGTCTTCTACATACTGAGAGCCGAGAGGCGACAGTGGCTCAGTTGGTAGAGCATTGGCCTTTGAGCCTGAAGGTCATGGGTTAAGCCCACCTTGAGACTCACCACCTGCAGGAGGATCAGTGAGGGGCTGGTGCTCTGTGTACTGGGTGGCATCTCTGGCCACCTCCACGACCCAGAAATGGATTAAGGGGAAGAAAATGGATGGATGGATAGTGAGAGCTGATTGGCTGAGATAGGGCGGGTACATGAGAGTGAAATCTAGTGATAGAATCAAACTGTTTTGAGGGTTAGGAACTAGTCACATGGATTTTATTATATTAATTTATTTGATCTTTAATTCAGTCACACAAGGGATCTATACAAAACTTTAAAATAAACAAGTTGATCTTTAGGTTCTTAAGCTGTAATTCAAGTGTTTATATTTGAAATATTTCCAGAGAATCTTATTTCTACAAGAAAGAAATGTATGTACTATAGGTTAGAACTCAAAACGATTCCTACACATGTCCGACAATGCTTACAAAGCATTTGTATTATTATGATATTCTTACAAAATCTGAACAAAATCTGACTTTTTAAAGATCTAAAATTGCATCGCATTTGAGATGTTGGTCAGAAATATTGCAGTTTGATATTTTGCCAACATCGTGCAACCCTAAAACATGGTCTGCACGAAACTGTAAACTAGAGGCAATAAATGAAAACTCAAACTCCTCCAGCTCCGTGTTATTTCCCTTTCAGATAATGTTATTGTTGCTTTTATCAGATATCAAGATTTCTAATGTTTGTTTACAATAAAATAAGGACGTCTGAGTGCACCATGACAGAGAGGAGGATTTTAACAAGCGAAGGACCTATGGGGTTAGAGTTACAATGCTTGGACAGGCAGGGTAAAAGTAAGTAAAGAGTTGGTGAAATAGGACAATACAATGTTGTTTCACTTAACTGCATAATCTCGTCTGGTACTTGCACTTGCGGTAAATTCCATTCTGACTCCATCCTGTGCGCCCTGTGCCCTCTAAGCTCTTCTGCTGATTTTGGGAGTGTGTAGAGACCCAAACGGCCTGCCTGGGAGTGGTGTTTGCGCCTACCTGTCCTGGTTAGCTTATATGCAACAGGTAACAGGAGCTGGTGTGATGAAAGCCAAGCTGCGGCCCGTGGATACGAGGCGGGCGTCCGGGGGTGGGTAGAGTCAGGTTCCTGGTTCCTGGCTAAAGCTAAACACCAGCCTGATAATTACTGGGAGAGCAAGCCACAGACCCATCCATCTTTCCACTGACTTTCTACACAATGGCTCAACCAGACCAGATCAATTTTGGCTCCAAAAATGACCAAAACAGCTTTGATATTTCTCCACTTCTTTCCATTCACAGTGAAATAAAGTGTCATTTATATATTCGGAGCTGTATGTAACTATTGGTCATCAATTATTTAAGTTAAGATATACTTTATTGATCTCACAATGGAGAAATTCAGTGTATTTAGACTATTTGAGGCTGAGGATCAAAAGGCATCTGGACCAGAAAAGTCATTTGAAAGTATAATATTTATAGTATAATATACAATTTTTGCTTTAACAAACAAGTATACATATTTAGAAGTGCCGCAGTTAAAGCTGGGGTACCTGACTTTCAAATCACTAAATTTTTTATAAAATCCATGTAAATAGTTGCCCGCTCTCAAAACAGTTGTATCACAAGCTTTCCCATGCATGTAGTTTTGGCTTCTGTCACATCAGCTTTTTAAGACAGAAAAGTGACAAAGGGAAGAGAGGACCACCCACACTCTCAGCCCAAATCATCAAATAGTGACTCATAAGGTTCTTTGGATACTTATAAAAGTGTGTTTTCTCCTGATGAGGCCTTATGGTTCAAAACAGATAATTAGATAGGTGGATGGAATGACTGAATTGTTAATATACTTTGAAAAAAAAACTAGAAAACCTAAATGTCATACAGGTACTTTGACATCTAAAACACCACCTTATGTGCAGACTATAGACTCCACCCTTAGTTTGAGGAAGTAAAGTTCTCTCCTCTTCTTAAAGAACAGTTATTAAAGCTGATATGATGCTTAGTGACTGGCAGCAAACCCTTCCAACAAAATATCAAGACACAGACCACAAACACGACAACTTTTACACGTTAAACTGAATGAATGAAGGACTGCATTGTGTTACAGCCGCATTCTTTTCATGAATTCAAATGGAATGCGGCAAGTAAACAATGGATTGAGTGGGTGAAAAAACAGGCAGAAGAACAGAGAAAGGAAAAGGTAGAAAGTAGCACATGTGTAAAGTTAGTGTTTTACCTTATGGTTCAGAGACAGATGTGGGAGTGGAGAGCTGAGAGTGGAGCGGCTCGAGCAAGAAGTGACTTGTGCTGAAGGGGATTTGTTCTGTTTTGCAGACGAGACGAGTTTCCTGTGGGTTTCATTGTGGCCCTGCCCTCTGAGTCACAACAAACATGGAAAAAGTGAAGAAATAATGTGTTTGAGTTTGCTAAAGATAACAGAGTAGACAGTGACGGTGTTTTGACTATATCGGGCAGTGGGTAAAATGATTCATGTTCATAGGGAAGAAATCTCAGTTGTTCAGTGTCAGGTCCATCTCTTGCTTTCTTGTTTTTATTATAATACATTTTATTTGTGATGCACCTTACATTTCCATGAAACCTCAAAGTGCTACAGTCTAAATTGCAAAACAACATATAGAATTTAAAAACAAAAACTAACAAAAGCACATGAAATATATTGAGAGAAACAACAAGAATGGATTAAAAGCTGAAAAAAGTCATAAATGAAATATTATACAGAATGTCCCTGTTACAAGCCAAACTTCATTCTGACATGACAACTTGTGAACTTAATTCGTTTCATTGTAAAATATGAATGTCTGTGAATCACATACCCGTGGGGAAGAAGGGAAACTTGCTCTGTCTTTTTGGAGGAAATACATTTTGTAACTGTATCTTAAAGCAGCAGTAAGCGATTTTTGGGTGTTAATATACGTCTTAAATATTGATATATTCCAATAGCCATCACTTATATAGAGTGTTTGTACCTAAACACGGATCTCTCAGTCCTTCCAGTCTTCTCCCACATATTTAATAAAAAAACCTCACATCCTATGCGCTTATCCAATGACGAGAGAGCACGCCTTATAAGGGGTTTCTCCCGTGTGTGCACGCGCACTCTTCAAAACAAACATGGCGGAGAAGGAAAAGCCGCCTCCAGCGCTGCTGCAGACTAAATACCATGGCATGGATTTATTAAATACAGGCAAAACGCCAGAAACAGAGGAACGACAAAAAGTATGAGCAACATGGTGACCAGCTGCATTCATGTTGGTGACCTCTAGCTCCGTGGATTCCTCTCTCCGACTGAACAGGTGAGCATGTTACTCAGTAGTGGCAGTAGTAGTTGTATTATTTATACATATTGTTGCCTGAGACTGTAATGCGGGTTTTCACCAAGTTAGCTTGTTAACAATCCCCAGCTGTTGTAGAAATACGGCCGCATTTTGTGGCAATAACTGCGCATTACTTTGGCTTAGCTTTGAGAAACAACAACAGACAACACAACATCGAAGCCTTAGCCCAGCCTTAGTCATCCATAAACTCCGGTCAATTATTAGTTCCCCACATGTACAACATTAAATGACCATATCACCAGAGTTCCCCCGTGAAGTGGTGTTAGCATTAGCGTTCGCTGTTAGCATTAGCATTAGCTGTTAGCGTTAGCTGTTAGCATTAGCTGTTAGCATTAGCTGTCTGTAGTTGTGAATATGATGTGGCTGCTACGAACACTTCTGATCTGTATGAATCGTTTGTTTTTGCCAAGAAACATAGTTGCTTGCACTATATATATATGTAGGTCTGCATTTCATTCTTCAATGACTAAGTTTTTCAACTTGCACTCTGTATATTAGTTTTATTGTTATAAAAACAATATCTCTTTACCTCAAATCTAACTTCCGTGACCACTACATACATTTTTATTATTATGTATTGAGAATAAGTAAGAAAAGTCTTGCTGACTACTACCAAATAAATTATGAGCATGATATAATATAGACATTGTAATAATTTACATGTCTTCATTGCATTCTTTTCTCTGTATCTTTTCCAGTATGGCCTAAATCAATTGGAATGAGGTCTTCAATGTACAAGAGTTCAACAGCCTCCATAATGCAAGTTAAATAACTATTAAAAAAAAAACAATGCCATAACGACTAGATACTTTTCTGCTGACCTCTTCTTTCTCTAGTATTGACTGCGAAGACAAGACTTTGCTTCCAGAATTAGAAGAATGGCCATTGTCATCTCCTGAGGAAGACTTTACACCCCACATTTGTCATGTAGGTTGTTGTGAATGCATATATGGGACGCAGTGATTATGATGATAATGATGTTGTGATGTGTGTGTCGTTCATCCCTACAGTTGTGTTGCTGCCCTGAGGTCCAAAATGAATAACCATCATGTTCCAGGAGTCAGTGTTGACAAAACTGTCGCTGAGTTTCTTCAACAATCAAGAGGAGTGAGATAATCACTCGACTCCCAAAACAGTCGATGTAAGTGTCTTTCTCTCACAATGCACAGTCTCTCACAGTCCAAATAAACATGTTCAAGGATCCTGTGGATCAGGGGCCACTCCTGGTGATCAATAAATACTGATGTTGTTGATGATGAATATATCAAAGTCATATTTGAGAAGATAAAACTGATGTCTCTTCTATTGTGTTTCAAAGGAAAATCTCTGCCAGAGGAAGACTCCAGTTCCTTCAACCTGGGCCCCTGAAGCGTGACTGTCTGTGCGTGTGGCTGTGTGTGGCTGTGTGTGCGTGTGGCTGTGTGTGCGTGTGGCTGTGTGTGCGTGTGGCTGTCTGTGCGTGTGGCTGTCTGTGCGTGTGGCTGTGTGCGTGAGACTGTGTGTGTGTGTGACTGTGTGTGCGTGTGACTGTGTGTGCGTGTGGCTGTCTGTGCGTGTGACTGTGTGTGCTTGTGACTGTGTGTGCGTGAGACTGTGTGTGTGCTTGTGACTGTGTGTGCTTGTGACTGTGTGTGCTTGTGACTGTGTGTGCTTGTGACTGTGTGTGCTTGTGACTGTGTGTGCTTGTGACTGTGTGTGCTTGTGCTTGTGACTGTGTGTGCTTGTGACTGTGTGTGCTTGTGCTTGTGACTGCTTGTGCTTGTGACTGTGTGTGCTTGTGACTGTGTGTGCTTGTGACTGTGTGTGCTTGTGACTGTGTGTGCTTGTGACTGTGTGTGCTTGTGGCTGTGTGTGCTTGTGACTGTGTGTGCTTGTGGCTGTGTGTGCTTGTGGCTGTGTGTGCTTGTGACTGTGTGTGCTTGTGGCTGTGTGTGCTTGTGACTGTGTGTGCTTGTGGCTGTGTGTGCTTGTGGCTGTGTGTGCTTGTGGCTGTGTGGTTGTGCTTGTGGCTGTGTGTGCTTGTGGCTGTGTGTGCTTGTGCTGTGTGTGCTTGTGACTGTGTGTGCTTGTGGCTGTGTGTGCTTGTGGCTGTGTGTGCTTGTGTGGCTGTGTGTGCTTGTGGCTGTGTGTGCTTGTGACTGTGTGTGTGACTGTGTGTGTGTGTGCTTGGTGGCTGTGTGTGCTTGTGACTGTGTGTGCTTGTGACTGTGTGTGCTTGTGGCTGTGTGTGCTTGTGGCTGTGTGTGCTTGTGGCTGTGTGTGCTTGTGGCTGTGTGTGCGTGTGGCTGTGTGTGCGTGTGGCTGTGTGTGCGTGTGGCTGTGTGTGCGTGTGGCTGTGTGTGCGTGTGGCTGTGTGTGCGTGTGGCTGTGTGTGCGTGTGGCTGTGTGTGCGTGTGGCTGTGTGTGCGTGTGGCTGTGTGTGCGTGTGGCTGTGTGTGCGTGTGGCTGTGTGTGCTTGTGGCTGTGTGTGCTTGTGTGTGCTTGTGGCTGTGTGTGCGTGGCTGCTTATGAATTATTTTGAGGAAATGTGTTCAAACAAGCTACAACATAAAGATTAACATTTTGTTAGATATCTCTGATAGTGTTCGCTGCAGCAGCGATGGATAAGGACCTGGATAATAACAGTGTTATTCATTTGAACAAAAAGTGATAACACAAACGTTGCCTTACCATCACTTGTAATTATTTGTCTTAGTAGGGACATTGTGTATATTTTTCTGGCTATAACTTCAAATCTTCTTTTACATAATAAAGTTTCTTAGACTCGTTACAGACTGTATTTGTTTTCCTACTATAAAACAAAGCACATTGAAAGAGGTGAATGTATTTTTTTTTATTTTGAAATAGTACAACTACAAACATATTTCAGAACTGCAGAGTGGACGTGCACCATGGGGGCCGCTGAGGACGTGCACCATGGGGGCCGCTGAGGACGTGCACCATGGGGGCCGCTGAGGACGTGCACCATGGGGGCCGCTGAGGAAAGCACGTTTTCAATGTCTGTTGGCACCTTTCACAGACGCATCAGGGAAAGGATCTGGTCATCAGCTTCTCTGGACAGAGGGCGTTCAGTGCTTCCTGAAAGAACCGTTATGACAAATGACTATATATTCTGTTACTTGTAGCTTTTCTTTCAAAGTGGTGAGTTTCCTTACAGTGTAATAGTGTAACGTAATTAGTTATGACAGTACTTTTGCGTTTCGGACAAGCTTTACTGGAATTGTTTTTCAGTCCCACATCTCACTGTACAGCTCTGATACACTTTGATTTTGTCTTCATTCTCTGAACAATAAGCACATAATACAGATGTTGATTACATCAATAAATGTATCTTTATTTTGTGACATTGAGAAGGCAGCTTCCAGTGAGATGCAGCTTTACTTTCACACAATACATTACTACAGTGTTGTCTATAAAGAACTCCAAATATACAAATTGTGAGGAAAGCAGTAATGTATTACTTTAAATAACCTTCATGTAAAGCTTTGTTGTTGTAATGTATATGCATTACATTCATCTAATACATATGCACTGTAACAGATGTTACAGTGCATAATGTTGAGACACGTCACACTGCAACTGCAACATTATGTTTATCACAACAGTTATCAGTGTACCAACTATAAAAGCAGTATTATTCTATAAAAGACTGGATTGTTTTTATCTCTTTCTTAGTGATGCTATCCTAGCTAACACCTACAACAAGCTGCTTCCAGTGTTATAGCTAGGTTACAACTGAGCTATTCTATGCTAATATTTCACTCCCAGAGTTTGTTGTTAATATACTTACGAGTAGACCTGACGGAGATGAATCTGCTGCTGCCATCACCAACACGATGCGCGTTCATGTGGTGTGACGAGGAGACGGGGGCGGGGCTACTAACTCGCTCAGGCAGAAGAAACTGCCGGAAACGACCAAATCGCTTACTGCTGCTTTAACTGTATTCTCAGTTACTTGACATTAACAATTACATGTTTTGACCACCAGGCAATAAATATAGACATTTTTTTCAATTATTATTTCTATGGCAACCAGTCTTCACACACGTGACTTATGCGCTAGAGGTGATCACAGAAGAACTCAAACCTAGTAACATATCTTCTGACATGAAATATGCAATTTAAAGTTGACATTTCACGAAATAAACGTGAAAATACTGCCGCTTGGTCAAGGCCCTGTAACATAACTTCCACAGACATTTTGTTCAGTCTCAAACCGTTCTCTGAGTGATGTCTTCTGCAGGGTGACGGTGGGAACTAAACCAGCTAATATAATACACCCATAACACGTTACCATACCCATGGATGTCCAGACCGTGCACACGACTCATGGTGACGTCTTGTGAGTAGCGCTCCCTAGCGGCGGAGCTGAGGGCCAGCCAGAATCCAGGCCTGATAGTGATTTATGTTTTTTGGTACTGTGTGGGTTTATACCATAGACTGTATATTTTAATATACACTTGACAGAAATGGATTTATTTAGAAAATTAAAATTGATCACTTATTAAAAAAATATATTTATGAGAGAATAAATAAAATTGTCCAGTGTAACTTCTAAAAGGCGTCAGCATCTTATCACCATCTTTGGGTTATTAACAGTAAAGACTACAATTTCGGCATGCAGTTGGTCATTGATGAAGAGTGACCTCTTGTGACCAAAGTATGTCACTGATTTAAAATACTTAAAATTAGAACAGAACAAAATATAGTAAAACGTTTTTATTAATTTTTGAAGTCCAAAAACAAACAGAATAAAGACACAAAATGAGAATGAGCTGATTTTCTATACAGTGGCAATTAAGTTAAACCTTCGTTTTTGCCAAGACAAGTCCGTCTTGGCCTCACACACTCACATTCACTCTGCCAGGAGTCCTGATGCCCCAAACTCACTAAACAGCGCACTTAAGACAGCAGCAGCGGGTGACACTGGGGTAACTATGGAACAGCCCCCCAGGTTAGTAAGTGCAGTGACTGGAACCAACTGTCAATTTAAGGCAGTCTAACTCAAACGAAAGGCTACAGATCATTGGGTACTACAGGACTCCCAGTAACACCCACCCTATGGATTTCCCTTGTCACAGGTACAAACATTTGTAGAAAAAAACAAAAATTACTGATTTCAGAAATCAGGACCTTTAGTGGATGAAGGGGAAGAGGAAAATCAAGTCATACTTTAAATTAAAAATAGAAAATGTATATGGTTTATTCAGTAGCACAAACTCCATGTCCAGTAATGTAGTATTTGCAAAGATGCCTCACTTTTCTGATAAAATCCTGACAGTTCCTCTTTTATGTAGAAAAAAAACATGGTAAGAGAAATGGCCTTTGGCATGCTGGAAATACAAGGTATTTTTTTCTGAATGGAATGGACACCAAGAGTAGTTTCCTGTGGTCCTCTGCCCCTTCACCCGAGGTTTGAGAACGTGAGCCTCTAGTCAGCAGATTTACAAATCACATAAACCAAACAAAACGTAATTATTTTTGCGCTGTTTGTATTCACACAGAATGTTTTTTTCTTAAATAGTGAAGTGAATTTCCCAACAAAAAAATACATGTCAGCATCAGAAATGGGGCAACAAGTATAACGCAGAATATTTTTTTTAAGAATATCAATCTAAAGCTTGATTAAACTGTATTAACATTTGCTACTCATGCAAACAATAACAGAAGCAGCAACTTCGTAATATACCTGCCCCATTTCTTTCAAGACCAAAATTAAAAATGAAAGACAGAACGATCATTCTGACTTATATTTTCATATAAACTTTTAAATTCCCATTGTAAAAGGGAAGATTATGGAAAAGAGTCATGAGTTTTTGCTTTTGATGCAGGACAAGGGGACGCTGTAGACGAAATGTGACATCTTCTAGGCATTTGTTGAGGATGTCGAGGAGGAAGAGCAAAGCCATGTAGGCTTACGTACGCAGTCATGAACCAAAAATGGTCCGTATCGACTCCTTGTCTCCAGTTGCTCCTGAAGCTATTGATCAATGAATTTCGATAGCATGGTCTGTCAATTAAAAGCAACAATAAACAAACCATTTTTTGAAAACCTCAAAAAACAAGATTCTCAATGATCATTAAATTGCAACGACATAGAACACTGCTGGAGTACAGGAGACAAGTCGCTGTAAACTAAAGTTAGATTTTGTGTGCATCTTCCCCTATATTTCATACCCTCTTGTATCTGTAATTTACAACTCAAAACACCTCAATGATAATTGAAAAAACTAGTTTCAAAAGGCAGCCTTTTTTCCTTCAGGCAAAGCAGTTCAAGTCTTAACATAATAGTTTTAACTACATTTTCTTCTTCAGACTGGGCGTCCCACCGCAGCAGGCTCTTATGACGCTGTCCTGTTGGGAGGCACGGGGGGAGGGGGGCGACCCGTGAGTCACCCGTGGCGACGCAGCTCAGTTGTTCTCCTCGTCGCTGTCGTCTGGGCTGATGGCCGGGCTGTACGTGGGCGAGGTGGGGCTGTATCCGGGTGAGGTGGGTGAGTAGGTGGATCCTTTAGGACTGGTGGGCGAGTAGGTGGGGGAGGTGGGCGAGTATTTGGGAGACGTCGGGGAGTAAGTGGGCGACGTGGGGGAGTATTTAGGACTGGTCGGGGTGTAGGTGGGCGACGTGGGGGAGTAGGTGGGCGAGGTTGGGCTGTACTTGGGCGTAGTGGGCGAATACGTGGGAGAGGTGGGCGAGTACTTGGGCGAGGTAGGGGAGTACTTGGGCGAGGTAGGGGAGTACTTGGGCGAGGTGGGGGTGTACTCCGGGGAGCTGGGGCTGTATGAGGGGGAGGTGGGCGTGTATTTGGGGGAGGTGGGCGAGTAGGAGGGGGAGCTCGGGCTGTACGAGGGCGAGCTTGGGGTGTAGGTGGGAGACTGGGGGGTGTAGCGCGGGCTTGAGGGGGAGTAAGACGGGGACGTGGGCGAGTATGAGGGAGAGGTGGGTGAGTAGTTTGGGCTGGTGGGCGTGTAGTTTGGCGACGTGGGGGAGTAAGAGGGCGAGGTGGGGGAGTAGGACGGAGACGTTGGGGAGTAACTGGGGGATGTGGGCGTGTAGTTGGGAGAGGTGGGCGAGTATGAGGGAGACGTGGGGGAGTATGAAGGGGAGGTGGGGGAGTAGCTCGGCGAAGTCGGGCTGTAACTGGGCGACGTGGGGCTGTAACTAGGAGACGTGGGGGAGTATGAAGGGGAGGTGGGGGAGTAACTGGGCGACGTGGGGCTGTAACTGGGCGACGTGGGGCTGTAGCTAGGCGACGTGGGCGAATACGAGGGGGAGGTGGGGGAGTAACTGGGGGAGGTGGGAGAGTACGACGGCGAAGTGGGAGAGTATGAGGGCGAGGTGGGCGAGTACGAGGGGGAGGTGGGGGAGTAGCTGGGCGAGGTGGGGGAGTAGGACGGCGACGTGGGGCTGTAGTTGGGGGAGGTGGGCGAGTATGAGGGGGATGTGGGAGAGTAAGAGGGGGAGGTGGGGGAGTAGCCCGGGCTCTGAGGGGTGTATCCACCCGGAGAACGAGGCTCGTAAGCAGGAGACGTGGGGGAGTAATTGGGAGACATCGCTCCACCTGGAAAAGAAAAAAAAGGTTCAAATTAAACCGTGTCATTTTAAAGTATGTGACCGGTTTGAAAAAACATTCACAACATTTAAAAAACAAAAAACAAATAATCAGCTAGATTTCTCCAGTTGGGAAAATGTAGTTATCTGCAGTTCATCCAGAGTGATCATGGGCCTCTTGGCTGCATCTCTGATCAGTCTTCTCCTTGTTTGAGATGAAAGTTTGGAGGGACGGCCGGGTCTTGGTAGATTTGCAGTGGTCTGATACTCCTTCCATTTCAATATAATTGCTTGCACAGTGCTCCTTGAGATGTTTAAAGCTTGGGAAATCTTTTTGTATCCAAATCCGGCTTTAAACTTCTCCACAACAGTATCTCGGACCTGCCTGGTGTGTTCCTTTGTCTTCATGGTTCTCTCTGCGCTTTAAACAGAACCCTGAGACTATCAAAGAGCAGGTGCATTTATACGGAGACTTGATTACACACAGGTGCATTCTATTTATCATCATCAGTCATTTAGGACAACATTGGATCATTCAAAGATCCTCACTGAACTTCTGGAGTGAGTTTGCTGCACTGAAATTAAAGGGGCCGAATAATATTGCATGCCCCCCTTTTCAGTTTATTTGGTAAAAAAGTTTAAATTATCAGATAAATTTCGTTCCACTTCACAATTGTGTCCCACTTGTTGCTTCATAACAAAAAATTAAAATTGTATATCTTTATGTTTGAAGCCGGAAATGTGGCGAAATGTTGAAAGGTTGAAGGGGGCCAAATACTTTCGCAAGGCCCTGTAGACGCGGAACCGGCAGAAAACATTGAGGGCTCGTATGTGCAGCATGTCTGCTCTGCCTATGTTTGCTCTTTTTAGAGCAAAACCACCTTCAACATCAACAGCAGCAGCTCATATGACGCAGGCGAAACACGTTGTTTTAAATATTGGAACAGCATCGGAGAATGCGTGAGGAGAAAGCCGAAGGAGACTGTGCGCTCCGTGCCCTGTCCCACACATGGATCTATGATAATAACGGCCTTGTTCAGCATTGTGGATAAACCATGGATCTATAATAACCACGGGACAAACAGACGCTGAGGATCAGGTAGGAACCAAAGAACACAATTCACTACATGATGCGGAATATTGCTCTTTGAGGCGTGGGTCAAACAGTGTCAGGCTTTTAATAATGCAAATGGTTTGAAGATGCTGCCATTAACATCAATGTATACTGTGAACAGTTTTAACTCCATAAGCCTGTTGCACAGCGTCTCCTCACTGCTCCAGGTCTGCCCACGGCTCATTGCTGTTGTGTAGCGTTAGCAGCATGGTTAGCAGCTGCGTGGCTAATTCCTCAGTTTCTGTCTGCGGTGGCTTGTTAGAGGACAACTCACCCTCAAATCCACTTTTTTTTTCTGATAAACGGTATAAATGAGTGTCCAATAGTGTTGTCTACATATCCTGGTCATAATCTTGTCACTTTGGTGCAAATTAGTTGAAAGTTAAACTTTCTGCCTAAAACCGTCTGTGAGGCGCCATCTGCTGGCGACCTGTATTACTACATTTGAATTTTGAATTTGGCGCCAACACTGGCGTGGCAGCAAGACCTGACGTCTGAAGCAAGACCTGACGTCTGCAGCCCCCCGCCCAGAGCAATGTAAACGGCCCAGTCTCGTTCACGCCCCCTTTAGTCCTCCAGGATACGCCCATTTAGAGGAAGATTTGAACAGGAAATGTGAGTAACGTAAGCTCCGAGGAGCGGGGGTGAGAACCACTTTAAGCCCAAAAAATGCGCACCTATCTTTGAGTTGTGTCGGATCGACACCGGATGTATTCAGACCTGATTTGACTTGGACCAGAATTCGTTTGGAATACATACACATGTAAACCTTCTCAAAACTAACTATTTTCATGCCAAGACAGTAGATATGTCAATATTTGTTTTTGAAATGGACTTTTGATAACGAGGGATTCCTTTATTTGGTTACTTTTTTGTTTTTGTAGTGACAAACCATCACTTGACTGCTTCAACCATTAGGATTATCTGTCCCAGGTAATATTCCCAATCAACAGGAATAATGTGTTACATGCACTTTTCTACTTGAGCCTAACCTGGAGAGGGAATGTATGGGCTCGCAGGTCCAGGTGATCCTGGGGAGCCCGGTGTGGGGGACCAGGCGGGCGAGTACCCGGGAGAGAAGCCACTTGCATCAGATGCTGCACTGGGTGAGAAACCCGCTGCTCCAGGAGTCATGCCGCTGCCTGGTGACGCCACAAAAAGACAGTGCTGAGTAAATGAAGCTGAGAAAAGGATTACAGCTGAGCTGAAGATCAACTTACCAACGCTGGGAGACCAGGCTCCATAAGCCGGTGTGGCTCCCGTGTTCCAGGGGGTCATGGCAGGTGACATGCCGCTCATTGGACTAGGCACTGAGCCAAAGAACATTCCAGTGGCTGCAAATAGGATTGTATCAGTACACAGATACAGAACATACATATGAAATACATCAGTACAGATACTACATTGAATTTATACAGAAGAAATACAAATATTTTACTTACGTCCAGCCACACTGATGCCAGGTATATTTGTGGGGATTTCCATGCCATATTTACACTTCTCAGCATCCAATAGCAAGTCGAAGCAACCAGTTCCTGCTGGAGCGAGCTGTCCAAGCATGATGTTCTCAGACACGCCCTTCATTGGATCAACCTCAGCGTGAGACGAGGCCTCCATCAGTACGTCCACCTGAAACAATACCGTTACATCAAAGATTGCTCTGTAGCAGTTCTATAAAAGTCCTGAATAACACTGGACTCACAGTCTCCTCAAAAGAACACTTCATGAGTGGTCCTGTGTCCTGCCGGTTAATGCCGTGACGTGTGATGGCCATTAAATGGCCTCTGCAGGTCATGGTGTCACAGAGTAATGCCAAGTGGCGGTAGTTCACATAGGAACCGTCAAAGGAGATGACGTGGTACAACTCCCTCTCCAGAGCCTTACGCACAGCCTCGATTCCCAACACCTACAGAAGAGGATCATACGTGAGATTTTGAACTACTTTTTGCTCATAGTTATTTGTTAGAAATTTTTGACTTGTTCTTACAGTGAAGATTTCTACAATGTCGTTAGAAGTCGTCCTGACAGGGTCCACATCCTTCTCGCTGAGAACTCTCATCAGACTGACTCCATCAGTCTCCAGGATCCACTCCTGCAGTGCCTTGAACTCTCCATCCTCAGTGATGATGATCTTCTTCTTGTTGTCCGTCTGAGGCAGATGCATGTACACCTAGAGAACCAGACCTCAGAGTTTAGACACGTCTAGAGCGAGCGAGTAGCATGTTGTTGTACCTTGCTGATCTGTTCAATTCCCTGAAGAGTCATGTCTGTCAACATGTTTGACTCAATGCACCGCAGAAAAACATCATCATCCATTTTATCCACCACCTCCTCATCCTGAAATAAGAGATGATTGCATTACGATTGGTGACAACTACAGCGTTCAAATAACATGTTTTTATCGAGTCATTTACATCTTGGAACTTGTTTTCATCGCTGTTCATGATTCTGATTCGCAGCACCAACTTCTCAGCGTTGTCGTCATTGAAGATACAGTTCAGGTCGTCTCCAAATCCTTTTTAGAAAATACATAGAATCACAATCACCAATCAAACATGAAGAGATGTTTCTTTCAACACCTACCTGCATTAATCTTCTCTGCGATTTGCTCCATAGTTAGCTTGCGGTCAGTCATGTGTTTGCGATCGAGCTCAATGCGCAGGAGCCACGGTGAAATGCGGGTCACGTCAAAGTCGGGCATCTCATAATAGACATTCACCCACTCCTGGTCCTCCGCCACCACCGTGTTCTGGGGATTGGGGTCATAGTAGATGGCCGTGTTTGCAGTAACCTGAAACAAAGATTTGTATTATAAGAGGATTACTTTCAAAGAGCAGTTTTTGAAGACAAGCACGCTTATTATTGACGACGTACTTTTCGGAGAGTTGTGTGTTCTAGTCGACAGAGAATATCCTTAGCCCGCTCGGCGTCTCTGGCAGCTTGACCCAACAGGAACACAGTCAGCGAAGGGGTCTTGGGCCTCTTCGAGATGTTGATCAACTCTTTTAGACGAGGCACACCCAGCGTTACGTTCTTGGCCGACACACCGGCATAATGGAAAGTGTTCAGTGTCATCTGAGTGGCAGGCTCTCCCAGAGACTGAGCAGCGAGAGCACCCACCATCTCGCCAGGATGAGCCTAAAAACATTAAGAGCAAATGTATGTAGTTTAATACACTAGAGCAAGGGTGGGCAATTATTTTCTGCAGGGGGCATAGTGGGATATTGCAGCACTTTGCCCAGGTCTGCATTAGAGAGATGCATTGTAAATAACATGAGGGGGAGGACTCACAATTGATTGATTGAATTTTGTCTCGACCTCCCCCAGCAGCCAGTCAAAAGCCTCAGTGGAAAGTCGGAACTCTTCTGTCATTCGCCGGGAGGAGAGTGTGGAGCGCAGGTGGATGTTGAAAAGCAGAGTAGCGTTTTCTTGAGCCTGTCTGCTCAGCGGGTCTTCGCCGTTTACAATGACGAGCTTCTTACTGAGATCTTTGAGGCCTAAAAACATGAACAGAAGGAGTTTATTTCTACCCATTATTCTTAATCATGTAGTTACAAAAGCGAAGCTGTCTCTCACCATCAACCACTCTCAATGGATGCAAGTCTGTTGGGGTTCGTGTGTTAATACGGAAGATCTTCTGAGCGTTCCAGATCATTCTGGCCAAATTACAAGGGAGCACAACCTGTACGAAAAGGAATACATACATTTTATATTAGACTAACAGTTGTTTGGCATTATTCAGTACATGATCACAGAACACACCTTACTGTCTCCAGTGGGGAAAATGGCTCTTAGGACATCCCGGTCTTCCCTCATTTTTTCAAACTCCCGTTCCAAGGCACTCTGAACGTGGGCATTGGTCAACACATCTTTTACAATGTCTTCCTGTAGCGTTCGTCTCAACGCCCGATCGTTGGTACAATCAAATCTAAATCTTTATAGACAAAATAAAGTTAAGTGAATATATTGCTCCTTTGTTCAGCCAACAAAGCAGTTGCATTTACTTACTTCTTTTCAAAGGCTTTGTGTGAAGGCTTGAGCGTCGCCAGATTCTGAAACTCTACATTCTCTCCGGCCAAACCGTCCTCACCATAACGCAGCTGTACGACTTGGTTGATTGAATTTCGAACCGTTCCGTCATACTTCACCATGACAGACTCCATAGACTTGATCAGACGACGCTGGATGTAACCTGGTTTAAAAAAAAAAAAAAGTATTGAGTGGCATGTACTTTATACTTGTAATATCTCATTGGCATTTCTGACGTACCCGTCTCAGCTGTTTTGACAGCTGTGTCAATCAGACCCTCTCTCCCTCCCATGGCGTGGAAGAAAAACTCAGTTGGTGTCAGCCCAGCCAGGTAAGAGTTCTCTACAAAGCCTCTGCTCTCAGGACCGTAGTCATCCTTAATAAAGTGGGGCAGTGTCCGGTGTTTGAAGCCAAAGGGGATTCTTTTACCTTCAACGTTCTGTTGTCCCACCACAGCAATAACCTAAATAAAGAGGAAATGTATTTTTTATTTTGGAGATCCACAATTATAATATTGGGTTTGAATGAACAGGGATTTACCTGTGAGATGTTAATTTTGGAACCCTTTGAACCGGCCACCACCATAGACTTGAAGTTGTTATACTCAGACAATGACTTTTGGGCAGAAGATCCTGTTTTGTCTCGAGCATCGTTGAGAATACGATTCACTTGGTTCTCAAAAGTCTGTCTCAGAGTGTTTCCAGGAGTTGGCTCCAATTCGTTGTTGTGAGCTTTCTCAATAACCTGGAAAATGGCAAAATATTAAACCATGGCTGAAATCAATCTGCGACGACAGATGCATGCTATACTTACTTCTATCACATCCTGTTTGGCCTTCTTGATTGTATTCTGAATGTCAAGATATGTCTTTGCATCAGCAATGGAGTCACCGATACCAATTGAATGGCCTGAAGTAATTAATGTCAAGTAATGTTAGAAAAGAAAAGTTTGGGCACATTTTTCTGCTAGTTACACTTACCCTCTATAAGAAGCCAGTTGTTGACCACAGTTTGAATGTTTGAGTAGAACAGTCTAGTGATATCGTGACCCATCTCCAGATACGAGATGTGAACGAGAGAGCCTGCTGAAGTTCCCAAGGATTTCTTACAAAGAATGCCCATGATCAATTCACCGTTCTCCACAATAACCTGCAAGACAGATTCATAATAGAGGTCAAAGTTATTGCATTATACAGTTAAACTGATCTGATGTAAGAGTTTAGTGTATCATGTACCTTGGTGTCACCAGGTGAAATGTGCTTGTATGGACCACTATCTTCATCGTCTGGGTGAGTGCTGTGCGTGCGGATGACATTGATGTGTCCAGGAATAATAAGGCTGAAAATCTGTTTTCCTGTCCACAAAGGACGAGGTTTGAGGATGGCCGGCTGCGGCATTTTACCGTCCCAGGTGGACAGGAACATGAGAAGATTCATGACTTCACCCTGAAGACAATTCAGAATTATCAATACATTCTTTAAATCTATAGAGAAATAAATGGGCAGAACACTGTTTACCCTCTCTAAGAAGACATCTCTCTTTGTAAACTTGCGCACTGCAGTCAAAGTGTCCTGCACAATACCCATGACGGGTCTGTTTGACTGCGGAGTCACAATCATACGTGGCACCATGGCCAGCTCCTGAATCTCTGCTCTTGTCTCCAATGATTGAGGCAGGTGCAAGTTCATCTCATCGCCGTCAAAGTCAGCATTGTAAGGAGTGGTGACACTGGAGGAACAAAATATGTTCTCAAACTTGTTCAACCCCTTGCTAAATCACTTATTAAACAACGTTATTATTTAGTACCTGAGGTTGAGTCGAAAAGTAGACCAGGGAAGAATTCTTACTCTGTGCCCCATCATAGACATTTTGTGAAGTGTAGGCTGACGATTAAAGATGACAATGTCACCATCACACATATGTCTTTCAACCTACAAAGCAAAATAAGCATTGATCACTTGTTCCCAAATGTGTCACCAAAAAGTTCCATCTTCAGTTGTTGGAAGCAAAAATAACCCTTGCCTTATAGCCAATTTGCAAATGAAGGTCACTTGGCTTCGGGTGAAACCGCAAATCAATTCTGTCTCCATTGTCTCGAATAATGTATTTTGCTCCAGGGTACTGACTGTTTCCTCTTCGCACTAGCTCTTGTAATCTGTAGAAAACATGAAAGTATTTGAGTACAACATCAGTAACTTAGTATTCAAAAAAAAAAAAAAAAAAAGACTTACCTGTCAATATTAAAGGGGGTGACTATTTCAGGAAAAGTCATATTGGCCGCTATAGATCTTGGGACACCGACTTGATCAATTTGCAGGTTGGGATCTGGTGTGATGACAGTTCGAGCAGAGAAGTCCACACGTTTGCCCATAAGATTACCTCGGACTCTTCCTTCTTTTCCCTTTAGCCGCTGCTTAAGGGATTTTAGAGGACGACCAGATTTCTGCATTGCCTAAAAAAACAAACAAAATGAAACAAACAGCTACCACACATATTCAAATGTTTGGTTTACAGGTATACATACCCTGGGCAGTCCAGGAAGCTCGTTGTCCACCATTGTGGCTACGTGGAACTGAAGAAGTTTTACATCCTCCGCAATAACATGAGCTGCTGCACCACTTTGCTCATTTCTTCGGAGTTGGTTATTAATTTTGACAATGTCGGCTAATTTATGAGTCAAATCATCCTTTAAAATAGACATTTAATTTAGGCTCAGCATTAATAGGAGAAAATAGGAAGCGCCAGTGGCTTCGTACCTGGTTCCTTGCAGAGCCCTGCATCACCACCGCAGGTCGAACAGCTAGTGGTGGTACAGGCAATACTGTTACAATCATCCATTCAGGGCGCGAAAACTTCGGGTCCATGCCCAAGATGACGTCTTCTTCATCAGAGATGCGCTTGAAAATTTCATGAACACGCTCTGGACTCAGAAGGATTTTCTTCTCCTGAGAATCTTCATTGACATGCTTCCACTCAGCATAAAGCTCCAGACCAGATCGCCTGATCCGCGGCTGGTATCGCCCACAACCGCCATGACCCTGTAGATATTCAAGAATGGTCAATATCTTATGACTGATTATTATATTAATCACATTGATGATTGAATTCACCAATTACCTTCTCCTTTGAAATGTCCTCCTCAGTCTCCTGCTGCTCCATCCCAAACTTGTTGTCCATCTCTTCTCCTCCTTCACAGATGTTTTTGCCTTTGCAGAGTTCATAAACGTGTGTAAGACGTTTTCTGGGTTGACCTTTGGATTTGACAAGAATGTCTTTGATCTTTGGATTGTTCTGCAGCAGTGAAAGACAACAAGTTAGTCCCAAATCTAGAAAAATGTTTACTACTCATGAATCAAGAGAGAATCATCTTACCGAATCTACCAAGAGCTTTGAGCAAAAGAAACAAACACAACGAAGAACCTTCATTATTTTTGTAACAAAGCCAACATGAAAAACTGGTTTTGCCAACTCTATATGTCCAAAGTGGCCTGGACATTCTGTCATATTGCCTGCAAGAGATACACATCCAAATATCAAAATTAGTTTTCTTTTCCATCACTGAAATTAGTAAAGCAGTAGAACACTACAAGACCTGCACAAGTCTGACATCTCCCACTCCGTTCAATGACGCCCTGTCTGGGGTCCATAAGGCCACCAAGTTTAGGACGCCCTCCTTCTGTTGTTTCAGGGTACTTGATTCCCCCTTCTGTAACGGACATCCGTTTCTAAACGACACAAACAAAATCGCTCAAGTCATATACAAGCTCATTGCTGAAGCACTTCTCATTTAAATAAAACCAAAAACACATACAACAGATTAACGTTATTAACTTTTATTTATTAACTACAATGTGCATCCTTTATGGGGGGCTGGCTTTATAGTTTTTTTCGGTAAGCAAATCTAACACATGCGTTCATCAGTGTTTCAACTGCATCAAAAAAAGACATCAAATAAGTAAAACTGTCTTATTTATGGGGCAAAGAAGTAAACGATAAAAAATAAAGTGTGTTTAATACATGAGTTAACCGGGTTTATAGTTGTGTTATTGTTGTGCTTATAGTTTACAAACTTCTAACCTGATGCTAGTTGCTCACATGAAACTGCTAGCATGCTAGGCTAATTGTTTGCATTGCAACAGTTAGCCTAGCATAACAATATCAGTAAGTTTAACATCGTAATAACATACAAGTACACAGTTAGTGTATCATCGGTAAAAATAATACAAAACCCCATTGTCCCCATAAAAAACCTACAAGCTCATCTGGGCTGATGATGCCGAATTGAACTCTCTTGATCGTGCGCAATGGGCATGCGCTGTCGCCGGAGGGCGGTCCGTGCATCCTGTCTATTCAAAGAGCCGCGTCCTTCCTCGGCACGCCGCTTTGTGAGCAGGAACAGCCGCTAAAATGTCGCCACGGCTCTGGTCAGGTCGCCAACGGTGACCGGAGAGTCTCCGCAGGCGATGTCCCTGGGACCCCAGTGGTCAGATGACTTTATGGTCGAGTTACTTTTTCTTTACTCCAGAGTAAAACGGCCACCGACCGTTTCCCTCCTTTTCCTGGTCTACACTGTGGAACGCTCTCAGCGCTTCTGAGAGTCACACTGGCCAACGCTGGCTTTTATAGACAGAGTGGCTGAGACGGGGTTACACATCCGATAAAACAGGGGCTGTCCCTTCGGAGGGCGGGACATGTTACTCTGTAGTAAAAAGCTCATTGGCCTTTCAGGCCCAGGTCATGAATAAATGATTTTAACAAACGTACCGCCAATCAACATTCACGCTTGCCATTTCTAGCCAGTGAAGATCGAAGGCGGGCGTTAGTTAAAGTTAGGCTTAATTTTATTGGCTTTACAAAAGATACTAGGCGGGCCTGTTAATAATTTGCATATATTTTATAAATATTCATTTTGGACAGTTGTGATTGGCCATTGTACTCATACATATTAAGTAAAAACTAGAGGGAGGCCAATGACCACGTAGAATAGTATTTGATTTGAATAATTTCCACAAAATCCACCCACTTTCCGACAATTGCCGATGTTTGCCGAGGAGATTTTCTTCCCTCTGAGCAAAAATAAAAAAATCTCTGTTCTGCCCTTCGTCTCGCGCTGCATCAGCCTGGGCTCTAAGAAAAGAGGCTCAGTCCCGAGGCCTGTTCAGTTCTCAGACAAAACCGAATATGTTTGTCAAAATACATGCTAGGATGTGCCGAAAATAGATTCAAGTTAATTGATCGAATAGTGTTTTGCGATAAACGTCGATATTTTTAGCCTACATTTTTTGTATTTTTGCATCTTTGGGATTTTGCTTCAAGCCTCGGACTCTCCTACGGCCTTCACCCGGACAAAGAAGCGGAGTTTGCCCACGCGCCTTTAGGAAAGTCTCGGGAAAGCCTGTTTTCCAATATCAGCTTTATTTATTTGTAGTTTTTACTACACGTGCATTCTGCATGTATGGTATGTGTTACCGATCCATTAGGGATTTTTTTCTAAAGCTAATTTGGTGTAAATGTGTTATTAGCTTGTATGAACGTTTTAAGGCCACGTTAGCATGCTATCACTTGGCTAACGCTAAATGCCCAAAACCAACGTTGTTGCAGGTACCTGACTATTTGTTTTAGCACAGGTCACACAATACTAGCGTATATTCTTAATGATAACTGTTGCTTTAAGGTACCTTTTATTGTATTTATTTATTTTAGTGTACGGTGCTAAAACGATGGATTGTAATTCTAAGTATGTATATATTTTTGCATCGTTGTAATCAAAGCACGAATGTCCAAACTAATCACTGAAAGGATTTTTGTTCATTCCTGGTTTAGAATCCATTTGTTTATGTCTAATGGTGTTTTTGGTATGCTAGCTTAATCTCAGTTAGCTTGGGTAAATCTCTGGCCGATGGCCCTCTACAATTCTCCACGTAACATTTAACCTAGGTAACTAATACTTTAAATTCCGTTTCATTGCCATATCAATCGAGGCTTGAACGTGTTTGCTCAGTTGTACTTTTCAGTCCACCAGTTGTTGGACATAATCAACATGGCGGCGAGTGGCGTTGTGCTTCTTGTTGTAGACGAGAAAGATGGAGTCTGGAATATTCCTGCTACTTTTTACTTTCTTTTTACGTCACTTGCACAGTATACGTTTCGTGAAGTTGTTAAACACTGTCCATATAAAATTAAATAATGTATGGTCAGTGTTGATCATCGACCCAAGTTGTGGAAACTATTGTAAACTTTGTTACCGGCGTTAGATCAGTCCTACAGTCGAAAATGTAAGTAAGCTAATCCTACTTGTGTAAGCCCTTTGCGACTAGCCAGTTCATGCCTTTGGGGTTTTTGCCAACAATAGCGTTTTAACTTGTCTACTTTAAACGAAAAATTATAGAGTATAGATGTTGTTTAAACATTCACTTTGCCTTGGTAAACCTGTCAATTTACTGTCTTTAAAATGTTGTTAATCCTACTCTATATCTAGACACGTATGCCTGTTCTCTGTAACTTCCCTGATAACTATTGAGCCAGTATATGTATAGTATATGTAGTACGTGTAACTGCATGTCCCGCGTTATGAAATAATTTGTGACTTCTCTCAAATAAAGATAAATGTTTTGCTACCTTTTGTGTTGTTTCTAATTGAAGCTTTTCCTGTCTATTGACCAGTAGTTTTTTGTGCATTATTGTGCTCTGTAAATGCATGACAAATCCAGCAATTCTTGACCGAACTTGTCAATGGTGCAAATCACATTTTCAGTCATCACTTGGGGTAGCTATATTATCAGGATCCATGGGTTTTAGGTATCTATCAGACTATTGTATCGACATGCCTTTTTCCTGTTGATTCTTCATGCGCACGTTTTGACACATAGCGCCCTCCTCTGGTTCATCTTAAGAATGCAATGAAATGGCGTTGCACAATGATAGTGAACGGTGGTCGACGGTGGTACGGAAGCATGTCCAGCAGCTGGGCGGGCTCTCTACGTGCTGCCCAGGCCTCAGCTCACCCATGGATCTCAACAGAGGCTCTTCCCAGTGCCCAGTCCACTCTGCTGCCCAGGGAGGTCAGTTCAGAAGCTGTACAAACAATTTAAAATGGTTTATGTAAGTATTTTGGCTCATTTAAGTCGCCTCTTTTAAAGTAGGTATCACAGCAATAGAATGGTTCAATGTTCACAAATGTTTGAGCCAATAGTATGTGTAATGATTAACTTAATTTGTTTTGAATGTTTTTATGTTCACTGAGACTTATTTATTGTCGTGCGTGTCTAGTGATTGGACGTCATGACATTGACAGTTCTACAGACTGCATTATGCAGTTTTGCGACCTGAAGCAGCTTCGGAGAGACCAGGAGAGGGGAGGAATGACGTACATACAGCAGATAGGAGTTTAAGCCATGGTTAATCAACTCATTTATGCATGGACAGAGAAGCAGTAGAGGCTACCTGACCAACATGTTCGCTTTATGAATTTTGATATAGTGATACAACAGAATACCCTTCTGACGTAATATCAGAAAGGTGTGCACTGTGTGGATTATTGGAATGTCCCTTTTCAGCATGTACTGTTCTGTCCTGTGTTTGTTTTGGCACATAGATCTATTTCTGTTTAAGTGGGTTAGTCTTTCACACATTCATTTTTGTGCATGTTGCTTTAATTGATGTGCTTTCGTATTTTCAAAGTAGAAAATAATACAATGGGTACAAGGCTTTAGTTGACATTTTAATACACTGTAAAAAAAAAAAAATAAATAAAGACAAGTATATTAGAAATCCAGTTTGCAAACGTTATTTTTTATAAGACGCCTACAAATGGGTATATATATATATAGAGAGAGAGAGAGATAGATAGAGATAGAGAGACAGAGAGCGTTTATGAACAGCAGGTCTTCCCACATATTTGCACTTTGATTTGAGGTCTTGGACATTCTTTTTTTTTTAATATATACTCGTCACCCAGTCTATTGGACTCAAGTTTTACAATCTTCCCCGCCCCTGCTGAAGAAAAGCTCCCCTGATCATATGGAGCCACAAGCATGAGAGATCCTGCCAGACCTCAGAAGCTAAGCAGGTGAGGGCCTGGTTAGTACTGTGATGGAACACCAGGTGTAACAGTGGGGCGGATGCATCACTGAAGTGCCAAACTGTAATTATGTCCTTAGGCAAGACACTTCACTACCCAGTATGCCTAGTAGGATTCTAGTATGTGCAGTGATTCCATAGTCAAGGTCTATTTCTGAATAATGGATTGAACAGTTCTCTGTGAGATGTTCAAAGTTTAAGGTCTTTTTATAACTTAAAGCCGCAGAAGTTATAACGTCTCCGCAACTTTATCCCTAAACCTCTCTAGTGTGCTCCTTTGAGTTCATGATGCTTTAGTGAACAATAAACATAGTTCTGAGGCCGCCAGAACATCTGTAATTATACTAAGAGTAGATTACACATAGGTGAACACTGTTTAGTTATTAGGGAAATATATGAGCATTCAGAATTATTAGGACATTATCAAAAGCAACGTAATTCACTCCAAGAAGTGGTGATACATGTGTATATTCATACCTGCCCAAACAACATAAATTTGAATGATTTCTTATTATCTCACGTGTAGGTTTTAATTTTTGTAACTAACAAGGCTTTGTGTAGTGTAGAGGGCACTATAAATACAGTTTGATTCATATTGTAAGACATCGCAAATCTTCTCTCTTGACTAAACATTGTGTGTGTGGGGCAAGATTTGACTGTAGTTAAATATCAGCATTCGCAAAAAGCCTCTGAAGCTGTGCAGGGCAGGGCCTGGTTAGTACAGTTATGGGAGACCTCTGGGAACACCAGGTGCCACAGTGGGGCGACTGTAAAGAGCCAAACTGTTGTTGTGTTCTTAGGCAAGACACTTCAGCCACATTGAATTGCCTAGAATGAGATGGTTAGTGGTGGTCGGAGGGGCCGATGGCACATACTGGTTGCCTCGCTTCTGTCAGTGTGCCCCAGGGCAGCTGTTGCTACAGTAGTAGTTATCACAACCGTGTATCGAGTGAATACTGACATGTGAAGTGTTTTTTAGTGTCCTGAAAACAGCTATATCCAAAAAAAGCAATGCAAATGTGTATACAGTCTAAAACAGGGGTGTAAAACTCATTTTGGTCAGGGGCCGATTAAAAAAATGGGAACTGGTTGGGGGCCGAAACAATAGAAGAGATTTCCTTTTCTTATCTTAGTTTTTTACATTATGAAGATATTTCAACATGACTTTAATGTGACATGAGTTTCACTGTTATTTTCTAGTTTATTTTTCTGAAAACAAAACTTGCTTGTTTAGATTGAACCAAAACTAGTCAGACATTTTATATTGAACAATTTAACTTCTAATGATGTTTTATTGGGTTACAATGTTAGAATACATAAAATTTGGTTGTTTTCCTGAGAAAATAGATGATTTATAACCTGCCTTAGTCACCCATTACCATCAATGTTTATTAATGTAGTTAATAAAAACAAATAATTATAGTGGCTACTAAAAATTGTCTAGCGGGCCGGATCTGGCCCCCGGGCCTTGACTTTGACACCCATGGTCTAAAAAGAGGGGCTAATCTGTCGAGAAACAGGAAGCCCTAATGACCTCACAGCAGCTCACAACCGAATGCAGCCACTTCCCCCTCCTCATGGCAGAGCTCCAGTTCAACAAAACAGGCCTCATGCTTATCACAAAATTATGCACCCCTCCCTTCCCCGTTTGGGCCGCCCTGCTGAATGGCGCACAGGCAGCAAGCTTTCACCCCTCCGCCATGTCCTATCTGGCGTTCTATTCTTTTCTAACCACACTCCCTCCCCACACAGTCTCTTGATGCCAGTGCAGCATGCCTGAGTAGCTGCCTGGAGATGAAGGAGCTAATTAATTTGATTTAGCCCGTCTCTCCAGTTCTCTGGCAGTGGAAAAACCAGCCGCCTGTCCTTTTGCATTGCCCCCACCTCCGTACCATATCAAGCACCCCTCCCTGATGAATTTCCACCTATCCTTTCCAGGCTGTATTTGGCAGAGCACACTTAAATCTCAAAACCCATTCCGAGTTTCTGCCTCTATAGTAAATGCATTGTTTACTACACAGCAGACCTCATTACTTGTAGGTTTCTTGCTATAAGATGACGCTTGTAACTTTCATCTGTATCCTTATGCATTATCTTCTATTATGTGCGAAAAGCTCCTCCACTGCTCTAACAAACATGCTTGTTATGGTTCAATGCCATAGTTTTATTTCTACAAATCCAGTGCAGCCCTTTCAGTAATTAAAGCGCTTCTGTCATCTGAGACGGGTCACATGACAGCATTACGTAAGATTGAAAGTTCACCATAACTGTCAAATGGTGATAAGAGCAAAGGGAAGGAAATAATGGCGTTCGAGTCGTGAAAACTATAAGGGAATGTAACAATTCTTGATTACTATCTGTGTGTATGTATGCATATATTGATTATCTGAAGAAATGGGTTAAGACTACACACAGCTCCCAGACTATAAACATATGACAATCATTGTGGCCGCCCTGAGCTTCGCCAAAAGTGCCCTCTCTTTCGCCCTGTGGCGTCCGAGCTGTGAGAAGTCATTCAGCAGAAGGACCAGGGGACAGAGAAGGGCACCAGACACAGATACAGTCCACCATCTCCCAAAACCAAGCGACGCCTGGACACTCCCAGACGAGCTACTATATTTCGTATGCTATAATATTTGGGCTCATAAGCAGTAGCATAGTAACAGAACTTATGGTTTATTGACTTGAAAAAAATGACCAAAACTTGGGACTTGAACTGGACTTAAAAGCCAGTGAGTCTGGACTTGACGTGGAGTTCTGTAACTTGAGGGCATCTGAAGTTTTTACAATACAATACAATTTATTCTTGTATAGCCCTAAATCACAACAGAAGTCTTCTCAGAGGACTTAACAAAACCATTGAAAATACCAACACAGATCAGAGAATCAACAGTTAAAACACATAAAGAATATATATTTTCTTTCTTGAAAGGACCTGAAACTCAAAACAGAGAACGAGAAGTTAACTTTGACTTCAGGCCAAACACTTAGTTGAGACATGCTAAAGGAAGTCTTATCAATCTTTCTTAAGCTGAGAACAATCTTTCTTTTGTTCCAACAGAATTCTATACCAATGACTACTAATACTGACTATATTACTTATTACTGTGAAAGATCGCCGTTGTGACAGCTTCCTGTAAACAAGAACCTGTTGATGGTAACAATCGTGTAGATACTGTATGTCATGAATACATGTAGTGTAATTGATTACATTTGAATCTAAATTAATCTGTTAATCTGCTATTATTGAACATAGCAAACAATAGAAATGTGTTTTATATATAACTTCATGATATGTAAATTCAGTATAATTCAGTTTCTTTCAATCTAATGACTAATTTTGTCAGTCTTGTCTCAAATCTTGTCAGTCTTGTCTCAGTCTTGTATTACTAGATTTGATACAATACTAACATAATGGGAATCACAATAAATACTACAAAGTAACATCATACTTTGATATTTTGCAGACATTGTTCAGTTCAGGTGCAAAACAATGGTTACTGTAACAATATGTCAATAATAGTTTGTAGCTCAAAGCACATGCGCCTCTTTTTCATTGTACATATGTTTCTTTGCAGTTGCTCCTGTCAGTATTTCTTTGGCACAAACATTAGCACCCGACAAGTTGCTACATGTTTATCTCCACAAGGCGTCATGCTAACTGGTCCCTTTAAATCTCAGGTTAAAATTGAATCTATTTGTAAACATTAGTGACTTGTCGTTTCAGAGAGGCCTGCTCCGTGGTGTGGTTTCCCTGCTTCCTTCACTCGTGTCTCAGGAATCTCTGGCCGTGCACATGCACGCTTCCTCTTTAAAACATTTGACCTCTTGCACTCTTCGCTTTGATCTGCGTCCAATTTAGCTGCAGCACAGGTTAGTCAGCACCCTGAGCTCACGGAGGATGTTTACATACTGCTCTGGCATCACTTTATCTGTGTCCGAACTCTCTTCAGGACCGCTTTGTAAGGTATATTACACAAGACACTACCTGCTTTTCTCTGGAATATTCTAATCTACGGTACAGTGTTAAACTGTACTATATGTAACCTGTAATGTGTCCATTTAGGGCTGCAGCCGCTACTAAATTATAGTAATTTATCGATTATTACCTTTGACTAAGTAAAAAATCTATTTAAATGTATAATGTCTACAAACGTTATTTAATGGCATTTTAAAATATGTTTTAAAGTTCAAACAAATGAGGTTCAGTGGGTTTCTGTGTAAAATAATGATGATGATGAGCCTCATCTTATTTTTTCTTCTGGTGTTTGTTAGAAGTCCTCCCTGTTCACAAACAGCAAAATTACTAAAATTATCCAAATAAGTATTCTTTGTTATCAAGTATTTCAATGAATTACTTGTTTAATTGTGCATTATAATGAACATGCCTCGCTATAGATTTGAACTGTAACGACCGTGCACTTGTGGCCAGAGACACTGTTTAAGTAAAGCATGACTCTGCATTCAGAGAAGCAGATGGTGAAAACAACATTCCCCCTAATTGCACTTTTAACTCGATTAAACAATACAAATCTGAAATGATCCACAATAAATCCAGAGTAAATTGCAATTTTCTGTGGTGCTTCTTAAGCTGAGAAAACAAGTAAATTGCATCACTGCAGCCCACAAACACAATACAAAACCGATACTTGAATGCATTACTTCGTAATTAATCAGTATACCTATTATTTTACATATTTTTACCACTAAAAATATGTACAATAGTTCTGGCATGCGCCTCCTGTTCGGCGACCCCGCTCCATCTCTGTGTGGAGTGAGAGACAAATGCCCAAAAATAACAATTGTACACCGCTTTGTGACTCTGGTCTGTGAAAGGCGGTATATAAATAAACATTACTTACTTACTTACTTACCTAGGATACTCATACAATACTTAAGAAGATTCATAATATCATTCAGTTTTATTTTTTAACACAAAATGTACTTATTGTTTTACTTTTATTTTGCCTTTTTACTCACACTTGTCATTTTATCAGGGTGTGTTCAGGTGTCGAGAAGGCACACACAAGATAATTAACATCATTGATTATGTCTTTGCCCTAATCAGTGTCACAAGCGACGACAGTAAGGCACATCACTCGTCCAATGGGAGAACTGCCTGAAGTTAATGAACATGGCTTCTTACAATATGCTTTTCCCTTCTCATTTCTTTATAGTCTTTCACATGTAATCAGCAAGCACTCCCTTTCACTCCAAGAACAGCAGGGCATGAGAGAGGAGAACGAAGAGCAGCAGGAGGAATGGGAGGGAAAAAAGTTAGTCCAACTCCAAGAACCACCCGAGAGGTCACAGGAGAGGTTCCCATGGCGACAAGTGTGGCAGTGTACAATGAGGGTGAGCGAGGCGAGAAGGAGGGAAAGGCAGGGAGGGAGCGGGAAGCTGGCCACAAGGTTCAGTTTGTGGGCCTAAAATGCTCTGTGTGTGCTTGTGTGTGTGTGTGGGGTGTGAGTATGTGTTACAGGGTATTGCAGGTACAGTATACACACTGACATTGCACTGTGGCTCACTACATTCAAGTCTCTACATGCAAAGTCTCAAAATAGATCAGAAAATTGGTGAAGAAAATAGTAGGTTAGTTTTTCATGTGGTAAGCAGATTCAGTATGTGCCATTTGCAGTTTTAAAGCCACATTGTAAAACTTGCAAAAGTACCCAGTGTGCAGCAGAGCCAAAATATAAACAAATACAGTATATAAAAAACAGTGAAAGTAGATCATAAATCATTGTTTGTGTGAAGCAAATTAATGAAACACATATACTATAAAGCACATCATGAACCATTAAAGTGCTTTGTTCGATCGGATAACAGTTTGTGGCAAGGATGTCTTCTTGTGGGGGGAAGAAGCTGGAACATGGCTTCTCCAGGGTGGTCAGAAGGGTCACTGATGAGTCAAATTCAAAGAACATGGTTAAAAGTATAAAGAGCCTCCAGTACAGGCAGCTCAGTCTAGTTTAATGACCCCATTTAAATCCAATTATTGCATTGAAAATAAACACACTTCATTGGGACTTGTCTCCTTTACAGTAATTGTACAGATCATGCATCAACAACGTTATGTAATGTTCAGTTATGGTTAGAATAGATTATGGCGATAGGTCAGCTTATATAAGTTAAAGCCAGTAGTGACTGTTCATGATTTCACTCTTGGACCATGTTACCAATGAGAATGTGAGTGTGTATGTGTGTGTTCGTGCGTGTATACTAAAGAATGATTTGTTGTAGCAGAACTGGGCCAGAAGAACCAACAACCTCTCACTTAGTTTGATTTAGTCACAATGTCAATTATGAGCGAAAATACTCGCTGACCGTGAATTGTGTCTTCTGCCAAGTGGTGTACATACTGCAGTTTCTACCCATTTGTGTTGAGAAATACAGCAATGCATGTCAGTTAGAGAGCTGATAATGGCAAATATATATCTTCATAAGTTCCAGTATAGAGTTAATGTATATGGTTACTTTAGACCTAAGTGTTACATCGTGGGTACAGGCCACTGCGAGCATTTAGCAGAGCGTGTCAAATGAAGCGTTTTTGCAACTTTAGTCATTCCTAAGAACTCAGCCAGACAGTATTCAAGCCTCTGCATACTTTGACTCATTCTTGAGGCTGTGCTGCCAGGGCCCTTACTTTGTTGAAGTGCACTTTTCAACTCAGTCAACGTCAAGTTCCCTGTAATTTTTTCCTCAGATGCACTTGTTCCACTCTGTTGCCCTCCGTAATTTGATTCCAGCTGGTTACCACTTTGCCTATACTCCCCTGGATTAATCCCAACTCACTTGTTACTCATGCCACTCTGTCACAGAGTTTGCGAGTTGGCGTGGTTCCTGTTTGTTTTCAGCCATTTTGGGGACTTGCAGTGCTGGTAAAAAACTGCTTAAATGGCGTCGTCTTGCTTGCTTGCCTGTCTGCTCTCCCATTCTCCCTCCCTCTCCCTATCACTGGGCTTTGTGTATATAAAGTACTGTGTGTATGTGTCCAGAAAGAGGGAACAACACTTCCAAATACATGCAAGATTAGATTCAGCAGCAGAGGGGTTGAAGAGAGGGGGTAAAAGAGGAGGAAAAATTGCCAAGAATTGTGTGTCAGGAGCAGAAAGTGGGAGAGTGTGAGTCTGTGAGAGAGCAGGCAAGTTGGGAGTGTGAGAATCGCTCCTGCCCTCTGTCTTCACGCGGGGCTGGCTGCATGTGTGTGCCTGTGTATGCGTGCACCGCCTCTCCGTGCGCTCTCTCTCTGACACACTCGGACGTGCGCACACAGAGAGTGCGAGGGGGAGAGAGGGAGTGCGAGGGGAACCAACACATCGCAGCCGAGATGCAGCAGGAGGGTTTCAGAGGTACGTTCTCTCCTATGCTTGCCTTCCTGAGAGAGACAGACAGAATAAGAGGAGTAGAGGCAGTGCTCACTAGTTTTCCTGCGTGTTTTTTCCCCGCTGCTGTGACGATGTTTTCTTTTGCAGTCCTGTTAGAGAGTGCGTGAGCGGGCCGTGTGTTGGTGGGTGTGTGTTTTTATGCCCTTGGTGTTTGAGGAAGGCGTTTATGTGCGTGTTTGTGCCTAAGCTGGATGTGCCGTGCCTCTGCGTGTGTGCCAATAACAGGCCTCTTCTGCCTCATCCTCCCCTCTGTCGCACCACGCAGTTCTTTTTCGAAAGCAATGACTTGTTTGAGGATTGTATTCAAACTTTTAATTAATCAAATTCATGGTTCACAGAAAAGAAAATCAGACTGGAAAAAAAAATTAAGTCATTTTTGCCATTGTTTTTAGGGGGCCCCATCTCCCCCTCCACTTTCCATCACCTCACTCACAACAGTTTTCTTTACTGTTATAGACAAAAGTTGTGGATTGTAGTTGTAACATCTGTAAACAAAGTGCTTTTTCAGTGAGTTGCTTCTCCGTTTTGGGCAGCATGCTCTTTTGCTGCTGCTGCTCTCTTGTACAGCAGCAGAGGGCATATTGATGTCACAAGCGCCGTTGTTCCTGCCCTAAGCCTTACTTTTTTCTTTCCAAAACAACAGAGCATCTGCTGCCAACTACTTCACATTCCTGGTTTCCATGGATGCCACGCCGAGTCTCTGGCCTTAATGTATGGAGAATATGATCAACTGTGCCAAGGCGGTCATAGGTCAAACTATAGGAAGTGTTGGTTCTGCTGAAGAAGAGGCGTTAGTCTGGTCTTAACATGACTTTATGGACGAAGTGTTTTCATATGAACTCGACAGTACATCACTACAAGACCAACATGGTCAAAATAACACAGTAGTTTCAAGATTAGATCGAAATATGGACAGATTGAACTTAAATAAGGATAATTTTATACTTACTGTCAACAAGTATTTTATAGAATTGAGAATGTTCCCCCTAAATTGTAATATATGAACAAATCCTGTCCAGAGCAATCACATACATGTTCAAGTTAAACTTCATGATGCTTGCCTAAACATGGAATTTGGTTGAAATGTAGCTTTTTCACTATTCTATTTTTGTTTCAAGACAATTTTTCCTTGAGAATTACGCATAGATGTCTGTGTAGATTAAGATTAGTTGTCTAAAAACATAATATTTTCTTCCAAGCACAAGAAATTCACTGTTGTTGATTTGTATTGCTTTTTTCAGTGAGGACAAAAATAAAACTATCAGACCGACTATCAGATTGTGCAGGGATTTAGACTCAGTGGAGTGTGAAGTGGCATGCAAAACACTGATGCGTCCAATTACATGTGAGTAGAGGGCGTGGGACGGGCACACAGGCTTGAACAGTCATACTGAGGTTATCTGATAAACCAGGAAACCAGAACTGTGAACATGGCTTAAGCGTGTTCAATGTTACCTCCCTATTCACACCAAAGTACTATGTCTATCACAACCAGGTTTAATCCAAGCATTTCTTTCTTATTCCCTCTGCACATCCCATGTTACTAACAAGAAAACCCACCCACACGCTCTGATTGTATGGCCCCACAGCCGCTGCATGGTCGGGCCCCTCCAGCTTTTCTCTGGGACTAGGCCCAGCACCTTCATTTTCCAGTCATGACTCTCGCAGCCGGGTCTCACTCGCTGGTAGACAATGGGCCCCCCATGTTTAGCCCACATAGATGCCCCAGTTACCGCTAAATATACAGGAATTAGAGAACGCCCACATGTACAGTTGACTTTGTGATTAGTATTCTATGCATTTTGAAATGTTGGGTCAGCGTACTGATATTCATGTACACAAAACACTTAACAAAAATGACACATCATGGAAAATAACATGCATATTGATAAGTATAGTGCTTACACATGCTCATGTGTTCTCTCTCTCTCACACACACACACACTGGAGATCTACTGAATTACAATTCTATAAAAAGGCTGTTCATGTTTTCCAGTAAAACAGAAATACAAATCCAACCTTTTCATAAAACACATTTTATCATATATTTTGTATAATTCCTGTGACAGACCAAAGTGTGCTCTTGAAAACTGTGGAAACTGACTCCTAATTGTTATTTGTCAGGCAGCACTAGCCTCAGTGAGAAACAAACAGATTGCTCAAACGGCTGGTTCGGCCTCAAGCACCAACGCCAGCCAACTCCTCGCACGGCGAAAGGCAACTGTAGTTGGTTCTGCACGGCTAAGGTTATCACACAGCGCGGTATACAAATATTACATTGATCCGGTCAGGCTCCCACAGACATTTGAGAATATGGCTCCTTTCCCTCTTCAAGTATAGGGTTGGCCACATTATTATTGTTATTATTATTATTATATATATTTGAAAAAAAAAAGAATATTATTCATTACCAAAATCTTAGTTTTACTTGTATAACCACCTAAATCTAACTAAAAGGATAGTGGTGATGATCCAGGACAAGCAACTTAACATTCAACAACATTTACGGACATTTGTCATCTGCCCCTTATGGACCAAAGGCTGTATGTTTTTATTGTTGCACTTCATGTGCTGAACTGTTAATTCTCTGATCTGTATTGGCAAAATCAACGGTTTTGTAAAGTACTCTGAGATAACTACTGTTGTGATTTAGGACTATACAAGAATACATTTAATTGAATTATATATAGCATACCAAGCACACACCTCGCTTGTTTCACACAGACCTGTTTCCGTGTGGCCGCGCACTACACAGAAAGTAACATTCTGATTTTACAGCTAAGATAAAAAAATTATTTAAGGTAGAAACTCCTTATTTGTTCTATGAATCATACCTTTATCTACATACATAAAATTCATGTGGAAAGTAAAACGATTATTGGATTAATCAAATTACCTGCACCAGGGAGTTGAGTTTTGATCTGTAGCTGGTGGATTTTTACAAACATTTCAGTCAATCTTCAGATTTGCTGTCTGGATCCTTGATTTTTTTACAGAAAGGAAGTGTTCCTCTTGGCGGAGGTTTGCACTTTACGGGTGCTTTTCTAGTTTAATAAATTGGCTGATAGTAACTGCTCGAGTTTCAGTTTTTCCCCAGATGGATTGTGCCAAAGCATGTACATAGCGTTTACCGCTGCCCATCACATGAGTCGTGCTCGTGCAGTCTCCAGAGCGTGTGTGCGTCACTGGGAGATACACAACAACACCGTGGGGGCGTCATACGCACTTTCCTGTCCACAGTGCTGGCATCAGATGAGATGGTGACATTTTTTGCCTTGTCTGTCATTGTGTGTGTCCACCCAATGGTAGAAAAACAGTTCTCTCTGAGTGATTTCGGCTGAATACAGACCTCGTCAATCTAAAATATATGTATCGCATGCATAAGTGAACCAATATTGTGGCGCGGACAACTTCATCATTACTAATGCCCCCACGAGCTTTAGTGTTCAGAGACGTCCTGCGCTCATGCCTTTTGATTTTGAATGTGATTTCCAAGTAAAAGTACCTGGCCCACGGGCCATGGTACCTTGCATGAGCATGGATGAGTATAAACTCAATATGATTTTCGTTTCTGTGTTTTCCTGGACTCCTCCTCTGTCTAACAGCCTCATTGTCTCCCCCTCACTTTCTTTCTCTTTTGCTCTATCACTGTCTATCACTCTCTTCCTCACCCTTTTTACTCCCTCCTCTTCTCCCTGCAATAACAGTGCTGACCTAGTTTCTGCCTGTTCAGGGCTGCCTGTGGAATTTTACAGCGGCCTGCCTTCCTGGCTGCTTTGCTACTTGAAAACGTAGGCAGAAAAGCATGACTGAGGATTTTTCTTTTCCTCACGACCATTTCAGCCGCTATTCCTACTCTCTCTGTTCTGGTTCCAGCACACAACAAAAAATATATATTTTACCATTATGGCTGAAAGCTATTTACACATGTCCATCAAAATAATATATGAACAGCAAGAATCTCCCTCCTCAAGCTCAAGGCAAATACATGCCAGTGTCTTCAACGGCTTACTCTCACACAGCAAACATAGTAGCCATAACATCCTTTTGAATGTTTATCGTAGTGGTTACCTCTATTTTTAAGGGTGTCTTGATTAAGTCAACATGTTTTCTAATTTGGCATTAGGAATGTAATGGTGAGATAGATTTCTGGAATGTCTTTCTGTAGTCATGGCCGTGGCATATTGAAATCTAAACCAGCACAGCCGCAGATTCATTTCTACACTCACTCGAGTCTCTCCTCTTACTCACCATTCCACTCATTAAGAGCCCTAGGAGTGCCGACTTCTTTGGTGCATTCAACACATTCATCACGTTTTTTGAACAATTTTGTTCCAATTGTTCAAAAAACATCAGATTTGCAAAACTTTTTGTTAACTGCACTTAACTACATTTTTGGTTTGTTTGTTTCTCAGACTGCGACAGCTGGTCATGGTGTCGGATGGGAAGATGTGGGATCCCATCCTTGCAGGACGGTCTTATGTAACAAACCACCACCTGGATCCTGGCCCAAAACCCCACTGCAGCATATGACTCGATACAACAGAGGAATTGCCACAAACTGCAGCTGTCATCTGGGACTTTGCATACCTGTCCCTCAGCTCATGTCTTAGTGTTCCCCTCAATTCAATAAAACAGTCTGTTGAGGAGATGAAGGCTAAAAGACATGGGGGTCGTGGAGAGATTGTTATGGATGACAGATTGGATGACATTCCAGATGGACCTAAAAATGCAAAAATTACTCTCAGCTTTCCTCTTAGTGCAGCCCCACTCCCCCTGTCTCTGTCATCTCCCAGCCACCGTCGCAGTTCCTCCTCTTCCTCCTCTCCTTCTCCACAACGGCGGCGTCAAACCTCCAAATGCTCAGACGAGGGGGCGCTATGGAAACTGGATTCAACTACAGATGTTAAACACAGGCCTTTTAAGCCTCCCAGGCGTGACAGCTCTCCGTCCTCCTCTCCTTCCTCCTCCTCTTCTCCAATGACTGCACAAACACTCATGAGAAAAGACATTAAATCCCTGCTTCCACTCAAGTGCTCCAAACTCAGCACAGATACTCCGTTTCATAGATCACCACCAAGGTCTTCCAGCGGGGCATCAGAGGGCTGTTACGATGGGGGCCTATGGGATGAGCGACACAAACTTCCCAATGGGTCTGCCTCTCAGACGGCTCAGATCCTCTTCAGCTTGGGCTCAGTCTATAACAGGCCAAGGGGCACAGAGGGGAGAGAGAAAATCATCAGAAGACCAGTGAGCAAACCAGGAGTGTCTCAAGGACCAAGTCTTCACCCTCCCTCGCTGCATCTTCCTCCCCCTGTGCCCCCACCTCCTCCCTCTGAAGACCTCACTGCCCCATCCCATTCGCCCTACTCCCCTTCAGACAGCCTGAAGCCTGAACTCATATGTGGTGTGTGCCACCGGCTTTTCAGCACCGCGGCCTCCCTCACGGTCCACATGAGGTTGCATCGTGGCAGCCGTTCCCTCAACTGTTGCTACTGTGGCAAAGTTTTCATCCACAGCAAGAGGTTGCAGTCTCATGAGGCCTCCTGCCGAGTGGCAGACATACCCTCCAACAGCTTGGGCCCTCCTACCCTCACCATGCAGCCCAAAGAGGAGCCACTTGAGGAGGGAGAGGTGAGAGTGGAAGGAGGGGTGATTGTAGCTCAAGCAGACATAACTAAAGCACGTTCGGGAAAGAAAGCACAGAGTCTCTTGGCACGAATCCAAAGCGATGATGCAGCAGCTGCAGAGCTACTAGCGGGTGATGAGCACCATTTTGTAAAGGTTGTAGATGGCAATGTCATCTACTTCTGTTCTGTCTGCGAGCGCTCCTACATGACCCTGTCCAGCCTCAAACGCCACTCCAATGTACATTCATGGCGGCGCAAATACCCCTGCCATTACTGCGATAAAGTTTTTGCTTTAGCCGAGTACCGCACAAAGCATGAGGTGTGGCACACAGGGGAGCGGCGCTACCAGTGCATCTTCTGTTGGGATGCCTTTGCCACATACTATAATCTGAAAACACATCAGAAAACGATACATGGCATTAATCCCAGCCTCATCTCCAGTGAAAAGACAGCTAATGGAGGCTATAAGCAGAAGGCAAATGCCCTGAAACTCTACCGCCTTCTCCCAATGCGCTCCCAAAAGAGACCATATAAGACTTACAACGACAGTTTGCATAATGAACTGCTGCAGCCAGGTGAAACACCACCTCTTCCTATGCCTGGCTTGGACTGTGCTATGGACTCTGGAGATCTCTTGAGTCATGCTCAGGCTGTTAAGAGTGACCCCGATGACTTCAGCGACAGCTTCCATGTCGCTGAACCTGCTGAGCAAAGTGACCACTCTGGATTACCACAACTCTCTCAGACAGATGTGTCTGCTCTTACAAAACATGATGGGGAAACTGAACAGGGCAGAACAGGTGGGAGCTTTAAAATGTCCAGTAACAGCAGAACCAAAATGTCAAAAACAGGTAGATGCCCAGACACAATCATGCCATCTGTGATAACTTATGGCCACACAAAACCCTCTGTAATTGTGCATGGAGCTTCTGTGTCCTCCTCTGTCATTGTGCACAGCAATCAGGTCACATCTGGAAATGACAAAACCCACTCGTGCTCTTCCTCTTTAAGTAGCAACCAGGCTTTGAACAAAAGCAACCCCAAGTCAATAAAAAAGCAAAGGGACAGTCGAGAAAATCACAGAAAGCGATCTAGAGCCAGTTCAGATACAACCGATGATGGTTCAAAAGGTAGACGAGACACAGACACAGATAGAAAATCAGTACACAAATCGCGCAAGTCACACATTAAGAGTGAAATAAGCACATCAAAGCAGCAGTCCCCGTCTTGCTCACAGGGCAAAGAGGCAGGGCCTTTGTGCCAGATAACAGTACGCATAGGAGAGGAGGCTATGGTGAAACGAAGCATTTCAGAAACTGACCTAAAGAGAGACAAAAGCCTTTCACCTTCTAAAAACAAGCGTAGTGAGGCATCATCTGGGAAAGAGGTTAAAGATTCGCGACATTCACACTCCCACCATCATCACAAACACCGCAGGCCCAATTTAGACGCACAGGAAACTCACGACAAAGAGGAAGTGAGAAAGCAATATAGCCCTGATGCAGTCAGAGAGTACTATTTTCGTCAAGAGGTCCGTGAGCAACAGGACAGTGATCATGACACAGAGGACAATTTGTGGAGGCCGTACTACTCTTACAAGCCTAAAAGAAAGGTCCAGGCACACCTTCAAAAAGTGAAAAGCTGGCAAAGAAAACTCAAATTTAAGCGCTCATTGAGGCTAAAAAGGAGGGTAGATAGACTTAAAATCATTACAACTAAGGATACAGATAAGTCCAAATATGTGGAAGACAAGGGATTAAGTGGAGGGGCAGATAATATGGTAAAAGAACAAATGATAAAGAAAAAGTATGATTTTTCAGTTTCAAAAGAGAAGAAAAAAGATAAGCAAGTTAAGGAGACCCAGGTCAAAACACCTCCCCCTTCTCTTAGCCTTCCAAAGTCTCAGTCTACCTCAGCTGCCCCCACTGCGATTAAAAGGCGACCCTGGACTAGTGGAAACGCAGCCGAGTGCGGGACATGTGGCCGCTGGTTTTCGAGCTCCAGGAAGAGAGACAAACACGAGCTGAGCCATCTGCTTGAGTTCGTCTGCCTCTTCTGCAGGGCCACTTTCCCCTCCACAGAAAAGTTGGAAGACCACCAGAAAACCCAGCATCCTAAGCGTGTTGAGTGTCCCTCACAGTTATTGGCCCCCAAAGTAGCACTTACTGACTCAAGTGAAGGAGTTAAGCTAAAACAAGTTCCAGCACTCACAAAATACGATGAAGATAAAGTAGAGCGTATTTCTAGTCCGAGTCGGCTAAGCAGGAGGGCTTTATCTAGGCACACTTGTCCGCAGTGTCATAAAGTGTGCAAGACATCGTCAGCTTTAAACAGACATATCCGTCGTCATGAGTTGAGTAGTTCCCCAGAGAGAGATGAAGAGCCTAAAACACTCATTTTCAATAGGGAATTACATAATAAGAACGAGCAGGTGCCTTCAGCCCTCTCGGTTTCAGTTATCAACTATTCAAAATCAGAGCAAAGTTCAAATGAGCAAAAACTTGAAGATGATACAAGTAACCAGACTCATGAGCCTAATATTATTAAGGAAAGCATGTTTTCAGAGCCCAAAGAACCAGGCAGAGAATGTTCCCCTAATATTGACCATCCATTAGAAAACCCCATTAATCTAGCACCTAGTAAACCAGAATTCCCAGCTGTTGCACAAAGTGTCTTGATCTTAAATGAATGCCTCGACTATCGTTCTCCCAGTAAGAAAAACTTAGACTTTCAGAGCCACAAACTGCCCAGCCCTGTACAAAGTCCCAACATCACCAGAATCACGGCTCCACCGACTGTTTCCATGACAACGGCTCCCACCTCCGAGGCGGGATACAGGAATCGGGATGGGGTCATTATAGATGGAGATAGACAAAACAGGAGTGAAAGGTTTCCGCACCCCAGTTTTGAGGAGCCGCCTCTTGTGCACCATCTCAGAGTCCAGCTTCAGTCCAGGTGTCAATCTCCCAATGAAGCACAAGACCTGAGCATGTCATCTCTTCGTGCCCGAGAGAGGGAAATGGAAAAAGAAAGAGAAAAGCAACAAATGCAGCAGATACGACAGCACGCTCCAGACAACCACAATGCTTTACTGGTGCCTAAGGAGGAGCCTTTAAGCCCTGTGCCATCCCCCCATCATATGCCCACCCAAACCACTGTAGTTGGTAACACTACACACAGACACACTCCCAGGTCACCCTGCCTTACTCCCTCCACTATTGGACAACACCCAGCTGAGCCTACGCGACTGACCCCCAGCACATATGAACGGACTTCTTACCCAGATGGGACACCTGTTGACCGCCCCTCTGCCCATGCGCTGCCCCTCCCCAGGCCTCCACTGGCCCCTTCTGAGGTTGACAACCAGAACAATTCAAGACATTTCCAACAGGTGGAAAACTATACTGACCAGGAGTGCCCTCTATCACTCACTGTACCAGACAATTTCCGTTCTGACAAAAAGCAGGATGACACCTTGCTAGTGCCCTCCTATCCTCCTGGGACACTTCCTTTTGGTCCATTGAGGAAAGTCATGGTTCCTAACGGAACTGACCTGAATAAAATACCTTTCTACCCAGATCCCTACCCACTGCTGTACGGACCCCAGCTGCTGGCCTACCCATACAACTTAGCTGCTCTTCCTGTTACTCTGAACATGATGGCTCCTGGTGGAGACAAAGTTGAACCACTGCCTTTCCTCCCTGCCATATTTAACTACTCCACTGGGCCCTACATGAGTGCATCGCCACACCCCCTTGTGGCCAACACTACTCTCTACAGTAATGGCAGCAGTGGAGGCAAGAGACAACGGGACAGCACCGGAAAACCATAGGACAATGAGCTGGTTTGGAGGGATGAGCTGGTGTGGGCTCACTGCAGCAGGACCCCCCTCCTCTCTTGTATTCAGTAGATCTGAGCTAGGCACTTAATAAGAGGAGTTATACTTTACTTCTGCTTGTCCTTGCACCGGTTTCTCTTGTCATTCTGTAGTGTCATAGTCCTAGAGCTTGATTAAATATCCCTCACTGTATTATCTATATTATACAAATATGAACTGCTACCAGGGTGTGTTGTGTGAAACATAAGTTCAGCTTCCTTTGATAGTCACTGCATAATGAGACTCTTGTGGAGTGGCATGTGTGGGCACGACTAAACAAACAGTCTTCACTCAAAACTAAGTGAAGCTTTTTTGCAATGACAATACTTGTATGTTGTACATGGACATGTTTAAGGGATCTGTGTGTACCGAGAGGGGCTTGTGCAGGTTTTCTGCTTTACTGTGAATGAAAGGAGCTTTATGAACGATCATTCCATGTTGTTTGAAGGCACACAAAAATTCCTCTTCAGTTGGAATAGTTCTTAGTTACTGTGTTGTACACAGAACCTATAAATGTCAGTCTGAGTGCAAGTCATGACAATATAGATAATCTGCACATCTGACCTGTCTTTACAGGTGGACAGATACATGTAGAGCATTTGCCATAGTTTATTTCATATGTACCAAATAGTTTAAATGTGCCCTGAAAAAATGGGGCACTTGTAGCTGCTTTAGATATGTAGCTGGTCACTGGGTAAGAAATATGACTGATTGACCATTGCACTTCCATTTCATCATCTCATTTCATCACTTAAAATGAAATTTACAAGACAGCCTTTCATTTTTAGTGTTTGTTTATCTGGAACAGTGAACCATTTGCCTTGGATGAAGTAATTGACAATGAGGAAGAAAACGGTTTCAGGGTTTTGAGGGAAATACAAGACATGGGCACTGAATTGTGGGACTGAGACAAACCTCTGATGGTGAGGGCAGTGAAGGGGAAGGCTGAGCACAGGGGCCAAAGTGCCCCAAGCTCTTCTGTTTTGGGGCTTTTTTGTTTAATGTTTTGTTGTGTTTGTATTTTTTTTGTTAAACTGTTCTTTTTGTTTAGTCCTCTGACGCAATAGAAAGGGGGTGAACATAAAATGATGAATGTAAATCTAGTCATGAGGTTGATGAAGTACAGCACAGCTGCATTATTGCTAGAATCAGTCTTTTATTATTTCATAAGAATAACCAGTTAAAGTCGTATAATATCTGGTATGCTATAAACAGTAGTTCTAGGGACTTTGGTTCTGTATCCACAAAGCATGAGCAACACTTGCTTCATAAACATTTATATTATCACCACTTAGTACATTTTAGTTTATTTTCAGACTTTCATATCTAAGCACACTTTCTGTTGTTTTGTAAGTGTACTGATGTGCGGTGGTACTGGGATGGCTTTTGGATTGGAACTGAGTAGAAACAGTAAAATGGTTTCAAGCCTTTTGCGTTTGTATTACAAAAGTTTAATTCTGAAAACCAAAAAAGCGCATCTCTCTTATATCACTGAATAAAGCCTTGCTGTGTCTAATACAATATCTTAAGCCATTCCTGTAATTGCACATGTTGTATTTTGGATCATCTTCTACCATAATTCACCAGTTATCAAACAGACCAAAAGCATGCAATATGATGTATTGTAGTGACTGGATTGAAATCTGGTGGTCATATAAACTATCTACTATTTGTTTTAGTTTAAATGAATGTGCCTCTGCTTTGATAACCAACTATGGTGAACAGATTTCCAGATTTCAAGTTCAGACTTTAAGGTGCCTTGTTCTGGCAAAAGGAATTTCCAAGGTAAACGTTTTCTTGAAAACAGACAAAATAGCAATTTTATGGCTTTGCTCTGAAGCTGTAGATGTAATGGTGGCATCGTGTATGTCTAGAATGGTACTGTGCCATATAGAGCTCACAGAATATGTTAATGTTATTTTTAAAGATGTTTAAATGTTGCCTGATGACTTTGTCTTTAGATTTGATACAAAGGCTTGTAGCCACAGCTTCCCAAAGTCTGTAGTGTCCTTTTCTGACATACTTGTTCTCTATCTTGTTTATGTCTACTGTTTCAACTTGCTGCAATCAAATAAAATAAAGTATTAACCTGATGACCCATCAAAATGAGCTGTTTTGTGTTTGGTAGGTATTTACCATTTATTAGGAGATTATATTCCAAGACGAAATGTGTTTGTTCTTTTCGGAAGAAACATAACTTGCATGATTCAAATACGATTCGAGAATTCCATAACAAATGTGTATTTCAGCAGTTTGATCTATTTATTTGTATTCATTATGTTGGTATATATTTGTTTTGGATTTTGTACATTTATTGAACTTGTTACGCTTCCACTCTATTCATGTCTCCGCAGCAGACAGCTCAAACACACCGCTCAGCAGTGAATCAAGGTTTCTGTGTAATGAGTAAACAACACTGTAGAGCAACTCAGGCCACTCTCCCACCCCACTGTTGTCTTCAGTCCAAATCAAAACTACATTTGGACTGCTATGAAGAAAACACTGCTATGACCAATCCTGTATCCTAGTTTCATGTTCAAATGACTACGTGCATAATGCATTTAACACTGTGGAGAATTAAGCACACATTACAAAAACATTGAACATTTCCGATCAATGATATAAACTGACCCTGACCTTTTGTCCACTGTACTCCTGCACACAGTACCAATCCCACTAAGAGCTGCTTCTCATTTAGCAGCACTCATTCAAAGGGTTTTTCTGAGTGGAAAGGTGGAAGAGCAGCCTCTACAATGATATGGAATTGGAAAACAATATTTGGGGGCATGCTCCTCAGTCTGGGGATGTGGGGACAAGGAGCGAACGGAAAAGGGAATGGCCGGGGTAAGGTATGTTTTAAAAGAAAACAGCAGTAACTGAAGACGCATTCGGATACTGCACAAGTCGCATTGGGCATAACAGACTTTACAGCAAGTATGTGTTTCTGAATATTCTTTAGAAAGAAGTCTCTGGAGCTGGAGTTTTCAATCTTGGTCAAGACAGAGACATGTGGAGACCATTGATTCACTTAACAGTTAACCTCAGTGACATCACCAGGTTTGTTCCAAAATGTCTCCTCAATATTCCAATAAAGTTTAAAAAGATACATTTAAAGTATTGCCATTACATGTTATGGGGCTACATGATTTATTTGTTTTACTAATGATGATTCTATGCGTCTGTCTATTGTCTGTTGTCTGTCTACTGTTGATGACTTGAATGTCTCCACGTCTATCTGTATTCTATCAATTTTACTATTTTCCTTTCAGTATAAAGTCAGTATTTCAACTCCGTACATTTGACCCAGAAGGTACTGTTTTCTATGGGGACACCAAAAATGGAGAGGACTGGTTTGTATTGTCCTTAAAAAATGGGTTCCCATTGATGCAGATTGGTAAAGCAGGCATGCTGGTCAGTGCGACAGCAGGTCCTAAACTCAATGATGGCAAATGGCACACTGTGAGTTTGTTTCAAAAACACCACTTTTGTACCGATTATGACATTATGTTCATATGACTTTTTTTGTTTAATTCTTGCCGGCAAATAGCTGGAAGTAAGCAACCAAGGAAAGTTTGTCGTTTTGATAGTGGACGGGACACAGCCCCTGGTAGCTGGCCTGCAGCCCATAACGAAAGAAGAGATTCTTTCAGGCCCACTCCGACTGGCTGTGGGGGGGATTATGATTAATACAGAAAAGCTGCTTGTTCAGGTACTCTGCGAAAGTAAAAACAGTCATGACAGTACATAAGCATCATTACCCATTAACATTGTCTCTCCGAAGTTCAAGCCACAGATGGATGGCTGTGTGCGGGAGGGCACCTGGCTCAATTTGAGTTCCCCCTGGGAGACAGAGGAAGAGGAGATGTGGCCGTGCTATGAAGACATCAAACCAGGCAGCTACTTTACTGGAAAAGGCTTTGCTGTTTTTAATTCTTCTGGTGGGTACATTAAACACAACATTTGTTTTGAAATATCATGTAGACATCCATCTATAATTTACTGTATATCCATTTCCCCCAGTTTTCCCCACACAAACAGAACAAGGAGTTTACATTGAATTATGGGGAGATTTTAATAAGATGGAGGGGACCATTTTTAGTGTCAAAAGCCAGGGACAAGAGCCAATATTTTATGTAAAGGCTGATACAAGGACAAAGGTATGAATTTTTATGTAAGTTTTATCACATTCTTATAGTATATTCAGAATAAATGATATTTCTTATACATTTTGTGTCATTGTGAAGGAGGTTACACTCACATTTGGTGCTGATACAATCAGCATTAAACAAGTCTTCAGGAGGTTGATGATAACCTTTGAGGCTGGTGTACTGAGGGTGTATGTGGATGGAGTTGAGTCTGGATCCATATCAGTGAGTGACAGCCACACATGGGCCACATCTTCCCTTGCAATTGGAGGTCTCTTAGGTGAGATATTTTTTAAATTATTAAACAATTGATGGAATTGATGCATGGAATGCAAGTAACAAATTTTTGTATTTGAAGGTGAAGAATACACTGGAACACGTTTTTTGACAGGATGCCTTGAAAAGATCCAGATTCAAGGAAAGGCGTTGGATATGAATTTAGCTGTCAAAAAGATGTCAATCTACTCCCATAGTTGTCCTGCCTAGACATGTATGTTAGTGTAGTCTTATGCAAATTTCTAATTGTGTTCATATTTTATGCAAAGCATGTACACATATACAACAAAAACAATACATGTTTTCAGTATCATCTCAGCTGTGTTTTTTGTTTACGGACTATGCTTCTAATGTGTAATCATTCTCATGGAGAAATCATCTCGCACCAGGGATTATGAGATCCGTTGGTCCCATGAGCGACAGTGGACTCTAGAGTCCCACCATAAATATTAATGAGAGTGTCACAGACAGCCTGGTACCAATGTCACGTTGGTTATTGATGAAAGTAAGTGAAAGGGCTTTGTCGCCATCTAGGGGATAAATACAAACATAGTCAACGCATATACCGTATAATGAAACCTTCGTGAGAATGTTAAATTCCACCTAGATTCTCTATTAATGTTACAACAGTCAAATACAAAAGGTTGTTTAGGTCTCCTTCATTTCAGTAAAGTCGTGGCTGAACATATTCGATGACACAGAAATGCCGTATGCGGAGGCTACTGTCGCAAACCACGAATGTCGTGAAATTGGCCGTCCACTGAAGATGGCGGCGGAGCTGCATCCGTGCAGCGGAAAGCTGATCGGCCTTTCCAACTCCAACCGGACCGCCCGGAGAAACCAGCCGGTCCAAGAGTTCAACCACGGGCTGGTGTTGAGCAAGGAGCCTTTGAAGGACCGGGATGTCTTCACTGTCCGCATTGACAAGAAGGTAAACACGGCAGCAGGCCGCGGCACTGTGTCCGAGCAGAGATGAGGGTCTGCCCGGGCAAGTGTCCGCTCTCTCGGGGGCTGACTCCCGGAACAGACCACCGATGTTCTGACAGCTGCCGTATTTCTCTCTGGTCATAACATGCGACTTTAGAGTCAGGTTAATACAGAGGCATTACTAGTAAACACACACACAGTGCAGTGTAGATCATTGGGCTGATATCACAGTACTCTGGTGCCGCTGTTAGCTGCTAATGAGCCGCCCTGGAGCTAGTGATGCTGGGTCTGGGTCTGATGCATGGATCTAGGGTCTGATGACACGGATCGGATTAGTTTTTCATATTGTGTTAAGTGGCTTCAGTGCTGCAGTTGGTCCATTACAATATTTATCTGGATCCCCACCTGTTCATGTTTGCTTCATAGATGCCTCTGCTTTCACTTACATTGAATGAGCCCTCTTTCTGACACTTTGTGTGGTTATTAGTCAAGTATTACCATTGCATGTTTGTATAATTACTGAAATATTGAAGAATGCCCATCAGGGAAACTCATTGGTTTACCAATCTCTTGTGGAATGCCTCCTGTCTGTTATACTCTATTGCTAATGAGAAAAAAATCAATAAGCTACCAGCAAATGGTTATTATGACGTCCACTAAGCAGATCATCTGAGGAAATGAACGCAAGAGAGTGCAGGTAAATTAAAACATTACAGAATCGACCATTAGGCAGGACTAATAGAAGGCTCTACAGCATCAGATTCCAGTCCATACGACATCATACTGCATTTGAAACCCAAATACTGCCCAATTATAACACATTACCATACAAGAAGCAGTGAGGTGAATTGACTTGAATTGTAGGAAATGCACTGTCCATTGATATTCTTGATAGAGTAATATTACTTTGATAATGTATTTAAATACTTATCTAGCTGGTCTTCAAGACAAGGCATATGAGGGAACACATTTGTCAGTTTTTGCATTTATTTATAATAACTGAGGTTTAGTACAATTGTAAAATGCTATGACTATAAAAATTTTTTTTTAAACAAACGGTAACCCTGGCTGTTTAGGAACAGTGTTACAATGTCAGTCTGAATATAAATAAATATATTATATGTTTTTAGTATATAATTTATAATTTTGTTTTACAAAAAACTGTTACTTCATTTATATGTTAAGTTATATTTAGGATCGATGAGATCCTGGGGTTTAGTATATCAGGGAAGATATTGATAATGTTGGTTATCTGATACGAGTTCAATGTCACCCAGACAATATTATTTTCTGTAAACTGCTAAGACGCTTTTTTGCTCATACAAAATTCATTACCATAATATAACGATGTATCAGAGCACGTTTTAATACATGTATGTCAATCATGGCATTTATTCATTGCTTCCCAAAATATGTATCAAATCTTGTGGTTTGTGCTGTCCTGTTTTTAGTTTCAAAGAGCCCTCTGAACACGAGTAAAAATAACCCTCACAATCCAAGACAAATGTGTTTAGTTTATGGGCCATTTTTAGCACTGTGTCTCACACACAGGACTGAAAAGATTCTAGATTCAACTTTAAATCATTTAATTCTAACATGTATATTTTGGGCTGCCACTTTGTCTGCTTATCAAGTTAATTTCTCTGGAATGTTTGCAGGTAAACTCGTGGAGCGGTTCTATTGAAATAGGTGTGACCGCTCTGGATCCAGCTGCGCTGGACTTCCCCAGCAGTGCCACAGGACTAAAGGGAGGCTCATGGATTGTGTCAGGCTGCTCCGTGCTACGAGACGGGCGCTCTGTTTTGGAAGAATACGGGCGGGACCTGGATCAGTTATCCGAGGGGGACCGTGTGGGCATTCAGCGCAACTCTCGAGGAGAGCTCCACCTCTGGGTGAACGAGCAGGACTGTGGCACAGCGGCCAGTGGATTACCATCTAAACTCTGGGCTGTGGTGGACTTGTACGGAAAGTGTACGCAAGTGACTGTGGTGAGCTGTGAGCCGCCTCCAGCCTGTGCTGAGAGAGAGACTGTGGAGCTGGACGAGGATGAGGAAGAGGAAGAGGAGGTGGTAGTGTGTGGCACACGTGAAGATGCTGGGATCACGGCACTGATGAATGTGGCAGCAATTAATGGATTAATGAATGGAGACGAAGGTAGAAAAGGTTGTTACAGCTGTTGAAAAAATATTTTTGACGTGTAATGAGGAATTAAGAAGCTGTCTATAACATGACTTTGTGTATTTAGTGCCTGAGCTTTGCTGCAACAGACCAGACAAGTTTCCCAACAACCTTGAGCCCGAAACAGGTGAGATCTGAAAAAACTAAACATACTAGATTGAGACCGATTATTTATACTCTTAATTTTTTCGGTTTGTATCAGTTTTAACAGAGCACCAGCTTTTTGATGTGTTCAACAACGCCATAGTATCGTTTTACCGCTCCGAGGATGAAGGCGGAGGGGAGGACGGAGGTGGAGGAGGTGTTGATGGGGGCAGCGGAGGTGGCAGAGCGGGACACACAGGCAGCGAGTCGTCCTCTAGAAATGAGCGAGGGAGCAGCAGTGGAGGAACAGCCAACAGTGACAGTGGCTCCACGGGAGGAGGCGGAGACGGGGGCAGTGCAAACAACAGCCCTGCGGGGAATGGGGGGACAGCACCTGCAGCTGTGACAGGAGCCATGACCACCAACGATGCACTGCTGTTCCACGAGAAGTGTGGGACTCTGATCAAACTGAGCAACAACAACAAGACGGCAGAACGCAGGAGGCCATTGGATGAGTTCAACAATGGAGTAGTCATGACCAACCGACCGCTCAGGCACAATGAAATGTTTGAGGTGATTTTTATATTTGGAAACATATACTCACTTTACACACTTCATCCAACGTGCTTTGTAATGTATAATATGTTTAGATACGTATTGACAAGTTGGTGGACAAATGGTCCGGATCCATTGAAATCGGTGTAACCACGCACAATCCAAATAATCTCGACTATCCTGCTACTATGACTAATCTGCGCTCAGGTAATTCATATACTGATATATATATCACATTCATTAAACTTTACTCTTTAATGAAAGTACTTTTTATTGTCAGGAACAATCATGATGAGTGGCTGTGGAATACTTACAAATGGAAAAGGAACACGTCGGGAATACTGTGAATTTAGCCTTGATGAACTTCAGGTTTGTTTCACAAATTGATCATTTCACTGATGCTACAGTCTATCTTTTTAATAAGTATGAATTATTTTAGGAAGGAGATCATATTGGCCTAATGCGTAAGGCTAGTGGAGCGCTGCATTTTTATATCAATGGCATAGATCAAGGTAAGATACATCTCTCTCTTTATGTTAGTTTGATTAAAATGTGATCATTTGAGTTGTCATTGACGCTCTCTTGCAGGTGTTGCAGCAGCCCAGACTCCAGGTGTGGTCTATGGTGTGGTGGACCTCTATGGTATGGCTGTCAAAGTCACTATTGTCCACAACCACAACCACAGTGACCGCCTGCGACGTAATAATGCCATTATGAGGGCATTATCACCTGATGTAGGCCGACCCAGACCTGCCTTGGCCCTCACTCCAGACACTGAGGCACCTGACCGTCTGCTGTTTCACCCAAATTGTGGCCAAAAAGCTGCCATCATCAGTGACGGAAGAACAGCATTACGGCCGTAGTGAGTCCACTGCATTGTTTTGTACATAAGGACTTTAACTCGGCTTCTCCAATGGACTTATCTGACTTGTATGATTCCAGTGCGATTGATGACTTCAACCATGGTGTGGTGCTAAGCAACCGGCCTCTACGCTCTAATGAGGTCTTTCAAGTGCGAATTGATAAAATGGTCGACAAATGGGCAGGGTCTATTGAAATTGGCGTCACAACACATAATCCCGTCTACCTTCAGCTGCCCTCTACTATGACCAACTTGCGTTCAGGTAGAATAAGGAAACACATGATTTTGTTATCGCAGCAATGATGTAATTGATGATGTGATTTCATCTCTTTAGGGACATGGATGATGACCGGGAATGGTGTGATGCACAACGGGACAACAATTTTGGATGAATATGGGCACAACTTGGACAGACTAAAAGTGAGTTACCTCCAAATATAGACTTATGTTAGAATGTTCCATTATATTAAATGCCCTATTGATTTGTAGGCAGGTGATACAGTTGGTGTTGTGCGAAAAGAAGATGGTAGCCTTCACTTCTTTGTAAATGGAGTGCCTCAAGGCCCAGCAGCCTGGAATGTACCCCCCAGTGTGTACGCAGTGGTGGACCTCTATGGTCAGGCGGCTCAGGCCACTATTATGGATGACATGGGTCAGAAGTAGTTTTGGTATAAATTAAAATCTTTATCTTAAACTGTTGCATAAATTGTTCTCTTATCTGCCTCAGTTGACCTCCCACCTCTCCCAGAGGACAGCTCGGACGGGCCGACCGCCTTGTCTCCTGGAAGCCCCTGCTCCATTGCTGGAGCCACCACCAGTGATCTTCGCTTTCACACGCTTCATGGTAATAATGCCGTCATCACCAATGGGGGTCGCACTGCCCTTCGCCAGAACAGCCGCAGCGAGTTCAATGATGCCATCGTCATTTCCAACAGGTAATGTACAGGCCGCATTGTGATGTACTGAGTTAGAAAATCAACTCAATAAGTGTCTTGCAGGTGCCTTCGTGATGGAGAACTTTTTGAAATTGTTATTCAAAAAATGGTGGACCGCTGGTCGGGCTCTATAGAAGCTGGTAAATAGTAATGACTTAGTTTCCTGAATGTTGTACATGTTTACAACCCAAACTGAAAATGATTGTGTTTAAAGGAGTGACGGCCATCAGGCCAGAAGAATTGGAGTTTCCGAACACAATGACTGATATTGATTATGACACCTGGATGCTCAGGTAAGAAATGCTGAACTTGAATTTTAAATAATAATTATTTACGTTTTTTTATATTTGCAGTGGGACTGCCATTATGCAAGATGGAAATACAATGCGCAACAACTACGGCTGTGACCTGGACTCTCTCACGTCAGCGTCTCGCATTGGGATGATGCGTACAGCCACTGGAGACCTTCACTACTACATCAACGGCGTAGACCAGGGAGTGGCTTGTTCTGGTCTTCCTTCAGGTACAATAATAATCCAACAAGTTTCTCCTTTAATTCCAGTCATTAGCTGTTACTCATGTGGTGCATTTCTTGTGGCAGAGGTGTTTGCTGTGATTGACTTGTACGGTCAGTGTGTTCAAGTGTCCATCACCAGCTCTTCAGGTCCTCTGGACAACAGTCTGTGCAGCAACGTCACAGAGAACAGCTTCCCCATCCACTACCCAGGTCAGTTCTGTCGAGGTTCTCTTTCACTAGGAGCCTGTTACTAACTTCAATATTAATGATTTAACCTCTCTGTAAATGTTTCCAGTAGCAGGTGTTGCACATCGGTTTCACAGCAAACATGGTAAAAACGTGATTCTACTTGGTGAGGGCTGGCAGGCCATCAGAGTCGGAGGCTATTCACATGGAATTGTGTTCAGTGCAAAGGAGCTGAAAACCGATGAGTTGTTTGAGGTAGGATGAACTTTTAAGTATATGTTTTTGTTCATTACATTATTTGGCATAACCCCTTATTCCTTTGTGTTTTTTTTTAGGTGAGGATTGATGTAATAGACGAGCAGTGGAGCGGTTCACTGCACATAGGGCTCACAACTCTCGCGCCCCCGGATCTCCCGTCCTGCCCCCTGTCAGGACTCTCCCCCTCCCTCCCACAACTTAGGACCAAAGTCACATGGCTGCTGAGCGGCAATGAAGTCAAACGAAACGGTGTCTTACAACGGCAGAACTATGGCTGTTCACTGGACAGGCTCACTGTGAGTCTCCTCAACCAACTCTCAACTTCAAATGATTAGTTAAAGCTGGGGTTCCGAGCTTTCAAACTACAAAAACAATTGGAGATGTTGTAAAAATACATGTAACTTATTCCTATCAAACAGTTTGATTCTGTCACTATAGTTGTCACTTGCATTACACTTGTATTTTGGCCTTTTTCTTATTGGACAAACATGTATTTTTCATAACAAAAAACAAGGATATCCCAGCTTTAACTTAAATGCTCTTTTGTTATGTTTCTTGGAAATTTGACAATATTTAGAGCTGTAGGGGTTGGTTGGAAATATCAATAGTCTTTGATTTATTCTGGATATTTCTAGTTTCTAAATGGTCAAAAAAACCCAACAAATCTTTCATCACCTGCCCACCTGTGTGTGTGTTTATCAGGTTGGAAACCGCGTCGGCGTCAAAAGGTGCAGCGATGACACAATGCATATTTTTATTGACGGTGAAGACATGGGCCCAGCTGCCACTGCTGTCGCCAAGGTAACGCACAAAACGACACATGAGTTGCGTTAATCTAATGTTTTCATGCTTGATTTGTGAATCGCGCTGAATTGCCAGGTGCATAAGTTGTGCTCTACATTTAAAGCTGCTTGCCTGATGTTTTTCCTCTTGCAGAACGTGTATGCCGTGTTGGACCTGTACGGAAAGATCACTGCTGTTTGCATCGTTAGCTCCTCGCTCACAGAAGACTCCGAGAGCGTAAAGGCGCCGTCTTTGTCATCGGACAGCTGCAGCGAAGGGGAAGAGGACATCAGTCCTGTGAGAGAGGTGTGGGCGATTACACCATGGTTTAATTACGGCACAGTAGTATTCAGTGTTTAGACATACTTTGGTGTTTCTCAGGTGGAGAGCGAGCCTGGTCCACTGCCCACTTTCATGACCTTTCTTGAGAATCATGGAAAAAACATCCAACTGACCAACCAGAGCCTGTCCGCCTCCCGGGTGTCCAGCTACAACCAAGGCCTGCTGGTCACCGCTCAGCCGCTGCCACGGCAACAACTCTTTCAGGTAACTTGAATATTATGATTGAATTTCTTGTGTTTGAACTGTTTGAGTCTCTGATCTGTGCTGGCGAATTCAACGGTTTTGCTAAGTCCTCTGAGATGGCTACTGTTGTGATTTATGGCTAGACAAGAATTAAGATTTTTTTCTAATTAGTCTGAATATATACCTTTTTATTGAGATGCATAGATAATGCACTGATAATACAATCCGCTCCATCAATAATGGGACACAATTCTCATGTTTTACTGCATAGGAGGGTCAGGAGGGTCTACATTAAGACAGTGGTGATGGTCCAGGACATTTAAGGATATTTATGGACATCTTTTAACATTTATGGTCATTGGTCTTCTGCCCCCTTATGGACCCATGGCTTGTTGTGTTTTTTTTTTCATTGTTGCATTTCCTGTGTTTGAACTGTTTGATTCTCTGATCTGCAAATCAACTTTTATAAACTCCTTGGATAAGATGACTGTTGTTGGGTCCTAATTTGTATTGGCCTGACTGTATACATCTATGCAAAGTTACAATAAAAAAGATCCTCTGAAAAATCAAATATTGCATTTTCTAGTTTCAGATCGACCGCTTGAACCCGTCATGGACATCTTCGCTGTCGCTAGGCGTAATAGGCCACGCCCCTGACCGTCTGAACTTCCCTTCTACCGCCTGCTGTCTAAAGCGGTCTACGTGGCTGCTCCAAAGAGACTCGGTCTTCCACAACTCATTAAAGGTGCTCGCTCCCTCCATATCGCTTCATTCTTGGAGAGGATTTACACAGCTGTTCTAATCATGCGTCTGTTTAAAAAAAATCTACAGATATGTGAAAACTACGGTCCAAACCTCGACACATGTCCAGAAGGGACTGTGTTGGGCTTGCTCGTGGATGCTAACAATTGTTTACATCTATACGTCAATGGAATGGACCAGGGAGTGGCAGCGCAGGACATCCCCTCACCCTGCTACCCCATCATCGACCTCTACGGCCAGTGTGAACAGGTCAGGCACTGTTTCATAAGTCTTCATATACATTTAATTCTAACAATGGTTGCGAAGGGTAGCAATAAACAATAAAAAAAACAAATTGTGTATTATATTTTGATATTTGCAGGAATCAGTATGTATGATTCATTTGTAGCTGTTTAGGGAGATGTTTGTACTAATTAAAAATGCAATGTGTCACTAAATGGTTTACCTCACTAACTTTTAGTCATTGTGCTCATCACTCATCTGATCACTGAATCCATTCATGTAGCCGATTAGCAGCTAACACCAGTTCTTTCTGATTAATGCAAAAATGAAAGATCGGCAAAGGCAAAAACGGTCAAGAGGCAGCTAAGACAGTAGAAGACTGAAATAAAACTATAGGGGTAAAATAGTCCTGAAAATCATCCCAAATATATTTCAATGCTTGTCAGGGCAATTGCTGTTAAATATTTTGCCCATAAGATACGTATTCTAATGCAAATATTTATTTTGTAGGTCACCATAGTAACAAACAACGTGCCAACTGTTGGGGGGGAGAGCGGAGAGGCGCGCTGTCAGGGGGACATGGAGAAGGCCGACATGGTTGATGGTAAAGAAATTACTGTGGATGTTTTTATCGTTTCTTTTATTGGCTCTGCGGTTTTTTACATTTACTCTTGTTTTGCAACATTTTGAAAAAAGGAATCAAAGAGAGTGTGTGCTGGACGCCACCTCCTGAAGTCAACCCCAATAAGACGTGTGAATACCAGGCCCTGTGCTCCCGCTTCAAGGACCTCCTCACTCTCCCAGGTGAAGCCACCGCGAGTCCGTTTGGGGTTTTTCACCAAATACCGTTCATTTAATTCATTTTCATTCACCCTTTTTTCAGATGGGTATTTCAGTGAAGACGCCAAGTACAATCTGTGCTACTGCGAGTCGTGTCATAAGCTCCGCGGCGATGAAGCGTATTACAAAAGAGGAGAGCCTCCGAGGGACTACGCCCTGCCCTTTGGCTGGTGCCGCTTCGCCCTTAGGTAACACAACTCACATGAAGAGTTAAAATGTGAATATGTATGGTTATTATTTCTAGATTTGAATGCCTTGTATTGGATCTATGTTGTTTTGTTCCGCACTTTGAGTTGCTTTTGTATGAACTCTGTTATACAAATAAACTTGTCTTGCCTCGGGTTGTTTAATTATGTTTATGTATTTATGGATGCAGGATAAAATCAAACTGTGAGGCTTCAAATGCGCTGAAAAAGTGGCATATTGCGTACCACGGCACTAGCGTTGGTGCTTTGCGGCGAACGCTGGACCATAACCAGTTGCTGTCTAGTGAGTCTTTTTTTGTATAATCTCAAAACATACAAGCAAAGGATCCTCCCTTTGGTGAATAAACACTGAATCTCTCTTGTTCTTGCAGGTGCATCCTCTGTGTTTTCAGTGTCTCCTGTTAAAACAGAAGGCCCCAACGACTACAGTGAGCCGGACGAGAACAGCGCTCCGGGCAGAGAGGTCCCCAGGGTGCGCCTCTCCCCGACTATGCGCTACTCTGGCCTAGAGATCTTTGCTCCTAAAGTGCAGTAAGTTGGCCCTCAAGCATAACCTCACATGATCCGTTATGCCTTGATTCTAGCTCAGATTCAGATTCATTTTATTTGTAAAACCGCATTAAAATACCTCTGCAAAAGTCCCCAGTGTGCACAAGACAAGTACATCAATAAAACAAACTAAAAAAGTGCAGAAAACAACTAAAACAGTTTCGATACAAGTGAATGGTCAGCTTGTGGGAAAAAGCTGTTAGCATATCCAGATTTCCTGTATCTCAATGAACAAAATATTCTGTCAGGGGAAAGAAGCTGAAACATGGCTTTTCCAGGGTGGCCAGAAGAGTCATTGATTATTTTAAGATCTCGGTTTAAGAGTCTGGACTCAAAGAACCTCCAGAACAGGCAGCTGATAGCTCACAGCCCTCTTTGCAGAGTGGAGGCACCTTGTTTAGAGCTCTCCTTTCTTTGTCTGTAATGTCACCAAACCACACAGTCACAGAACCAACAGGCAGTTTCAATGATGCAGCAATAAAAGTTAAAGCAGGATCTCATAGTTTGTGGTCAATTCTGTAAGTCTCCGCAGAAAGTTGCTGACGATCTTTCATCATTCATTCATTCTTCTCCGCAGATTTGAAGACCCGCGATCGCACCACTGTCACCAGGCGCAGGTGGGCTTCCAGGTCTGCGTGCGGCCTGGCTCTTACAAAGTAGGGCCTCAGACGGTCAGCCAGAGCGAGCCGCTGGATCCGCGATTCAGCAACACGGAGATCGAGTGGATCACGAAAGAACAAGGCGGGACGATGCTCTATGGACTGCTCGTACGAGTCGAATGAACACAAAGAATATGAGGGAGACATTTTGGTTTTAAGAAACTAACAAACCAAATCCAAGCCCTGCCTTGAACAACAGACTGGTCCAGCCGATCCCTTGAGGGTCGCAAGAACAAGCACTAGTTTGGACCCTTTCTGCGCCGGGGCTTTGGCGGTTTGAAGACACTGCCTGCACTTTATGTTTCGGACATTTGTAGGCAATTTTTTAAACTGAACTCATCGACGCGACATGTTTGTTAATCAGCTGCAGTTTGGGTTTTCTTTCGTTCCCTCATCACCGATTTTTGGCACTTGAAACGACAACTTCTCACCTCTCAGTGTTTTAGGTTTTTAGTTCAGCTAAAGGCTCCATCTCGAAGCTATCCCCGCCAATCTGCAAATCACAATCTGAAAAAAGAAATGGGTGGAAATGTAACGTTGAGGATGTGACAGAGGATTGTGCTCCAGACACATACTTCTCAGATTACAGGTACAACTGGAAAAGACAATGCACCTTTTTTGAGAAAATGAACATGGGTGTATTGAGTTTCAGCCTTATGTTACAAAAGATCCATTAAAATGTATTTACAAGTCTAGACACGTAACATTATGCTGGATTTCCATATTGTTTGCCCTTAAGCACTTGTTTACACCCACGTACACTTTTGAAAATCTCACGTCACGCCACCAACACAATCTGCTGTTTACAAGTGAATGTTATTTAATTAGGGCTGCTGTTTTCTGTGCATTTTAATTGGTTTACATTTTTTTTAAGTGTTTCTGCTTTTTGGATTCCACATTGACTGATTGTAACAGCAAAAAGGTTTTCAAAACAAGTGCATTTCCCCCCCACCCTGTTGCAGATTTATTAAAGCGACAGTATGTGATATTTATAAATGCTCAGTATCACTAGAACTGTGATCCAAATGAACCATATGTGGAGTTTGACACAGAAACTTCCAATCAGATAATGTGAACTATACTTTGGGTTTTACAGCCCAGTGCTGCTTTGTATAATTTTGTTTATTTGTTTTAAATGTATGTTGTGTTGTACAGGCTGTTACATATGAAATCATATCCTTCCCAATTTATAAATAAAATTCAAAGACAGTATGTAAAAAAGGAAATGTATGTTCATGTGAGAGAAAGGTCACATCTAAGCATTTGTTTTAAACTTTTATTTAGGAAAAAACGATCGCTGACATCTTATTGCAGCGCTGCATACTTATTTCATTCACACTTTTCCAAAATGCTGTAGACTAATAAGGCCAAGTGTTGATTTACATATCCAGCTCTGTCCTGACAAGTATAAATATAGCAGCTTCCAATTAAACTATGAAAAACAAAACACCTTTTGGAATCCTTTTGGATTGCATAGTCTTCACTATTCTGGTTTTGTCACTATAATAAAGTTGTGCTTTAGGTTAGGTTAGACGTTTTTTATTGTAAGCAAATTGTAGTAATACTTTTACTCATATCACATTTTTAGCTGCACAGCTTTGCCAAATGGCAGAGTAAAGATGACAGGAACGTGATCCTGATGCTTCAATTCTAGTGCAAGCAGCAACGGTCATTTAAGAGCCAAGAACATTAAAAAGCAAACGTTTGGTTCAGCTTCATTCAAATAACAACTCACACGTACACACACACAATCACACGTACATACACACACACACACACATACAGTCATCGTTTCGAGTTTGCCAGGAACATAATTCCACACAAGTTTAAAAAAATAGCCAAAAGTTCTTTCTACACTTCCACACAATAACATGTTCCTCAGACCCTGATTGACAGCATTCACTCGACTGAAGGACGCGCGTTAAGCTACAGAGTGCTTTTATCAAAATGTGGGATCACAGTAGTTCAAATAAATATCTCCTTTTGACATAAATAAATAGTTCAAATAGACACAGATCAGGTTTCAGTAGAAATGAATTCAAGACTTCCAAATCTTTTCAATCCCCCCCAAAAAACCAACATGGAAAACATTGCACTCACCACAGCTCACAAAGACAGACCGCTTTGTGAAACGGGGAAAGGACACATAAAAGGACATAATTTCACAATCAATCTTGCTTAAAAATTCAAATAAATATTTAAAATGTAAGAAAATGAGCTCATCTTCCAGGACAATTGTTCACATTGGTGGCAGTCAGCAGAGACAGCTTGGAACAAGGTGATTTCAGCAGCGCAACCGAGTAGTAGCTTAACGGCAAAACAGCACAAAGATCTCCCGATGCTCAGGAAACCAAACTACCGTACATGTACAAAGTCGAATGAAAAAATATATGAAGGAATAGTTTCTTCAGAAGGTTCTTTGTGGCTGGTTTTTGGAGGTTGGTTGGTGGAGAGTCGACATAGAACCGGACGAGGAGGTCGCTTACGAGGGAGAAGGAAGGAAGGCGAGCAGCAATCAAGTGGGTTCATGTACAATACAGATATTTTCTTCAACAGACTTCAGAACTTTTTCGGGCCCCAGGCTGAGGTTTGCTTTGGGGCGACGCCACTCCCAAAATTGGGGAAATCCTCGGCACTGCTCATGTCCGGAGCCTGCTGCACAGAGAACATGGGAAGAAAATAAAATTGCATTGCCATATTACGACAAATTATACAAACAGTGTAGAGAACATGAACAGAAATGTTTTTTTTTAAGGTTCTTACAACTCAGAAAATACCATTGAAAATATATGTATAGCTCATCGGAGGATGTGTGACGTTTAATCAGGCACAATTTGCAGAAGGATAGACCCAGTCCTCAAAACGGGCCAGTGTGGCTGTAGGAGCAAGCAGGAGCACACCAGGACTCCACCAATTTAATCAAGTGAGTCCAGTCTTAACCTGAAGACTTGTATATACGCTCTCCTGTCTTTAGCGATTTTTGTTTTTACAGATTAAACGCTAGAATACTGTTCAAAGCTTAAAATGTGAAACTAATACACAATATAGACGTATTACATGTAAAGTGTTTGTTTGCTAACATTGTGATTATGGCTTACAGTCTAATAGTCTGATGATGAACCAAAAATTATCAACATTTTAACAAAAAGGCTTGATATCTTTCATAGTTAGTTTCACATTAAAGGAATACAGAAATAAAAAGACTTTTAAAAGATATTCTAGTTTTCCAAGTTCCACCTGTAGTATAGGAATGTGGTCAATTATCACACTTGAGGCAACAGCAAGGATTAAAAGGTTCTCTCTAAATTTGGGGATTGCAGATATTATTTTATCAAACCTACATTTCTCACAAAATTACAAAATCACATATCGAGTTACAAAATCACATATCGAGTCACGTAAAAGATTCTTTATACAAATCTAATGAAGCGTCCTCAATATAAAAATTCAAATGGCCCTAAGTGCCATGATCTCTAGAGGGTAAATTAATGTGTGTTTATTTTTATATGGTCTGATTTAATTCCGTGGACTTGCGCACTGTGAGGTGATCACATGACCAATCCGTACTCTTCATAACCAGTGCGACCCTCCAGCCCGGAACGCCACTCTTCCAGTTGTGAGCAATAAATATCTTAATGTATCTAAACATATTTATGGGATCTTCTGAGTTGTGGAAACTTTTATTTTTTAAACATGTTTCTCATATTATGACAAACTAAATGTTTCTGACCTTGTTGCCAGCTGCGTTCCAGGGGGCGTCCCGAACCACAAATCCCTTTGCAGGACCGCCGTCGTCTCCTCCTGCTCCCCCCGGACCCCCTCCGTATCGAGAGGGGGGTTTCATGTAAGCTGCCAGTGTCTCTGTTTCAGTCACACTCAGCATCTGCAAAGAGAGAACGTCTGGATTGTTGTACAGTGTAAGAATATACCACAACATAACGGTGCAAATTAAAACGAGGGTTACGTATGTAACCACGGTTCTATGAATCCCGAATGACCGCCAGAGGGCGGTGCATAGCACTGAATGTTCCCTTCGCGCATGCGCAGTTCGAGTAATAATACCAAATGAGTCACACCTGTGACCCCTTGGATGACACACCGGAGGTAATAAAGTCCAGCGTCATCCAGCACTCTGTTCCTGCAGAATCTTCTCGCGGACGCAAGGACCCTGAGTGACAGAGCGCCTCTGGCGGTCATTCGGGATTCATAGAACCGTGGTTACATACGTAACCCTCGTTCTATTTCATCCCTTCTGACCGCCAGAGGGCGGTGCATAGCACTGAATGACCTTATACCAGCTATGTCACGAAGGATCTTGACCACACACCTCACGGAGGAGAGCCAGAGGATTCCTGAAGGACCACGCCAAGAGGAGCCGGAGTGGCCACATTGATGTTGTAGAATCTGGTGAACGTGCTTGGTGTAGCCCAAGACGCAGCAGCACAAATAGTCCCCAACGGCACCCCGCGCATAGCGGCCCAGGAGGTAGAGACACCCCTGGTAGAATGGGCCCTCACCGTGGCTGGCGGGTCGCGGCCGGCCGAAACATACGCCTGACTGATAACGTCCACCACCCAGTGGGAAAGGCGTTGCTTCGAAAGCGGACTTCCCAGTCTAGCACCACCATAAGCAACAAAGAGCTGGTCTGAGCGCCTCACACCGGCCGTCGCAGCAACGTAGGCCTCCAATGCCCTCACAGGACACAGCAGGCGCAGTCTGTCCTCACCCCCATCCAGGGGGGACACAAACCGCGCCAACCTCAAAGGCCGGTTACAATAGTCACGGGAAAGCACCTTAGGGAGGAAAGTGGGATTAGGCCACAAGACCACGCCAGCCTTCTCGGGATCCCAGTGTAGGCATGAGGGACTGACAGAAAGTGCATGCAACTCACCGACCCTTTTTGCAGAGACCACAGCCAACAGGAAAGCAGTCTTATAGGAGAGCCACTTGAGGTCCGTTCGGGCCAATGGCTCATAGGGAGGGCGGCAGAGAGACTCCAACACCAAGGCCAGGTCCCAAACCGGAGACCGCGCGGGCACGCGAGGGTGCAGCCTACGAGCTCCGTGTAAAAAGAGAGACACCAGGTTATGGCCCCCCACAGTACAGTTATCAACCTGGCCATGATAACATGAAATAGCAGCAACATATACCTTCAGAGTAGATGGGGCCCGACCTTCATCCAGGAGAGACTGAAGGAATTCCAGAACAACCGCCACCGGGCACGACACGGGATCCCGACCGCGGGAAGAACACCAGCGGGAGAACAACTTCCACCTGTTCTCATACAGCCGCCGAGTAGAGATCGCCCTGGCATTCAGGAGTGTACGCCTGACAGGGCCAGTGACATCGAGCGCCCGCAGCTCGGGCCAGCCAACGGCCACACCCATAACTTGAGGCGGTGAGGACAGGGATGCCACACCTGACCGTCCAGCTGTGAGAGCAGATCCCGCCTGGGAGGGAGAGGCCAGGGGGGAGCCCAACAAAGTCTGAGTAGCAGTGGAAACCAGGGCCGTGCAGGCCAAAACGGAGCCACCAGCAACACCCTGTGCCCCGCCCGAAGGACTCTCCGGAGGGTGGGCCAGATCAAAGGAAAAGGGGGGAAGGCGTACAGGAGGACTTGAGGCCAACTGTGCGCCAGGGCATCCTGGCCGAGAGAGGCCGTAGCCCCGTCCAGGGACAAAAACTGAGGGCAATGTGTGGAGGCCACCGAAGCGAATAGGTCCACCTGTGCCTGACCAAAAAGGCCCCATATCCTCTGGACCACACTGGGATGGAGACACCAATCCCCCGGGGCAGGCCTCCCGCGAGACAGGGAGTCCGCCACGCGATTGCAGTCCCCTGGCAGATACGCTGCACGCAGTGTAGACAGGCGAGGCGCAGCCCAAACCAGCAGCGCCTGAGACACCTCGAGGAGCCGAGCCGATTGGACACCCCCTTGATGGTTGACGTGATACACGACCGAGGTGTTGTCCGAACGAATGAGGACATGTTTCCCCAGCAGGTGAGGCAAAAACTCCTGGAGAGCAAGGTGGACGGCCCGCAGCTCCAGCACATTTATGTGGTCTGAACGCTCTGCCCGAGACCAAACCCCTCGGGCCAACCTGTGCTGCCACACAGCACCCCATCCCGTACGGCTGGCGTCGGTGGTGACCACTTCCCTGCGGCACACTACGACCCCCAAGGGGACCCCACGTGACAGGAGACCCCGGTCCCTCCATGGAGCCAAAGCACGAAAACATGCCCACGTCACCTGCAACCGCCTGTGGCGGTGACGAACGGCATCCAAACGAAACCCGTTCAGCCACCTCTGCAACGGGCGAAGCGAAAGCAGCCCGAGTGGAACCACACGAGAGATTGAGGCCAGCTTCCCCACCAGCTGTAGAAAGCTGACGTAACTGTGCAGGGTGCCAAGACCGAAACGGGACACCACACCGTGGATGTCGACCAGGCGGCGCACTGACGGACGCGCCGTCATAGTCACCGTGTTCAGATCCAGGCCAAGAAAAATAGCGGCCTGCGAAGGCACCAGGCTGCTCTTCTCAAAATTGACCCTGAAACCCAAGCGGGCGACATGAGTCAGAAGGCGCTCCGTATCCTCCAAGGACCGTGCCCTGGACGGGGCGCAGATCAGCCAATCGTCCAGATAAGGCAAAACCTTCATGCCACTGGCCTGCAGCGGAGCCAGAGCCGCCTTCACGCACCGAGTGAAAACCCTCGGAGAGAGAGAGAGGCCAAAGGGAAGAACCCTGAACTGCCAGTGAACGCCCCGATAGGCGAACCGGAGGAACCGCCGGTGGGGCTGCGCAATGGGCACGTGAAAATACGCGTCCCTCAAATCTATGGACGTGAACCATTCCCCGGCCCCAACAGTCTGAAGGACTTCCGCAGTCGTCAGCATGCGAAACGGAATGACCTTCAGGAAATGATTCAAACCCCTCAGATCCAAAATTGGTCGAGAACCCCCCGTCTTCTTGGGCACGAGAAAATAACGGGAGTAATAACCCCTGGGTTGCAGCAGCGGATCTACCTCCTCGATGGCACCCTTGGTCAGGAGGGCGGAGAGCTCCTGATCCAAGATTAAGGCTTTTTCCGGGTCCGAGATCAAGTAACCTTGACCCGGCCCGACAAGTGCGGCCGGCGTCGGAATTGCAGACGGTATCCGTGGGTCAATGTGGCAACCACCCACGGATCCCGAGCTCGAGCAGCCCAACACTCGAGCTGCTGATGGGAAAAATATCCGACGCACGGCCCTGAGGCGTCAGTTCCGCGCCCCCCGCCCCCTAGGGGCTCTGGGGGGACCTCGCCCAGGACCAGCTGCGGCGCCACTTGGTTGGCGGGTCGGGCGCCTATGTACGGGTGGGGCACGAAAATTCCCGGCAGGCCTGACCTGGGGATAACGCTGAGCACCAGACCAATCCCGAGGAGGCTGCCGAACACTGGGGGCCACCATCGGGCGCAAAAACTGCCGGGGAGGGCGCACCACCCTGCTAAGGCTAGAAAGTTGCTGTCTAGTCTGACCAGCATGGACAGTCCGGTCCAATGCTTCCTGGGCCGCCGTCCCAAACAACTGACCCGGCTCGACAGGCACGTCACGGAGGGTCCTACGACAGGCCTCAGTCAGGGGAGACTGAGCCAGCCATACCTGCCGACGAGCCTGTACAAGGACCGACATGACCCGTCCGAGCTCCCTGGTCATCAAGGCAAACGCATGCAGAGCTGCGTCGCTAAACGCAGTAACATCAGTGCCCACAGCACTACCCTCTTGGAGGGAGGCAGACAGGGCAAGCAGCAGATGCGCTAAGGAGTTACCAATACGGCCAGCTCGAGCACCAGAATTGTAGGCCTTTGTTAGCAAGTGATCAGTCGCACAACACTGGCTCCGAGGGCACCTCACATTCTCCCGCAAGGACTCCTCTGGAGAAACAATGAGGGAGGCAACAGCCGGCTCAACAGCAGGCATGCAATCCAGACCAGCCGAAGAGGCATCGTGCATCGCGGCCAAAGCCCGACCCTCAGCCGAAAGCTTAGAAAGACGGCTGGGGTCCCTCCAGCACGCGTGTAGCTCCTTTAGATACTCCGCGGACGGGGGCACAACAAAAGCAGGAGACGAACCACTACGCCTGAAAAAAGCACTGCCAGGGTCAGCCTGTCCCGACTGGGGAAGTTCCACCTGCAGACGGGATAAGGCCCTGCGAAGAACCTCCTGCATTGAGCCGTCACCAGACCGGCTGGACACACTATGCGCGGAAGAATAAGAATCGTCCCCCGAAAGGGACCGCGCATCATCCTCGTCCCGGAAGCACGAAGCAGATGCCGCTCATCAGACCGCTCCCCTGAAGCACAGGCCTCAGCACGGCGCTTAGAACGCCGAGGGGGCGGAGCCACAGCAGGTCCCACTGGCAAACTGCCACCGTCGCCAGACGAAGGCAGCTGAGCCAGCCTCGCCACCCTAACAGCCCAGGGCAAGCAGCTGCATTTCATGCACGGGTTATCGGACACTGCCTCCCTCAAGTGAGTGGGGCTGAGGCACGCCGGACACAGGTCATGGCCGTCATCAACATCGAGTGCTGACCCACAGCCCACACACGCATGTGACCCGTCCATAACAACAATGTTGGGTTTTTTATTTATTTTTTTTTTTTTAAATTGAATATTTAATTTATCCCAAACGGCAGTCAAAAGTCAGAACCGAATGAACGTACTGCAGTTTCACAACAGAAAAGCCAATATAGCACGGTGGAGGAGCGGGCGCGCGAACAGCAGCCTTCACACCACACAATACACCGGCCACAGAATAAACACAGGCAGCAAATGCTAACCCAAACAAGAACTGACGGAGGAGCGGGACAACGAACCGCAGCCTGCACACCACAGAATACACCGGTAGCAAAAACTAAGCCAAATAAGAACTGATGGAGGAGCGGGCGCACGAACAGCAGCCTTCACACCACAGAGGACACCGGTAGCAAAAACTAACCCAAATAAGAACTGATGGAGGAGCGGGACAACAAACCGCAGCCTTCACACCACAGAGGACACCGGTAGCAAAAACTAACCCAAATAAGAACTGATGGAGTAGCGGGCGAACAACCGCAGCCCTCACACCACAGAATACAGTTAGCACAAGCTAACCCAAACACGCACAGGCGGAGGAGCGGGCCAACGAACTGCAGCCTTCACACCACGAAATGCATGTAGCAATAGGTAACCAAAAGAAAGTACTGATGGAGGAGCGGGCGCAACAGCAGCCTTCACACCAAACAATACACACGCATATAGACAGAAAACACCAATAAATACCCGAAGGACAACGTTACCGTCGCGCCCCACGGAGGGCGAACCGCAGCTCCGATGAAGAGGGCTTCAGCGACAGACGTTGACGAGGTTGGTTCAAGCAAAAACGATTCGAACCGCACGCGAGAAGAAAAAAGGAACAGAGTGCTGGATGACGCTGGACTTTATTACCTCCGATGTGTCATCCAAGGGGTCACAGGTGTGACTCATTTGGTATTATTACTCGAACTGCGCATGCGCGAAGGGAACATTCAGTGCTATGCACCGCCCTCTGGCGGTCAGAAGGGATGAAATAGAACCCTCTGTTGCCGATGATGAAAAGAAACTATGAGGAGATCGGAGGTTATCAGTTCAGTTTAAACAGGAAGTCAATGAACCCATTTATAATACCAAGTAGTTTGGATCAATGTATAGGATTCAATTTGCTTAAACTACATCAAGCTAAGATACATTCTTCTCTCTCCTGTATATCGCAAGGTCACACAAACCGCATTACAATTTTGATGTAGTGGTAATTTCCATTCTCGGGTGTATAAAGCCCCAAACCATCATCATCCGTTTACGCACTCATTATAGTCATACCTATTGACTATAGCCACAGCTGCCCTGGGGCACACTGACTGAAGCACGGCAACCAGTATGTGCCATCGGCCCCTCCGACCACCACCAACCATTCACACACACACAAATAGATAACAAATAAATAGACACAGGTAGAACACACAAACTCAACAGATGAAGGCCTGGAGGTGGAAACGAACCCAGGGCCTACTTACTGTGAAGCACATGCGCTAACCACTGCGCCACCGAGTAAATTAGTACAAATATTTGAATTGCACCTTATTGTTGAGCTATAATACAATAACAACAAATGCGTGCGCGGTATAATTTATTACAACATTTGAGGATGTGATAAAAGTCCCATGGTTAGTGCCTCATTGTCTTTTTTCAGAAGCAGAGAAAAACCTGGCACTTACGTATTCTTCCTCCAGATTAAGCAGGTGGTCAATGGCGCTGTCCACAGTTTCCGGAAGCCCGGTCACTGTCACTTTATCTGGTTCGTCAGATCCAGGCTGAGGAAACCTAATATCCACCTGGATTAAATGGAGAGCAATGATTTAGGACTTGGAAAAACATCATGTTGTTTCAGACAGATATTACAATATAATGTAATTGTTTTTTGTTTTGAGAGAAGACGACAGAACACAATCAAACAACAGAAACAGAACATAATCCCACGCAAATAACCCTCTATCAAATGCAAAAGTGGTGTACATAACAGTAGTTTCACACATGGAACAAGGAAATATTCATTATTCTAAATACTTGTTAGTCCCATCAGAAAGAGTCTTGTAAAAGTAAAATGGAAAAACCAGACCACAACATGCTGTTAGAGCCCTGTGAGTCACTATCTGACACTGTGGGCTCAGAGCTGATTTATCTTTTTCCCTTTTCTGTCTGAAAAAAGTTGAACTAAAGATGTAATAGAGGCCAAAAATAGATGCATGTGAAAACTAGTGATAGTGTTAGAACTGTTAGTGCTTTTTAATGCTGTAGAAAGCTGAGATACCTAAGAGAGGATAGTGTGAGGTAAAAATTATCGCTATACAATTCACTAATCTGGTTAAATGACAGCTTCAACTGACTTGCAATTAAAGCTGGGGTACGTTACTCTCAAGCCCCAAGAAATTATACAAAAGTCTCCCAACCAGCCTTCATAACAGTTTGGTTCTATCTCTAGTTTTCAGCCCAAAGCATTAGAGGGACTCACAGGACTCTTTCGTACCAGAATTCACAAGATGTTTTCTAATAAGATGAAACCTCTTTAGATAAGACAAGATAAGATAGACTTTATTGATCTCACACTGGAGAAATTAACGAGAAGTATGATTGTATAGGTATATGTGTGTGCTTAATGAACTTGTATATAGGAGCAATTTTAAGAAATGTGATGTCTCTAATATAAAGGTCTCGCTTGCACCGAGAGCCAAAGCAATTTCCTAGTTTCTGACTCACAATGGCAATAGAAATAATTCTGATTCTGATATAAGATAGGCATAAACTGTTATTACTGCAACATAACCATTCTGACCTTGAACTCCTCCATGAGCTTGCGGATGGCTTTCCCGCGAGTGCCGATGATGCGAGCGTGGGTCCGCGGGTCGAGGTGCACGTCGTGACTCACCATCTCCTGCAGCTCAGACACCAGCTGCTGAATGGCCAGACGCGCCTCCTCCACATTACGCTCATAACCACTGATCACGATAAGGTCCTGTGCAAAAAAGATGGTTCCAGTGCTTTGGTGCAGGCACCATGCTGTGAAAAGTACAACTGAACTCAGCGTTTCATATATTTACAGACCTGCTGCTCGTCGCCTTTGTCTGGAAACTGTATGCTCACGTCATGGTCTTTTCTGATCTGAGAAATAACCGCTCCCTTACGGCCGATGATCTTTGGGTGAAACTTTGGATCGACAGACATTGTGACTTTAAAACTGCGCAGAGCCTACAAAACAGACTGTGTTAAATAGACAGATTCGACAAACTTGCATTCTGCACTTAGATTTGAGAGTCCGCACCCTGTCCTCTTGCTCTGCTTGAAGTTCTTTGACCCTTTCAAACAAACCCAATTTGGCTCGCTCTACATTGTCAGCCAGACCCGTCACCTTGATCACGTCAAGTTGGCGCTCCGGCTGTGGCACCCAGATGTTCACCTGCACAGAAAATAAATGTCTATTATCATGTATGCAATTGTGGAATCTGACTGCGATATTTTGTACTGTGGCCCTCGGTTATATCTGTAATACTGCTAAACTTTGTTCTGAATAACTAAGGTATTATTTATGACCCACATAGCTAGTATCTGAATCTTAAAAAAGGTATAAAGGAGGTTTTTCCCAAATTTTATGAAAGACAAGCATCACTTAAGCATAACTGTCATTAATGTCTCAAGTGATGACGACTGTTCTTTCGCATATTAATACATATGATTTAAAATGTTTCAATCTGGAAGAACTCGCAAATGTCTAACAGATGCGATCGCTGCCGCCTCTGTCTTCATTTCTCGACACAATATTCAATAATATATGAAGCAAGCTTACTTCATATTCCTCCATCATTTTTCTGATTCCACTTCCCTTCTGTCCAATTATATAACGGTGCAGATCATAAGACACTTTCACATCCTCGGTGATGGGTACCAAAGCCTGAAAAGAAAAATAGTGAACCTTTAACATTTGCTAAAATAGCTCAGCATTTTCAAAAAGGTAAAAGAACTTACCAACAAAGCTGCTTTAGCAAATTCACACTTCTCTGCCCGTCCCTGGATGCTGATGATGTCACACTTTCGAGGGATAAACTCCGCCTCAGGACTGATATCCCCATTTTCTTGAGTTAAAGCGTCCTGACCTAAAATGACAAAATGATTAGCTTTTATATGTCTGATGTATAGACACATACAAGAGCTTTAAAATTAGCTTTCAAGATTCAAGAATTTATTTGCCATTTGCAGTAGAACCACATTGGAAAAACTGTGGAAGACTACCCCAGTGTGCACCAGGATAGTACACACCAGAGCTCTTGCCACTCTGGTGTGTACAAATGTCAGTGTTGTTGACGAACAAACACAAGAAATGAATACTGTAAACTAATATTACATATAATTATAAATGTCTATGAACTGCAGCTGTTGTGAGTGTTGTCTGACCTGCAGTGCTTTCTTCTCTCTCGGGGAACTTTATTTGGACCTCATGTTCCCTGGTGATGTGCTGGATGCGGCAGCCCTTTGGACCCATGACGGCGCGGTGGTAACGCTGAGGGATTGCCACCTCCACGCTCACCTGAGACTCCTGCTCAGCAAACAGAGCGATGTTGTTGTCAAGAACCAGATGACAAGTGTGTTAAACAACATTTGCCCGAGCACAAATACCAGGTCCTCGATGATCTCCAGTATGCGCCTCTTTGCGGCCTCCACACAGTCTTTCGCCCCTTTGAGAGTCACTTTCTGACTGTTGGATCCAGTGCGGGGAAAGCTCACGGCGACGCCTCCGTACTCCTCGGCCAGCTCCCTCAGCACCTGCCCTCTCCGGCAAACGAAATGTCTGTGGTGTCGAATGTCCACGCTCATAGTGTCTTCAACGACATCATCCTACACAAAACACAAGAGCAGAGCGTAAGATTAAAGGTCCTTTATTTGTCCCACAGTGGTGTTGTATCACCGGTTATAACTCCATACAACATTAAAATCTCTAACTTTAGCATAATAAAGAAGCATGTATAAAATCTGTAGCTTTAGCATAAAAAAGAGGCAAGTTGAAAATCTGTAGCTCTAGCATATTAAAGAAGCAAGTATAAAATCTCTCTCTCACTTTAGCATAATAAAAGAAGCAAGTATAAAATCTCTCACTTTAGCACAAAAAGAGGAAGTAGGAAGTAGTGTTTCCCATGTTTAAACCAGACGCCACCCCTGACAGTATGTACCAGGTTTTTAAGCAGACCCTCCAGCTCTGTCTGCGCCTGACGGACAGCCTCCTCTTTGCCCACGATGGTGATCAACTCTTGCTCAACATCGTCCGCTGATGGAAAGATGATTCGTGCCCCCGTTTTATCTCGTACTTTGCGAATATTCACCCCTCCTTTGCCAATCAGGAATTTATGGTACTCTGCCTTTGCCTGGAGCTCAGCAGTGAAGTTGTTGACTTGCTATAGAGAAGAAGAGGGAGAGACTGAGTGGGTGAGAATGTTAATGTTTACTTGTTATAGTGGTGAATGTGTGCAATATGACCAGCATACTTTGTTCTGTGGACACCGTTACTGCTGTATCATCTTAAGCATGCGTCATTAATATCTCAAGTGATGACATTTCTGATCTTATGCACATTGTTATAAATCATATAAAAAGCTTTGTCTCCTTTTGTTCAATCTGAAGGGACTCGAAATTAAACAGTGGTACAGGTGCAATCGCCGCTGCCTTGTCTTCATTTCTCCACAGATTATGTTACTATTCTATTTAATTTTTCCTGCAATACCTTCTCTTCAGCCAGCTGCAGAAGCTGTTTCTTGGCTTTTTCCACTTCACCCACTGGTCCCCGGATGGTGACCTTATCTGAGCCAGAGCTCTCGGAAGGAAAATGAATGTGAACACCACCGCAGTCTTCCATGATGGAGCGGACCAGGCAGCCTTTGGAGCCGATAAGAGAGTTGTGCAACCTGGCTGGGATAGTGACCTCTGCCTCCTTAATGTTGGCCTGATTAAGAAAAAAAACTAGTTAGGGAAGTGTTTGGACAGTTCTAAAACGTGTTTAAATATAGCTCAGCTCACAAGCTCCCTTTGAATTGCCAAGATTCGATCCCTGGCAGCTTCACAGTTGCTTTTCTTCCCTGTGATAACAATCATCTCCGAGTTACTATTTTCTGTTGGAAGGTCAATCTTAGTGTTGGTCTCCTCACGAATCTGCCAGCAAGAAAGAGCATATTTGAAAGAATGTGATTTTTCAAACGGTACCTCTAATACATGTGAGCATAGGTTACCTTTTTGATGTTGGCTCCACCTTTACCAATGATATTTTTATGAAACTGCTTGAAGATGGGAACAGAGAGGGAGAAGCTGTTTTCGATCTACAAAGACGCATAGAGTTGACAGTTACCGTGCTGCTCGGATCAAGTGTCACATGATTCAAAAGGAGCAGGGTCATACCAAGTCTGCAATGACTTTCTGGAGAAACTTAGCACATTTCTCCACCTCATTCTTTGGTCCTCTCAACTGGACAATGTCACTCTTCTGTGCTGGGTCCGGAAAGTTAATTATGACCTAAAACATTTGGGAAAAGTTATATATAAAGTCCTGTTCCATGTGTCAAAAACTGTATTTGACGAACCGTACCTCAGGGAACTTGTCTCGAACCTCTTTGATCTTTTCCCCTTTCTGGCCAATAATTGTTCTATGGTATTTTTGTTCAACAATCAAGTCTTTGGTTCTTTCATTTTCCTTCAAATTGGAATAAAACACAATTTAAAGAAAAGGCTTTGTGATGTGCTGTGCATCTCTTTAGCGATCTTACCATCCTTTGAACCATCTCGATGAGTTCTCTCCGAGCCAGCTGCACTCCTTTGGGGTCTCCTTCAATCCGAACCAGACCACTTCGCTCCGAGTCCTGGGGGATCCTGACTGATACTTTGTACTGCTCTTTGATCCGATTAACTAAAAGGAAATTTAAAATGATCATAGGACTGAATGAAGTCATAATTCAAAATCTGCATGGTTAGATAATTATTTTTTTAGAACAAATTGCTCTCTCTGTAGCTCCAGGGTATAAATCTATAATAATACACATTAGAAATCTCTTCATTATCACACAGAAAGTCTACTCACTGTTTACTCCATTCTTTCCAATAAGATGTCTGTGAAAACGCTGATCAATGAAGACTTCTGTGTAGTCCATTCTCACCAGCTAAAAGTAAAACTTTGTAAACAAGAGAAGATGGAAACAGCGTGTGAGAAGTACTGACCAGGTCTTTGATGATCTCTTGTATTTGAGCCTGGGCCTGCTCCACCTCCTCTGTGGGTCCTTCCAAGCTGATGCGCTCTTCCCCGTCTGTAAACTCAATATGCACCTACACACACACATAAATTAGCCGTTATTGTAAGAGACTGGAAAGGAAAAACAAGTGTTTTGTTCATTCATTATTTCATATTTGTAAAATTCCTCCAAATCCTGTAGTTACTTATACATCAAAGCACTTGTTGTAAATTTCTTCATTGTGAGATCAATAGAGTTGTATCTTTTCTTATCCGTTTTGCTTGATGGATCCAAGTCTATTATCTTCTTACCCGTGGAAGCTGCTGCGTGATACGGCCGATGTTCTGCCCTTTTTTCCCAATGATGAAGCGATGAAGCCAGGCTGGCGCAGTCACCTCAACGACCATCACGCTCTTAGCCTGCACAGAAAGGTTCGATAACCCTCCTCTTCAGGTAGATTTTTTTTCTGTGAGTGAGTTACACTGTATTGTCACAACTACATTTTATGCTGCACAAATACAATAAAAAGGCAGACACCATGTTATTTCTCCATCCAAAAAAAGCATTACATTTATGACAATAATATGTATGCCAGACCAGAGATGTATTGTCATCAATAAGTAAAAAAAAAAATGACATGATTAAAGTTGGGGTACCTCACTTTCAAACACCAGAAAATGAATTATGTAATAAAATCTGTCAAATTCGTTCCTTGTTCTCAAAACAGCTGCTTCTATCACAAGTTTTGCTAAAGCACATATGTTGGCTTCTGTCTTTGGATCGTTCACTAAATCAGCCCATCAGAGTTCAGCCCAAAAGCATCAAATAGAGAGTCACAGGGCTATGCTTTATCAGTATGCAAGACAACATGGACTGTGCAACTTTGTTCATTGTAATTTGCTCAGAACAGTTTTAATTTAACAAGACTCTTTCTCTTTGGGAAAACACTTTGTACAATTTAGGGAAAGCAAAACTCACTGCTTTAAGTGACCTGGAGTGGATTTGCTTCAGGTTTTGTTATTATGAACAAAGTAGACTATTATGATCATGACAGCTTATCTATGATTCTTCATTCAACAAGAAACCAGCGTCACCAAGAAGTTCATCTAATAGATTTTATAAATAATGAAATACAATGTTAATTTGAGCCCTACCTTTGCGTAAACTTGAGTCAAAGCAGGGCCTAACTTATCAGGCTCCCCTCTCAAGATGATCGTCTCGGAGGCAGAATCCAGCGGCGGCATCTCCACAGACACCCCTGTAGCCTCCAGGATCTCCTGCAGAGTGTTTCCCTTTGGTCCAATTATGTACTTGTGCTGCGACTTCTTCACTTCCACGGAGATTGTCGTGGTCTTCCTCTTCTGTGGGGCCGAGAATTAGATTACTGGTGATTTAAACAACATCCGCATTGGGGGAAACAGGAAGTCATCAGCGTCATGATTGAAGAGCTCATTAAGGGATGGTTGCAAATATAACAGGAGGCGGTAAATGTGAGGAATGGTAGGAAACAGACAACACTGCAGAGATAAGGTCAGGTTTATAAGAGGAAAACCAGACAAACAAATGAGCCATGTCTGAAGGAAGCCATAAAGCAAGACGACAAGACAACAGGAAAAAAGTGTGGAAATATGTGACCAAGTATACAACGCCGTGAATAAAATTAGCTTTCATCCTGTTCCCAAAACATAGCCAATATCCTGTCTCTACTATTTTGTTCAAATGACTAATTGAAGTTTTCTGCCTGCCACAATTGTGTATGCCCAGACTATGATGTTATATTGTCATTGTGAATGCACCTTGTCTTCATAGATGGCCCGGATTCGGTTGAGCGCCAGAGCCACAGCTTCCTTCTCTCCCGTGATGACGATCTCGTCTTTGGGCAGACTCGGTGGAGGCACACTGATGCGGGCCCCTGTCTCCTGGCTCAGCTCCTGCACCAGACGGTTATGAGCTCCCGCGATGAATGGGTGGAAGGCTTTTTCCAGGGATAAACGCTCAACAGCTCGCTTGTCCTGGCGATATGAGAGCAAATATACATTTAAAAATATGAAAACTTTAATATTCAGTATTTCTTCAAGAACCTGTTCAGCAGAAATGAGAAGAATCTCATGCCGAGCCTTCTCGATTCCCTCCTTGGTGCCGGTGATGCGAATGTTGGCACTGGGATCATCAGGGCGAGGTATTGCAATCTTAGTAGCAGTCTTCAGTTCCAGCTCTTGAAGCTTCTCGCCATTTTTACCAATAACAAAACGATGGTGCTCCTTGGGGATGGCTACTGTGGCTGAGGCCTGAACATTGACAAAAAATGTATAATTGCTACTCATATCTGTACTACAATTTTAAATAAGCAAGTTAGAAATCATAACACATTATTTAAACATACTTGTGTCTGCAGACGTGCAACTATTTCTTTTCGAGCTTTCATAACAAAATCCAGTTTTCCAGTAACCATGATTGACAGGCCTTGGTCTTTAGCCAGGGACAGTTCAATGTGAGCTCCAGTACGTTGCATGATGTCTAAGCAAACCTTGGCCTCCTCCCCCTCCCCAAACTGGCTGTTGTCCTTGTATCGACGCTCCTCCAGGGGGACATGAAAGACCTTCACACAGATCAAAAGAAGGTTCATACACTGTGTCAGTACACATCTTTTCTTATTTGACCACCAAAAATGCTTACAAATAATAGAGGAAATTATGTCACATGGATTGACACAACCACAACTCATTCTCAACCTTTTATTACATAAAATAGAGAAATGAGTCTGAGTATGTCCGTATTCAGTCCAGCTGGATCTGCCCCTTCACTGCGCACACAGCACTTTTCCCCCTTTCTAGCAAAAACATATTTGAGTATCACGGTTCGTTAGAGAAAATCAGCTCCGTAAAAACAAGCAGTGGCTTGGTGGCTGTAATCAGGGTATTTGGGAGAGTGCAATGGTATTGCAGGACAAAAACATTGTACATATATAAATAAAATATGCATGAATTGCTTTATAAGCAACATTGAGTGTTATGACAAGGTCAAGCAATCATAACAAGATCAACATTTGTGGAAACTTAACTTAGAGTCACCTTGAGGATTGTCAAAAAAAAGTATGGATTGTTTTCCCAGCATATGCAACAAATACATGGCTCAGGTGAGTGAGACGCACGCTAATAGCGAAGAAAAAAAAAGCAATATATTTGTGTCTCCCAACTTTTTTTGTTTTTGAGTTGAATTTGAGAATTGTGTTTACTTTTTAATCTGGTGAAACTGTCCACATTAAACCAGTATAAAATACTCTATATAATAATAGATCGTAGTATTTTTTCAAGTATCTCAATCTAGTTTGAAATTTTAGTATTGTGTCCCCTTTAAAATGTGCAATTGAAGCATATACCTGCGTGATAACAGAGGCTTTGATGGGTCTGATCCTGCTGCCCCATGCTGATGGCTGCTCCCCAGTCTTTTCCCCTGGTGTGCCCTTCTCTGGGAGAGGAGGGAAGGCTTCCAGATAGGTGGGGATATAGGCTTCATCCTCTGGGACACAGCCTGTTCCAGAGAGATGCATACAAAGGACAATATATTGACAACATGCAAGGGAGGAAAAACACTGCAGACTCAATGGTAGTTATGCACAAATAAAAAAATGACACACCTGTGATCTCCTGGTCTTTGAGGCCGCTGCGGTGCTCTGCAAAGCTCTCAGGTGTCAACACTGCCACTGAGCTCATGGTTTAAGACTTGTTCCGCTGAGACAAGCAATGACATAGATGTAACTGTCAAAAAGGTTTTGCTTTTTTATGCATCCAACAAATGGACTCATATTTCTATAACATTGCAAAACTGTCCAATATGATACTCCATATTACAGCTATATCTACTTTTTAAGGAATTTTTAAAAATGAGAAGAATATAACTCCTGCAGAAAACCAGCATAAAAACCCTGACAAAAATAGGTATGCCTTTAACTACAATTATGATTGAATGAATGTTTTATTTGGACATTTGAAATGAGAAAAACAAAACAAAAGCAATGTAATTAAACATTGATTAAGTGAAATAAATAAACAATCGATGTCCAAAATAGGAGTGGGAAGAACTTAAAAAGACTTGGTAAGAAAAAAAACTTGTGTAATCCGACCCCTACTTACAACTCTGATTTTACAAAATAAATAATATCTTCCTTTACTATATGCAACCATAAGCTATAAGTTATAAGTTGCGCATTCATTTCACAGACTGTGAAAACAACTGAACGTTTTAAATATACAGCCAAGCCTACCTGTAAAGGTCAGTTGCCAGAGAGTCCGTCCAGGTAACGTTTACCGTAAGCGCTTCAGTCTGATTTTGTTTTTCAGTTCTAGGAGCACAGTATGAAATACACAAAGCTATTAATATCCAATTTACACTGCACCTTGATTACTCACCATCCCACTACTCATGTATACCCATCCTTCACAGTAAAATTAATAACTAAACAACAGCTCATTCTCAATGACAACACAAAGGGCCATCATACCAGAGGGCAATCCTTCCACTGTTCTATTAACATATTATAATAAAATATAGATTAATTAAATACACAGGACATATAGGTTTTAGACCTGAACATTAGATATCGTTTGTGAACCATATGATCCAGGTTAGTATTAGTAATACCACATTTGAACCAGTGTAACTCATAAGATTATGCTTCTTTATACTCCCTTTAGAACATCTATTTATACTTTTAATCACGTTAGTGCAGTGAACTAACAAAATGGATTGTATTGTATTGTATTGTTGTAAACAATTCAAAAGAATCAACTATATTATGAATAATAGAACATAAATATACAATAATTTGAACTTATGGAATATGAAACATAAAGCCATTTGACAACATCCTTTTAATTTGCAGAAACATCATTGAACCGTCTGTAGGCTTCATCAGGATGTAGGCTTTGTGCACTGCTCTAGCGGTTTATCATCCTTGCTACTTGCTCGAAAATGAAATGCATGGCTGGTCGGGTTAGCCATGGGGCTAAATTCACCTCTGATGGCGTTTTTCATGTAAATTTGCGAGTGCATTGGCCATAAACCGGTGTGCTAAGCTAACACATGTAGCACCGTGCCGACCTCCGCCTGGGATGATTAGGCACAAGGACTTTCTGATAATCGGCTAAAAAACAAGCCAGGCGGAAAGATAACCAGCCTCAGCTCGTTAGCAAAGGATGCTAGCAGTTTATTACTAGAATTGAATAACCAGCATGTCATCTTTGCACAATAATTTAGTACTTAAATTACTACGGCAATACATGGACAGTGGCGGAAAAATATAATTACAATATCCTTACCGTACAGAGAGAAATGCAGGCGAGGGTGTGCGTTTGACAGGTGATGGTGTAAACACAGATGTGATTGGTTCAGCAGCATTTCCTCGACTGGCGGAAGGACACAAGCGTGCGCCGGCTGCGACCCACAAGGATAAAGGAAATACCGCAGTATCTTTACGCGGCACGAGCATCCACGTTAAATAGTGCCATAAAACCTTTAGGGTAGCGCAGTCCAGTCCGTCTAAAAACATCAGCATGCCAACTGAATGTGCTTTTGACAAACCTATTGAAACATCCTTATATATGTGCTTCTTCTGTTCAACATTTCATTTATAATTATGCAGTATCTCACGTTGGTCGGATCTACTTCTCATTCATGATCCCTGTTGTGAGTATGTTAGAAAACACTACTAGTTTTAGAAAAAAATATTAAAAATAAAATAGTATCTGCACGTGAACCAGATTTTTTTGGTTTAAAACATTATCCTGCAACACTGCACAATGAATATCGTGTTTTGCCTTTGCCAAAGCAGAGCACTAGGTGGAGGTAGGCAATAGTAATAGGACATTAGTTATTACTGTTTAAAAAATAATGACGGGATTTTTGAGCTCATACCATCACCTGTAGATCTGCTTGGACTGACTACATACATATATATTGTATTGTGTTTTCTCTTATGTATTTCTATTCTTTTAAATTATGGGCAGACTGAATTTGAGAATGAAATAGAGATTCATAATTATATAATAATAATAATAATTATTATTATTATTATTATTATTATTGTTGTTGTATTTATAAATATATATGGATAGATATAGACATCAAATAACTGAAGATATAAATGATAAATAATAATATTAAATAAGAATACTATTTAATCCTTCAAAATAAAATGCATATCCGTTGTCATTTTTTTTTTGTATCTTGTATTAGTTTTGTTTTTTGCAATTTTGTATTGTTTTTTGCAATTTTGTATTGCTTCTCATATTTTGTATTTATTATCGTTTTTTTTTTTTCCTTGTTTTTTCGAATGAGAATAGAAGTACAGAGTGTACAAAGTTTATTTTTTTATGCATTATGAAATGACATGGCATTTGGATTGACAACAAAGTTCGAAATAAAAAGATTGATTGATTGATTGATTGATTGATTGATATCCGGTCGCATCTTTCAAAGAGATGGCGTTTTAGCACATAACACTTGTATAGTTTTGTTTGTATACAGTTATGAGTAAATTCAAGCAATAACCGGTGATTTCCAGTGCTATTATTGAATGTATGACATGGGTGAGTTCTGTGCTGACTTTTATTTTGAAGTACTTCTTGTGTGTCGCTGGTGCGTTGTTGGAGCCGGAGACGCACAGAATCCACTGTCTGCTGCCCATACCCCACACACGCTGTTGCGGTAACAAAGAAGACGAAAGGGGGATGATGGGCTTCCACACGAGTGCTCTGTCAAAACAGCGTTAGCACACGGGACTAATGGCTATTTTTCGCTGATAAAATTGAGCCAATTTCCCGTATTTATGACAGCTGTCTTTCACCTTCCCGTGACTGAAGTTAGAAGTTACCAGGAGGAGCTGTACTTGATCTTTCTTCTGTGATTGGAATACACTGTTTTCTCACAGCGAACAATGGTTCTCTGCTAAATCACACCACAGATCACATATTTGGAGACATCTGGACAACATTGGTAAGTATTTCTTTGTGGAGAAGTATAATGGTATGTGTGTGTGAATGGGTTGGACCTCTGGCACCTGTTCCCATGAAGGAAGTAGCCTGCAGTTTTACATACTGTACAGCGGACACAATTCAATCTGAAATCGAAAAGTGATTCACTTTCGAATAACCTATGAACTCAGCAACTCAAAATAACACTTATCTTCTAAACTATCCTTAACATCTTGGTGAAGCTAAGAAGGAATTATCATTGTGAAATCCATAATTAACTTTTCCTTTCAGTGTTTTCTATGAGTATAAGAGTAACAATCATAGACTGTAAATAGTAACAACGCAAGATCGGCTATTATTGTTGTTAATAGAAATTGATAATGTTATTCTTTTTATACTTAAATTCAATATTGAGATAAGATGGTACTATAAATGGGAAAAATCTGTGAGTCTCAAACACCATTATGGCAATTGAATTCCATGTTAATTGTTCCTTGCACATTCATTGAATACCTGAAGCATACCGTTTATCTCCCACACCCTGGTAATCTATGCTAGACTGATCAAATGTCATCTACTATGTATTGTAAATAGCCCAACTGCACTGTCATACTTTGCATCCAGATTTTCCTGTATATGTGTTTTCCAGTACTCTTCCTGGCCAACGTGAAGCTTCCACTCTGATCACATGGCTAGGATACTAGCCATCCCCTGTGCAAGACACCATTAGGTTCTGGGAGTAAATACAGGCATGCAAACCATTTCTTACAATATGGGATAACACAGGGACGGCCTACTGACCTAAGCTGACGTGAAATCCTTCAGACTGGACAATCACAGCTTTTGAACCATTATATTAACCAGGTCAATACAGGCTAAGGAGACAAAAGAGGAGGGGTGCAGTCAAGAATCAGGGGGGAAATGCTGTGTATTTTGTTTAGAATAGCCCAGAGACACAATAGCCATGTTTTCTGTCAATGCTTTTGCAGTGAACACACCCACGTCTGAGTGGTTTTCATTTTCCCAGTGGACAATGAGCATGGCCTGGAGTTATCCCTGTGTATTGTATATACCTGCGCTGTCAAAGTCACACTGAAAACAAAGTATTTTAGTGTAATTTGTATCATTTAGCTCATTTTCATATTGCACAATCTTCTTAAAACTAATTATTATGTATCAGATAGGGACTGCAGCAAGACCTGTAGCAGTTTATTGAATCCCAAACTGTCGGAGCAGTGCAGTAGTCTCTCAAACTGGTCTGACAGGCTTGTATGCTTTCTTTGGTAACAAACAGCTACTGCCTGCCTGGGATATTGACTTTTGAGAACTGTGCTTAGAGAGACGTCACATATCCTTCCATGGCTGTGCTCTATTTGCCTTTGTTCACCTGCCTGTGTTACTAAACAGTTAGTACATTCTTTCAAAGATCTCTTGATGTTATCACGGCTTCATATGCTATTGCTGTCCTCCAAAATGAAACAAGAGCACATCAAATCTTGTGTCTGATCTTTTGGACCTCCCTTTTATTAAAGAAATACAGAATTTTACCATGAAGTTTATGAATGTTTTATGAATGTTATGTATTCTAGTGTTCTGAGAATGTCATAATTGCTGAGATGATGTAATGACACTGCAGTTTTGCTACATGACATTACAGTTTATTTACCACCAAATCAATTCAGCTGTTTACAAGAACTAATGCCAGAATTGGTTTCTCGGATACACATAGAGTAGACAATATTTCATGCCACCACTCGCTCTGGGAACTGAGATTGTGTGACTCATCCATGACTAACCCACTGTTAGTTTGGCATTACCTCAGCTGTCACACACTTTCGAAAAAAAGGAAAAAATCTTTGTTTGGTAATTTAATTAACAGCAGCAGGATTTCACTTCCACTGTGCATCTATAAATACCACCTTTTGAAGATGGAGCCTTCACTTGTCTCACATTAGTAATTGATGGAATCAGGGCACGCTTAAGGGAAACTATTTGAAGAGGAAATCATTGAATGTGTCTTGGCGGATTACATTTCATCGTCAGTTTGGTGTCTGCTGTGTTATTATGTTTCATGAAACCTGAATTGTAATGAGTCTTTTCTTTGAGCAAACACTAATATACTGCTGCTGCTGATATATACTGCGGCTGTCTGTTTCCTAATTAAATATAAAAAAGCACGTTGTATACTGTTGTTTCATAGAGGAGCAGAATAGAAAGAAGTATGAAAGAAATTCCATGTAATAGTTACAGGAAAATAATACATAATATTGAGCGCTAGACTAGAGCCTCTGCTCATATTTTTATGGTATTAGATAAGATTACGCAAATTCTCTTGCTTAGCTGGGCAAAGTTCACTTTCTTCTATGGACCTACAATATTCAGCTTGTGGTCTGAGCTGATGATTAATCTTACTATGGATTCCATTATTGTTTTTTTTCCCATGTGATAAAAAAAATTGGTTTCACTTTTGGTACAATTCTATTAATGTATACTCAATATCAATATTAAGAATTTAATTTTCAACACAAAACTCTACATTTCATGTTTATTATTGTTGGTTAAGACCTTTTTAAAGTATATTTTAGTTTCATACTCTATTAGCTCACAGTACCACGCTACTTTCAATATCTTGGATTTGTAATTGTTTTTGCAGATGAGAGCAACATGCCCAAAGTGACTTAGGGCTCCAGAGCCTGGCCCCTGCGGTCAGTGCATTGAGTGAAAACATACCTGGACTCAACATGTCCACACAGGACACGCCCCCCTCAGCTCGCCCAGAGATCCCCCCAAAGCCTCTGGCCCCACACTCCCCTCCTCTGGGGGAGAGAGGCAGCCCTGCCAGGCGCTCTGGAGGCATGGTGCAGAGTATAGTGACCAAATTCAGCAAAAAGGAGCCAGACCCCACTGTAGCGAGCAACAAAAACACCAATGGCACCAGCGAGCCGATATACAGAAAGATTTCAAGACCTCCATCTGTAAAACCAAAACCTGGACGCCTGAGTTTGCCTCTACTGCCCCCTCCACTGCCCAAGAAGAGAAGCCAATTTCTAAGAAAACAAGAAAGCGTAGGAGGTAATGAGTCAGGTAAAGTATATCTTCCTATTTACTTATTGTAATACTTCAAACATTCTCTGAGACTGTGTTCCACCTTTGGGTATAAAGTTATTTATTGTTCATTTATTTGATCACAAGGTTTTTTAGTTTAAAAGTAATACTATCTCAATGTGGCGTTTCCACGAGGAATAGAATGGAACGTTTAGGACAATCCAAAGAATTGGACCATTACTCGCATGTTTAATCCCATTATTGGAATATGATGCTATAAAACTTGACTAAAGGGTGGAGCGTGTTGAAACTAATATAACGTTTAGGGACTGGTTTTGTAGAAATGACTTGTGCAGGCAGCTACATGTCACTAATACAAGCACATTCAGACCAGGCTCAGGCTGGGAGAGCACCATGAATGTGTAATTGGGTATTATCATGTACTGACACATAGGAGTATGAAAACAATTACTTTATTTGTGGTATTTTAGTCCACTAGAATCGTCTTTCTTTCTTTTTTTAAATATGGTTTTTCATTATAATAACCCATATGACATTATTTAGGCAAGGCAAGTTTATTTGTATAGCAAGATTCATACACAAGGTACCTCAAATTGCTGAACAAAATAAGATTAAAATCAAAAGAGCATTAAAATAATAAATAATCACAGTACATTAAATAGAAAGATAAAAATATGAAATCCCTCAGTTGTATGCACAGCTAAACAGAACTGTTTATAACCTGGTTTTAAACATTGCCAGAGAAGAGGCCTGTCTCACATCTTCAGGAAGATTGTTCCAGATTTTAGCAGCATGAATCTGAAAAGCAGCCTCCCCATGTTTAGTCCTGACTCTGGGCACTAACAGGAGTCCAGTCCCTGTGCTCCTCAGAGTCCGGGCTGGTTCATATGGTACTAACATCACTAATATATTTTGGTGCGAGGCCATGGAGAGACTTGTACACAAGCAGAGCTGTTTTAAAGTCTATTCTCTGAGCCACAGGAAGCCAGTGCAGAGACCTGAGGACTGGACTAATGTGGTCGTACTTCCTGGTTCTAGTCAGGACTCGAGCTGCTGCATTTTGAAAGTACTGCAGCTGTTTTACAGCCTGTTTGGACAGACCTGTGAGCAGGCCATTGCAGTAGTCTAACCTACTGGAGACAAATGCATGGATAAGAATCTCCAAGTCTGCTTTAGACACTATGTTTTTGATCCTGGCAATGTTTTTTAGATGGTAAAAAGCTGCTGATGTTACTGATTTGATGTGGCTATGAAAATTTAAGTCTGAGTCCAGTATTACCCCGAGATTTCTGTCTGTTTGAAGGTTTTAGGGAGAGAGACTGTAGGTAACAGATGATGCTCTCTCTTTGTTTCTGGGGACCAAAGACAATCATATAAACGCTCATAAACACATACTGTACATACATATTAACAGTTGAAACAAAACAAAAAAAGTTAATCAATGCAAGAGTCCATATTGGCAGACCTATATTTTTAGCACCTCTATTGCTCAACTGAGTAACTAGTCTCAATATTAGCTATATTAATGATTTGATGATCAGATGTAAGATACCTACAATATTTGGGTGGGGATGGAAAAAGCCTTATCAAAAGTCAATATTAGCATAAAGGTATGTTTGTCTCGTTCTGGTCTAATTACAGTTTCCTTGTTCATTAATTTCCATTCCTCTATTTTCTGTATGGTTCCGTTAAACCCCCACCTCCTTGTTTGTCTTGCAAAACATTCCATAAATATTTGACCATAGTCTTTAATGCATTGTGGCGCTGTATTTGTGTGGTGATGATGTGCTGACTCGGCAGTCCAGTTTGTCCAGTTCAGAGACAGGGCTTTTAGTGCAGTGGGCAGTCAAAGGCCTGACTCGCCATAGCCTTGAGCCAATGTATTTGAAGTGCTTGCCCGTAATCTCCCTACTCTTACACAAAGTTTGCCTCAGGTGTTGTTTTTAACGCTTGTTTTTAATGCATTTGTATGTGTGATGTAGAGCCGGGTGGTAAAGAAGGAGGAGGAGATGTATATTCAGAGCTCAGTCCCTGCTGTGACCCACACTGCGCCTGTGTGTGTCACATGCAGCGGCCTGGCATGATGCTCACCTGGGTCCCTGTGAAGAAGGAAGAGTACCGTGACGATGAGGTGGATGAATTACTTTTCATGCATGACCAGTTTCAGCACAATCTGAATGTACTGCTTAGCGAGGGTCACAGGAGGCGCTCCGACCCAGGGCCTCACGCCATTATGAGCGCTTTAGCAGAAATTCGCACCGAGTCTCTTCCGATTCCACCCAAACATACACATTCTCCTTCCATCGTCCTATCAAAACCTGAACCTGAAGAGGAGAGCATCTATGAGGTGAAACTTCCTGTGGTAGACCCCACTCAGAAGAGCACGGCTGAATGCAAAGAACTAGACATCCCTTTGATCACAGTCAGAACCTCAGGCCGGCACGGTGGCTGAGTGGATAGCACTCTCGCCTCTCAGCAAGAAGGTCCTGGGTTCGAATCCCGGTCGGACCAGGGCCTTTCTGAGTGGAGTTTGCATGTTCTCCCCGTGTCTGCGTAGGTTTCTTCCGGGTACTCCGGTTTCCCCTACCACTAAAAATATGTCCAATAGTTCTGGCATGCGCCTCCTGTACTGGCCACCCCGCTCCCATCTCTGTGTGGAGTGAGAGACAAATGCCCATAATTAACAATTGTAAACCGCTTTGAGACTCAGATCTGCAGTGAAAAGGCGGTATATAAATATAAACTTACTTACTAACTTACTTACCCTACGTACAAATTTCAGAATGATTTTGCTCCGCATCTGGAGCCTCCCACCGTCCCGCCTCGTCCGCCCATTCCCCCCCGCACACAAATCAAGACGTCATCACACCCATCCAGAGGCACGAGTCCCCAAAGAATCACCACTCCCCCCAAAAGCCCCTCTCTGCCCGACAGAGAGCAGTCTTTGAGACTAAAAGAAGGTAAACCATCAAAGCTATAATCTAAAGCTAAATACAGTGTGTTTATCTTGAAGCCATCCTCCTCTCTCCATTTGCAGTAGTTATTTATTACTGATGATTTTCTTTTTCAGAACCTTTATATCAGACGTACCGTGACAGTGTCATCACTAAAGAGATCAAGCGTCAAACGGTCTGTCGGAACATCAGCAAAGCTAGTGTAGACTTCACCATGGAAAGAGGTCTGCCGGGAACTGCATCCAAAAACAGGTCCAGTCCGGTGCCCACAGCGGCCCAGAGCACTCTGTGGCAGGACCTCCAGGCAGTACGGGACAGCGGGGAGCTGGAGAAACTCAGCCCTGAACAGTGCAAATACCAGGAGGTGAGGAAACATACAAGGATCTTACTGAGTTCTGCCCCTCAGAAGCCTCCAGTGGAGAGCCATGGGGTAGATTTTTTATTTTTTATTTTATGGTTTTAGTATGAGCTAGAGATGTATGTTTTATATTATACCATATATCGTTCAATGTTAAAATCAGAGCATTGTAATCGATCCTAAAATCAGTGTGATCAGTATTTGATGTCAGTCCATCTTATTATAAGAATGTATGTATGTCTGAAATATAATGAATTAGTACTAGTTTTTATATGACGCTTTTTAGACACTCAAAGATTCTTCACATGGCATTATTCACACAGAGGTGATCAGCTTCTAGTGTAGTCCCAGCTGCCCTAGGGCAGATTGACAGATGCAAGGCAAACCAGTATGTGCCATGTGCTCTGACCAACACTAATCATGCACATGCCAGATTCATACTAGGCAATGTGAGTGAAGTGTATTGCTTAAGGACACAACAGTTTGGCCCACTGTGGTACCTGGTGTTCCCAGCCACAGTACTAACCAGGACCTGCCCTGCTTAGCATCAGAGGTCTGACAAGACCTGGCTTTCAAGGACAATTGTTTTTATTCTTCTCTTGGTACACAATTTTGTTTGCAACACTTCTGGAAAGGACCATGTCTCTAATTGTGGTTATCTGAAGTCCCAGAAAAGAGATTAGCATTAGAAATAAATATATTTCTAAATCTTTGTGCCACGAGTTCCTTTGGAGCACATTTAGTCTGTGAGTCTACAAGACGCGTCAGGCTTAGGTGTGGCCAAAGAACTTTAACTGATCATTTTAATTGAAGCTCAGCTAAACACATAGAGAAGGCAGGTAGGACTAACAAAGGCAATCGTTTATAAATAGGTCTTGGTGATCAGAAACATTTAAGTTTGCTTAATAAAAAAATAGTATTGATTCTGGGAGGGAGGGATCAGAGAGTACTTGAGCCAAACATTCTGTGTTTGTCTGCTAGAGCATGTTTGAAGTCCTGACATCGGAATCATCCTATCTTCGGTCACTGCGTGTATTGACTGAACACTTTATGGAAAACCGAGACTTGGAGGAAACACTAATTATAAGGGATAGGAAGGTTCTTTTTTCCAACATTCTCCGGATTCGAGAGGTCAGCGAGAGGTGAGAAAAGCAATTTGTTTAGCTATTATAACAAGAGCTAAACATCCACTTGACTTTAGCTTTCTTTGTTTTCTGGACAGGTTCCTGACAGACCTGGAAGATCGCATATTTGAGAAAATTGTCTTTTCAGATATTTGTGACATCATTCACTACCACACACAGCACAACTTCCCTGCCTATGTTGACTATGTTCGCAACCAGATTTTCCAAGAGCAGACCTACACCAATCTGATGTAAACCTTTACCACAGTTAAAATAATATAGTACAGTTGAAATAGTATGATGGAAATAAAATGTTTGCTTATTCACAGAAAGAACAATGTCCAGTTCACTGCGGTTATTACCCGTCTTCAGGAGTCCCCTCAGTGCCAGCGTCTTCCCTTCATGTCCTTCATGTTGCTGCCATTTCAGAGGATCACGCGACTCAAAATGCTCATTGAAGTAAGCAGTGTCACTTCACCAGACTTTCTAATTTACACTACTGACACAAAGAGTCAGGGCTGTTTGGTTTGAGGGTGAAATATATGAAAAATATCTCAAACATTTAGTTATTGTAAACCCAGTAGTGGGTGTACAACAACCGAAAATGACCATGTCTCCTATACTTGTCATGTGACCTCGAGAATCAATTACAGCGTGACAACGACGTCTGTTCATTTATTGTCTGCTGAGGCAGGTTATCCCTCTGTTCTTGACTTGTGCTTTTCGGGTCACTGAGGTTCTGTGGTACAGGATTACGGGGACTTCTCCAATAGCTTTTTTTAGGATTCGGATCTAGAGAAATTGCAGGCCACTTAGAGATTAAAGATGAAATTAGGCCTGTGTTGTCCATGGAGGTGCACTATGACTGCATGAGTGATGCTGTTTGGGTAGGATGGACTTCTCACTGTGTCCTGCAGGGTATTGTTTATGAAGCTGTTATAAGTGTGGGCTGTGCCCAGAGGGCATCCACTTCTAGGCCTTTCTCCAGTCTTTCAATGATGCTGTCAGCTCAAGGACCACTTTAATATGAGAACTTCCTCTTTGAAGCCTCACAGTGGCTGTTGCAGATAATCAATTGTTGGTTGTCGTTTTGGTCTGACAATCCTCCCAGCATGATCAGGAGGACTGTAGAATGATCAACTCTAAATGAAACATCGAAAATTCATTGGTCCAATTTTATCTTAGTCTATCTGTGGCCTGTATTTTTGGATTCTATAATGGTTGATTTGGTTGGCTGTTTCAGAATATCCTAAGAAGAACAAAGGAGAAAACAATAGAGGAGGAGACTGCCTCCAAAGCTTTGTCTTCTGTGTCGAAGGTAAACCCCTCTGCTGTCCCAGTTTCTCCTAAACTGTTCAATATTATGTTATTTTTCAATGATAGATCATTGACAAGTGCAACACAGAAGTTGGTAAAATGAAACAAACAGAGCAGCTGATACATATCTCAAAGACTCTGGAGTTCGAGAAGCTAAAGGTGAAATGAGTCTTTAACGTTAAGTTGGATTCACTTCGACACTTCTGTGCTGAATAAGTGTAATGTGCAGGCTGTCCCCATCATCTCCCCCACACGCTGTCTGGAGAAGAAAGGTGAGCTCCAGGAAATGTCCCGAGGAGCAACTATTTTCAACATGCGGGCCAAGTTCACTCCTGTCTACCTGTTCCTTTTCAATGACCTCCTCCTGATTACAGTCAAAAAAAGGTGAACTACATGGCCTCAGTAAAAAATCTTCCTCGTAGTATTTTAAAAACAGAAGATGGATTAAAATGTGTGTTTTTCAGTTCGAAGCGCTCTGTGGTGACGGACTACGCCCATCGCTCCTTGGTTCAGGTGCAGGCCTTGGATGAGGGCAGTTCCACCAGTGCCATCTATGAGAACTGCTTCAATCTCTTACTACTGGAAAATAACCAGAAACGTCAGATGGAGCGGCTGCTGAAAGCTCCAACACGGTGAATACCAAATTTCACAGTTAAAAAAAACAACTGGATAAAAGAAACTGACCTAAGAGTAGTTGTTCTGTTCAGATTTGTCTATCAATTATTATCTTATTGTAGTTTAACTGATGCCTATCTGCTGTATTTATATTTTAGCCAAATATGATCTTGATGGAGCTAATGAGCTAATGCCACTGTTTATCCATGTTGTTGTGTAGGAGTGTGACAATATATCGATATGGTGATGTATCGTGATACTTTCTCACGCAAACGATTGATTGATATGCTTTTGCCATGTATCGATTTATTTTTTATTTTTTTCAACATTATTATTATTTTTTAAGCTTTATTTGAAAAGAAAATGAGTAGGCATACACATTCTACAATTTCTGTAGAATGTTCATATTGATTTCATTGGATGTAAGATAGATTAAGTAAGATTTTAACTATAATGCGCACGTTAAAAGGCCTTTTTGCTTGTTCACGTTAATGTGACACTTGACACTTTATCCATTTATCTAAAAATAAAGTGTATTTTTTCACTTAATGTATGCCATGAATATATGAAAAATATTATCGTAGGTATATTTTTCACCAATATATCGATAATCGCTGCATCGTCATAACGTGAGCTTTGTATTGCACATCGTATCGTATCGTGAGGCACCCTGAGGTTCCCACCCCTATTGTTGTCTCATTATAGACAACTTAGCTCCATTTTTAGCACTTCTTTAAAAGGACTGTATTTAATATTTTTATTTGATAACATATAATATGAATCTTATATATGTGTTCCCAGATGATAGATCAACATGGACAATCATATTTGACCTTTTCTGAACAAAAGTGTAAAGTGGATTTATTCTTAATTAAAGTTATATAGGAGGATTTTCTAATTCCAGGTGGATCATCAAGTCTATTGGTCCTCCTAATTACCAATCATTCTTGTGATACGTGCTCGTCAAATAAGACCAGAGAGTTTTGTTCAAAAAGTGGAGAGGGCGGTTCTTTCCTAAAATTTGGGGAAATCCTCCTACTGTATATACCTTTAAGACATTTATGGTTATAGTTTTCAAGCAGAGCATTGGGTTGCCAGTTTCTATGAAATTATTTTTTATAATTTGAATGTATTAATACAGAGATTTTATAGCTACACTCCAGCAAGTGGTTTGCAAGTGGTTTGCATCTGTAATCTCTGGCAGCTAATGTTGGGTTGTAATGACTTTATTAACCCAGTAATTGTGCATTCTCCAGAACATTTCCGCGACTATGTGACGGTTATTTTGTTCTCGCCCTCATTGGTTTGATCTTTGTTCAACAGTTCAGACATGGAGAGGTGGATGGCAGCGTTCCCCAGTCCCACAAAACCAGACGAGGACGATAATGAAGTTGTCTATGCAGACTGGGGTATGTGAGCAAAGCTGGATCATATAACGTGATAATAATAATAATGTAATGCTTGCTGTTTGTGTCAGACTGTCCACAGGTGCAGTGTATAGAGCAGTACGTCGCGCAGCAGGCCGACGAAATCTCCCTGGAGCCCACCGAAATCATCAATGTTGTCAAGAAAGGCAGTGAAGGTAAAGGAAAGCAACATTGACTCTAAAACGTGATCGTGTCCACATGTGTTATGTAACTACACTAGTCGAATACTTTCAATACCTTTTGTGGATTTGCAACACTTAAGTACACACGGAAGAACCACAGTAGCCATAACACAATACAATACAATACAATACAGTTTGCTTGAAGTGATTGTGACAGGTTGCATTTTATATTCAAAAAATGAGTTTTCTCAGTGGAACATAACCCCCTGGGTAATATTATTTTTCTGACAACCTTTTACTTTTACCCTTACATATACTGCACTTTCGACAAAAAACTGTGAATACTTTGCAGGTGACAACACAAGGTAATAAAAGAGTCCCAATTTTGTTGTTTTGGTTAGCCATGCTTCTAAATTCAGATAACAGCTTTGACAATATGAAACACTTTAACAATGGTATTTATTTTCTGTCAATTAAATAACAAAAAATACATTTCCATCGTGACTTTTTTATGCAAATGCTTGTATGACTTTACTTTCAACAAATATCAATACTTTTCACTAACTACCGACAACTAGTACTTTTGCCACCTCTGCAAATTGTTTTTTTTTTTTTTTTTTAATGCAGTAATTCTGAGTAAAATGGAATCCCTCCACTTGTGGCTTTAAATTCAGAGTCTATTATGGTACAAGAAAAGTAATAATTTGTTACTTTAAACATGAATGCATCAAGATGAAGGTGTTGTTTCATATAGACTTATTGTTGCATCATGATTCCACCCTTGTTTACTTACTGGTTGCTATGGTAGCTACCTCTGCCTTTCTCACACCTGCTGCTCATGTCCAACCAGAAAGAAACATGACAAATCAGACAATTATTTCTTATGTCAAGAAAATTGAGAGACATCAATCATATGCACGTACTATTCATATGATTGTATTAAAGCTGGGGTACCTAACTTTTATTATTGATAGATGATAAAAAACAAAAATGAATCATAACATCCATTCATCTTATTAGAAAATATGTTCTCTTTTGCATAATTGTAAGAAAGAACAATCTCAAAGGTTGACTGAGGCCAAAGTACGTAAGTGTAAACTAGTGAAAGAAACACTTTTTAGAGCCAGGAAATGGTGACATGGATTTTTTGATATTGTTGTGGTTTGGAAGTTACACATCCCATAAAATAAAAGGTTGTATTTCAAATTTTTATACTGAAAAAACGATCACAATAAAAAATTGCAACCCTGTTTTTGTTCATGATGCCCAATCATATAATAAACCTTACCAAACTTTAAAAACTAAGTACGATTTTGAGTCAAATCTCAAATACCTCCATCTGGGCTTTAGCTTTAAGATATGCCCTGAAGGTTATAAAAGCGTAACCAAATTTGATTATGAGAAAATACATTATTTTTTAAATGTATTCTAAAGGCATTCTAACAAAAAATGGGCTCGTCTATCCAATTTATATAGATTATAACTTGTATGCTAATATACGAGTACCATTAACCAACCCTCTCTGCTTGCTTATACCCTCTTTAACTCCACCCTGAACCTCAGCCGTTTATTGATTCATTTTGTTTTTATTGCATGAACAAATCAGAAACCTCCCCTTGATTTTTTTCCCCTTCTCCTCCTGTGTACCCTCTCACAATACCAGGCCTGTACCAGGGGGTTCGGCTCTCCGACGGCCAGAGGGGCTGGTTCCCCGCGGAAAACGTCATCGAGATCACCAACGAGCACGTGCGGCGGCGCAACCTACGGGAACGCTACCGAGTCATGCAAGCGGCGAGCAACTTGACCAACACCAGGAGCCGAACGGGAAACTAAAGCTGCGCAGAGATTCTAATGAACATTACAGACTATCACCAGAGCTATGGGTACTGAAAGCTATTTGCATAAGTAATGAGTCGTATGAACAAACAATAGGATGGATTTCGAACGCTGTATAAAATGTGTGCAAAAAGAAAACTATTGTAAAACCTCACAGACTTCAATGTTAGCATAGTTGTTGATGTTGCTGATATTATCGATTTAACCTGTCGTGCAAAGAATGTAACAAAATCTAGAGTTCATCTCCATATGATTTTTAATGCATAAACTCAGGATCATAGTGCAAATGTTTTACTTTGACAGTGGAACCAGCTGTAGCACCCTCTGCTGTTTTTTATTTGTAAATGTTGTAAATACCAAAGCCCAAAGTAGTTGTTTTAATAAAAAAAATCCTGTTGTTATACATCTATGACTGAAATTATTCTTTAATTGAACATCAAACAAACATGCAATGTACCCGCAAAAATATAAACATTTTAAAACCACGAAAGACCAAAATCCACAAACACACCATGATATTAACAGTTCTTGACTAATTTGCGGTTTGTTCAAATCCTAAACTCTAAAGGCCACACAAAGCCTACTTTTCTGAGAATGTGGAATGCGGAATAACCCTCTTTATGTGAAAAACCTTAAGTAGCTCCTTTTTTGTCTATAAGTAGAAAATTACAGTCATCTTTTACACATTGTTATCACTTATGACACCGAGTTGAGTTATGAGTGTGTTTGCAACTTCCATTTCTGTGTCAGACCAGTGTGAACTTGCAGAATGTGTCTCAATTTGTTCATTTGGTATTTTGGAACAGTCCGCTTGTGGTCCTTGGACTCCTGACTGGTCTGGCCTCCCTTCCCCATGATGCAGTCTGAGGAGGCTCGTCATAGTCTCGTCTTCCTCTTGCGTCAGCTGGATTACCACGTACATGCAGTTCACGGGGGGGAGTTTGCCGCTCGTCTCCCTGGAGGAGCAGCCCAAGTTTCTGGTGAAGTGCTGCCTGTTCCTGAAAGGGTCGGAGCAGTTTGGCGAGGCCGGACATGTAGACATGATGGGTGAAGGAGTGTTGAGCTGGAAACAGTCAAAATCCTGAAAAAATAACCAATGGATCAGAGAAATAAAAAAATGCAAAGTGCAAAAGAAACGGAAATCAACCGTGTAAAGTTAGAAGAGCTGAGAGTAAATGTTCTTTATAATAACATAGGAAATACAAACATGCAATGGAACTTTACTGGTGAGATAGATAATAAAAAACTATGCAAAATCTACTTTTCCATTTTACAACATTGTTCCATCATTTAAAAAAAAAAAAACAGACCTGGAGTTCTATTTATATCAATCCACAGTATATTATTAACTGATTGATTATCTCATCTGTTGTTGAGGAATCAATAATTCAAATCAAGTGCTCCTAACTAACTGCTGTGTATTTAGAGCTATACAAAAATAACTCCACCCCTTTTGTCTCAGTCATGTAATAGTATGGCAGAACAACACAATAGCACACGCAAATAATTGAACTTGAAAAATTGGTAAAACCTTGCAGAATAAGCCACTAACCGTGTAGTTTCTGTCATTCGAATGCTATAATGGATCATACGTACCCTTGGCTCGTTTATATGGTTGATCATTCTTCTCCCACGTGTCATGGTTGGATCTGTGTAAAACATCTCTTGAGGAATCACGGGGTGAACTGCAGAAATGACAAACTGATAACTGACACATCCAGGTGAATAATGAGAGTGTATTATATAACTTTGCTCAAAATAGTCCTTGCCTGTTTGTCTGTCCCCATGGCACTGTCTCAACCCTGTATCTGAGTACAACGACATGAAGGAGGGGTGGTGCAGGGTCCTGGTGGAGTATGGAGGCGGCACTCTCTGCACAATTCATATTCAATTTGTAGGTCATAATTTATTATATTTATATTTTGAATAAAGAATAAATAAAAAGAATAAACAAATGGCACTGCATCTCCATGGTAACCGCAGAACGCTTATCACCCGTAGCGATGACGTAATTTAGAACTCTGTTTCACAGGTCCCTCTCCATGGCAATGCCTTTATGACGTCATAACGGAACTGCTAAGATAATTTTCTTAGACCAGGCTCGGACACATTTCAACACATTGAGCAAATTGAGGCAAATATAGTACGGTATATACAGTAGCCCATTACAACTTTACAACATGGAAAGGATGGAAGAAAACAGTGTGATTTATGAGGTGGGAAATACGTCTGATCTGTCTGAGGCGATGGACTGGGATAGCAACCAGTTTGCAAACATTGCCATCAGGGCAAAGTCTAAAATATCCAAAAGACTAGACAATCTGCAGGGTAGGACTCCTCTGAAACAGCAGATACAGCGCCTCACCATGAACATTTCTGCGCTGGACTTACAGCAGCACGAGTGGAAAAGCGAAGTGGAGGACCTCAATCTCCTTCTTGACAATCGCACTCAGGTCATTGGCGTCTTGAGCACTAACTTGAAATCACAGGAAGAGGTGATTGTCGAGCTCCACGCCGCCAATGCTGAGTACCAAAGCGAAATTAAACGCTGGAAGCAGGAGCTAGTGAAAAGCAATATTATCAGCAAACTACTGTAAAAGGTCACAAGACAGAGACGGAACTTGAGCAGAAACTTTCTCTGTCCCAGTTTGCTTACAATGAACTTTCAAAGGAGTTCTCAAAGTTTCAACACAATCTGGCATTTGTTGAAAAGGAACTGAAATATAAAAGTGACACGATCCAGAAGATAAAACTGGATCATTCAAAGTATCAGAAATACGTTACAGTTTGTTACGACAAGCTGACGGCTCAGATAGAGACAATAGAAGACATGTTCTATGCTGAAAAAATTATAACCAGGAATTATGAGGTTATTACTCAGCTGTCCTCTACACATGGAAATATGGAAGGACTTAAACAGCTGTTGGCATCTCCAGAACAAAAGAGTGATCTGAAAGATAATCAGCAGCTAAGACAAAAACTCTCTGAGGAAGTAGAGGACGATTTGCCTACTGAACAAGGGAATCAGAGCAAAATTGAGAAGATTATTGCACAGATGAAATCTGAGAATGAGTCTCAAGCAAGCGAGATCACCCAAAAGAACAGTATGACCGCCAACATCCCCTACACACCGTCTTGTGGAATAAAGACATCCCCTAAAAGTGAAGATATGGAAGGACTTAAACTCCAGTTGGCGTCTCTACAACAGAAAAATTATGAGAAAGATGCAGAGATTCAAAAGCTGAACTTTGATCATTCAAAATATGAGGATGATGTTTCTGTTTGCTACGACAAGCTGACTGTCGAGATAGAGGCCATAGAGAACATGTTAGATGCTGAACAATTTATGAACAGAAACCATAAAGTCATTGCTCAGCTGTCCTCCATACATGGAAATATGGAAGGACTTCAATTGCTGTTGGCGTCTCCTGAACAGAAGAGTGATCAGAGAGATAATCAGCAGCTAACACAAAGGAAGGAAATGTTGCCTGCTGAACAAGGTAACCACAGCAAAATCACAAAGATTTTTGAACAGATGGAGTATGAGAATGCGTCTCAAGAAAGCATGATCACCCAAGTGAATAGTATGATCGGCAACATCCCTGAAGATATGGAAGGACTTAAACAACAGTTGGCATCTCTAAAACAGAAAAGTGAAGAGAAAGATGCAGAGATTCAAAAGCTGAAACTAGAGCATTCAAAATATGAGAAAGATGTTTCTGTTTGTTACGACAAGCTGACTGTTGAGATAGAGGCCATGGAAGACACGTTAGAAGCTGAAAAAGCTATAAGAAGGAACAATGCCGTTATTGCTCAGCTGTCCTCTGAACATGGGAACCACTGTGACATTGTGAAGATTATTGAACGGATGAAATATGAGAATACGTTTCATGAAAGCAAGATCACTCAAATGAAGACGTCACAGGGGCACCAGCTCAGTCTTTTCAAAGCTTCACTCTAAAAATCTGAACTCGTGAACACTCTTGGACCCCTCAGAGACTCATAAACCAAGAATGTATGCATTTCTACAGTTCGGAAATGTGTTTGAAACTGTTATTTACTATGCAACGAATGAAAGACATTGATGAAAAAAAAACCTGCTTCTTCACCCCTAGAAAGACAAGTGAGATCATCCAAATGAATAGTATGATCGCCAACGTCCCTCTCCTATGAAAAAGGGAACCACTGCGAAATATGAGAATAAGTAAACCTGCTTCATAACTAGCAGAAAGACAAGCGAGATCACCCAAATGAATAGTATGATAGCCAACGACCCTGAAAATATGGAAGGACTTAGACTACAGTTGGCGTCTCCGCAACAGAAAAGTGAAGAAAAAGATGCAGAGATTCAAAAGCTGAAACTGGATCATTCAAAAAATGAGGATGATGTTTCTGTTTGTTTACGACAAGCTGACCGTGGAGATTGAGGCCATAGAAGAAATGTTAGAAGCTGACAAAGCAAAATAAATTGAACTGCTGAAATATGAGAATAAGTTTACCCAAAGCAGGATCACTCAAATTAACTCAAACTTTTCGAAGTTTAAATCTAAACATTAGAAATTGTGAACACTCTTGGTATACTCTACTCTTGGAGTTTAAACTGAACCTTCTTCACATCCTCCCGCTGTGGTCCGGCTCAAAGACTGTCAAAGAGCACGAAAACTTTACATCTGCTGCAGCTCACACCAATCGGACAAACCCTTTGCTCGGTCAGCGCACAACCAGAGCTGATGCTAGTGGTGCTTGAATGTGCGAGGACAGAGCTGGGGTGGGTCACACTGGTGTGAAAAACATTGGATGGAAAGTTTTTCTGCTGTTCCACCTTCTCCAGAGTCCTGACCTCACCTGAAGGATATGCTCAAGAACTGGTTCAGTTCGGACTCATAAACCAAGAGTGTTTGCATTTCGTCAGATTGAAAATGTGTTTAAAAAGTGTTTTACTTTGCAACAAATGAAAGACATTGATAAAAAAAAACCTGCTTCTTAACTAAGGCAAGGCAAGTTTATTTGTATAGCACAATTCATACACAAGGCAATTCAAAGTGCTGAACAAAACAAGAAAGCATTAAAATCATAAATAATCACAGAACATTAAAAAGATAAAAATATAAAATCCCTCAGTTGTATGCACAGCTAAACAGAACCGTTTTTAACCTGGTTTTAAACATTGTCAGAGAGGAGGCCTGTCTCACATCTTCAGGAAGATTGTTCCAGATTTTAGCAGCATGAATCTGAAAAGCAGCCTCCCCATGTTTAGTTCTGACTCTGGGCACTAACAGGAGTCCAGTCCCTGTGCTCCTCAGAGTCCGGGCTGGTTCATATGGTACTAACATGTCACTAATATATTTTGATGCGAGGCCATGGAGAGATTTGTACACAAGCAGAGCTGTTTTAAAGTCTATTCTCTGAGCCACAGGAAGCCAGTGCAGAGACCTGAGGACCGGACTAATGTGGTCGTACTTCCTGGTTCTAGTCAGGACTCGAGCTGCTGCATTTTGAATGTACTGCAGCTGTTTTACAGCCTGTTTGGACAGACCTGTGAGCAGGCCATTGCAGTAGTCTAACCTACTGGAGACAAATGCATGGATAAGAATCTCGAAGTCTGCTTTAGATACTATGTTTTTGATCCTGGCAATGTTTTTTAGATGGTAAAAAGCTGCTGATGTTAGTGATTTGATGTGGCTATTAAAGTCATTAAGTCTGAGTCCAGTATTACCCCTAGATTTCTGACCTTGTTTGAAGGTTTTAGGGAGAGACTGTAGGTGACAGATGACGCTCTCTCTTTGTTTCTGGGGACCAAAGACAATCATTTCAGTTTTGTCTGCGTTTAGCTGAAGGAAGTTGTTTTGCATCCACTCACTGATCTGTTGGATACAGTGAAGGAGTGAGTCCACTGGTCCATGTTCTCCTGCAGTCAGTGAGACATAGATCTGAGTGTCGTCTGCATAGTTATGATAGGACACTTCGTTTCTGCGTATTAACTGACCTAACGGCAGCATGTAGAGATTGAACAGAAGAGGTCCGAGGATCGACTAGCAGAAAGACAAGCGAGATCACCCAAATGAATAGTATGATCGCCCACGACCCTGAAAATATGGAAGGTCTTAAACTACAGTTGGCGTCTCCACAACAGAAAAGTGAAGCGAAAGATGCAGAGATTCAAAAGCTGAACCTAGATCATCAAATGAAAGACATTGATAAATAAAAAATCTGCTTTTTAACCAACAGAAAGACAAGGCAAGATTTTAGCAACAATAAAAGCTTATTAATGGGCGGCACGGTGGCTGAGTGGGTAGCACCCTCACTTCTCAGCAAGAAGGTTCTGGGTTCGAATCCCGGTCAGAACAGGGCCTTTCTGAGTGGAGTTTGCATGTTCTCCCTGTGTCTGCGTAGGTTTCCTCCGGGTACTCCGGTTTCCCCTACTACTAAAAACATGTGCAATAGTTCAGGGTGAGTGTGTGTGTTTGCAAGTGCGAATGTGGGACAACGGATGGAAATTAGCCCATGGCTATAATCCGGAGTCATGTACTGTCCCAACCAAATAAACAAATATTGGCAAACAAATGCATATTTCCCTGTCTCATTTAAGTTGTATCAAACTAACTCCACAAAAACAGAACTACGAATCTAACTACATTGTGTATCTCTAAACAGTTTGGTTCATTACATCTACCTGGCATGGCTAAAATCTATTTCATATACCGAATTTATTTAGTGGCTCTACACCATACACAGACAGACACGCATAAATCACTGCAACATTTTGCATTCTCCATTTGGGAAAACATTAGGTTCTATGGTTTGTACCAACTGTCTTGAATGAAATGTTTGAACAAAGACGACAACGTTGTGTCTCCGATGTTAACATTTACATACTTGAAAGCAGGAGCCCTGCTGGGAGTCATTATTTGAAGCTTTAGTAGTAGGGACTGAGGCCTCTTTTCTGACTGGAAAGGCCAATCTTAATGCGGTGACAATAATATTCAGTTTATGCGTGTCAAGGAAGAGCGTGGATAGACAAATTGTTCATGTTTGTGTCGTTAGAAAGTACCCCAGCTTTAAGCATCATCATGCCATACACATGTACTGGGGGTGTCTTCTCTTGTAGACACATTCCGTCAGATATCTTACGACTTTTGAATTGGAGGTAAGACTTATCAAATTGTATTTCACATATTTTCGTCAGTGGCGTAAAAAGCAACTGGACAAACGCGTACGGGTTGAATGTTAACCGTGAGACTTACGGGACACTGTAGGTCTTTGTCGTCCATGTTTTGACTTTGTTTTCAACATGAGGCGCACGTGCGGAGGTTGTGACACCTGCTCGCTCTGTGCCAGTATCAGCGCCCCCTGCTGGCCACTTTACTCCGATTAAAATAATAAAAGTAACCATAACTGCCTTCAGGCTAAGACAGAATGAACAAGCTAGCTATAGCTCTTAATGGGTAAGCTAAAACTTATCCTTTCATCTGTTGCCTTTGTTTTTTATTTTCACCGAACTAAAGTAAAAGAATTAGTATCATTGACCTAATAACTGTTATAATGTGCAGTTACATTTTCAACCATGTTTCTTGCAGTAGTTAAATCTGGGTTCTATTTCATATGTTGCTTCGCCCTTTAGGCTTCGCTAATGCATATCTCTTCGGAAGCATCGCTTCCCGCCCTGAGAAGATCAAACGATCCACCCTCCAATCACCTTCACGTCCTGGCGTAGGTCTGTCCCCTATAAAAGGGGTCATGCACCACAGCTCTTCTCCTTTCTCTCTCAGCTTGCCTAAGAGAAGCTTCGATTCATTTGCTAGGATATCTTCAAGCAAGATTCCTGCGCCTGAGAACTTGCCACCCTCCGGTGTCAGGCTGCGGATCTGCGACTTGTGCCCAGCGGCACTCTCCCAGACTGACCGCCACGAGTCCAGCATCTTCTGCCTGGGCTGGCGTCGTGCCGCGGGAGAAAGCCCCAGATGTGTGGCTTGTCTCGCGCTCCCCTGGGGAGGAGCGCGATAGACGCCGTGGATTATTCATGCCGCATAGAGTGTTGCCCTTGGTGGCATCGCTCATGGTGTGCTACCCTCTATCCACGCTGAACAGACGTATAGCTAATACACCACAGATGGTTGCCCTAGCTTAACACATCACTCTGCTCGCTTCATCCCTGGAGTGGTGCCCATGGTGGCTCGCTCAAGGTGTGCTACGTTCTGCTCACGCTGGACAGGCGTAATACTACTGCACCACAGATGGTTGCTTAATAACATCACTCTCGGTGCCCATGGTGGCTCGCTCATGGTGTGCCTCTGCTTCACTATATCAGCCGCGAGGGGATAGGCCCATGACAGCCCATTCCCTGGCGCTAGCGTATGGAGTATACGCGGGTGCGGAGGCCTGGCCTTGGCGGTCAGGTTTTCCTCCCATAGAGGATGGAGTACGCCTGTACACCAGCTTCCTCCGGGGTTTGGGCTGGCACCCCCCCTCGAGCGGGGCAAGCCGGCCGTGTCCATGCTTGACAGGAGTTATGCTTGTGCATCATAGGTCGTTGCTATGGCTTATAACATTACTCTCCTCGCTGCATCCCTCGGACAGGGACCGCTCTGCCACCCCGCACCGCTCAGAACCAAGAGGAGACAGCAAGCGTGTGACAAGCAAAGGAGCAGCAGCCACCCCGGCTTTGCAGCTGCAAGGAGGGGAAGGAAACTCTTTAACAAAGGCCATCATCAGGCCCGTTACTCCCTCAAAGAGAACACTTCTTTCCCCTTTTCCTTATCCTCAGCGCTTGGCCAATGCTGCTCATCTGCCAAGTGCCTGGAGCCTCTCTCAGCGCGCCTCTCTCAGCGCGCCTCTCGTGCGCGCGCTGGAGGCATGCTCCGGGACCGCTGTGCGCTCCCCGTGCCTTTGCCTCTCTTGGGCAGAGAGTGCGCGGCTGCACGCTACCCTCCTACGCTCTCTGTGCGCCACGAGCGCCAGCTCACAGCTGTCCTGCCCTCACGCTTCTACCCGGTAAAAGCCAGGGCCGCAGCTAGGGCTCAGACCTTTTTCCAGCGGCCCCCCACTATCCAGAGCAATGAGTGGTACTGCTCTCCCTCCCCTCCTCAGTCCTCAGTGTTGGGGAGCGGGGGCTCGGCTCCACGTAAGCGCAGCACACCTGCCCTCACGCGGCCACCCAGAAAAAGGGCCCAGGGCCGCAGCTAGGGCCCAGCCCTCTTCCCAGGGGCCCCCCAATGCAAAAAGTGGGACTGCTCGGCCCCCTCTCAGTCCACAGTGTTGTGGAGCGGGGGCTCAGCTTCACGTAAGCGCAGCACACCTGCCAAGGGCGTCTGGAGCCTCTCTCAACGCGCTGCGAGGTGGCAAGTTGGAGGCAGGCTCCAGGTTCGCAGTGCACTCCCCGTGGTTTCGCCTCCCGTGGGCAGGGAGTGCGAGACCGTGCGCTCCCCTCCTACGCTCCTTGTGCGCCAGCAGCACCAGCTCACAGCGCTCCGTGTGAGAGGCACAGGGCCGCAGCTATCCAGAAGAACAAGGGGGACTGCTCGGCCCCCCCCTCAGTCTCCAGTGTTGGGGGGCGGGGGCCCGGCTCCGCGGAAGCAAAGCACGCCTGCCCTCTTGCTGCCACCCGGAAAAAGGTCCAGGGCCGCAGCTAGTGCTCAACCCTCCTCCCAGGGGCCCCCCACTATCCAGAGCATTAAGGGGGACTGCTCGGCCCCCCCCTCAGTCCTCAGTGCTGGGGAAAGGGAGCTCGGCTCCACGTAAGCGCAGCTCGCTTGCCCTTACGCTGCCACCCGGTAAAGGACCCAGGGCCGCAGCCAAGGCTCGGCCCTCTTCTCAGGGGCCCCCCACGGTCCAGAGCGATAAGTGGGTCTGCCCGGCCCCCCCTCAGTCCGCAGTGTTGGGGTGCGGGGGCTCTGCTCCAGGAAAGCGCAGCGCGTCTGCCCTCACTCTGCCGCCCGGAAAAAGGCCCAGGGCCGCAGCTAGGGCTCAGCCCTTTTCCCAGGGGCCCCCCACTATCCGATGCCTCCCCAGGAGGGACGTCTGTGGGCGGGCCGGGCCTTACTCCCTCCTCCCATCCCACCGTGCTTCCCTTGACTCATTTTGTCACCGTATGGGAACAGGCAGGGCTCCTGGGAACACCGTGGATACGCAGAGTGCTGCATCGGGGCTATGCTCTCCAGTTCTCCCGGCGGCCCCCTCCTTTCTGCGGCATTCTCCAGACAAGGCTATGCAGCCCGGAGGACGCCGTGGCGCTTCACAGGGAGGTCGACGCGCTTCTGCAGCGCGGCGCGGTAGCGGAGGTAGACCCGCTCAAGGCAGGGACAGGGTTTTACTCTCCATACTTCATTGTTCCCAAAAAGAGCGGGGGGGTGCGGGCCATTCTGGACCTGCGCGTCCTCAACGGCTGCATAGCCAAGCGACCGTTTCGCATGCTCACAGTCAAACAGCTGCTGCTGAGCATCAGGCCCGGGGACTGGATGTCCTCCGTGGACCTCAGAGACGCGTATTTCCACATACCCATTGCTCTGGGGCACAGGAAGTTCCTCCGGTTTTCTGTGGGGGGGGGGTGCTTCGAGTATTGCCGACTCCCGTTCGGCTACTCCCTAGCCCCCCGCACCTTCTCCAAGTGTGTGGAGGCGGCGCTAGAACCCCTTCGGCGCCAGGGCCTCAGGATACTGACGTATATCGACGACTGGCTGATCCTGGCCTCCTCTCGAGAGGAGGCGCAGGATCACACGTCCAGAGTGATGAACCACGTTGCCCGCCTAGGGTTTGTGATCAATATGGACAAAAGCTCCCTGTGCCCGGCCCAGGAGATTTCGTATCTGGGGCTGGTCTTGAATTCCAGGAGCATGACGGCTTCACTCTCGCCGGAGAGACAAGCGGCGGTTCAAAACCTGGGCCGGGTCGTTCTGGGCGAACCTCGGGTCCAACCGCGGCAGATCCGGTCACTCTTGGGCATGATGGCAGCAGCCCATCCAGTGGTGAGACTGGGGTTGCTGCACATGCGATATCTCCAGAGGTGGTTCTCACACCTCAGGGGTTTATCACGGAGGGAGCGACTGTCGGAGAGGGCTCGGAACGACGTCGCCTTCTGGCTGTCCCCAGGTCGACTCCAGGAGGGAGTTCGAATGGGTTTGGTGGACCACTACATCGAGGTCTTCACGGACGCCTCACTGAGCGGTTGGGGAGGCGTGCTCGGCCACCACTCGGCAGGAGGCGTTTGGTCCTCCCCCTTGGGGCACATCAACCTCCTGGAGTTGGAGGCGGTGCGGTTAGTACTGGCCCATTTTGTGACCAGACTGGAGGGCCAACATGTGATTGTTCGGACGGACAACACCACTGTGGCAGCTTACCTGAACAGGCAGGGGGGGACCAGGTCCCCCGCCCTTCACAGGCTGGCAGTGGAGGTTCTTCTGTGGGCGGACGTTCACCTAGCCTCTCTGAGGGCCCGTCACATCCCAGGCGAGCGCAACGTGGCCGCCGACAGGATGTCCAGGGGCGGGGCCGTGCGGGACGAGTGGGGTCTCGCCCCAGCGGTCGTGGCGGAGGTCTGGCTCCGGTTCGGAACACCGGTGGCCGACCTTTTCGCAAATGCAGAGAACGCACAGTGCCCACTCTGGTTCTCGCTCAGGTCCAGCGACGAGCCCCCTCTCAGGGTGGACGCCATGGCGCACAGGTCGTGGCCCAACGGTCTCCTCTACGCCTTCCCGCCTCTCCGGCTCTTGGCAGCCCTGCTTTACAGGGTAAAGAGGGAGGGGGTCTCCATCCTGGTGGTGGCGCCGGACAGCCCGGGAGCCAGGTGGTATCCGGACCTGGTGAGCATGGCGCTCGGTCCGCCTTGGCCCATTCCGGACCGTCCCGATGCTCTGAGACAGGCAGGGGGAGCCCTTTACTCACGCCCTGTCCTGGGACACAGGCTCATGGTCTGGAGGCTGAAAGGGGGAAACTGTTGAGCCTTGGTCTCCCTCCCTCAGTGGTCGCTACTATTCAGGGTGGGAGGGCTACATCCACCACCAAGCGTAGGAGGTTCGCTGGAAACTCTTCGCCTCTTGGTGCGTGGACAGAGGCCTGGACCCCACCTCGTGTTTCCATGCACCCGTCTTGTTTGTCCCTCCCCGATCGGGAGGGCATGATGGAGTTGTGGCCTAACCCGGCATTCCAGCCCAAGGTCGTCACGTCATCTTTCAGATCTAGGGTGATCAGGGTGAGACCGTTTTTCCCTCCTCCGCATGCTTCGGAGGAGGAAGAGCGGCGTCATAGTCTCTGCCCGATCAGGGCTGTGAGATGCTATTTGGACCGCACGTCTGACCTCAGACGGTCGAATCAGTTGTTTGTCGGGTTTGGCACCAGGAGTCAGGGTGCTGCTTTGTCTCCACAGCGCTTGGCCCACTGGCTTTGCCTTGCTATTCGTTTGGCGTATGAAGCTCAGGGCTTGCCGCCTCCGGCCCAGTTGAGGGCTCACTCCACTCGCGGGGTTGCCGCTTCGGTGGCTTTGTTCCGTGGCACTTCGGTGGAGGAGATCTGCAGAGCGGCGTCTTGGTCCTCCCCCTCGACCTTTGTGCAGTTTTACCTACTAGATGTGGCCTCTGACTCTGTGGCTCATTCGGTTTTGAGTGCAGGGCGGCCCTAGTTCCTCCTTCGTCTAGGGTTATGTGGAGAGGTGTTGGCGCTCTTGGGAGAGGCGGCCTGGACACCTCTGCAGTAGGGGTAGGCGCTCTTGGGAGAGGCGGCCTAGACCCTTCTGCAGTCTGCTCTACATTCCTGGGGTTCAGGTGCTCTTGGGAGAGGCTGCCTGCCCAGGTTTGTTCTGAATTCTTTCCTGCTTTGCAGGTTGGGGAATGCGCGGGCACTCTTGGGAGAGGTAGCCCTGCATCCCTTTCTCTATGGCTCGTAGGACCTCCGTTTCTACCGCTTGGTTGCGGTATGAGCAGGAGGGTCACGAGTTTGCTCCAATCACCAGAGTTCATGCCTGCTGGGAGTACATTGGTCTGGGCTTCGCTATGTTATGCATTAGCGAAGCCTAAAGGGCGAAGCAACATATGAAATAGAAACCCCAGTTACCTAATGTAACTAAGGTTCTATGAATATGTTGCGAAGCCCTTTAGCTTCGAGCCCAGCAGGCCTGCCCTCTCTTATTCGGCTGAGTTCGAAAGGAGAAGAGCTGTGGTGCATGACCCCTTTTATAGGGGACAGACCTACGCCAGGACGTGAAGGTGATTGGAGGGTGGATCGTTTGATCTTCTCAGGGCGGGAAGCGATGCTTCCGAAGAGATATGCATTAGCGAAGCCTAAAGGGCTTCGCAACATATTCATAGAACCTTAGTTACATTAGGTAACTGGGGTTTATGTTTCCAGTCCAGTGACATTTATTACATCACATTTTAACACACACACACACGGATAAAAGTTAAACATTTATTTTTAATAAAGACACATTAAAGTACAAAAACATTTAAAAAAGTTAAAACTACAAATTATTTAAGTTAAACGTTTTTTGTTTCTTAGCGCCCTTACGCCACCCAACCCTGGAAAAATGTTAAAATCAAACAGATTAGACCTGGTAATATGTCTGTATATTTCAAATAGATGATACATTTACCTCCCAGTTTGAGTTGTTGAGTTTTGAACTCTGAAAACTTTATGTAGCGAGATGAGGAATGTGGACGTGGATGTGGTTGTGGCTGTGAAACTGGAGCCTTGGTACTGGGAAGACCTGCATGAATGATTCTGTAGTTACTGATTTCACTGCTTTGACTTCAGTCACTTTGTACCTGCTGCAGACTCTGATGTGTGAATAATGCGGCCCACTCCAGGAGTGTCTGATTCAAAGCCCTTTACAGAGAACAGTCGGTGTAGACTCATAACCGGATATGTGCACTGCAGAAAAACTCTGGGAACAAATCAATAAGTACAAGATCATGCCATTATGGGAATAATAGCAGGCTAAAAAGGGAGGTAATTAACGCACCTGTCTGCATCCTCACTGACAAACTTCTCACTGTACAGGACCTCATTCTCATATGTGACTGTTCCCTTCCCAAGCTAAAAAATGTGGGGTTGTTTTGATTTAGATGTTAATTTTTAAACTGTTCTACATCATTATGCAACGTCTCTGCTGAAGGGTCCACCACCTTTTCAACATGACATCAGAAAAACTGAACTGACGACATAGAACTGAACTATACCATAAAATATAGAATTGTGTTTCACTTTTCAGATCTTGCAATATATAACTCCATCAAAAATTTTAAACAAATGAGGCCCCCATTTGTGTGGTGACTCTCACAAGATTTAAACTTTATTTTCCAAGACATTTCTTTGAACACCTGTAAATCAAATAGAAATTCCAGTGTCACTGACCTCTTTTCCTCATGAGATATGTAGGTGGTGCACCCTCTTTCACAAAAAAATTAACTTTTCAACCAAATCCTTTAACATATTTTTGGCTTTAATGACACATTCACACCCAAACTACATCAATTCACGCCTAGCAAAATTAATTAAGACAGGATTTAAATCATTTGCGTTTGTACCTTGACAGTTGATCCACAGCCATTCATGGGAAACGTGAACAGAGCCTTGGTGTCGTCACTCTGTCTGGGTCCACACTTTCGGTCCCGCAAGGTCATGTTGGCTGGAACCTCTCCACTCACAACAGCCAGTGTCAGGTTCACCAAAGCGACCATCTTCATATCAGTGGAACAAACTACAGAAACATTTAGTAAACACACCTCCAAATACTGAACCCTGAGCTGATCTAGGGAAAATGCCAATTGAAAAAAAATTGAAAGAGGAAACAGCAAATCTGAAAAAATGTAATAACTTCTCAAAAATAGGGCTGCCCAAGCAAATAGTGAAATCTACCCACTATCCCTGCTTTGCTGGTCTCAATGAACTATTACCTAAGAGTTCATCAATTAAGAATGGACAGGACTTCACAGTAGAACTCTGAATCTGAGAGGTCTCTCGATCTCGCACGTAGATTTCAAAAGTACCCTCGAAGCCTTGTAAGCTGAAATTCTACAAACACAATGATTAAATGACATTGCTAATAAAAACTATACAAGACTTGCCTTATTGTCATAGCCATCGGAGAGCAGAGGCACATCGAACTGAAGAGCCTGGCTGTTGTTGCTCATGGCAAATCCGTGACTAGAAGCCAACTCCGGGGTCAGTGGGTCTGAGCCGACGGTGAACTCCCACTTAGAGTTGGATGGTTTATGAGCTAGTTTAAAGCTGATGAGGCTTTCTGAACAGGAGGCGTCGAATTGTGGAGGATCTGCAGAAATAAAAATGTTAAAATTGAAGCAACAAACAGGATTTCTAAAAAAGGACTTACCAAGATCGGGTATTGTTGCCATAAAGAAAGCCTTGTGTTGGAAAGGATTGTTTTCAGGGGTAACCATCAGTGTGTAGTTTATGTAAAGCTTGAACTCTATGTTGTCTGTAGAGAACTGAAAGAAAAGTCTTGTTTGGATGCAGCAAGAGGCTAAAATAAATTTGAAAAATACATGTTACCTGTTGAATGACTGGCGAATTGTAGAACGGCACCTTCAAACTGTAGCCGTGTGTGTCGTTTGGATGAACAACCTTTACCAATGAGAAGGCGCTAATATTTGTGAAAGGTACTTGAAATATTTGTTCATTTAGTGTCAATGAAATCAGCTCAACGTCTTGAGGAATATCACCAAGGTAGATTGTAAAGTGTTTCTCTTGCAGAACTGTTCCTGTTTAGAAAAGTAGATTGGGAAATTGAGTGTTCAAACTGAATTGTAAAATGACGTTGGGCATACGATTTTCATCCAGAAGTGTCCGCATCAGAAGGGGAGTCCTCATAGTTCTGTGAGTTCGAAGTCTGGTTTCGATTCCATCTTCATCCACAGACAGCTGCTCCATGTAGAAGTCATAACTGTAGGATTCATACAAGCCTCCAGATACAACACTCTGAAATGATCATACAAGTATTAAAGCATTACGCTGTCATTTGCATTACTGTGTATATGGCTAGCATGATTTTACCTTCCTGTCACTTCCCGCGGCATCATAAGGGATTCCGATTTCCACTGTATTGTTGTATTTTTCTATGACATATCCCTTTGTCTTTGCAACAGCAGGCTGCATGAGGTTCCCGTCGAGGCCAAAGCTCAAGTGAGTGGTGTGTAGACCTGGGTACATCACATCTGGAGTCTCCCATGACATGTATCCTTCATCTTCAAATGTGGCTTTATCTGTGTGATAATATTCAAAGCCTTGTTTATTCATAGTTATTGAAAAAAAAAAGACAATATTACTGTGATACCGACACACTGAGCAGGCAGCAACAAGGTCAACGAGGAGCACAAGCCAACTTTGTCGGGAAAATAGAGTGGCGTGGACGACCTCTACTGGGACTCCATCAATCTATTTAGAATGAAGTACATTTGTAGTTCAATTAGTGATTCAATGCTCATTTTAGATTGTATTTAAGTACCACTGAGGTGAACGAGTGAGGCTGCCCATAAGGTGTCCGAAACACAAGCCTGTCACTGGTCAAGTCAAAGACATAGCCTTCTCCGAGAGCCTCATTAATCGATGTAGGCGGAAACTGCTCCCCGCCGTTCTGAAAGGTCACCTGCCAGTCTGCAGAGGAATTGCCATGAGCCTGTCAATATAGGCCACGCCGTTATTGTGATCTAACTGCTATAAACACACCAAACATTCAGAGTATCAACACACAAGTTTTAGGTTGTCCCAGTCATTCCTCCGTGTTGCAGTAGGGCAGGCGATTTCACTTCGAACAGACACCTGCACGACACAAAACAATCAGGCTCCAGCTATGAAAGGAAACACACTGGATTAATGTGTAGAGCAGACTTGCCTCCATGTAGTTGACTTCACAAGTGACCTCTCTGAGTGACCAAGGCAGAGATGGAGCACACGTCCTGTTCAGGGCATGTGTGACCTTGTCTTCTTTGTCGTGTGCAACCAAGTTAAAACTAAACGTGTACATCTTGTCTACCTAGAAAACAAAAATAGAACGATTTCTGTTCTATAGTGTTGTAAGTGTGCATTTGTGTAAACATTGGGGTTACCTCATCAGTGTGACAGCTGAAGTATGACGCTCGTAACTGCACACGGTTTTTGAAATGAATAGTTCTTAGACTGTATCCACACTTGTTAGCATATTCTTCAGTGATGGAATAGGAACCATTCCCATCTGGAAAACAGATCAGTTTTTAAAGGATTCGTTCAGCACGGCGTGTCATCACTGTAGTTTACTCACCGACAGCCTCGAAGCTGATATTCTTTCCCACTAAGTGTTGATTAACACTGATCATGAAATACCGTTGATGGCACGTCATGCTCACTCCTACAAAAACAAAAAGTGACACATTGAAAGTATCTAAACCAAGCAAACGAAGCACGTGAGGTGAATTTCATTTACCGTGTGGAATAATAGCATATTTTGTAGTTGCATAAACCACTAGATAAAATAAAAGACTGAAAAAACATGTTTTATAGTTTCATTAAATTGGATTATATCAAAATCCCACCAACTTCATGTAGCTTTGTTTACCTTAAGTAGAAAACAATGGCCATTTCAACCACTGATGCAGGATCAGTGTATAAAACTAGACTTAAACTAAAGTAGATTACAGCTGCTGACCCACACAGCTCTCAGCTCGCCTGTTCCTCTTGCAGAAGCCTCTTTAGTTTCTTGATCTAAATAATCTTTTCACACTGTGTGGTGGACTCCTCCCACGTCACTGATTTCTCTGATTGCTCATGATCTGCACATGTAGCCGTCCTGCAGCTGGAGCCTCATCAGCACAGTGCTATAAATAATGCTGTGAAACTATGAGACCTGAAGAAGTCCACAAGCTGTTCACTGGTGTTGCTCAGCAGATGTAGTAGAGCTAGATTCCACTCTAACCTTAGACTCTGCCAGCACTTTTAGAGATGGAGTTTGGTTTCTTGACAAGGTAAAGTTTAATCTGTTTTTTTTGTTTGGATTTCCTTTTTTTTTGTTTTTTTACAATTGTTCATTTTGGTTTTTGTTTGCAGCTTGCTCAGTTTCCTGCTTTTATGCAGAGTTGCTAAGTCAGCCACTTTTCCAGATGGTGAGTAAAAAAATATTTTTATTTTTTATTTTCTACTTTCCTCAACTGTGAAATATTTGATCCAGGAGTTCATCACACAGAGTGTTATGATCGTTACTTCATGATAGCTGTGGATCACTCCTTTACTGGACAGCACTTTTACTTTGAGGCTGTTGGTATGTGCTGGAGCAATTCCTTTTGTGACTGTCCTTGTGTTATATCTCCACATTAGTTTGCTCTTGTCTTTTTGTAGATGGCACAGATATTTACCCCATCACTGAGCAGTATGCAGCGCTGTGTGGCTACATGGTCACTTTCCTCCCTGCAGCAGGCCGTGTGGAGCTGCGAGCCTCTTACTTCAGCTGCCACACCAACAATGACGTTTGTACTATACAATACTGTTTGGATGCATGCCTCCAACTATTGTATCAATGATGTGACTTGTCTTTCAGAATGACCAAATCTTTTCTTTCAAATTCAACCTGATTGTTAAAAATGGTGAAGATTCTCTATATGCTCTGAATGAGACTTGCTCACCCTCGCTCCCATGGTCTCCCAGAGAGGTCACTTGTGAAGTCAACTACCTTGAGGTAAACCTTCTAAAGCCTTTTGATTCACAAAGCCCCACAATAGTTTGAATTTGGCTTCTCTTTTCCCCCCTCAAATTTCAAAGGTTTCTGTTCAAAGTGATGTGACATGTCCCTTTGCTCCAAAGCCAAATGGCTGGGACCCCTCTCTAGAGATGGTAATGGGTTAACATTTAAAATGACTTTTGTAGACTTTAACTTATGAAATCTCTTATGCTTATTCCTAGGTGTACAGATCTGCTGCTCCAGGATGGCAGGTTGCTTTTATAACTGAGGGCAAGGCGATGACGCCCATGACTCTCAATGACGCTCGTTTGAACGGCTACATTTTTAATATGACTGAAAACAGACTAGTGATGAGAGCCCCTTATGGACTGTCTCACTCATTCAGCACTATGGTAAATATGCATGCACACCTCGTCTCACAAATGCAAATACTAAAGGTTGTCACACTGCAGAGCGACGGCATCTCTTTGGAAGTGGTCCATGCTGTCCTGTTCTCCAGAAACGATTGGCTGGTGTTTCTTGTTGACCTTGTCGCTGCCTGCACAAAGAGTCAGTATCCAAATGCATTAACTTTTTTTTTTCTTAAATTAACTTCACTTTTCCAATTCAGATGACGTTCTGAATGACTACAATGGGTACATTATTTCGGAAACTCCAACAGCACTTTACCCTGGTCTTCAAATGACCAACTTCAGCTTTGGACTCAATGGGGAACTGTGGGAGTCTAGTATGACAGCAGAGATGGGCTACGCTCTAAACGTCACCGACAGCAGAGTCAAAATTGGAATTCCCTTTAATGCTGAAGGAACTTACAGGAGGGTATGCACTGCTGATGACTGAAATGGTTTTACTATGTTTTATTAACTTGTATAATCTTTCTGTAGAGCGTGGTGCTTGATGACCTATATGATCTGTACACCTGCCACTTTGCCCTGGAACAAATGTCTGCACTCGACGGCGGCTTGGAAACGAGAGTCCGCACTCTCAGAATGCTGTCCTCGCCTCTGATCAAAAGGTCACTCTTCACAGAAAACCGTAAGGGCTCAGTATCTTTCTTACAACTTTCATTTATATGCCAGTCAGATTTTGTACTTCAATTGCTTAGTTATGTTTAAATGATATTTTCCTTAATATACAAAATCTAGCACAATGCCGAAGCAAATGTACAATCTCTAGAGTTAGTAGTTTACTAGTGTGCTCATTCCTACTGTACTGTAACCGGAGATGCAACACTGGAACAGAAATATATATATTTTTTTCCAAGGCACTGTCCCGGCTGAACAAATGTTTACCGTGTACCTCGGCAATGTCCCTGACGATGTAGAGTTGGCTTCAATAAAACTTGCTGACCGAGAGTTTAAAGCTCCTTTTGTAAACTCCAGTCTCTACACTCTGGTTATTGATTCTCAAGACAATGCACAAGCCTGGACTTTGAAAGTTCCCTTTGCCAGCCCGTTCGTCTCTAAAAGGGTACATTTTTAATGTAATTTTGTATTTCATATCATTGTGGTGCTTTTTAAAACTAATTTTGTTCCACAGTTCTCTATAGAAAACGAAGCCACTGAGAACAAGCTTGACATTATGTTTACTGTAATGGTCAGGCTTCAGCAGGAGCTTTATTCTTATCATACAACAGTCACAGCATTCACAAGTGTTGGTAAGTTGCTCCCACTCTCAGGCTGGATGTCAAATGTCTAAATGACCTGTCCCTTTACTTCAGCACCACCGGAGTTTGACACTATATGTTCAGAGAGTGGCATAATCTTCAAACTGGACCATAAGCCGTCAGACTTCCTATGGGCCTTCACAGTGGGCTTGGACATGTTGACTCCAGAACTCGCTGCGAAACGAGGATATGTCCTGAACAATGACCCTAAGATGCTGCAACTCGACGTGCCTTTGTTCACCCAGGGATACGTTTATGAGGCACTTGTTCCACTCCTCTGCATATGCTGATGGGAAAAAAAAAAGGCTTTCAATGACTGTTTACCTTTTCTTGTCCCTCCTACAGAATATAACTCTGAAAGGCTTCTCGGGCACATTTGAGATTCTTGTGCGGGATCATAACACATTTAATCTAAAGGCTTCATCTGTGAAGACTTGTCAGTTTACAGCTAAAGAAGTTGTTGGTAAGACTTTATCACTTGTGTAGTGTGATGGGAGCTGTAAACCTCTGAACTGCTCCCTAACTGACATTACACAAATCTATACTCCTGTTCACTTAACTGTATACAAGGATTTTCTACATCTGGATGGGTCAAGACTATTGGTCCTCATTTATCAATTATTCTGGTGCTTGTAAAATAAGACCAGAGTTTTCTTCAAAGGGGAGGGCTGTTCTTTCCTAAATTTGGGAAAATCCTTATCTTAAGACTAAATGGACAAAACAATTGGGATAGGAAGTGGTAAGGAGCTGTTTACGATGCTAAATGTAAAGTTCTTTAAGACTAAAGGAATTGTAAGCTTGCTTTTTCAATGTTTGTGATAACCTTATTCACCTGCTCGTAGCATGTTCAAGGGATGGAAGAATGACTGTGAAGGTGGACCTAACCCTGGCGACACAAAATGGAGGAACCCCAAATACAACTACACTTGTAGAAGAGACATGTGGCCCTAAAGAAGCTGACTCAACTGGGGCTCTCTTTTCATTCCCACTTAACAGCTGTCTCACAAGAGTAAAGGTACTGGCTTTTAAAAACTTATTTAATTAATCAAAATTTTTTAATTTTCTAAACTGTTTCCAGCTCATTCAAGATTATCTGACTTATGAAAATGAGATCTTCTTGAGCCTGAACTCTACAACAATATCCAGCAGGTCTGTTTTTAATACAAGTTTAAAAACCTTAGTCTCTGAGTAATGCCTGCTTTTCTCTCTAGTATTCTAGTCCAGTGTCGCTATCATCTGGCTGGACTTCACCTGCTCTTCTCAAGATACAAATTTGAGTCTGACACTCCAGGCATTGGGAATATAGTGCATCCCTACACACCTGGTCAGTAATGGACTATTTTGTCCTTGGTCTCCTCAATGTACTGAAGTCATGTTTTATGACATCGCCTTATATTGTGTGCACTTGTATATAGTATTCTATTTAAAATGTATTATGCCTTTACCTCTGTTGCACTGAGCCATATTTCAAAGTCTGGCTTCCTGTTACCTACATGGCAATAAAAAATATTCTGATTGTTCTATTAGGACTGCCAGTGACGGCAACAAATCCCACCACAAGACCTCCAAGGCCTACTAAAAGGTCCCGTGGGCTAACTCGTGCCTCAAAGTCGAATGGGAACCACCTGGGCTACAAGAATCCACTCAACTACATGAGTCTGACAAAGCGTTATAACAACTTTCAAGAGCGGTCAGTGTTAAATGCATATTCACCAGATGTGACATGTCTCTAATTGTGACTTTTCCTCTACAGCATCTAATTCAAATCAACATTTTAATTATGAAATAATTTTTTAACTTGTTACAAAAAATAAAGTTAACTTATTTTAAAAATGTTTCTGTGATCTGTTGGGGTAAAGGGTCACAAACTGGCTCAGTTTTGTGTGCGTTAGTTTCTGCTTATTGTGAAAAGTACTTGTTAACTCCTACAAATTGTCTTTATTCATCTTCGAATGGAAACACTGTAGGTCTTAGGGTGCTATAATTGGCCATGTGTTTAATTGCCTCTGACACCCACTAAAGATCAAGTAGCGTCTCTCGGTCCTCCCTTTTGTTCTGGGCCACACAGCTGGAAACAAAGGTGTACTTGGAAATGTTACATGTCATATTATCTAATTTGTTAAGACCGTTGCGGCAGTGATTAGCTACAGACCTGGGGAGTGGGAAGGCAGCATGAAAAGGTCACATTGTAATATGAATCAGATCACATGACTGGGCTAACCTGAACCACTGCAATTTTCTGTTTAAACCATTGTGTTGACATTTCATGGCTTATAAGATGGGTAGTCTCTGAATACTTGCTTTTCCATAAATGTCCTGGCTGATCAAATTCCTCGCAAGCAACTTCTGAATACCGGGAAAGTATTGACTATGGATACTCCAGATCCTTTTTTTGTACCATGGTAAGGAAATGTCAGTTTCATGTTGTAGGAATGAGCACAATATAAACAAAATATTCATTGGTCATTTGCACTGCCATCACAAGTGTTTTACACTTTAATTTGGTGGCCCCTGTGCAACCATCTCTGATCACCACCTGACTGACCAATCACAACCTTTGTTTTCCCTGATGACTAGTATTTATAGTGGGTGACACTCCTTATGCAGGGACTGTAGACCAACATCAGTGTTTGACGATGGTTTATGTGAAGGTGCATAGACTTTTGGCGCTTTTGCTGTCTTCTTCACTGCTGGGGAATGTCAGCACCGCTCCTCGCGGAGATCTACTCAGGGGAGAGCTCGTCAAAGACCATGTAAGCAACCTTCATTCCCATGTAGACTGAGTTGTAGACCTGAAGGCTTTTGTGTTTGTAGAATCTTGCACAGCTGCTCATGGTCCAGTTTCTGTCTGAGATGATGGAAGTTGACGTGGGGCCGAGGCTGGAGGAGCAGTTGGGAATCAGAGAAACGGTGATGAGGCGGCAGCTTCCTTTGACTCAGCGAGAGCGCAAAGCTGGTTGTCGCAGTTTTTTCTGGAAAACGTTCACGTCCTGCTAACAGCAACACTTTGTAAATTTGCCTGATTATGTTGTTGAATAAAAGACAGAAATTACTTGCAGTCTTTTATTGAATCACTACAAACTGCAGAAATTCAATTCACAGCTTTCATAAGGTTTAAATCTGACAGCAGGATTGGTTTACAATTTTTGTAAGACAAACGGACAAAACAACCGATGTTACAGCCCTTTGTAAAAATTTCACTTGGACGGAAATGAGATTAATTTCAGATGCTATTGTGTCTACAGGACAGCTCTGGTCCAATAGATGCAACACCCTGTGTGCCTTTTAAATTAAAGCATTACATTCATTACATCACATTAAAGCTGGGGTACTGAACTTTTTAATGGATGGTTTATTCTCCAGTAAATGCAAAACATTTTGACCTTTTTCAAACTTGAACTTCTAAATGTAACAGATGTAAAAGAAATAAAAAGTATTAAAGTGGATTTATAAATATTTGATGTACATGTATGAAGGCATTGCGACCAATTCAATTGATTTGGTAGATTTGGTAGATCTGGTAGATTTATGAACAAAGTGAGTTTACAGTGTGGATTGAACCAAAATGGGACCAAATACATAAAAGATGTAAGTTAAGACTGAAGCATAGGATTTTTTTTCTCCATAATTAGTTATAACACACTATAGTAGCCCATTACAAATGCAAGTTCATATTTGAAAATCCTGTCACATCAAGGGCTGAGCAGTGATTGGCAGATCTCTCCACGTCACTTTTCAATCTCAAAGCTGATACAAAGCTATGACAGAACACAACAACAAAATCACTGTGAAAACTATTCAAATATAAAACTCGAATAGCCTCGAACTAGTTTATACATTGAACTACCATGTACAGTTGGGAAATCAGGTACCCCAGCTTAAAATGAGTCAAAAGAATACTTGGAAAAGGAGATATTCAAAACTAGCATGTCGGATCCTATATTTGGATGTGAATGTTAAGGTGATGAAAAAACTCAATCACTCCACATTCATCGAGTCTACATTTCTCTACATCACTGCAAAACATCACAGCATCACAAGCTTCTCAGCCAGTACATCTACAGTCACAGTCGAGTTGGATAATTCTGAGGCAGTTTGATTTGTACACGTTTCACTGAGGTCAATTTATTATATGTATTTATTTTTTCCTTCTATACATTCCTACTTTATAACGTTCAAAAAGTAACAGTGACAATGTCCTTGTGCTATGCAAGTACCAATGTAGTTTAGTGGACCCCAAGCCGCCTGCAGGTGAGGCCACCGTCGGAACATGATGAGTTGTAACATGAGTTGTAACATAGTTGTAGCAGTGCAGTTCGTAAAACATGCGAATTGGGTAAATCAGAAACAAAACCATGTTGATAGAAGTGAAATTGCAGCTTGAAACCAACAGGGGGAAGTAAAGTGACGTGATGATTATACTGTAAATACAGAGAGGGAGTAATATGTTCCTGCTTTGTGGCACTCCACAGTAAAAAAAAAGAAAAAGAAAGGGTAGTCTTAGCAGTCAGTTGAGATTTTGGCAGAGAGGTCCTGGATGCGCCGCGCACTGCAGTTCTTACACAAGATGTGGCCATCCAGCGGGTAGCAGCCACGGCCCTCTCCTTCTGACGATAGCAAGAGTCCACATTCCTATAGGGACAGATAGAGTCAAATAACAACGCAAATGTCATGATAACCAATACAAACAGAAGGTGCCTTATTAAAGTATAGATATTTTAAAGAAAGAATCCTCCTCTGGTAAAGTACTTTAGTGGCGTCACATGCATGTGAAAGCCTAATCCCAACCAACCTTCTTTGAGTGTCATGAAAAGTGCAGTATAAGTGGCGTGTTTTATTTTTATTATAATCATTATAAAAGTAAATAACTAATCAGCTTTATAAAAAATAAATAATAATTAACAGACAATAATGTTTATACAGTTGTCAACGTGTTTTATGCTGACAACCTTAGAACCATGGCAAACCGCAAACATTTAGTTTAGATTGGGCACAATTTGCTGTAAATGTATGTTGAATGTGTTGCCCCTTGTCCAGGACACTCTTGAAAAAGAGATTATTAATCTCAATGAGGGTCTCCTGGTTAAATAAAAATTAAAAAAATCCTATTTTTATTGTCTCGTAATCAGCAAAGAAGGTAATCCATTTTTGAAATGTAAGAGTAGAAAGCATCAACGTTTGGGTTTTAAAGTAAGTAAAAGTAAAAAGTTAATACAGATAAGAGGAAAACCATTTTAAATACAGAACTTAAGTCAAAACTATTTCCGGGATGTCCAAAAGTTTCCAGGAAGGGCCGATGTTGCTGAAGTTTTTCATTCCAACCAAACAGGAGCACGCCAGACTACCATTTCCTCAGGTGTCCAGGTCAAGACTGGACTCACGGGTGAAGTCTGGTGTGATCCTGTTTGCTTGGCCCTCTGAATAGTAGTCAATAACACAAACCTCACAAACATAACAGTTGACGTGAAAACTCCGGTCCAATGCAACGATCCGAACGGTCTCTTCTTGGCCTGGTTCGGGCATGATGGGCCCATTGCACACAGAGCAGCGCGGGGCATACTTCCTGCTCGTCAGCACAAAGCACAGAATGAGTGGAACAGTTCGATAATCCCGTTATCATCTGTTGGCAGCAGTTTCACCTGTGGAAGTCGTCTATGCAGTGAATCTGAGAGGTGGCATCCACAGTAAACGGCACGCCATCCAAGCAGCTGTTGCAGACCACACACGTGAAGCACCGCGGGTGGTAAGCCTTCCCCATCGCGCGGAGTATTCGATCCAGAATTGGCTTGGAGCACTTTGAACATTTCTCTAACGTACTCTACACAGATTCCAGATAAGATCATCAATCATCCATATTGACATAAACATGCATCATCTATTCTTAGCCACTTACAATGTAGCAGCTCTCACAGTAGCTCTTTTTGTCCAGGGCGTAGAAGGGCTGTCCTCGCAGGCGGGCGTGGCATGTGATGCAGGTGAAGCACTCCACGTGAAACACCTGCTCCATGGCGATGCATCCACTGCCGTCTCCCACCACATTATCACCGCAGCGAGCACAGCGACCTAAGAGAAAGTGGTTGAATACTTTTTGAATACACTCTTAATTTCTATTTTTCAATTTGATAGAAGCATTTTAACAGGTTACAATAGTCAAAAAAATTTATTATAGGAAATATCTTACCAAAATAGTCTTCTACAGGTGGATTGTTCATATCATACACAAGCTTCTTTGTCAGACGGTCCAATTCATCTTCTGGCCTTGTTAAAACTGTCCCCTGCAAAACACATGTATTCTTTTAACTACTTGGAATAATTGAATGGACTACAATTAGAAAAATGACGTGTATTGCACCTTGTTGCTTTGATACAGGTCGCTTTGTCCCGGTTGACTATTATCCATTCCTCGTTTGGACATGGACACCTGGTTTACTCTTCCGGCTCCGTAGCCTGCCTCAGCGTGGAGGTCTGAGTTTTGAGAGCTGGGGTGCGAAGGGTACCAGCCTGGTCCCGTCTGTGCCTGTGGCGAAGGGCGGGACACGGTTTGGCGGGGAGGCGGTGGGGCGTACGCTTGCTCTGCTTGTCTGCCGGTCTGCGAGTATGTGACGGGCTGCGCGGTCTTGACCTGGACGCTAAAGCGAGGTCCGGTCGGGGTGGAGGCCGTGGTGTAGGAGGCGGGAACAGGCTGCGGGTAAGGTTTTGGAGTGGAGGAGGACTGGGGGGTGTAGTAGTCCTGCTGGTGTGATGAGGGGTAATGAGAAGAGGCCTGGTGATATTGGCTCTGATGCGGAGGGGGGTAAGCCATGGCGGGGCGGCCCATGGGAGGGGGTCCAGCCTGGTGAGAAGGCTTGTAGTGATCTCCTGAGTGGTACTTGTTGTAAGGCACATTGTCGTAAAGCTGCAAAGAGATGTAGTGATAACAGAGTAAGGGGCAGTAGCAAGGCTGTTGGAAGCTTTTCTGGAAGTAGGGTAACATCAAATCGAAATTGGAATGGGCTTCACTGAGTTTAACAGCTTTGAACTAGCTGGGTCTATTTAGGTCATCCCCACACAGCCATATACTGTAGGTCTTTGTCCCACCACTTTAGAGGCTGGCTCCACTTTTCAGTATAATGCCTCATATTCTAAAGATCCTGGTGGAATCAGGAATCATCTCCATCCAGAAGTAAGAAATCATTTTTACTTTACCTATAGGGGTTTTGAATAATCCGAATATGAAGGCACGATGGAGGCTGACTATCAATGAAGTGGATAAAGTGGACTTTGTAACTTTTAAAGGAACAGATTTTAGTCTACGCATTGCTAATCAGCTCCAAACAAGCTTTCAAAATTGATTAGATGTATACAAAATGGCAAGGGAATTTTAGGCGGGCAGCTCTAGAGGCCTGAATTTGATATCTATATCAAATGCCCCATTAATGTCTCCCTGGGGAGGTGTTGCACTAGGAAGAAGCCTCAACGAAGACCCAGGACAGGCTGGAGGTTTCTCAGCTGGCCTGGGAACTCCCCAGGATTCCCTCGCAGGAGAATGTGCTTGTGGAGAAGTCCGGGCGTCTATGCACAGACTGTTGCCTTCACGACCCAGCAGTAGATTAAGTGCAAGGACATGGATGGGTGGAGACTAAAACGATTTTTTCTCCCAATAAACCAAAATAAAAAGTTAAAACCAGATTTTAACTGTCCACGTCACACCAATTATACTTGTAGTGATCTTACTTGTGTGCTTGCGTCGTGTGGGTGGCTGTCCAGATCAGCCAACATATTGGTGAGAGAATCAATGTCGGCATCAATTTTTGAGTGATAATGGGTTTTCTCTGGACTTCGGTGCTGAACAAAGAAAAGGAATTTGTAAAATGTAAGAAATTAAAACAAAAAGTATGTGTTAGTAGTGAAACAAAAAAACTGCTACCATTATTTCATAACTTTCCATGTGAGGGCTCCAATTGCGATCGTCTTTGGGACCATGAGGAGAGGGATAGTGGTCACTGGATGGTTGATGTATAGGCCCACCTTGTGAACAAAATACATTGGCCTATGTCTTTTTCTTTATTTGTAGTAATGGTTGAAATGTGGTCGTATCATTCTGTTTTACCTGTAGGTCCAGTGGCCATGTACCTCGTGGCTAACCCGCTTCCACCGCCTCCATTCTGATCGTACGGGTTGTACTTTGGACGATAGTCAGCAGGACCCTTTTTACTGGGCGCACTGCGGTACATTGCAGAAGCTGCTGAATGGGACATTTGTGGGGTAGATCGGTCTGGACTGTCCACAGTCCTTGGAGGAAGCCAAGTAGGACCGGACATAGCAGGTGCCTGAGACCAAAGAGGGAAATATTACCAAGTTATTCTCTCCAACTGTAGTGTGTGCTTGTGTGAACTGGTAACCAATAGAAACGAAGGATGCTGGTTGTGTTTCCAATAGTAACAGAGACACAGAGGAACAATAAACAGGAAGAGAGTGTCCGGCGTGACTCGGGGCTTTCCAGATGCACAACATGTGAGTGAGTTCACCGCACTGTTCCATAGACACATGCACAGCTGCGGGGCTGATGTTACCACCACAATGCTCATTGTCTTTGGCTGTTTACAGCTTTACTAATGATGAAAAGACGGCAGGAAATATAATGTAATATTATGGGGCAGTACAAACACCTGGTTTATAACAATATATTATGTTTTATCCAAGGGGTAAAAAAAAACAGCTGAGTAGACAAGAATCCTCTGTGCTTTACTGTAACAGTGATGAAACTGTTCACCTTATGAGTGGGTGGTTTCTCAATGGAAGGATTTCACAAACATTGAAACTTCTTTTGATTGTTGTTTGCACATCCTTATTTTGTCAGATCCCAGCAGAATAATGAAGACAGAGGTAGAGGACTATTTCAACGTAATTAAATGGACCATTCAGACAGATTTTGTGCGTGGTTGCCATAAATCCTATTGTAAGAGGATTAACATGGAAGAGACAGTTGTGTCATTACTGACAGAGACCTACATACAATTGCTGTTGTCTTTGCTTTTAAAATTACATATTTTCCAAATCTTGTAGTGAACGTATGTGGTCTTCTTTAAGCATATAGTATACTTGCATGGTGTTAATTGTTGTTGGAGTGGAACTTTATAGGTCCAGAATAGTATATTTCTTGAAATTATGCCTAAATATTTGCCATATCATATGAATCTCATTGTGGGTGATTGGTGAAGGTACAGATAATGTGAAAGGCTGTATTTACTTGTATGTTCAGATTAAAACAAATAACAGTGTAGTGTTTATAGTGTAGTCCATGTGTTATTAGGAACATGTTGTGATGACGATCATGATGAAGGCCTCTGTACCTTCACGGGGTAGTTCCTCTTCCTCTATATCCCATCTACAAGAACAAAACAAAGTGATCACGTCAAAGCAAACACAGTTTTCTGCTCTGCTAATAGCAGCGTCTGCTTCTAAATACAGTAAACAGCAGTCGTGCGCATCGCTGCTATGAATGAACAAACCAAACTCCAGTTTACCATGTTTTTCGTAGGATTGCTCTGTGTCCTAATGGTGACAGTCGGCCCGTGTTATAGGCATTAACAAGAGCTAATAATCAGTACTTGTCTGTAATAACAGGGTTGTTTATTGTCTTGTTGGTCTATTTTGAAGTCGCGCATAGCTCGTGCCTTGCCCATAGGCTAACTTCCACATAACCACATCGAGCAGGAAATGGTGAAATACCTTCACGTACCGTGTTTAAATGCCGCCAGGTCCATCCGTACGCCTCGGTGCAGATACGGAAAGGTCAGTGAAAGTGAAGCGGGCAGATCCGCGTAGCTTTAGCCTCGTTAACCTACTTTTGTCCACAGAGGCCTTCAGCTCCGCGTGCCCCTCGTGACGTAGCGCCTCGGCACTGTGCGTGAGACGTGCGCGTGCACGTGAAGTGGTGGGGGGTCTGCATCATGGATGTATTATATTAACGGTCTGCATAGATGTGATCTGGCCTCAGGTCTTCTCCAAACACCACACGTTAGCTCCTAACGTTACTGGATCCTTACTATAGATATCTAGATGAAAAAAATAACAAGTATAATGAAATACTTACTATACTAAACTAAATATACTACTATGTCTACAATATTTGAAATACACTGAATTTCTCCTGATTATTCACCTTGGAAATAAAAAATAAATGAAAAACGTATAATTTCCCCTAGAATTGAAAGAAAAGGAAATTATGGAGTATCAACAAGGCCTTTATTAAAACTGCAGTCAAATAGGAACCCAGAGGAAAAATTATGGGAAATCTTTGTTGTAAAGTTATGTTTGTATGTGGCATGTGAGGGCGTGTACCATAATGTATGTACCCTCACAGATGTGGGGAGTGACAGTTGTACAAGAGATGATAGGAATTTATTCTCTTTTTCCCAAAAACTCCCCCTTTTCCTCTGGCACAGCCTGAAGCTGGAGCCTGAAGCTAATTTTTCTCATCTGTGGCCTATACTGTAAGCCTATTGGCAAAGAGCACAGCAGGTAGGCTGTTTTGAAAGAGGCTCACAGAAACATGCTGTGGTTTAAAAGTGGGTCAACTGTCTTCTTTGCCCTGCACCCTCAAGTGCACTCTCACACACAGTTTCAAAGGAAGAGTTGTTTAAGGCTCTAATTTATTTTTATTCCTGTATGTCTTATTGCCAAAAAGATATCTAAACAACTAGCGCTGCCTCCTGGGGTCTCCCAACTTCCTGATGCAGCTCCGTTTGCCTTATATGTCCACTCTGCTCTCAATCACAGGAAGGGACAGTTTAGACTGATCTGTTGTTGTTGAAATAAGCCATCAACACTTTGGCACCAGCCCTGGGATCTGAAGTCAAAGCAAAGCCACAGCCGAAGCCCCTGATCTCTCCAGAAATGAGGGGAAGCACACAAGGGAACCCCTTATTCTAAAACGTTAAACTCATATCAGGTCATCTACTCACATAAGATCTTGTATTTTTCCAGCACACCAATGTTTATAATAAATAACTGTACTGAAAGGTGCCGATTTTCACTGACAGATGAGGGCAGCAGGAAGTGTCAATGAGCTGCTCAGCTTTTGCCAACGGGACAGTCCCAATGGCTTCCGTCCTTTGGTGGGCCTGTTTAGTAATGGTCTCACTTTTCCTCGGCCTCCCCCTCATCCGTTACTCTCACAATGCCTGGAAGTAGACCAGACCTACCATCACGCTCTCCTTCTTTCCACGTACTACAGGAACTATACCATTACAAACACACATAATAATGAAACGTATTGCTCATTACTTATGTGAGTACTTTTGATAAGTAAGGCGTATTCATCTCGAACTGTTTCTGTAAATATCCAAGCAATTGCAAAGCTTTGCTCAGAGCTGTATTTTTGCATAATAAGTGCCAAATTTCAGCCTAACCTTTTTGGTCTGGAAAAAAATTTTTTGGGAAAAATTGCCATATTGACTAATGATGAGGAAATGATGTTCCAATAAAGATAGCATTAGATTATGTTTAGATTCTGTGGTATAATGATAAATATGGCTTTAATTCAATACAATTATTTTTTGTATAAATCACAACAGTATATAGTTATCTCAGGGGACTTTACAAAACCATTGATTTGACCACACAGATCTAACCATTCAAACACAAGAAATGCAATGACATAAATCACATAGAGCCTTGTGTCGATAAGGGGCAGATGACAAATGTCCATAAATGTCGTTGAATGTGGAGTGTCCTGGATCATCACCACTGTCCTTAGACCCTCCTGCTTCAACAGTTCAATTCCATTCAACCAATTATCTTCCGTTAATCCAATGTTATTTGATTCCATTGCACTTGAAATCTAAATCTCTCATTGTGTTAAAACTATAATTTTACCTTTCGGTATATTAGTTATTATCTAAAGTTAGATCTTAGCATTTAAGTTTTCAATGATCATCACTTTCCCTTCATATCATTGGTAAATATGTTCTCTTTCCTCCCAGACTTTGATGTTTAGGAAGTGCAGTCAATATTTCATGTTTGCCTCAGTGACCCGCTTGTGTTCCCAGTGAACTTGTGTGAAGATGAGGTAACTGTTTTTGAGTCGATCCTGACCCTGGAGTTCCTCTCATGTCGGTCCCCCTGTCTCTGCTCTCTTTATTATTGACGGATGTCCTGTGCGGGCGTTTTCATCCGAGCTCTGGGCTGCAGGATGCATTTACAAGTAGTGTGGGTGTGTGTGGGTGTATGTAAGTGTGTGTGTGTGTGTGTGTGCGTGCGTGCATGTGTATGCGTGTCTGCATAGATCCTGCACATCTGTCCCCGAATATATCTTGTTTTTCACATCTCTTCTGCCTTTATACACATATCAATCTGATCCCGCTTCCTTCCTCCTTGTCCCGTCATGCGTCGCTTGTGTCGTGAACGCACACATTAGAGTCATGTTAATGATAGTCCCTGAATGATTTAGGGACATTCAGGTACATCAACTTGTATTACACGTTCAAATGTCATTCAGCCTCATTAGCTTTGTGTACGTGGTGTGTATCATCCACAAACACAGAAGTGAAGATGTTCTAAATGAATGGTTAAAAATGACCAAGATAAACACAGTGTATTGTCTGTCCACAGTGGGTCATTTGTTGTGCTTCCTCTGAGACTTATTGAGAAGTGTGCATTGGGAAAACCCTGTTCTCTGTTTCGGCCTCTAAGGACCTGGCGTGCTCCACACACTGCGGGGATCCTAATATATATTTGTTCAACACGTAAACACACTCTGCCTTCCTGCTCTTAGTTTGTTGGGAACGGTGGGGGTTTAGAAAAACCAATAGAGCACTAAAAATACGTGGAGTCCAGACCTCTGCAGGGCCTTTCCTCTGCTCTTCCTCAGGTGGTGCGTGGACCATTGTGGTTTTACAGGGGCTTCCTGTGGAACATTATAAAGAGCCTGTGCAGCTCCTGGCCCTCAGACCTCGCTCAGAGCAGTGGACCTGTCTGTTCTCAGCGGTGGACAAACCAAGGGGTTTGAAGTCGCTTTGGTGACCGTTATCTCGTCCCTGCTGGTCGGGGTAAGTTTCCACACATTCTATTTCACAAAAGCTTTTGTTTATGAAATATAGACTAGAATGTTTTCCAAATTATTATTGTTCATTTTAGGTTATGCTTTTTCAGTTGTTGTTTATTATTATTTGTTTTTTTACACAGGTACGAGTAGGGAGCTGGTCTCACCTAATAGTGTCTGGGACACTTCATCTATTTATTTAACTATAAATACAGGTATATCTGCCTCTTGCAAAAATTGACATAATTATAACAACATTTAGCTTTAATACATACAACGTCTCGTTTACCTCAGGCTGGCCATGGCCATGGAGTACAGGGCTGAAGGATATGTGAAAGAGTTCACACGCCACTCCACTGACGTGCTGCTGAACCTCAATGAACTGCGGCACCGCAACATTCTGACTGATGCCACTCTCGTGGTGGGCAGCCATCATCTGCAGGCACACTGTGCTGTGCTCGTGGCCTGCAGGTTAGATCATTGTGCAGTCGTTGTACGTCCATGGAGGATAAGGACTGATTTTGTTCTTGACTTGTTCCTCAGTGGTTTCTTCTACTCGTTGTACTCTGGCCGCGTGTTCCTTCACAGTGGCAGCAGGGAGCCTCTCCTCTCTGTGTCTCTGCCCAATTCTCTGGACCCCTCCAGTGTCTCCCTGCTCTTGGACTTCATGTACACTTCGCGCCTCCCTCTGACTCCTAGCATTGCACCTGGTGTGCTGGCAGTCGCAACCTATCTGCAGATGGACCATGTGGCTGAAACCTGCAGAGAGTTCATTCTGCACTGGTGAGAACAGAACCAAAGGCTGCAGACATTCCCAAACCAAGAACCTTCTCATGTTCATGTGTGTCTGTTTCAGCAAGGAGAGTCTGGCCAGTAGACAACCCAACCTGGAGCCAGTCTCCCGGGGGTTCATGACCTTGGCTCAAAAAGGAGATGAGCCGCTTCCAGGATTGCAGCTGCAGCTCCCAGTGTCAGGACCCATAAGGTACTTGAGTTGAATAGCAAACAGAAGGCTTTAGTGCTGGTTGCTTTGTCCCATTGTCTATACTGTAGATATAGGATAAGATCATTACACAATTTCCCTTATTTTGTTTTTGTAGAATCCAAATGGAGGGTGGCAACGCCATTAAACCTGGGGTTTCTCCAACAAGTCCATCTGAGTTGAAAGCGCCAAATAGATATACAGACACGCTCCTGTCACCAGACAGCCCTGCACGCTCCAGCTGTCAGCCCAGCTCTCCTGCTGAATCCAACACCTGCAACAAGAGCTTTGTGGTAGGGTAAAAATTGACAATTTTCTGAAAGGGTGAAGATCTAAATGTACCATAATTAATTTGAAATATCGATATTTGCAGAGTGATTCAAAAGCTAACCTTGATGCAAAAGCTTGCAATTGGAAAAAGTATAAATACATAATTCTCAATCCTCTTCTGAGTGAAACTGCTGTTAAAGAAGAGGAACAATTCCCTGCTGCAGATAACACTCCCCCAAACACTAAAGCCAATGTGGGGGTGTGGCCTGGAGAAGTGCCCGGTCAGATGAATAGGTAACTTTGATCAGGAAGGTTTTCAATAGAAAGGACATTTTCTTATATACATACATGTGCTTCTCTGTTAGACAGGGGCGGGCCTCCTGCTACGGGGGTTCTGGCCGAGCCCCTCCCCTTGGACCACCGACCTCTGCACTGCTCACAGCTTTCACACAGGCATCAGCAGGTAGCTACAATCTACCATGCAACACAGATATGAACCTCCCATAGCTCATTTCTTTTTTGTTATTGCTTGTTCCAGGTGTTGAAAGCCATACCCCAATCAAGACAGAAAAGTCGTGTGTGTCTTATTGCTACTCTGGAAACGCTGGAGCAACAAAGACATGCTCAGGTTACAATCATAAATATATCTATGCACAAATATTCAATGTCTTGTAAACACATGGAGTGACTATGTTCATGTTTGTGCAGGTGAAAGGCCATATCGGTGTGATGTGTGTGGAGCCCAGTTTAACCGTCCGGCAAACCTAAAAACACACGCTCGCATCCACTCTGGAGAGAAGCCCTACAGATGTGACACCTGCGGGGCCCGCTTTGTGCAGGTGCAGTGGAAGATAGCACACTTTTAACATTGCATAGGAACAGGAGTTAAAGGTGGACCCAATAAGTCAGCTTCACACTTTGCTTTTTGTGTTTCTTTTGAAAGACAAGTTAGTTAAGTTATTATCTTGTTAACAGCCGAAAACATGTTGGCAAGTTAATAGAAAACACAAAAAGCATTTTAACTCCAGACAAAATTAACCTATGTCATCATTTATAGTTGGGATACCAAATTTCCCCTTATAGATAATACATGTTAATTCCAACAGAAAGCATAAAATATTCCAAAAAAATATCTCTGTCACAAAAACATGCAGTCTTTGTCTTATTAGAAAACGCATTATCTTTTGCATACGTAGATCAAAAGTTGTGAAAGAGGCTAAACATATTTATGTATGCAAGTAAAAACTACTAAAAATAACTATTTTGAGAAAAAGTAGTTATGGATTTTATTACATAGTTCTATTATTTGTGATTTGAAAGTTAGATACCCCAGTTTTAAAGAGAAAATATTTGAACTGTTGCATTTTTAAGGAAGTAAGCGGCACTAAGGAATATTTAAGATTTGCCGAAAGGTTTTGTGACAAATAGGAAATCGCGTGATGCCTTTATCTTCCTTGTTTTACAGTTTTTTTGAACCTCAGTTTAGCATGCTATAAAACATGATCATGATTTTCAATATTCCCATCTATTGAAAGTATCTCAACCTATCAGAAAGTGAAAGTGTGTGTTTCATTAGGATGACTCTTTGTTTTGTGTGATGTCAGGTTGCCCACCTCAGGGCCCACGTCCTGATCCACACGGGGGAGAAACCGTACCCCTGTCACACCTGCGGCACTCGCTTCCGTCACCTGCAGACCCTGAAGAGTCACTTGAGGATTCACACTGGAGAGAAACCATACTCTGTGAGCATTTTATTTACACTTTTCTCAATATTCATTCATGCAAGTATTCGTATTTTTGGCTTGATAATAATAATAATAATGCAAAAACGCTTCACATGTCATTATTTATGCACTCTATAGGCAAAACAATAACAACAATGCATGTATATAGTTATAGAGTTCACCTTTAAGTGGGCCTTCATTAGATTATAAATGGAAAACTAGGAAAGAGACTTGATGCAATAATAATGATAGCATCCTGTTGTTTTTTTTTCCTAGTGTGAGAAGTGTGATCTGCATTTCCGACACAAGAGCCAGCTTCGTCTTCATCTTCGTCAAAAACATGGAGCTGTCACCAACACGAAGATCCGCTACCAGGTCCTGCCAGAGGGCTACCAACCTCTCCTGCAGACCTGCTGAGGGCCCTCCAGACCTGCTGAGGGCCCTGCAGACCAGCTGAGGGCCCTACAGACCTACTGAGGGCCCTGCTGATCAGAATTGTCAGATTTGCCAGAGCTTAATTGAAGTTGTTAAGAAAGTTGGAGAAAGTGTTTTGAAGGTTGTTCTAGTAGGTTGAGGTGTTAAAGAAAGTGAGAAAGTAAATACATTATTTGGAGAGATTGTGAACGTGTTTTGTAAAAGTAAAGGAGGTGTTTTGTCGTTTATTTAATTGCGAATTTAACTTAAAGCCAGTAGCGTAAGTCAGTGCATACATTAAGTCTTTACACAGGTTACTAAAACCAATGGAGTGCATTTGTTTCATTGATTTGCAGGACAAATTAAATTATATGTTTTCTACATGTCTTTGAGTAATTTCTGTGTTTTTGTTAATATTTTTATCACTTTAAGGGGAATACTCCCTAGCTTTAACTTATTTCCACTCTTCATAAAAAAAAATGAATCACATTCGGTCTGCTGTTTTCAGGGGCTTGTTTTTCTCTTATTCAGTGAGGAAACCATTATGTGGCACCTGTTTCCTCCAGTTTAGGAGATGGTATAGTGATAATGGCCCCTGTCTACACGTGTGAGGCCCCTGTCATCCCCTCTTCCTGCTCCCTGATGGGCTGCTGCAACTCAATTGTTCGCGAACTAAGACAAAACTCGGAAGTTTATGGGACTTTCCACCTCGTTGTGCTCTCAAATACGTCGTAGATGTTTAAAAGTTTGTCTTAGGCCTACAGTGTAGCACCAGAGTTGTTAGTCGAAGAATAAACACATGATATTAGCAGGAGCACAGCGCACATGGTTAAAATGGAGCTAAAGAGCATCATAATCGGTCTAGTTTTTCAATTGCAGAGGTCACACTGCGCATGCGCAAACATGTTAATCTTAAACTTTTGCCCCACGGTCTGCGCCTGAGGCTCGTGTGTTGTGCTCCTGTTTGGTTTCACACGCTCCAACTCCTACGATAGACCCGACCCAGGTGAGTGGGCCACACGTGGCGTGCGTGAGTCAATTGTGAGCGTCAAACAAAGCAACATAACATTCAATAATTATTGGCTCCTAAAACTGAAAGTGAAATATGCAGACTGCTCAGACTTATGGCCTAGTTATCCCGGCGTGTGGTGTTGTTTCATGTGTGTGCGCAGGCGCAGAAGAGTGCGCCGTGACTGACTAACATAACATCACCTGTCATTCCATGGTCTGCGGTCCTCCTCTGCGCCAGTGCTCTGGGGATCTGCGATGTTTAGTCAAGTCATATAACAGGGAAAGCTGCAGTTAACTGCAGGTAAAGTGTCTTCTCATTTTCTCAACTTTTCAAACTTTTAAATCATGTTTTTAAAAGCAATGACAACTGAACCTGTGCCACATTATAGGCTAATAGACCAAAAGCATTTACCTGCATGTAGAGACAGTGTTTCTCAGTATATGGTTGGATTATGTCTCAACTCCAGAATGGTGTAACCAAGCTGGGGAGACAGCACCAGAACTAATCCTGGATCCTTCAGATCTTAGAGAGGCGTTTAAATCCACTGGATTTTGGTAATTGAATGCAATGGCCATGGAGTTCATTTTAAAGTAGTTGTGGTGTAAGGACATTTTATTTTTCGTGGTAAAGTGCTCTTTTTTCTTTTTTTTAAGGAACAGAAAATAAAACAATACCATCCATCCATCCATTTTCTACCCTTTAATCCATTTCTGGGTCAGGGGGGTGTCAATCAGAGATGCCACCCAAGTCTCATAGCACCAGCCCCTCACTGACCCTCTGCAGGTGGTGAGTCCACAGGAGGACGGCTGCTCTCTGAGTGTGAGCATAGCCTTGATCTTTCAGCGGGGGCTTTTGGGCAAATTGGGGTTAAGTGTCTTGCCCAAGGACACAACGACAGCAGTCATCAGTGGGAGTCGGTGGAGAAGGTGTAGAGGTGGGAATTGAACCCACGACCTTCAGGCCTGAAGGCCAATGCTCTACCAACTGAGCTACTGTCGCCCCTATAAAACAATACCATAATCCAAATATTAGTGAATAATTTGAGCGTTATCATTCACCCAGTGGTCCATTTCTAAAAGATGTATAAACCCTAGTCACACATGTGTATTGGCCTGGGTGAGTTAATAATTAAAGTCATTGACACACTAATCATAGCTGTTACCAAACAAGACTTCCGCTCTGTCAATCAGTTTCTTTTTTAAATTTTAGATATGACACAGAAACAGCCCACAGTGGAAGGTCCGGATGGCGGCTGGGGATGGGTGTTGGTCGCAGCCCTCTTCGTCTGTAACAGTATGGTTTTTGGCCTGATGCGCATTTTTGGGATTTTCTTTGTGGAGTTTGTTCATTACTTTGACGAAAGTGCTCAGGCTATTTCATGGATCTCTTCCATCGGATTGGCAGTACAACAATGCTTCAGTGAGTAATATTGTAATGCTTCAAATGTGGTAACCATTTGAATTCTATATATATATATCTATATATATATATATTAACAAATATAGTTTGTCTAATTACTTTGGTTTGTGTTGAGGTCCGTTGGGGGCTGCCCTGGGGAACGCATACGGAGCCAGGGTGGTGGTGATGGTCGGGGGCTTCCTCTCTGGGCTCGGCCTAATACTTGCCTCACAAGCTACATCTGTGTATCATCTTTATCTCACAATGGGTGTGATTTCAGGTACAGTTAAGTTTATCATTTGAAATAAATTGACAAAACATGCATTTTAAATATTGTCTATGACTTTAAACCGCAGAATTGTTAATAGCTTAGCTGTCATGCATTAACTCTCAAATACATCACCTTCAGTAGAAGTAATAATGGAAAAAGTTGATATTGTTACAGGACTTGCTGCACCTGTATTTAAAGTGCACCAGTTACATTTGAAGACAAAGTACATTTTGTACATATAAGGCGCAGTTTTTCATGATAGAACAAAATTGAAGCCGATTAACTACTGTTCTAACTGGTTTCTGGTGATTTTAATGGTGTTTTTACACTCCGCATCACGACTCATGATGATCAAAGCTCTCTATTGTCCCATTCCTACTTAACCTAAAAAATCTAAATAACTGACTATGGTCCTAATTGGATATAAACAAGTTCTGTGTATTTCACCAACACGTCCTCGTATACCTCTCTCGCTGTTCACATAAACTCCACTGGGGCAGGAGTGCGCGCTGTCATCAGCTCTAGAGATTTGCAGCTGAGAGCGGTGTCCAAATCTTTTCCTGTGCTCCAGTGGTGCATGTATTCTGATGTTATTATAGATCCATGGTATATGCATACACTGTACATTGGCCGCCTCACTATAGTATACAGGCCACAGAGTTCACAGATAGTGAAATAATTAGCGTCCAGCAAGTGAATCTTGTTTTTTGTCAAACAGGGTTTGGTTGGAGTCTGGTCTTCACTCCTATGATGGCCACAGTTATGGCTCATTTTACCCGTCGACGCACCCTGGCTCTAGGTTTGGCTTTGTCCAGCATCGGATTGTCAGCTTTTGCTTTCAACCCAATTTTCCAACTGTTTACTGAGATGTATACGTGGCGTGGAGCTCTTCTTATCTCAGGAGGCCTTTCCCTCAACATTATTCCCTGTGGGGCACTTATTATGCCTCAGAAACATTCAGTGACCACAGAAAAGGTAGGTTTCCCTCGAATTTGTTTACATTAAATAAAATGTTTGTAACATTTTTGTTTTGTAACAGACTGAGAGAAAAGCATCACAATCCGTGCTGAAACGCTTGTCCTCCTACTTGGAGCTGTCTGTTCTGCTCGAGAGGCCATTCTTCACTTTTGTCCTATGCTTAAGTCTCATGAATGTGGGGTACTTTGTGCCTTACTTCCATCTCGTGGCTCACAGCCGCCAAGTGGGATTTTCGGAATACCAGGCGGCGTTTGCAGTCTCCGCTTCTGGAGGTAGTGACATCGTGGGCCGCATCGCCTCAGGATGGTTCTCAGACCTGGGACACTTCCGGCTCCTTCACCTTCAGTGTTTTTGGACGATGCTGTGTGGCCTGAGCATAGTGCTGCTGCCTGTGAGCACGCTGTCGGGCTCATACCCGGCTCTAGTGTGTGTCAGTATACTGTACGGCTTCTTCTCCGGGGCCTCCACGGCGGTGATCTTCTCTGCAATGCCTCATATCGTAGGAGTGGGCCGCGTGATGGGGGCTCTGGGCCTGCTGCAGATGATTGAGAGCGGAGCTGGACTCTTTGGGACTCCTTTATCAGGTATGATGACACAATCCTTATTGTCCCATGTATATACTGCAGAGATTACTGAAGGCGGCACTTGTCGAGCCACAAAGCTTCTCAGAAGGATTACAAACATTCACTTTAACTAGTTTTTTATAATTTTCCAAATCATTGGATATTATGAAGAAAATATGTGTGATAAATACAGCTGATATTAGGGCTGAAACTGACAATTGATGAATTTAATAATCAAAGAATTAGTCTAGAACACAAATCTGAGATTGTTGTGCTACGTTTGGCCACCAAGAACAGACTTTTATCATTAAGACATTTACCTGTAGTAACTGCTGTTTTACTCTTTTTAATCAAATTAAAAAAGTTGGGTTTATTTTTTTTTTATTACTGTGGCAGGTCAATTTTCTCTGAGGATCGTACAATGACAGAGTTCAATTATCAGTGGTGGAAGAAGCATCAAAGACAGTTACAGGAGCCAAAACGAATAGAAGTAAAGGCATTTCTTCACATAGTGAAAAGTGCTTTTATACTGACTTCAGTGCTGTCCTGTTGCTAACCCTTGTAATAAATGATGGGATTTAAAATGATAGTGATCTGGTGAATATATTTTAGCCAATTTTAACAAAAGCATCATTAAAAATCTTCTCATTCCTGCTCCCTATTGCCTCTCACATTCATATTAATCGTAACTTGTTGCCATTATTCATGTGCGTTTTCTGTACTTAGGGTTTCTGCGTGACATCACTGGGGATTTCATTGCTTCCTTCGCGGTGGCAGGCAGTTTCCTAATCCTCGCCTGCCTCATTTTAACCACTCTTCCTCACTTTTTCTCCTGCACCGATCCACCACCACCAAACAAACAGCCGTCTGAGCAACAAGCTATTGCAGAGTCACACTGACGACTGGAGGGATTTCAACAAAGACTCGTAAATCATATTGTTAATGGTGTGCCTGCCCACATGCACAGGTCAAAGTCACAGTGACCTGTACAAACAGCAGTAAGGGCAAGAACAGGTTTCATGGTCTTGTACTCATTGATAACTCAGCCCATCACCCATTATTACTAAATGCTATCTGACTTTTTAACTACAAAATTAACAAGATGTAATCAAAGGTCCTCACTCTCAAAACATTTCTATCACTAGTTTCCACAAGCATATCATTTTGGCCTCTGATCAGGATTTTCAGACAGAAACGTAGAAGGGAGGACCATCTTCACTCAGCCCAAAGTGTCAAATGGTGACTCACAGGGCTCTTTCTTGCAAGTTTGCCAAAAATGTTTTCTAATAATGGACTGATTTGTTCCCATCATTTTACAAGAGTCTTTCTGTTGACACAAACGGAATGTATTATTTGTGGGGGAAAAAAAGTTAAGCCCCGGCAGTAAAAGTAAACAGTGATATGACGCCATCTACTGGGCAGTTTAGTTATGACCAATAATAACTCATTGTATAGTTTATTTTCAAGGCAACACACTACCTCAAAAAACATGTACAATGCATCAAAACATGTATTAAAAAAATACGTAACAATGATGATAAAAATATAATTGTTTCACGTTTTAAGCTGAAAAAATGAAATAAGACAAGACTGCATAAGGTTCCGAAGGAAACTGTAGAGTGGAAACTATAGTCTCCTCAGAACCTGGGGTCGGCACTGCGTCGCTTCAGCTTCTCTGGATTGTTTGAAGCCATGTGGGAGAAGTCCCTGAAGATGTCCTGATATGTGTCATCACCTTTAAAAAGAAAAGGAGTTTATTTTATGGCAGTGAGTTAACAAAAAGCAGCACAGATCTAAACTAAACAGAGACATTAAGTTTGTATTGTAGCCCTGAAGCACAAAGCATGCAATAGAGAGGCATGTTCACTTTACCTCTTAAGGTGGCAGAGGCATTTGAGGCCGACTGGACATCTCAGGCAGCGGGCACAAAGACACAATAATTAAGCAAAACATACACTGACCAGCAGTGCAGACTTAAGCACACAAAAAGCACCAACATGTCTTCATAAGGACAGCAACAAAAGCAAGAGAAACATTGCTTTGCAGAATGAAATAAAACTCAGAAGAGGACATTAAAACATACGCCCAGGTAGCCTTAAGCTTCAGGGCTACAGCTCAAACAACATAAGAACCAGTGTAACACTTTAGTTCCTTTTCACAGAATAGGAGGCTGCATTTCAACTCCAATTTGGGAATGTAGCTTCCAGTGCTGGACTGAGCAGACCAAAGATATCACGGACCACGCAGGACTTGCATGGAGCTGGTTTTGTGCGTATAAAGTGCAGCTTTTGTTTAAAGTGCTAGAAGTCCGATGGTAGTGCTGTAATAATCCTAATCATTTTGTCCCCCATGAGCCCAACCACTTATATGGTTCTTAAAAGCTTGGAGGCTCTTCCTTGTATTTCCAAGTCCACCTCCTGACCCCGCTCCTGTCCCTGATTGACCTGTGTGTCCAAACGCTTCGTCCATCTCACGCATCTCCTTGTTCATTTTGGCAATACGCAGCCTGGAAAACACAAAGATAGGATTATACAATAAATTCAAATTATATCTTAATTCTAAGCAGTAGTAGTAAGGACACATTCTATTCATTTGCAAAAAGATTAATAAAAGATGATAATGGCAGAGCTGAAATAAATGTTATCTACTCTCCAAAGATTACTCACAAAGAATAGTGTTTAGTGCATGAACCATTTCCAAGTTGAATATCATAAAGTCAGTCACAACTTGCATTTCAAGCTAGTTTTTTGCTGTTGTTAGTTCAAATATATAGTTTTTCCTCACATATTTAACATTAAAACAATACAATCTGATATTGTGTGAACGATTAACTAAAAATATGCAAGATTTCTTTGAGTTTTTACTTGTAGCTGTGCAGATTGTGTGCCTGGACTTGTGTGTTTGTGTATCTTTGTGTTACAAAAATGTATAAATAATTGATCCCAAAAAAAATAATCGTGTCATTTTAATTGCTCTTACAAGGTGACGATGTCAGCGTTGGCACTGTCCACAGCAATCGTTATTGGGTCTTTCTGGTTTTTGTCTTTTGCGTTGTAGTCCGCGGCACGTTTCAAGAAAAGACAAACCAACCTGAAAACAAAAGTCACTCATCTTACTGCTGCCTCTGTCAAAAATTCATACACACCAGATCCTGAAGGAATTTACAAACACTAACTCACATTTAAAGACATGCAACTGCAACCTATAAATCTGCATTTAATACTATTCTAATACTTTGAGAATCGTTTTAATGTTATACAGTTTTGATGACTTTTTTTCCTTTGGATATTGGATATTCTAATTGAGTAATGTTTTAAATCTGGGGTCCGTATCTTTAACACCAAAACAAATGTAACTATGTCATAAAATCCATCTAACTAATTCCTGGCTCTAAAACATAATATTTTCATACAGAAAAAGCAATGATGAAGGTCTGATGCCTGATGCAGGTCTCAGGACTAAAACGTTACATTTTCTAATAAAAATATCTTTCTGCAAGGACAGCAGTGAGCGGGAACCATTATATTATTCTTATTCATGCTGTGAAAAGTGAAAGAGAATCACCCCCACTGTGCCAATCAGCTCTCAGCGTTTCTTAAACACACGCACAAGATAAAACACTGCATTGTTTTTATCATTTTACATTCTAAAGTCTCTTTCAGTTGGAACAAAACATATATTACAGTATTTATGATAAAAAGTTAGGTGCCTCAACTATTTTGACATTTGATATTTTACAGAGAAAAGTCTTAAATTCTAAATCATCATCAGAGCAGTGTTAGAAGAAACACTATGTGAAAGTGATTAGTTTTGTGCACATGTCCAACAGTTTCACATTTTTATACACGTTTTATACACAAAACCAATTCATGGAGGCCAGTTTTATACAAATTAACCGATTCAATTTATGCAGACAAGTTTTATACAAATTAACCAATTCATGGAGACAAGTTTTGGACAAATGAACTGACTCATGCAGACAAGTTTTTAACAAATTAACTGATTGATGGAGGCAAGTAAATGCTCAAATCCCTGGTCTGAATGGTCTTACCCTGTGTGCCCCAAGATGGTGGCGTGATGCAGCGGGCCCCTTCCATTACTGTCCTTTTGGTTCACGTTGGCTCCATTCTGCAGCAGGAACTCGCACGCTGCTAATGCGTTCTGAGAAAACGAAACGAGAAAAAAAAGTAATGTAAAGAAGTGATCCCAGAAGTGTCCTGCGAGTGTCACCGTGACGGCCTCACCGCAGAGACGGCCTGTATGAGCGGCGTGCGGCTCTCCTCGCTGGCGTTCACCCAGTTGACGTCAGCTCCGTGAGCCAGAGCGTCGGCCATGACGGGGAAGTTCTGTAGAGCGGCGGCCTTGTACAGCAGAGCGCCGGGATGAAGAGCGCTCAGATCGTCCTCTTCCTCCTCCGCATCTGCACACAACGGAGCATTGCATTTATGTTTTACAACGGGACAGTGCACAGAGGTGGACATCTGTGATCAAAGAGTGAATATGGAGACCTAAAAACTGGAAAGATAGAAACAAATAACAACGGACAATGAAGCATCAAAGTTAGATCCGGTCTATAAGCCGCACCGGATTAAAAGCCGCAAGTATCCCACGTAATATTGAAAAATGTAGCTCAAAAAAGGTTCTTCATGTGAGTTATTGACTGGCTGTTCTTAATATTACAGAGTCAAGCAGAAAGATTAGGAGCAACATCTACTCTTTTCACTTTTGTGTCTATACAGAGAACCAAAAAAAACAATTTAATATATGAGATATTTACACACAGATATTATAAGTGAGGACTTTTAAACTTTACTTAATCCGCTTGGTAACAAAGAAGTACATATTGCAAACACTTTTCTCTATCGGTGCCAGTAACCTTTGAATATGCCGTAGGTCTGTGTCAGTAACACACAAATTACGCACATGCTTTTTTCATAGTATTTTCCATGTTGACGACGGCGAGTACAAATGACTGAATTATCCTACAATTTACTTGGACCTCTGAACTAAGCATCAATTCTGTCGGTGTACTGTTACTTAGAAAGATGTTTTGGCGCCACAAAATACATAAATAAATAAAATTGCACCTTAGTATAAGCCGCAGCATTCCAAGTGCGGGAAAAAAATCTGCGGTTTATAGTCCAGAATTTAAGGTACTTGATTTCAGTGTCATTTCTGCAGTATGAATGGAGCATTTTGACATTATGTAAATGAATAGTAAATGTACCTTTGTGAAAGACCGTGTTGTTCTTTTGGAGGTCACTGGGGCCGAGTCCTGAGGAGAATAAGTAGAGAGTGAGTGTGTTGTGTAGGAAACTCGCAGATCTATAGTTTATCCACAAACAAACGAGGAGGATGCCCTGAGGCTTCTCAGTGCTGTACAGAGTAAACTTCCACTGGATGCTTGTTTCTACACGTGTCCACGGTCCTCTACCTGTGACTCGAGCCAGCGTGGCCCGTTGACTGGGCTTGGGTTTGAGCGGTGGTTTTGGTCCGGTCCGGTCTGCGGTGCTGCTGCTCCGGTTCCTCCTGGTGCTGGAGCGTTGAGGGTCGTTCCTCCCCGTCTCTGGGAGCTTGTGAATGAACTTCTTCTCCACATACTTTGATTTGATCCAGGACTCTTTGTCTCCTCTGGTGGACCCAAGAACAAACAGATCAATGTGCAATAGATGTACAGCGTTGGAGTTGGATTAATCATACAGCATATACAAGTACAAGGAGTGAGGGGGAAAGGCATTATGTAGCTTACAAAATAAAGTGTTTGAAGCTCTTTATAATATATTCTTATAATGATAAAAATCTGTTAATGATATGGTTGTATAAGAAAATCCATATATTTTGTTTAGCCTAACTCTCAAACAACTCATATGTTATAATACAGATTACAATCTTTGATATACAGATTGTGAATACACAGCAGTCTTACTTGAAAACAAAAACACCCTTGTCTGACATTAAAACAGATTTTATTAAAATAATTGAAATATATATTTGTACCTGGGGCTTGAAGATTGTGGCTTCTTAATAGTAATTTCATCAATTCGTGCTTCATAGATCCGGTTGATTACCGAGTTACCCAACTCACACATCAGCTGAACGGGGGAAAACAGCAGTTTGTTAAGTTCCATTCATCAAACTATAATTATTTACAGTGTTATGTAGATTAATTTCATGGCAATGTGTAAAAATATGAAATACATACTTTTATAAGCTCAGGTTCCCAAGAGTCAAGTGTGAGCGATCGCACTTTGGAAAAATGGACTCCCAGGCTCCTATCAGTTTAATTTAATCATAATTTTTATTGATATTTATTATATGAATTCACATGTGCTATACCTGTGTATTCCTGAGCAGACTATACACAGTGTGATACCCAGGTTGATGGAGGCCCACTCTGGACTGGCCTCTCCGCAGTCGCAGCATTGCCTGTGAAGAAGATGACATGTCTGGGATCGCGTCTTTCATTCAGACAGAAGACATGTTTTATTGTCGATGGTAGAGACAGCACGAACAAAACACACGAACAACAGAAACAATAGAATGCAAGTGTATTATACAGAGCGGAGGCATGGAGACCTCCAATCAGCAGCTTCCACGGTGTGCTTGTAGCTTGGCCTTCAGATAGACAAAACAAGGGAAAAGTACTGGCTTCTGCACATTGATAGAATGATGAGTTTAACTTTAACAAAAGTTGCTTCAAAGTGTTATGAAATCTCACATTCCCCCCTCTGGTCATACATTCACGTGTGACCATCAGGATCGATAAACAGCAGCATAACATCATAACTCAATACTTAAACTCGGTACTTCAAAAAACTCAGAACTCGGAATACTTCAAAAACTCAAAAAACTCATAAAACATTTTCAGATCTTTCATAAAACTTGTCAACGATCTTCAGTAAAATACCAAACTTCATCAGTCGATGGTGGCTCCAGATATTGCTTTGAACAGTCTCTCCCACTTCTCCATGTTGATTTCTTCAGGCTGCATTTGTGTCGAGCCATGAATTCTTCTGTGACGTGTCTTTCAATCACACGTTTCAGCTTCAGTGTCCAGATTCAGCAATTCAATTCAGTCCAAATTATGTCCAAATTGTGTAATCCAATTTTTCCAAATCATGTCCATGCAAAAGAGGACGATGGTATTGTCCATGTCTCAGCAGCTCACAGCCTGACTGGAATCAGGGGCTGTGCAGATTGTCCAAGTGCTGATCCAGATGCATGGGTTCTCTTGAGCTTTCTCAGTTTTGGCTTGAAAAAAAAAAACACTTTTTGTGTAAAAAAAAAAGTAGTCTTCTGTTCTGTAGATGTTACAGACAAGGCCCGCATCCTTCCACCACCTGAAGAGGATGTGCCAAGTCTGGGATCGCGTCTTTCATTCAGACAGAAGACATGTTTTATTGTCGATGGTAGAGACAGCACGAACAAAACACATGAACAACAGAAACGATAGAATGCAAGTGTATTATACAGAGCGGAGGCATGGAGACCTCCAATCAGCAGCTGCCACGGTGTGCTTGTAGCTTGGCCTTCAGATAGACAAAACAAGGGAAAAGTACTGGCTTCTGCACATTGATAGAATGATGAGTTTAACCTTAACAAAAGTTGCTTCAAAGTGTTATGAAATCTCACACCTGTTCCCCGGGATGTTCTGCACCTGCTCCAAAGCCTTGCAGCCGCTGTCCTCCGGCTCCAGGCCCCCACTGCTGCCCCGCTCTCCCCCCACACTGCTCAGCGACATCGAGCTGCATCTCTGTCTCTGTCATAAAGAAACAAACGCCATCAATCCGGTTTCCACTAGTACTTCGTAAAAACACTCAGTAATGATTTATACTTTTGCACATTATGAAGACAAAATATACTTGACTCAAAGTTTGTGTATTGCAGGTCGCACAAAGCTAAGTACATTTGTCTGAGTGTTTTACAAAGCTGTGCACTCACTGGACTGTGAGCGTCTTCTCGTCTCTCCTGAAAGGCGGAGGCGATGCTGTTTTGGACCGCACTGATCCACGCCTGCTGCTGCCGCTCCGAGTCTGCTTGCAACAAACAACTCCTTCAAAACAAGAGAAAATCACTTTTCATCAAAAAAAATCAAGGCTTGTAAGTGAGGGTTGGGATATAATAATGAATTCTACAAAACATTTCTTTTATACATTTGACACAGAATGATAAGGAAATATGATTAAAGAACACAAGCCATATTTTTAAAACATGAACAAAAATAATTCAATACTATTCTGCAGAGGTGGTTGTGAGTCATGTGGCTCTTCCTGGCTTTGTTGGAGGAGTTTGTTCACAGATGAGCAATTGTGTCGACTTGGTATTAAAAGCTGCAACAGTCGCCGTCTTCCTCAGAGTGTCAGACCAATGCCCTAATGTCTTTGAGCACAAAAATAAAGTCAACTAGCATTCCCTGCATCTTTGAATCATGTCCATAAACTGTATATAGATGGACATGTTTCTCCAACTGTCCTGGTCCTCACTGCCTGCATGTCGACTGGTTACTCTTCATCTTCAAATGTAATTATTTTAATTATCCCACATACATGAAACAATATCTTACACCTTTTAGCTTCAATTACAGTCTTCGTCACACTGACACTGATAATATTTCCTTCCACACCCCCAGTGTTAAAAAAAAGAAATAGGAAAACATGCTTTTCATTACAAAGCCCCAACGGACTGGAACCTTCTTCCACCTGCTCCCTCACCTCCTTCCCTTTGTTTGTTAAAGTGCTGTGTTGCAGCACTTTAAAACTAATTGCTTTTGATGCGTCTTCTGTTGTATTGTGTCTCTGCTGTGTTAAGCTGTATTCTCCATCAGTATTATGTATTTATTTTGTATTGTACTTAACTGTAGTTTTAGGGGAGTGGGTAACCTCTGAGAGCTGAGTGTGTGTGTGAGTGAATGTGTTGAGCTTTTGTCCTGTTTTATTTTATTTTTGTGTTTGTTTAATGTAACCATTTTGTTTTGTATATAATTGACTGTTGCTGCTGTACTGTTATTTTTGAATTTGATTTTGACGACCCCCTTGGAAAGGAGATGATTCATCTCAAGGGGCTATTCCTCTATATTGTATATATATATATATTATCCTCTGTGCTCAATGAAGCCCAGTAGGAAAGTGCTCATGGACAAAGTCTTGCTCCGACTCGCTCTGGCTTCCATTGACTTACATTAAAACATAAACTCCTCAAGTTCAGCAACCATTTGTGTCACACTTTAGGCATCATTTTGGGCTTTAAAAATCCATGGTTGAGAGCTCTCTGTGATCCGGGTACCAAAGGACAACATCAGCTCTTGAATCCAAGACACTTTATAGAACCTGGCTTCACAAACATTTCACTACACTTGCACTAAATATTAAAATTGTATGTATTTCAGTTGTTGACAGTCCTCTCTCTTTCTTATGAAGTTTCAGGGCTTCAATTTCTGAAAAACGGTGGCGCTTAAAAGGTGTTAACAGCGAACCAATCAGGATAGGCCAGCGCTGCTCCCGATTGGCTCTTTCCAATTGGCTTCGTTCGCGTTAAGACAAACACTATGGATGACGTCAGCACACGGTCCGTCCTCTCCTAATATACAGTCTATGGTCATGTCAGGTGGTAAGAATTTGACATACTTTGAAGGGGAAACAACTTCAAAGCAGAATCGTCTTTCATTCTCAGTGCAGTATTTGACTGTGCAAAGTCTCAAGTCTTCCACCACGACTGTCGGCTGCTCCTGAGAAAAGATACAAAAAGTTACACTGTTAACTTCTGATCTAGATCCTGTTCTTTTTGTGATTTGAAGTTGATGTCAGCAACCTCATTTATGTTTCACTCAGGTGTGTGTTATGTCTATAAACAATCTTACTAGGACCACAACACTAACTCTCTGCAAACTGGGCTTCCTGGATTCATTTAATAAACTCTCCAAAATACATCTGCGAGCATCGCCAGTTTAACAAATAAATCAAAAAGTAAGTAAGTAAGTAAGTAAGTAATAAGTAAGTAAGTAATCTTTTATTATACCGCCTTTTCACTGCAGATCTGAGTCTCAAAGCGGTTTACAATTGTTAATTTTGGGCATTTATCTCTCACTCCACACAGAGATGGGAGCGGGGTCGCCAGTACAGGAGGCACATGCTAGAACTATTGGACATATTTTTAGTGGTAGGGGAAACCGGAGTACCCGGAGGAAACCTACGCAGACACGGGGAGAACATGCAAACTCCACTCAGAAAGGCCCTGGTCCGACCGGGATTCGAACCCAGGACCTTCTTGCTGAGAGGCGAGAGTGCTATCCACTCAGCCACTGTGCCGTCTGTTCTTGCTAGGGATGGAATAAAAAAATAGCGCAGAAAGACAATTTGGAAGTAAAATTATGAATAGAAGATAAAGCCTTAACAAATATGGAAAATAAAGCCTACCTTGAACTTCTTCTGATACACCAGCTGATTTTTTTGAATAGAAAACCAGCGTCTAAAGGTCAACACAAAAACAGTTAATGTTTAGCGGGGCTTCCCCGTTTAAAAAGTACATTTAGCTCCAGCGGCTGCACATGGAGCTGCTCCGGACAGTCACCTGCTCCAGGTCTTGAAGGCGTTGCTGGCTCTCTTGTAGAGGTAGCCCTCCATTGCAATCCCATTGGCTGCATCTGCGTTGAAATCCATTATGGAGTCATCATAGGACACATCCTGGAGAGTTTTAAATAAAGGGTTCAAGATTTAGCATCAAAAAAGGTTATAGTGATGAAATGATGTTGGACAAGTCACCTTTTTCTTGATGGCAGCGTGCCTTTGCTCCATGTCCCTCTTTTCTCTGGCAGAATTTAGAACGAACTGTGTGTACTGTAGAGGAAACAACAGGTTATCATTCACACGCTTATTCATTACTTTAAAGAGAAGGTCAGTCACTTTTCAAATTGGGAAGATGGAGACACATTTTTTTAATGCAAGCACACAATAGACCCACCCCCACGAGTTCCTGATTGGACAAAAAAAATTAAATTCCTGATTGACAACTGAGGCCTTTGATCTAACTTTACTCTTCCAGAAAACTTTACTGGTGGTTGTTAAGTCAAGGGGAGGAACCGTTTTTACTGTATTTATTAAGAAAAATACTTAATGCAAATACATGTATCTTTTTTTTCTTTCATTTGGTTTTTCTTTAGTTTTTTATGTGACTACATCGCAACTTGCTACCACTAGCATGCACCACGTGCTGTAAACTACCTTTTCCAATAGAAAAAAAATACTTTATATTCATATTTTTTGTAACATCAATATTAAGTATACAAGACATCACCTTTAACTATCTGGTTAATTCTGTAAGTTTTTTTGTGATCCCTTTTAGTTTAAAACTAGTTTTAAACTACACAAACTCCCAATGCACATCTGATCTTGCAGCCTCCCTTGTTAATATTTACAGTCCAACCACTGAACCATTGCACGAGCAGCACATACTGTATCTTGCTTACACACACAAGAACTGAAGAGTGTAGGCGGAGAACACACATTGACACACTAATGCTGTCGACTTTGTGAAATATTTCCTGTTGTTGCGAGAGTTTTCCTGCCCCAGTGACAGCATGAAGTCATTTGCACGTCAACCAGCAAGAAATACCAAGACAAAACACACGCTATAGTTTAGAGCGGAGCTTCTCCATATTATCTGCCAGGCCCCCGTGGAAAGAAGAAAACATTAGCCTGGCCAGCCCATAATTCAGGCCTGTTTCTTGCAGTGATGTATTTGTCACATGTACAGAACGCAGACTGTTGCGCTGAGCCTGGATATCAGAGCCACAGTGCATGTATTTTTCAACCAGTGGGCCGTGGGACGTTAATGTGCCTTGAGATGTTGCTTGGTGTGCCTTTGAAAATTATTCAATCAATCAATCAATTTATTTGAGCAGGTCATACAAAACAAAAAACAATCCAATAGGAAAACATTTCAAGAAAAAGTAGACACAGCTCAAAGGGAGTAAGCCGAAGTAAAATACTTGTGTGAGCTTACCCCACAATATCATGTAATCGTTCAAAATAATGTGAAACAAAATTAGTGAACATTAGAAATACTTTTTTGTGCTGGTTTGATTCTTTATATATAAAACACTTTAATGAGAAGGACTTTCTATTGTTTATCCTGGCTGCAGAATTTCAGTTTTGCATCAGTTGTGTGCCATGTGATTGTTTTCACTGAAAAGGGTGCGCCACGGCTCAAAAAGGTCGCGGAACACCAAGGTTGGGAAATACTGACCTAAATCACCAACCATCACTGATCTGATCAATATGAAGTCTTCACAAAACCGCTGTCATTCACTACAAAGCCACCTCAATTAAGATTAAGAGATCCTTTTTTTGGGCCCACACTGGGGAAATTTCAGTGTTGCATCACCAGTTATAGGACGTAAGAATGAGGAGCACACAACACAAGATCACAAATCACAATAACAAATCTCTAACTTTAGCGTAATAAGAAAGCAAGTCTAAAAATGCTCCATTCTTGGTGAGGAGACAGAGAATGTGGAATCCAGTCACAGTGCGTACAACAACAATGAAATGTTCCCTTCAATCACACCAAACATGAAAGTAGTGTTAGAACTATGGAGTGATAGTTGCTGTACTAAGTGTGCACATCATTCAGAATCAGTCTATAATCCAATAAAGAAATATCTACACTGTTTTTATGGGTATTTTAATTCTATCCTCATTGAAATAAAGGTGAATTTTGTGAAATAATGAAGCGAATCCAAACTTTTGAACAGCAGTGTATATAGCCACATACAGCAGATAAGGCCATCTTTGAAAGCAAAAGTACCAATCTTATGCACCAGGTTAAAAAATTCTGTTTTTATTTTATTGCAGCATGAATAAGTCTCCAGCTGCGAGGAAATTTACGGCAAGACGAACAAATGAGCGTTACCTCGTCGCTGAGTTTCTGCCGATACTCATCCAGCTCGGAGAGAGACTGGTGGCTGTACTGGAAGAACTGGGCCTGCGCGTCCATTAAAGACAGGAGCTAACAAAAACATGCACACATTACGACAAAAGTAGAGTATAGACACATGCAGAGACTTTGGAAAGTGAACTCACTGCCATCAGGACTTCAGTCTTCCTCTTGGCCTCAATGACATTTATCTGAAATAGAAAGAAAACCGTGGTTGCAGAAAGTGGACAGTGAGGCATTCAAAGTCGACGACCACAAAACTCGAGGCCCTGAGGCTGGACTGTTATCACCAAAACATCACAAACTATGAATAATCTGGGCAGGCAAAAGTCTCATGAGAAAAAGTTTCAATTTGTTCTTTCTGCATGCTTTCTTGAAACAATTGGAGCTACAGTATTATCAGCAATATAAGTCATAACACTAACAGTCAATATGTATTTGTGGTATTTTTAGAGGGAAAGGTTGGAAATAAAAATCCCACACAATCAATATAAACTACTACAGCTTGTAATACTATAAATACTACAAAAGAAGGAAGTACCAAAAGTAAGAAGTCATCATTATACAACAAAATGTAAAAAAATAAAAAAAAAAAGCATATTAAGTAATAAGTCCTATACAAAGGCACTGCAAATACTACAGTACATACAAAGTTACCAATAAAAACCTTTTCAAACATTTCAAAACAATGTTAGATTGTTCCCAACATAAATGATTGAATAAAGTACAAATACTGCAACTACTACACATATAAATATTAAAATAATAGCACACATGAGAATATATGTAACAAGATTGGAGAGTTAAATCGTGTCAAAATTTGGCAGCAGAAATTCCACATAAAGAGTCCAAAGTAAGTCTAGGTGCACAAATACTGCATTATCAATCCATAGTGTTATATTTATCTCTCATAATGCAGTGTGTTCTACTTCCTCTCACCTCCAGGACATAATCCAGGGCCTCAGAGCGAAACACTCGCCGGGCGTTCAGTAAGGCGTTGCTCCCTTCCTCCACCTCGTGTGGTTTTCCCCGCGGGGCCTGGGCATTCTTCGCCAGCGCTCCCTCCAGGCCTTCGCTGCTGCGTTCAAACTCTTTACGCACATCTTTGAAATGCCGAACATCTCTGCCGCACACAAACAATCATTCGGGAAACCAATATTGACAGAACGTAATCGTGGATAAGCTTCAAATGACAGTAAATTCAAATCTAATATGATACTGACTCTTTTACGAAGGTCTGGAGCTTGGACTTGACAGACTTCTGTGTAGTATCAATGACTTCCTAAAACACAGAAGTTGCGGGAAGAACAGTGAAAACCATGACTTTGCAGAATACTTGTTCGACAACACTCTGCTGGTGATAGATATCTTTTCTTCTTGTTAGTGAAGGGCAAAGGAACTCCCAAAGGACAAGGCAACAGTGAGAAATTGACCCAGTCTCACCCCGTAGGCATCCACAATGTCAGAAAGCCTTCTGGAAAATGTGTCCAGACAATCCTGCAAGAAAGACATGGAGCTTTCATCAAAGGGCCAGATGTGTGTGTGTATGTGTATGTGTGTGTGCATGTGTGTGTGCATGTGAATGTGTGTCTGTGTTTGTGTATGTGTGTATGTGTATGTGTATGTGTGTATGTGTGTATGTGTTTGTATGTATGTGTATGAATGTGTGTCTGTGTATGTGTACAGTATGTATGTGTGTCTGTGTGTGTGTATGTATGTGTGTCTGTGTGTATGTATGTGTGTTTTGTGTGTGTGTGTGTGTATATTTGTGTATATATGTGTGTCTGTGTCTGTGTGTGTCTTGTGTGTGTATATATTTGTGTATATATGTGTGTCTGTGTCTGTGTATGCAGGTTTTTGGGGTGGACATGTCATATTTCAATATAGGAGTAACTCAACATTGACCTACTTGCAGTTCTAGTACCTGGATTTTTTTTCTTCATAAATAGCTCCAACAAGAACAATGTTGTGAACAAATCAGAACTCAACATGCAGACTTCCTCTAATTGGAAATAATAATAATGCATCTGTTTTATGTAGCACTTCTTTTGGACGCTTCGCATGTCATTATTCTTTCACTCCATACACGGTGGAGATGAACTACTAATATAGTAATAGTAATACTAACACTATACTAATATTTATTCCATCACAACAACTATCAAAGAGAGGACAGTCACCATGTTTTGTTATTTAAAAAATGGGTTAATAAAATAATAATAATTGACATCGGTTACCTGTGGGTGACAATGTTTTTTTGTACTGTCCCTGTCAAATAAATAAATAAATAAATTATCAGTCAAAATTAGTCAAGACTTCAGCTTCTGTTGGACTCAGGACAAACCAAACTTCTGTATATTTTTGGTGTCCCAGCTTTAAAGATGGAATCAATTTTCAACTATGACTAACTTACGACTTCAAACATGACCTAAATATTAATGCATTGTCAAACCAGGAAGTTTGTGCAATAATAACTTGTTCTGTGACTGATGCCACTGAGAGATACCCGCGTCCGTGTCTTGTTATGGGAATACCCGGGTGAAAGATGACAGAAAGCCACACAGAGATAAGGTATAAATAGCCGCAGCAGATAGGAGTGGGCTGACCTCTATGAGAGCGTCCCGGGAGCAGTGGCCCAGCTCACGCAGACCCTGGATGAAGATCTTGCTGCTCTGACAGTAGACCTTCCCCGCCTCCAGCATGGCGTGGCATTGCTTTACCGACTGCATCACACATAATGGGAAACACACGAGTTAGCGGACAATAAGCCAGTGTTCAATGTTAATGACCGAGTATTTGAACAATGGAAAACATAATCCCATCTCTGGTAATGGAAGAGTGATGATGCAGTTAAAAATCACTACTACACTCAAAAATGACAACATGTAAGGCAGTAAAGGCTTGAATGAAGTAGTGAAAAATAAAGTTTATCTTGAATTTAGCAAACAATAATTGCCAATGGGACAAGCAAGCGAAAAGGTCTTATTTAAAGTGGTCACATTTTAATCTCAATCCAGCTTGATGGTCTGAAATAGTGATTTTTACCCGTCCCATTGCCAAATCTTGTTTTGTATTAATGCACTAAAATCAAGACTATCCATGATACTGATGCGCTCACTTCTTGTGTATTTTTGCTAGCCTAATTTTGACTTATTTTTAGTAACGTTTTTGATGTAATTATTGACCTTTATTTAACCAGGAAAGTGCCTCTGAGATTTCGGAATCTCTTTTCCAGGGGAGTCCCGGCCCCAGAGACAGGGGGAAAAGTTAGCCACATTTTAGGCACATTTCTGTCATGTACTTGAAAGAAAAGCACTTTTATATTGAATTTTAGCCATTGATAGGCAGCTTGTTGAAATAATACTTACATGGCTCTTGAAAATTAAAGTCTTAAAGTTAATAATTCACAATGATTTGGGTCAGGGGCAAAAGTGACAAAAGCTACATTTGGGCAAAACAGGTTTAATTGAGATGTTACTGGACTCCAGCATTGGTGACATGTTGCTCTTCTACTGCTAACGCTATGGAAAGACTCTGGTATGTGAGGACAACACGTTTCTATTATTGTGTTATGTTAGTTACAGTGCCTTGCGAAAGTATGAAATGGAAGGACTATCAGACCACTGCAAATCTACCAAGACCCGGCCGTCCCTCCAAACTTTAATCTCAAACAAGGAGAAGACTGATCAGAGATGTAGCCAAGAGGCCCATGATCACTCTGGATGAACTGCAGATAACTACAGCTGAGGTGGGATTGTTGTCCATAGGACAACCATCAGTCGTGCACTGCACAAATCTGGCCTTTATGGAAGAGTGGCAAGAAGAAAGACATTTCTCAAAGATATCCATAAAAAGTCTCGTTTAAAGTTTGCCACAAGCCACCTGGGAGACACACCAAACATGTGGAAGAAGGTGCTCTGGTCAGATGAAACCAAAATCGAACTTTTTGGCCACAATGCAAAACGATATGTTTGGCGTAAAAGCAACACAGCTCATCACCCTGAACACACCATCCCCACTGTCAAACATGGTGGTGGCAGCATCATGGTTTGGGCCTGCTTTTCTTCAGCAGGAACAGGGAAGATGGCTGAAATCGTTGGAAGATGGATGGAGCCAAATACAGGACCATTTTGGAAGAAAACCTGTTGGAGTCTGCAAAAGACCTGAGACTGGGACAGAGATTTATCTTCCAACAGGACAATGATCCAAAACATAAAGCCAAATCTACAATGGAATGGTTCACAAATATACGTGTAATATAGGTGTTAGAATGGCCAAGTCAAAGTCCAGACCTGAATCCAATCGAGAATCTGTGGAAAGAGCTGAAGACTGCTGTTCACAAACGCTCTCCATCCAACCTCACTGAGCTCGAGCTGTTTTGCAAGGAAGAATGGGAAAGAATTCCAGTCTCTCGATGTGCAAAACTGATAGAGACATGCCCCAAGCGACTTGCAGCTGTAATTGCAGCAAAAGGTGGCGCTACAAAGTATTAGCGCAAGGGGGCCGAATAATATTGCACGCCCCACTTTTCAGTTTTTTATTTGTTAAAAAAGTTTAAATTATCCGATAAATTTCGTTCCACTTCACGATTGTGTCCCACTTGTTGATTCTTGACAAAAAATGTAATTTTTATATCTTTAATGTTTGAAGCCTGAAATGTGGCGAAATGTTGAAAGGTTCAATACTCTAATACTTTCGCAAGGCACTGTATATTGGATTACGTCTGTTAAAACAATAGACTGAAAATTTAGGAATTTCCAAAGATAAGTTAGAACATGCCGCCACCAGTGTCTCTTACTGGAATCATGTTTGATCTCTTAATCCACAGACAGAGGGTGTGGATGTCTCACACTTAACCTGAATCTCACTGGTGTTGAATACAGCCAGACCAATCAAAGATATTAAATGCATTTTTCACATTTCCCAGTTGGTCATTGTTTTTGTGTGACGTCCTGACAACTCACTTCAACTAATATTTTTTTATTCTGTCATTTCCATGTGTTGCCCTGTACATACATAGATACGTAGATAGATATTTTATTGGCATTTTATTCAGATGTCCAGCAGCAGAAAACACATACATAAGTACATCAATTATAAACATTTCTAACTAACTAACATGTCTAACTACCTTACAATAGTGTATAGTATAAAGATGGCCATTGTAGTGAACATTAGTGTTATTGTAAAAACTATTTCTCAAACCGCTGCTAACATGGGAGAGCGCACAATTTCCTCACTTATATTTCATAGCAGGGGTCTCCAACCTATATATAGCCACTAGTAGCTCGCCGCCACTATCATAGTAGCTCCCCAGTGAAAAATGTGTTGTAAATGCCTTCTTATTATAAGCTTTGTACACTCATTAATTATAATACATTGTTTCCAAGGTATAAGACTCAACTGCGAAAAAAATTACAAAAGAGTTAGAAATTGTCCAAATTTGGCAAGATTAATAAAAGAACCAAATTTACAATTGCTTTATGCATGCTTGAAATAAGTACACACACCTCACACAAAATAAGCAGGATGCTAAATCAACAGTGGACAGTTTAATAAGTGGGTTGGACGAAGTAGGTGCTTATTTGGAAAATGTATTCAAAATAAAAGATTTTAATAAACACTTCATTGTATCACACCCATAGATCAAATCAACGTCTTTGTCTAAAGGGAAAAGCTCACTGCCACTTTTGTCCCTTTTTACATTTATTTCTTCCTACTTCTCTGCTTTTAAGACGGTGCCATTATTTCAGCTCAGTCCTGTGCGAGGCGACACCGTGGAAAGAATAAAGGCTCTTTTCTCTTATGTAATGACAGTGCGAGGGAAAGACTTGACTCCCCTTGTTCAACGAGTCGTGCCAGAAGGAATCATTGGGCAGAAGCAATTTGGAAAACCTAATTTGGCTGCGAGCCCAAAAAACCCAGTTCAGCCAGTTCTGAGTAAATCCTACTCTCGCTGTTATAATGTTATGGCAGACAAGAAAGTTAACGCAAAGTTCAATGGGCACTTGTTCGCAGCATTTGAGGAAGAGGAATTTGATATAAAAAAAAAAACAGGGAAATTCAGGATAGTTCTTTAAGTGACCTGATTTTTAGAGAGGAAGCATCCACAGCCACTTCCAGCAACAAAAGAAAATAACAACAATAATTTAGAATAATTACACGTGGAGCATTCTCACCTTGTCTAAGCGAGTTTCCAGCTCACTCACATCAGTCTGGACCACTTCAATTTCAGCTCTGCAAAGAACACACACATCACATTTAACATAACATTTATAATAGTACATGTAATAATAAAATGTCATGTATTGTAAAATAAATAAACATTAACAAAGCAGGCTTATACCGGGCACAATTTAAAATCATATATTCTGTTGTTTGTCTATAAAACTGAAAATGTACAAACAAATAAATGGTAGCACAGGAAACGCACTATGACGCCACAAACTCATAGCTCTCTAAAAACAGAACCTTCTAACTGTGAGATTAACACTGGCACCAGTTTTTGTGTGCACTGATACAAAATGAGAGTGGGATTGTCTGAAGAATCTAAAAGAAACTAACTTTATTTTACTGCCTGACCCATAGTTCTGCACAAATGATGACAATCAAATGTTAGTGGCCACAAATATCCAATCGCAAGACTGCATGAATTGAGGTTACCGTACATTATTTCCTTTACAATCAGAAAATAATTGTGTGGGATAGTATGTAAATCTGCCTACACCCGTGTTGAAAGCACTGAATCACGCTTAGAAATACAAGAATCACTGCAAATATAAAATTAGCAAAAAATGTCTTGAATTGAATACATTCTGACCGTTTTATCCAAGGCCAGTCCAGTCTTATCAAACTTCACTCACAGTTGTTGTTTGATTTCAACAAATGAAATGTAATGCAAGGTGCACCTTGAACGTTCCCTGAGCTTAATCAGAAAAATCTAGCCTGGCCCTGGCCATCCATACACTCCGGTCAATCATCATTTCCCTGCATGTAATTTGTACAATGGTGTGGCACAACCAGGCTAAGAAAAATTGCAAATGTAAAGGCACTCCTCTCTCATGGACATTCATAAGTTTAATTCTAAGCCTATGAATACAATTCAAAAAAACATGGTGGGGGTAAATATTCTTAAAAAGGTCACATTTGTTATAGCTGTAAAAATTACACAGTGTGGCTTTAAAATGGTGCAGCCCCGACCAACCAAAACGATTTTTTTCCTCCAGTTCAAAGGCCCTCAGACAAACCTATAAGTGAAGGTGACATCAGGCTCCATCAGAGGCAGGTGAAGGAGCCATGCCTAGTGTCTCCTGAACTAAATTAACCTCTTATGGCTTCCTGTGGCCCAGAAAATAGACTTTAAAACAGCTCTGCATATGTTCAAGTCTCTCCATGGCCTCGACCAAAGTGCATCAGTGACATATTAGTGCCATATGAACCAAAGCAGACTCTGAGGAGCACAGGGACTGGCCTCCTGTTGGTGCCTACAGTCAGAGCTAAACACGAACAGGCTTCATTTCAGATTCACGCAGCTAAAATCTGGAAGTCTTCCTGAAAATGTGAGACAGGTTTCTTCTCTGACAATGTTTAAATCCAGGTTCAAAACAGTTCTGTTTAGCTGTGCATAAAAATTAGGGATTTTATCTTCACTCTTTTTAATGAATGGTGATTATTTATAACTTTAATGCCTGATAGTTTCTATCTTGCTTTGTTCAGCACTTTGAGTTGCCTTATGTATGAATTGTGCTATACAAATAAACTTGCAGGTGTAAACATGGATTTACCAACACCAGAGATTCCAGATCCTATGCAGACACAAGGAGAACATGCAAACTCCACTCAGAAAGGGCCGATCTGGAGGTGCAATCGAACCCAGAGCCATCACCGTGCCACTCATAGGGCATTGACTCGAACAACTACAGTTACATTTAGTAACTTTTTGACTGTTCTACACAAATGGCACTCGGCACATGTTTCAAGGGCAGCTTTGATCTTTGGTCGATGCGAGAACTTGTCATTTATCGCAGACCGGTGCCCGTTCTGTGCCGTTTGATTATGGCATGAACATGTTTTCTCTTCCCTGTCATCTTTAGCAGCGGCGGTTGGAGCGTGTGGTTTCCGCTGCCTTCCACCAACAGTACAGAGACACAAGGAGGGGGCCGAGGCTGGAACAAGAGGCCCACTCACACGGGCACCAAGGGACGACTGGGGTCAAGTCCTTTTCCAACACAACAACTTTATTCCATCAAAACAGCAGCTGAGGCAGAGATTTAATATTGTTGTTATTATTCTATTGAAACAGTTTATTTACAGTTGCTGCAAGGAAATGTTGCTGATGATGTGCTATTGACTGAGAGGTTTTAACATGACAAGATAAAGTCGCCCTATACTCGACCAGAGAAACAGATTAGCCCGTTTTGAATAAAAAACACACAAAAATCTTAGATATCCGACTTAAATAACTTGAAAATGTTTTAATGCTAAATTAACTAGCCGCTAAAAATGACATGAACATTATGGAGGGCTTGTTTATCAAAGTAACTTCACATTTTTTTGTGTTTTCCCATTGGAATTAAATACAAAAATATTAAAAAGTTGCATAGATTGTACTGTAGTTCATTTGTTTCATGAATAATGTTTTTTTCCAAAGCATTAGTCAACTCAACTCATTAGTAGAGCTTCAGGATTTTAGTGCACCTTAGTTTGAGCACATTCTTTGCCAATGGGACAAGCCAATTATCTTGTTTTAAAATCATACAAGAAATGTCTCCATTGGAAAGAAAAAAATAGCAACAGTTCTTAAAATAAGACTAAATAGCTTCGTCTTGTTGGCAAATCTTGTCAGAATGTGCTGAAATTATTACACCACTGGATTCAAGCATTTATACAACCACATATTTTATCGTTTTTGCTGAGAATGTAGCATTTAAGGCATACATTTCAGTGTATATTGTCACTTCTAATAGCTTTGAGACATGTCGTCACTACTCCCTTTCAACATGTTTGAGTTAACAGAGAATCTCTTTGGCTCAGAGCTGATTGGTTGAAAGAGGGTGGTCCTCTCTTTATCACTTTACCATTTGAGAAACCTGATCTAAAGGTGTGACGGTGACTAAAAATACAAGAATGTGAAAACTGGAAATGAAACCAAACTATTTTAAAAGCGAGGAACCAGATACATTGATTATATTTCATAGTGTAATTTGTTGTGGTTTTGAAAATTAGGTAACCCAGCTTTAATTCAAAGAAGTGTATGATACTGTATGTCATTGCAGTAGCAGCACACTTGATCGCGGTTTCCCTGCTGAAACATGGACTTCCTGTCTCTTTTGCTGATCACCTCGTATCTCTTCTCACTTCCTGCTCCCCCGTATCTTAGCAACAGGAGGCAGCAATCTTGCCCCAAACTGAGAGAGGACGTTTATCTCTTTATTTACGTGTCGTCTTATTTTTCTCTTCTTTTTTTGGACTCTGAACCTTTTTCTCTTCTCTCCACCATTCCTCAGTGACAGCAGACTTCAGCGCTTCAGCTTTAGTCACTCTTTCCACCCGCTTCACAGAGCTAATAAGTATTTGCTCCTCCGGGTGAAAATATGCCAGTTCAGCCTCTGCAGACCAAGGCACACCCTGACAAAAGCGAAGGACTTCTTGCAAAACCATCGTAACGACACTTCCCATTTGATTGCAACAGCTGTGTGAATACAAACAATGTTTAATGGCTGGTAAAGCTCGGGTACCTAACTTTCAACCTCAAAAATGTAACTGTCATTAAAAAAATCCATGTAATTAGTTCCTCGCTCTCAAAACAGCTTTGTTCTATTCTGGTTTTCACATTATGGTATTTTAGGCCCCTTTCACATCTTTGGATCAGCTATTTCAGTCAGAAAAAGTGAAAAAGAGAGGACCAACATTACCCAAAGAGTCAAACAGTGACTCACAGGGCTTACCCCCGTTTTCAAAAAAATTACACGTTTTCTAATGAAGACACTATGTTGTGGTCTGATTTGTTCATGGCATCGAACTTGTCCAAGACATTTTCTGTTGAGAATTTATTAATCGTCACGTTTATTAAATGTCACGTACCCCAGCTTTAAGATTTGAGGGATATAGTTGTAATAATTGAAAATAGGGGAACACTCTTTAAATTCTAAATATAGCAAGCAGTGATAATGCTGTGTGCAGGTAACAGCAAATACTTTATATAGACTATTCTTTCTATCTTCTGCCTTTACTGAGGCTTTGGCTGCCACTTGACAACACCTCTTTACCCAATATGGTTCCATGATACAACACATAAATAAAAACCTTCCACTTGAGACCTGTTAAAAGTTTAAAGTACGTTTTTGCCTTAGAAAAACAAAATGCATTGAAATGTTCACAATGACAAGTCAGAACTTCTTTGTCAGATACATTGGTCAACTTTAGTTTGAATACAGCTGTCAGCAGTTCAATAAGTAATGAATGTTCAGTATATTGTTCAAAAGTATAGACACACACACACACACACACTATTATTAGTGAACTGGGTGGGAAGGGATGTCTCTATAGGAGGTCCACCTTTATACTATCAAGGAAAATCACCTTTGACTTGATAAGGGTGAAATAAAAAATAAAAAAACATATTTAAACATATTTTTGCATGGTATTTTGTGGCAGTGACTACAGACAAAGATAGATAGGATAGATATAGAGATATAGACATAGTTAGAGAAAGATATTTAGTTATAGAGAGCATGTATAGATAGATATAGATAAGATAGGATAGATATTGTAATAGTGGATTTGTGAAAAATGGCATTGAATCTCAGATGGACACTTACCTAAAGCGAGGAGAGTCTTTCAAACACTCCTCAAAGTCCATCTTTACAGTCATATTTAGTCTCCTCTGTGTCAAAGTAATCTTCTTGCACTCCTTTGGCAGTTGTTTTGGGTTGTTTTGACTCTTTGCAGCGGCGTTTACGTCATTTTTACACGCGGAAATCTTTCAAAATTCTTAAAATTCCTCCAGTCCAAACTTGGTCCCAAACTGTATCAGCCGTGTGCGTGCGTCTGCCTCCAAATCCAAGCGCTGTCACGTCAGTCCGTGCTCACTGAAAATCCTCACCTGTTACGTTGTTACCAGCATGATTTGGGTTTAACTTGAGCGCAATAAAGGGGAAGCTTCCACGTGATTTCAGCTGGAGAGATATTATAAAGAACACGTGTCCAAAAAGTACCAAAAGTTTATCCCCAAATGAGAGAGCGCACGTCCCGGGTTGATCCTCCCTGTCAGCCGACTCTAGCAAACTGTCTCAGGCGCAAAAAAAAAAAAGAGACTAAAAGACCAACCCCTAAACTTGCATCGCTGTTTCCGGGTTGTTCGCTCGTCATTGTGGTTGGAAAGCAGTTTTTTTTTTTTTTTTTTTACATTTTCTCAGAACGAAAATTGTGTATCAAGTTCGTATAGCATAGTGGATGCATAAAGAAATCAAGCCAATCTCCATAAATAAAAAAAATAAAAATTTTTATATATGTATGTATGGTGTGCTATGTTGTAATATATTGAGTGCAGAAATCTGGGTGTGTATTCTTGTCTAGCAACCTCATGCTTTGTTGTTGGTGAGGTGTAAAAAGACAGTGTGTAAAACAAGCCTCATGTCCAGTTACGCAGGCCTCAAAAGACACAACAAAAGCCTGTTTTGTTTTTTTTTTCTTACAGCGCGTTGGGAAACTTTAAAATGAGAGATCTGCACTTTGTCATCTTCGTGGTTCAGGGCTCAGCAGCATGTGTAATTACTGCGGCTCAGATGGCTTTGGTGGGAGGCTACTGTACTGTGTGTACCTCTGCAGTCACTACTCTAACTCTAAAATTAACTCCTGAAATGGCTTTGTTTGGAAAAAAAAGTCTATATACAAACATGGCGTAAAGCGTGTGATGGTGACGTCACATACAGCAGAATAACCAACCTCTTTTCAAACATTAAATAATACATACCACCATTCAGAGTCTCACATTCTCAAATCAACAGTGTGTCCGTGTGGGGACAGTTTGTCGCCCCCTGGTGGTCTTAACACCACACTGACATGTCCTATTTTCTATATATCTTTAAATCCGTCAATAATCTCCTTGTTTTGATGATGACACGCTATAGTAGACTTAAATCAACAGGATATGCCTACCATAGCACTAATCCGGCAGTTTAAGACTTTTATCTTGGGTGCATAACAAAGATACGCTTCATTAATATCACCAAGAGGATGATTTTTAGATATTTTATTTAAGTTGTGTGTAGTTTTGCCTATATTGTTATAAGACGTATGGGTAGAGATGCATATAGTTTTGGCCGTTGCTGTCGTCAGTGATGATGGAGTGGACTTAAACGTGCCCAAACTAAAGTTGCGTAAGAGCTCGCGCAATCACTGAAAATATGTATTGAATGCGTGCATCATTTGGAAAATCAAAGCAATGTGCTAAACTTGGAAGCTTGACAGGTTCTGAGTTGTGTTTGACAGGAGATCCCCTACGCATCGGCCCAGATGTCAAGCCAAAGTTGATCACGCAAACCACTTCCCGTTTCTCATAATTTACCTTATTATCTTATTAAAACGCAAACACTTCCAATGCATTTAGTGTGCATGTGTTTGGACTGATTAAAGCACTCTGACTGCTGCGTATTGTATTCCAAATGTTAATCCTTGAGAATGAATGAATGCGCTTTGGTAACGTTGCGTTAGTCACGTGTTTGGTGCTTTTACTTTGGTCTGCAGTGCGCGCACTTCCGGTCCTCACTTGTGCCACTTTACGCGCGTCAGTGTGTAGTCTGCGTTCGGGAGAGGAGCTGCACAAGCGCGTCTCCACAATGCGGCCGTGAAGTGCAGCTTGTAGTAAACGGGAGAGGAGGGACACCGGGCGGACAGCAGCTGCAGGGGCCACACGCACGCACCCACGCACCGGCCCCCGGGGGAAGCTGTCAACATGTCGAACCGCAAACACCGGGACAACCAAGAGATCTGCTCCCGTAAGGTCCGTGAGCTGGCCCAGTCCGGAGTAAACAAACACTGCTTCGAGTGCAGCCAGCCCGGGGTCACATACACGGACGTCACGGTGGGCAGCTTCATTTGCACGTCGTGCTCTGGAATGCTGTAAGTAAACGACCCCTGACTCCCTTTTCATTGGGCATGTAATTCATGTGAGGGCATCAGCGCAGACACTCGAAGGAGCAAAAACAGAGTAAAAGTAACAGGCCTACAGATTGCACCATATGCACCACCCTTTGACAGCTCGAGTGCCTCACAGTTTGTACATGGCCGTGACAAAGCCTGTGTTCATTTACACATCTCTCCCATGTTTCTCTGCCCTCCTCCGATGTAGCTTCACAGACCGCTTGTTCCAGCTCCGTTATAACGCCATGGTGCAGGTTTGACACTACCTTTCTCTCTCTCTCTCTCTCTCTCTCTCTCTCTCTCTCTCTCTCTCTCTCTCTCTCTCTCTTGTTAGGCTCTACTCTCCGGTTGTGGGCGTGTATGTGTCTATCTCTCACATTTTGTTCTGCATGTCCAAGCTCCAGGAAGATTCCTCCTGCCTCCTGTCCTACAGCGCAAATCCTCAAGCACAAACCTCACTGTCTTTTGCATGTCCAAAATTACAGGTTGTCCAAAATACTCTTTCACAATGGGGTGGATTATGGGTTGTGGTACCTTGCACAACAACCCTGACCTTAATATCAACAGCACATGTCAGCTGTCCCCTCTCCAGCCTCCTTTTGTGTTTCTTGTGTCTAAATTTCACTGCTCATCTTGTTTCTGTCCCAGGAGAGGCCTCAATCCTCCTCACAGAGTCAAGTCTATCTCCATGACAACCTTTTCGCAACAGGAAGTGGAATTCCTGCAAAACCATGGCAATGAGGTGAGAGCACGTACTTTGATCAAGTTTTCATGAACTGTATCGGTTTGTTCAACCTGCTTTGATACCAGGACTATAGCTGTCAAATTCTCCCAACCACAATCTGTTTGCTTTTGCAAGACTGTGTAGGTTGTAATCCTTCCTGAGCTTATATCACCACCACCGCTGCTGCTGCCGCTGCTCTCTGCTGCTGCTGCTGCTGGCGTAAAAGCAGAAGCAGTGCTCTCCTTCTCCTCTTCATCATCACTGGACATCATCATCAGCATCACAGTGTTATGGTCGCTCATGATTCATGTCCAGGCATTAGTGCAGCTCCCGGACCTTTAAACCAGGGATGACTCAACATGAGGCTATCATAATAATTGCAGGTTGTTCTATCTAGACAATCCTGGTTTGACCTGCTGATTCAAAAAAAAGCTCACCGCCTTTTGGAATTTGTTTTGTATTATATTCAAATTTGACCCTTTAATGTTCACTTATTTAAGAAATAAATGTAAAAATGTTTTTTACCCCCTTTTTAATTATAGGCCTCAAACAAATGGTTGAGAAGCAGCTTGATGTTAAAAATGCCTTAAACTAAGAGAAAGAGATGCACCAAATAGGTAGATTTCAGTTTCAAGCTTCAAGTAGAGATTGTGACTCAATAAGTAAACCACCAAATAGTTGAGGAAACTATGAAAGGGTTATTACATGGTATAAGTACATGGTATAATTGTGAAACGGCTCTTTTATTATCACTGTTAGTTGATATTTCCGCTCTTTTGTCTGTGCAGGTTGGGAGGAGGACGTGGCTGTGTATATTTGACCCAAAGACGGACAGCTGCTCCGACATGAAGGACTCGCAAAAGTTTAAGGAATTTCTTCAAGACAAATATGAGAAGAAAAAATGGTGCGCTTTTTCAACCTTTGTACATTTTACCCGCAAGTCTTCAATCAAAAGCAGAATAAAAGCCGCTTTGTTTCACGGAGATCCTTGGCCTTCTTTGGGCGCTCTGTAACACAATGTGATCGCTCTTCTGGCCTTAACACAACTTAAAACTGAATGAGCTCTTTATGAACTCAATACTTTTGCCTTTATGTCATTTATTAAGTGATTGACTCATTCTCATGTGTGATCCCAGTCTCTGCTATTTAACAAACAGTTTTAAAAATGTTCTCTTTCAGGCACTTTTCAAAATGTAAAAACCGCAGGGACGTTGAGGGTCCTTGGAGTCCAGTTCCATCCATGCCTCCGTCTCTTGGTCCTTTGACTGGGCAAGGTCCCACCCACAATGTCAGAGCTCCAAGACCACTGGTAAATTAGTATTGAATATAAGTTTAAATAATAAGTATTAAAGCTGGGGTACCTTACTTTCAAACCACCAAAACTGGAACAATGTAATAAAGTCCCTATAACTCAGGGGTCTCCAACCTGTAGCTATTTTATTTAAAAATGAACAAATCAAATGATATACTTAATATTTCAGATTGTTTTATTCATTATCCTTATTTATTATTGTAAATGCACTTACTTTGTGCACTAGTAACAAATATTGTATGATAAATAATGATTCTTCCCTATATTAGGCTTGTTCAAACCAATATATCATCAAATTTTTTCCCAGGGCCGCTTAAAGAAGTAGCTCTCTGCCTTTATCGTCTCGGGAAAGTAGCTCTCTGGGTGAAAACGGTTGGAGACACCTGCTCTAACTAGTTTCTCACTCTCCAAACTGTTTTTTACATGCATGTATTTTTTGGCCTTTGACACATCTTCTTTTCAGAGAGACAGGGGAATAAAAGAGTGTACCCCCTCACTCAGTTCAGAGCCCAAAGTGTCAAACAGTGACTCCCTGGGCTCTTTCTTACAAATATGAAAATATAACATAGCAGATCACATGTTGAGGTCTTACTTGTTCAACAAAATTATACTTTTATACTTTTACCAGATTCTTTTTCGCTCAGGACTAACAAACTGTATTATTTATAATGAAAAACAAGTAATGTAACCCCACCTTTAATTTAATTTTAATGTTTAATTGTGACACAAAAAGGGGAAGTGTTTTTTTTTTTAAGGCAGCTGAACAAAAAGGTATAGTTATTCAAAGGAAAGAGAAGTGAAAGTAATAGAATTTGAAAAGAGACTGGAGTTTCTCTCTTCGCTGCAGGAGAGCAGAGTGGGCCAGGTAGCAAACTTCAAAGAGTTATCAATTATTGAAGGAGGTTGAAAGAGACACACCCATACGCTGCTGCTGCCCCCTCCTGCTGTCTCCCCCCTGCTCTCCTGCTGTCGTCCATAACCGGTGTCCGCTGCTCTCTCCTCAGTCCCAGGCCCAGCTACCCCCCTGGGACCGGGGCCCTGCCATCTCGCCGGCCGACATGCGGACAGACGCCTTCACCGCACGGCCGCTGCGATCACAGAGCTTCAAAGACCCTCCCCTCAAAGGTGCGCCTCATTTTTTTAAGGTTTCATGTGAGGTCCAAGGTCAAACTGGGCCAGACTGGGCCAGTGTGGCTGCAGGTTATCGTTTCAATCAAACTGATGAGGATTTAGTTTTTATAATGATCATTTGAACTAATGTCAGAATGTCCACTGTCCCATACTCCTAAAGCCAGAGATTTTTTACTTAATTCTAGCTTCTTTATAATGCAAAAGTTTGAGATAGTTTACTTAATTTTAGCTTCTTAATAATGCAAAAGTTGGACATTTTGTACTTGCTTCTTCATTTTGCTAAAGCTTGAGATTTTATATTTGCTTGTTTATAATCTTAATTCTGTAACTGGTGATGCAACACTGAAATGTACCCACTGTGAGACAAATAAAGTATCTTTTAAACAATAGCTCACCATCACCGTCATCTCCAGTTGGATCCTGGAGACTTGATGAAATGGGTGGAGTCTGGAGAACTGCTGCTCGGTTAGAACAAAAACCATGCAGCCACACGTCCTGGAGGAGCGGTTTGAAGGACTCTTTAGTCTACTAATTCTGAAACTAGTAGTTTAGTTACCGGTTTTATTAAAAGTAAATCTTTTTTTATAATGTGTTTGTCTCTACTAACCTGTGATAAGTGTAAAAACTGGTGAATACAACATGAAATACCAAAGAATGTCTAAACACTGACTGCTGTCAAGTAAACAGTGCGTTGCTATGGAGCTTTTACACACAAGTGGAGCAGTCAAAAGAAGAATTTAAAAAACATTTAAAAAAAAAAGGATAATTTCATGAAAATAATGACATAGAACTAAACTTCTATTCAATTCAATTTAAATAACTTTATTTATTCAGGAGGGACTTCTTTTGCAGATGGAGCACCAGTGGGGATCCTTAAAAACACAGAAATGCAGTTCTACATATTCTACATAAGAAGTCACAAAGTTATTGAGACCAAAAGTCCACACAGTAATCACATTTCCAAAACTAAAAGCCGTAAAATTGACTGCTCTTGGGAATGCAAGTGTTCAGCCACATTTATATAGATTTTTATTTATGCATGCCTTTTTGGATTATTTTCTGCTTTAACTTGTTTGTACCGAGAGCCAAAGCAATTTCCTAGTTTGTGACTTCTTGTTACTCACGTGGCAATAAAAGGATTCTGATTCTGATTCATTTTTGGAGTGTAACTGTTGTGGTTCTGTACTCCCTGTAGATGCTCCTCTGTGCGGCATCGAGAGACAGCGGCCCGGCTCTTTGTCGTCAGGTCTGGGAAGTCACGCCCCGTCTTTCCCCGCCCTCCCTCGGCCTTCAGGTCTGTCACAAACCAAACACCTTTAATGTCCGGACAATTCTAAGGCTCAGTAATGTTTGTTTTCATTGGTTCAACTGCATTAAAGCTGAGGTACCTAACTTATTTCTTCCATAAATATCACATGTTTTTTGTTGTGTGCAAATCAGACCACATCTAGTTTTCTTCATCGTAAAAGAAAACTTGTTATCTTTTGCAGACTTGTGTGAAAGAGCTTAGAGCTGATTGGCTGAGAAGGAGCGACCATTTTTTTCACTTTTCTGTCTGAAAAAGCTGATGTGACTGAGGGCAAAAACACATGTAAACCGAACTGTTTAGTCCGATTGATTACATTAAATGTGGTTTGTGGTTTGAAATGTAGGTACCCCAGCTTTAATCAAATCAATATGTTTTGCCATAACAATATATCTCCAGTGTGATGTAACAGCCAGCTTAGGGGGATATCAAAATACGAGATTAAGGTGTATATAGCAATGTAATGTTGTTTAATTATGGGGTAATTGTAACTTAAAATCACTCTCTAGGCTTTTGATAGTCGTTATAAATCATAAAGCACAAACCGATGTTATTTTATCTTATTAGCCAATTTATTAGCCGATTTACAGGCATTCATACAGACATTATACCGAGAAGTCTTGTGTAACTCTGCAGTGACATTTTCTCCTCTCTTTCCTTCCCAAACTATCCACTTTGTTTGTTTCTTCCCTTAACACTGTAGCCAGTAGCTCCTTCAAAAACCACTTCACTTTAGGTAAGACTTGGCACTGACTGATGCATTTGACTGTGTTGCTGCTGGGATCAATACGCTCTATAGCTTTCATTCATAATAGATGGCCCGTCTATCAGCTGCATCGTTCATAGCTTGCTTGCATTTTGATGTGTATATCCGAGCACAGAAAGAGAAATTACATTATAGCCCAGATATCAAGACAGGGGAGGCTCAAGGAGAGACATCATGTTCCCGAGGAGAGAGGAGACCAAAAAGTTAACCTATTATTAGGCCCTGGCTGCTACCCCACTACCCCCCCCCAAGAGTTTGCACCTTGCTGTCGTCAAACCTCTTCAAACAGTGTGGCTTGGCTCCATTCTGCGCACGCACAAACATAATCATTCTTGTGTTGTCACGATATGAATGTTTCAGATCTCAAAACTAGTGAATGGACTTGATGCCAAATTTGAAACCACAGTGAGTTTGAAAGGCTCTTTTTGATATGGTACTTTTTTGTCACATCACTGCTGTTTTTTTCTACGGTTTTTATATAAAGCAGTGGAGACAGGGAGCAGCTGGTTTCCAAGTTACTCAATGGTGGTCATGAACAAAAATGGCTCAAAAAAACAACAAAAAGATAGTCAGGGCTCAGTTAATTAGAGCAAAATATCCCTGAATCGAGGTGGTCATGGGATCAAAAATATGCAACAAATTCTAAAGAAATAGAACTGCACTATATATCAAAAATAATATACCCATCACTATCGGCAATGCCAATCTTTCTTGTGATAATTCAGGGAATTTCTTTTCATGCTATTTTCACCGATCAAGTGCAACCCCCTAAAGTACTGCTTTGCCATTTGCAAAAGCGAGACCACATTCTCTTAAAATAATACCAAATATATCATCTGGTTTATGCAATTGTAATTTTTTAGATAAATGAAATATTTGATTATGTTTTTTGACACATACAGGTGAAGCTCAAAAAGTTACAATATCATTCAAAAGTACGTCTACTTATATCCTGCCCTTGTGCCAAAAAATGAATTCAAGAAAATAAACAAATGAATCGTAAAGTAAAGTAAAGTAAAAGTATAAAACAATAGTTACAACAAAGCAAAAAAATAAAGAAGATAAACAAAAACAAAACACGAAGATAGATATATATATTTTTTTTACAGTAGATGACCATTTCTATAGCTACATCAAAAACTATTTAGCCTGGCCTTAGCCATCCGTACACTCCGGTCAATAATCATTCCACTGCATGTAACGTCTGGGTCTGGTCCCTGTGTTTGCGATTACATCAGTAGAATTCCATCCGACCAATCAGCGAGCGCGGGAGGCGGGTGTTGTAGTTAGTTGTTGGTGATGTCAAGAGTTTGCGTCGTTCGGGCAGGTTGGTGAAGAATGCGATAGTAAAGTAATCCGGTCTGATTCTATTAACTCAAGAAATTGAAGCCGGAGCAAGAGGAATGTATAGCAAAAGTCATTGCTGGCAAAGATTGTGGCGCTACTCCCCACGGGCTCTGTTAGCGGCAAAGGAGATGGCTAGGCTAAATGCTAAATGCTAACGTCTCACTCGGGCGCATTACATACGTCACAGTAAACTCAGATCCAATCGTTTCAATCTAAAAAAGGAGTTAACCCCTCCCACCTGTTCACGGAGCTCAATGGAGCACGTCCAGACCTTAGTACGAAATGTAATTTGTACTATGGTGTGGTACGACCAGGCTAAAAACTATTCAATGAAATGATAAAATGTGATGGATGTGACTTTTCAGCTAAATCATAATAGTTTGCATATCACTTATTGTACTTTTCCCCAATATGGTGTAGCCCTGTCAGGAAACATTCACATTTTCTAAAAGTATCGATACTTCCTCCATTGAGAATCAAGCTTCAATACTGTTTTTTCAATCGATTTTACTAAGACATTTTGGATACTTTTAACCACTCTACAACTCTCCCAGTGAAGTCCGCACAAAAGTCAGGCCCATTTGATCAGGAGGAGTCTGAGAGCACAGGCCGCTGCTGCATGCTTCACGCTGGATCTCCATCTAATCTGTCTCAGCACGAGTCTTGTCTGGCCTGGATTGTCAGCTGACTCTTTTTTTCCCCCTTTGCTTATTGACTTTGGCTGGAGCTAACAGCTGGCGCGAGCATGAATTGTTTTTGGATTGCTAAGCTGCGATGCTGATCGAAGTTTGTCTGATAAATGGCTTTGCTGCTCAGTTAGTTCCTTGTCGGCTTTTGCTCAAACCACAGATTCTCAAAAGGTTATCAGGAAACGGTTTGATTGAAAAGAATGTGGTCGGCTGTATTGTTCTGTTGTTGTGTGCTTGGCTATGTTGTAATCCTAACTTCTCTATGATAACAAAGGGGACAATTTATGCCAAAAATTTAAAGTTGCAACCCATAATCCCAAATTCTACCTCCTCCCATGCTGATTTCAGGAACTTGTGGCACAAACATGTAACTCCGCCCCTTCTGTCTAAAAGCTCCTTTCGTGTAATAGTATGATGTCACGGTATCGCTATGACATCACGTGACAGTTTTCCGTCTTTACAAGCAAAGGTAGTTCCTATAAATTAGTTGTGAAGACATTCTTTACAATCGCAACCAGAGAATTTGGAAAAAAATATTCCAACTCCTCCCTCTGGTGGTAGCATAGGGAGTTACAGGCGGAAATCACTTTTTACAATTCATACCGATTTCACCATATATTCTCTTCTTAAGATATAATTTCACATTCTATGACATGTGACGACAAAGTAAATAGTCTCATTATCTTTGCAATCGCCAAAATTAATAATAATAATGCATAATATATTTTCTTTAAAGGTGTATTGTGTTATTTTACTGGACACCTTCTGATTGTCTCCATGGATGTGTTGCTTTGCCTGAAATGTTGCATTGGCCCACAGCCCATCTTCCAAATAAGAAATAAAATATAATTGTTTGAATGCTTTGCAGATCAAAAGTAGTAAAGAATATACTGCTAATTTCTGCTGCTTCTAATACAATACCAGACAAAAGTACTTTGCAGACACGCATACATAAAAAAAATTAGTGGAGTAAAGTACTGTTTTCTCAAATGTAGTGACTTGTGGATATGATACTATAACACAGCAACTTTCACTGGGCAAAGAAACGGCAGATCACCGTCAGACTGAAGTTTTGAAGCTCGGTTGTGACTGATTAAACACAAGATAGAAACATTTCACGCTGTAACATTCCAGGCAAAGTAGCAGCTCCTCCATGGAAACAGCAGTGGCAGAGCTTCCACACGGAACGTAAGGCCGAGTTTAAAAGCTACAGAACCCAACTTTCATACCACAAAAAAATAAAAATGTATAAATTGCATCTAACTCATTCATTTCTTGCTTTGAAAACACTTTGGTTCCACCGCTCTTCATAGCTAGGATCCCTCACTTTTCTTTCTTCATAAATAATACAGCAAATTCCGGACAATAAGCCGCAGCTTTTTCCCACACTTCATATACTGTGAGGCTTAATTTTTTCACGGTATAGCGGCAACAATGTTTTACAAGTATCAGTAGCATTTGTTCATGATGTAAAATACTAGAAGAAAGGCCTATAACTTGTTTTTTGTTCTCTGTATAGACATGAAAGTGAAAGTACCAGTTCATGTTGCTCCTTACCTTTCTGCTTTCACTGGAAGATTAAGAATAGTCAGTGACTCACTTCTCACAGTTATGAAAAAGTTTTGAGCTACAACCATCCCATGAGCAACATGGGATGGTTGTGGCTTATACAAGTACCAAGTGCAGAAAATATCCGGGAAATATTGTTTGTTGTTGTTTGTTGTTTGTTTGTCCCAACAGATATTGTACATAAGATTTTTATATTTTATCTCTGTGGCGCCACAACATTTTCCCAAGTAACAGTAGACCAACAGAATTGATGAGTAATTCACAGAGGTACATTTGTTTTCAATTAACACAAAAAGTGAGTCACTGTTTGTCGCTTTGGGGAGAGAGATGTTTGAGTGAGTGAGGGTGGTTCTCTCTTTTTCACTTTTCTGTCTCAAAGATGAATGTGACGGTGGCAGAGGTGATGGAACCAAACTGCTTGAGCCGGGAACTAGACATATTTTATTACATAGTCAATTTCTTTGTGGTTTGAAAGTTAAGCACCCCAGATCTATTATATTGCATGACATCTTGTTTTGCGTCTCATTCACTCTGGTCTCTCCCTCAGGTCGCACTGTGTCGGTGTCTGGGAGCACTGGGCCCTTCAGAGCCTTTCCCAAGTCTCTGAGTTTGGACTTTGGAGGTCTGAGCCACACACAGACACCAGCCCTGCCCCACTCCCTGTCCCAGCCTCAGCAGCAGCAGCCACAGCAGCAGCAGCAGCAGCAGCAGCAGCAGCAGCAGCAGCAGCAGCAGCAGCAGCAGCAGCAGCAGCAGTCGGGCTCCCTGGGGCAGAACACACCCCCCCTCAGCATCGTCAGAAATCAGGACAAGTACGCCGCCCTCTCCCAACTGGACATCGTCTTCTCTGACTTACCTGCACCCACGCAACCAGGTAAACCACGAAAGAATACAAATAAATAATCTGCGGAACCATAGGGTATATTTTACTAATGAGGTTTTCTGTGATATGAGATTAGATGTTTTAGGTTGATTCACTTCTAAGAAAGAAGGGTGAAGTTTGTGTGTTTATGATTCTGGATATTTTTATATAGTAGTAGTAGTAGTTTTCTTGAGCAGTTTTACAATGTATTTTACAGGTGCTTATAATTTTAAGAAACAAATCTCAAAAGGAGAAGGCCGAAGCAAAAAGTTTATATGTACCTTCCCTATTATCAATAGTACATTAAAGCAACTGCAAATAGATTTTCACATGAGATTCCTGATTTTTACCATCATCATCATCATTTACATATTAATATTATACTTTTTTTGTACGGTCATAGAGTTTCTACAGAATTGAGATGTGGTGAAGACTTTAAGAAGTTTTTAATAAGCTGGTGACTGTTAAAACCTTCATATATAAATCAAACAAATGGGCCATATATTGTTACTGCATTAACTGTATAAGATGTATAGATGTTTTAAAAATTCAAAATGCTGTTTATTATACAAAATTACATATTTTTTGTTCTGATTTTCTTTGAGTGGAGACCAAGATTCTTGATATTCCGGCAGTCTCTCATCTATGGCCTCTTAAAGTTTCAGCGATAGTATTCTCAATAAGTAAATCTACTACCGGTATCTACTTTAGATTAATTGAATTTGACTTTGGTGTTTGCAAAATGTGTTGTTGTTGTTTTATAGCATATTCTAAAATGTTCCACACAAGATAAGTTGTGTCAAGAGAATTTTTTTTTTTGTAAAAGTAACACCCAATCTTTACACACCGCATAATACTAGGATTACAACGCAGAAATAGTAACAACAATAGTGTGATGACCATAGATAGAAACTAGCTATTTAGCTCAATCGGGTCCAGCCATCTTCTTAAAGTCACCCTGCACTGCCCTTTAATAAACAAACAAATACATACAGCTTTATCTAACAAGAACAGGGCTGCTTCAATGGCTCGGCTCGCAGGAGATACATATTTTACATTCATTTGTGAAAGGAGACCCAAGGTTAGATATGAGCCACTATTCTCTTCTCTGGCCTTCAAATAAATGCAAAACTCACATTGAAAGAACGCACAAAAATCCCGTCTTTGAACATTTCCAGTCTTCTAAATGCTCTGAAATGTTTCCAACGGTGTTTAACATGTAGAGGTCTGTGCATGGCTGAAGCACAAAAGACAAAGGAGCAGTGCAGGCTCTAGCGTATGTGTGATACTGATTGTCTGGGCCAGCTAAACAAGGTTGCATAACATTCTTATAGCGAATGCCAGGCTTTCCACCGCTGAATTATCTCCTTTGTGTTGTGTTTGCTCCTGGACACGCATGGTCCGACTCGCAAAACATAGTAGATTTATTTATTCCAGCCTGATAGTAATTTGTCTTACACCCCGTGGTTTCAATGCCTTCATTCATGTGAGTAGCCCTTGAGCTTGCATTTCCACCTTCAGCCCCGGCCGGCAGATTAAAGAGGTTATTGATTTTCTGCTCCAGAGAACTTTGATTCATATCAGAAGCAACAGAGAGCTTGCGTTTTATTCGGACTATTTGTAGCACTTTAGATCAACTGAGGCTCTCTCTCTAGTCCACACTTGAAGTAATAATGACTCTTGATCTCTCCAATGTCATTTGTTCATGTTGGTAGCGCTCCCTACTGGTGGACCTCCGCAGTACAGCAGCCTCTTTGGGAACAGGCTTTCCTCCAGCTCCACTCCTGCCAGGTAAACACTCACTCCTCTCTCCTGTATGTTTTTGATTGGTTTATAAAGTAAAAATCGCTTTTGTTTTATTGTATTTTTTTTTAGCTCCCCCGGCATCGAGACGGTCTCCGGCTCACAAAGCTTCACAAGTGAGTAGTGTTTCCCAACCTGGGGTACGGCAACCCTTTGGTACACACAAGCACTAACCAAGTACTGCTTAGAATGGTTAAAGATTTTATTTTCACATTGCATTTTGTAATGTTTTGTTAAGTTGAAAATAAAATGACAATAAGTGGCCCAAGTTCAAAGGTTAGTTAGTTATATGCGTGGGAACTCAGTTAGTTAGTAAGAATTTGTAGGCCAAATGTATGCATAATATAACAAACACAGTATTTACAATTCTACAATAATCAGTTACGTTCCAAATTCAACAGGTAAACTGTGGTAATAAGGAACAAGAAACAAAACATGATCAGATGAAGGCTATTGATAACCAAAACGTCAATAAATAATCATTTGATCTGAATTTTGGACATTTTTAATTTTGCCTTTCCCATTTGCATCTTTGCATAAAGAAGTTTTTTTGTGCGATACCCACACTTTTTTCATTCTCCAAATGCAAAGAGTGTGGAGCAGCTTACTTAGAACAGAGAAAGTTTGGAACCACAGTTTACCATAATCATAATTTACAGCAGGCGTCTTGTATTTGTTTTTGTTTTTGTTTTTTTGCAGTACTATATCCTAGTTTCTTCGTCCGGTTGTGAAGTTGCATGTACTTGTTATATTTTAAGTGAACCATAGAGTCCATAGAGTGTGTTTACAAAGCACGAGTGAAAACAGGGTTTTGTAACGGATCGAACCATTCCTACAGTGTTTACGCTAAAATGTGAACCAGATACTACTAAGACAGGGCCGGCAGATGCATAAGAGCACAGAGAAAAGAAAAGCTTTGGTTAGAAGTGTATGTATTTATTTTCGACTCACATACTGTAGATTAATCACTCATTTTGATCATTGCGTTGAAATAATCAGTCTTTCCACTAATGTTGCCTTGTTTTGTTTAGCAGACAAACGCAGGAAACATGGTGCGTTTTATTGCGCTGTGGAAATGAAATGACTTGAGCTGCTGCAGTCGAGCCTGTATGAAAATAAAATGCTCAGAGGTGAAACTGTGCTTTTACAGTATATATGATAGCAATTTTATTTCCGTTTACTGTTCCAAATTTTGAACACTAAGGCGAAGTTAGGAGACACCTTTGACAGCACCACAAGGCTCAATCTGATATATTGTATGTAGACTGAGAACAGAGAGGTTTGGGATCAATGGGCCTCATTCACGAACGGTTCTTAGGAACAGATTTGTACGTAAATCCTACTTACGAGGTTTTTACGAAGAAAGTGGCATTCACGAATTTTTCTCGTAACCAGAATTTCTCTTGGGCAAGTACAAATCCTACGAGTCATCAGGAGCACTCGTACGCATTCAGTGCCGACATGTTCACACGCCGGGGTTGTCCTCTTTGGTGAAGTTTAATAAAAATACAAGATTCCAGTGATATTTCCGTCATATCGATGTATGTATTTATTTATTTGTAGTAATCTTTATTAGTAATCCTTATTTATATACCGCCTTTTTCACTGCAGATCTGGCCTACTTTTTAATTCATTTTGAAATGAAATGTGCCAACGCTTTATCAAATACATTGGAAATCTTGCCGTGTATTAGTGACCCCTTCCTATTTATAGGGGGCATTTCTTTATCCACGGACCACAGAACAACGGCATATATACTGCTGCTGCAGGAGGTTACTGGGTCCGCGCTGAGTCTCTGCACTGGTCTCTCCTAGGATCTATACGGGTCTGCACTGGTCTCTCCAATGTTTTAATTGTGATTCTGGTGTTTGTTTTATGTGATGATTTGTGATGTGGACTGTGAAGCGCTTTGTGTTGCCCTGTGTATGAAAGGCGCTCTACAAATAAACTTTGATTGATTGATTGATTGATCTATACGGGTCTGCACTGGTCTCTCCCATGGATCTATACGGGTCTGCACTGGTCTCTCCCATGGATCTATACGGGTCTGCACTGGTCTCTCCCATGGATCTATACGGGTCTGCACTGGTCTCTCCCATGGATCTATACGGGTCTGCACTGGTCTCTCCCATGGATCTATACGGGTCTGCACTGGTCTCTCCCATGGATCTATACGGGTCTGCACTGGTCTCTCCCATGGATCTATACGGGTCTGCACTGGTCTCTCCCATGGATCTATACGGGTCTGCACTGGTCTCTCCCATGGATCTAGACGGGTCTACACTGGTCTCTCCCATGGATCTAGACGGGTCTACACTGGTCTCTCCCATGGATCTAGACGGGTCTACACTGGTCTCTCCCATGGCTCTAGACGGGTCTGCACTGGTCTCTCCATACGGGTCCGTGCTGCATGCTCCTGGAGTCTCAAGTCTGGTCTATGCGGTCTTTCTTCGGTCCGCGCTGGTTTCTGTGGTCACTCCAGTCTCTCCTCGGGTCTGCATTGGTCTCAGCGCTGGTCCGCGCTGGATCTCCTCCCAGGGTCCAAAATATTTTGAGATTAATCTCAAAACATTTTGCGATTCATCTTTAAAATAATACATAATATATTTTTAAATTAAGCTCATAACATTTTGAGATTAATCTCATCATATTCTTAGATTAATCTCATAATTTTGCTAGTTCGACTTTATTCTCATAATATTTCAACTTTTAAGTCAACATTTTATAACTTTATTCTCAGTCTGGCAAAAGAAGAAAAAAGGGTGACTCTTTTGCTCCGTGTAACTCTTTGCTTTAGGCCTGTTGCTGTTTCCTCTGCCGTCTGCACACGGCCCTGCAGTCCCTTATATGGGCATTAATGGGCGGTTACTCATGCTAAGTACCTATGCTAATGAAGCACCTGGCACGCGCGCTGTACTTACGAGGAAATGGGATTCATCAATCTAAGAGAACAGCTGCGAAAAATTCAGCGGCTTACGAGTGCGTTGATGAATCTCACGTAGGCACTTCTTAGAAATCTACTTAAGGACAACTTGAGAAGAAATTTGAGAAGTTTCTTACGAAGTTATTTGTGAATGAGGCCCAATGTCTTTATCGTACTCCGTATTCTTATGCTTTGTAAATTTACTCATAGACCATCTTCCATACTTTTGAAAGCTTTATCCACACCACTTTTAGTCAATTTAGTTCATTGAGGGAGAATGGGCCTCATTCACGAACGGTTCTTAGGAACAGATTTGTACGTAAATCCTACTTACGCGGTTTTTACGAAGAAAGTGGCATTCACGAATATTTCTCGTAACCAGAATTTCTCTTGGGCAAGTACAAATCCTACGAGTCCTCAGGAGCACTCGTACGCATTCAGTGCCGACATGTTCACACGCCGGGGTTGTCCTCTTTGGTGAAGTTGAATAAAAATACAACGTTCCAGTGATATGTCCGTCATATCGATGTATGTATTTATTTATTTGTAGTAATCTTTATTAGTAATCTTTATTTATATACCGCCTTTTTCACTGCAGATCTGGCCTACTTTTTAATTCATTTTGAAATGAAATGTGCCAACGCTTTATCAAATACATTGGAAATCTTGCCGTGTATTAGTGACCCCTTCCTATTTATAGGGGGCATTTCTTTATCCACGGGCCACAGAACAACGGCATATATACTGCTGCTGCTGGGTTACTTACGAAGTTATTCGTGAATGAGGCCCATTGTCCTTCCATATTATTTCCGTATCATTTCTTTGGTCTAGTTGAGCACAAGACCCTCACATTGGGCCTCATTCACGAATAACTTCGTAAGAAACTACTCAACTTTCTTCTCAAGTTGTCCTTAAGTAGATTTCTAAGAAGTCCCCACGTGGGATTCATCAACGCACTCGTAAGCCGCTGAATTGTTCGCAGCTGTTCTCTCAGATTGATGAATCCCATTTCCTCGTAAGTAGAGCGCGCGTGCCAGGTGCTTCATTAGCATAGGTACTTAGCATAAGTAACCGCCCACTAATGCCCATATAAGGGACTGCAGGGCCGTGTGCAGACGGCAGAGGAAACAGCAACAGGCCTTTACACGGAGCAAAAGTCACCCTTTTTTCTTCTTTTACCAGACTGAGAATAAAGTTATAAAATGTTGACTTAAAAGTCGAAATATTATGATAATAAAGTCGAACTAGCAAAATTATGAGATTAATCTAAGAATATGATGAGATTAATCTCAAAATGTTATGAGCTTAATTTAAAAATATATTATGTATTATTTTAAAGATGAATCTCAAAATGTTTTGAGATTAATCTCAAAATATTTTGGACCCTGGGAGGAGATCCAGCGCGGACCAGCGCTGAGACCATGCAGACCCGAGGAGAGACTGGAGTGACCAGCACACAGAAACCAGCGCGGACCTATAGGAGAGACCGCATAGACTGGAGTGACCTGACTGGAGAGACTGGTGCGCAGAGACCAGCGCGGACCGAAGAGAGACCGCATAGACCAGACTTGAGAGACCAGCGCGGATCCGTATGGAGAGACCAGTGCAGACCAGTATAGATCCATGGGAGAGACTAGTGCAGACCCGTATATGGGAGAGACCAGTGCAGACCCGTATAGATCCATGGGAGAGACCAGTGCAGACCCGTATAGATCCATAGGAGAGACCAGCGCAGAGACTCAGCGCGGACCCAGTAACCTCCTGCAGCAGCAGTATATATGCCGTTGTTCTGTGGCCCGTGGATAAAGAAATGCCCCCTATAAATAGGAAGGGGTCACTAATACACGGCAAGATTTCCAATGTATTTGATAAAGCGTTGGCACATTTCATTTCAAAATGAATTAAAAAGTAGGCCAGATCTGCAGTGAAAAAGGCGGTATATAAATAAAGATTACTAATAAAGATTACTACAAATAAATAAATACATACATCGATATGACGGACATATCACTGGAATGTTGTATTTTTATTCAACTTCACCAAAGAGGACAACCCCCGCATGTGAACATGTCGGCGCTGAATGCGTACGAGTGCTCCTGAGGACTCGTAGGATTTGTACTTGCCCAAGAGAAATTCTGGTTACGAGAAATATTCGTGAATGCCACTTTCTTCGTAAAAACCGCGTAAGTAGGATTTACGTACAAATCTGTTCCTAAGAACCGTTCGTGAATGAGGCCCATTGATCTTTCAGCCAGAGTTTATTATCGCTCTCCTCGTCATGAACACAACCCGGCACCTTTTAATTAACATCTCTGTGGCTCAGAGAAGAATCGGTTTGAATAGTGAGGAATGTGAATGATTTGCCCCTCCTCTCGTCGCTTGTGTGTGTCTCAGATTTCCCGAATCCATTCAGCTCCGGTTCGTCCTCCCAGCAGCAGCCTGCCGCCCTCTCCCCCAGTAACCCCTTCAGCAGCGCCTCCGGAGGTGAGACCCGAGAGCCTAGGCAACTCTCTGCTCCACTGCTTTGCATGGACAAGGCAGCATGGTTGTCACAAAGTATATGGTGTTAGTATTGCCTTGGTGTGGGTTCATTCAAAGGGGAAACGCAAAGCAGATCAGTGGGAAAAAGTTATACAAACTGTGTACATTTATTATAGTTTTGTTTTACCCTAAACAACCAAATATTTAAATATTTTTCAACAGGAATGCTTACAAAATGCCTTTATGTCTTTATGTTATTATAAAAACATGTTATCTTTTGCAAGAAAGAGTAGACTTAAGTATGCAAAAGATAACAAGTTTTCTTGCTTTGGGCTAGGAGCTGATTGGCTGAGTGAGGGTGGTCCTCCCTTTTCACCTATTTTCATAATCAACAAAGATTGAGTCCAGAATCTCTACTGGTCCTGGACTGGATCTGGTTCTGAGCAGAGTTATCTTAGTTATCCACCAGAAAAGAGCAAGTGCTAGTTATCATTTTCGTTGTGATTCAAGTTATATTAACCAGTTTTGACACTCATATATGCAAGTAAAGTTTACAAACTTGTACTTTCTTTTAATAAAACTGGTGAAAAACTGAACATTTTTTTAGGGAATTTCTTAGAATTCCATTAATTTGAATGGGAGTTTTTCAGAGTTGAGGTTAAACAAATGACAGCTGTACTTTACTTCTATCTATTTAAAGCTGAAATCACTACAAACACATATTATGAAGAAGCTTAGACCTATTACTGGTTCAAGTGGTTGTTGTGTTGTCTTTGTGGTGTCAATGCCACCAGTGCATGTTGATGATGATGATGATGATGATGATGATGATGATTTGCTGTCTGCAGGAGACTCCTTCGTCAGCTCTCCCACATCAGTGTTCCCTCCGCCTGTGCCCTTCCCAGCTCCCACCTCCAACAACGTGTTTCACGAGACAGAAGACAAACAGGAAACCAACGGTGAGCTCCTCAGTGTCAAAACAACTCAAAAAGCACTCGTAGAGCGTGGACCTCCCCCAAGAGGCCAATATTGAATCAGTTCACTGGGCCATTGTGCACGATTCCTGATAACGCTGTCCAAATCCTCCCAAGCGTTGCTCAGAAGCAAACAAACAAACAAACATTCGCTGTTGATCCAGAACCAAAAAATACTTTTCTTTAGTCAAAGAAATGTAGTATTTCTAATGTTACAGGCTTTGTAAACCTCTTTGTTTAACCAGCGAGTTACCATATACTGCAAACATGTGTGAAATGTGTTGAATTCCCAAAAGAAACCAATAAGAAACATGAAATAGAAATCTTTGAGGTGCGGGTTACTTTACAAACAAATATGAATTAAGAAATAGAAATGCAATTGTTTTGGAGAAAATATTTGTATTATTAATATTTTAACATTGTCAATATTAAAAACTTCAGGTTTGGCTGAGTGAGGGTGGTCCTCTACACTACACTTTTCTCTCAGAAAACGATGATCCGAAAAACACATTTGTAAAAACCGGTGAAAGAACCAAAGTGTTTTGTACACAGCTGTTCAGTGTGATCAGACCATCACATGTGTTTCATGCATTTTAGGAGTAAAGGAAGCACTAAAACTTTGGCATTAGAGAGAAAAACAAACAATGAATAATCGCTTTATGCTAATTTCACAAGAAAGAAAACATAAACGTTAACTAACAAAGAATGGGTAAACATAGCATAGGTCCAACAATAATAATTAATTTGAATCATTACAGACTGAGATCATAGAGCAACAACACACATCATAGACTGTATACAGATGGATGATGCTAACCCCCTCAAGGAAGCGCAATGGAGAAGTGCTCATGGACAAAGTTTTGCTCCAACTCGCTCTGGCTCCTAGTGACTTACATTGAAAAGATGTATAACAGATTTTCAATTGGAGGACTTGGACTGGACAGTTGTTGGCTCCTTTGTTATGATCCCAAAAGAAATGTATGGGTTATGGATCATTGTTTTTATACCGGTGAGAAGATGCCACTGTCTATGGTACAAACATGTGGAGCGGTGAATGTCCGACGTGTGTTGGACATGAAATACATAACGTATAATTCATACTGTTGGTCATTCTGCATGCTCCTCACGCTTTAGAACCGCGCAGCTCATTATCCCGTGTTCAGTGACGCTGAAGCAAACCAACACACTACAGTCTGATATTTCACCTGTGTCCTTGAACTTGTGTCGTAGATTAACCACACAGAGACGGGATCTTTACGCACAACGGCTCCTGGAAAGTTTATTCAGTTTCCTTCAGGTTTCAGTTTTTTCAGTTTTTCAGTTTTTTCAGACAGAACAAAGTCAGGACATGGTTTATATAGTCATTGTTACATCACAGATACGTCACACGTTGAAAGACATACTGTACGTGTCGCATCCAGAGACAATCAGAACATAATAGTCATAACGTGTGAAGAAGATGGACAAAGTCTGGGATCGTGTCTTTAATACAGACAGAATGCAAGTGATAATATACAGCGGAGGAATGAACACCGTCCAATCAGCTTTTGCCGCGATGTCAGTAGCTTGGCCTTCAGAAATCAAAACATGCTGTTGAAAAGTTCTGGCTTATGCATATTGTTAGAATGATGAGTTAGAACTTTAACCACAGTTGCTTCAAAGTGTCATGAAATACCTAAACATGGACACACAATAGAGTCCTTGTGACTGTGAGGGCCAGATATTCAGTCTTGCGTTTGTCCGCCTGCGTAGGCCATAGTTATCTATCCACCATACTTGTATTTTCTCTTTTTCTTATATGAATGATTTGTGTTTTAGGTTTTGTCTCATTTTCCGTCACCGACTCTGAGCCCAAAGTTCCACGGTCCATGTCGGTCAATCCTTTTACAGTAAGTCATATTTTGCATTTTAATGGAACTAAATGGAGCGGCCTAGGTTCTTGAAGTAAAATATTCATGTATTCCTGTAAGAATCGGAACTAATATATAGTATATTATAGTATTTGAGGTCAATGAGATGAGTGATTACTATAAGACCTTTTATTTTTAAAGTATGTTTATAAAACTTTAAAAAGCACAAAGTCATGAGCACATCCTGAATAATTGCATGTTTATTGTGCTTTTTGGGCATTTACCACAAAACTTTTTATTTTTTTATTTCTTTATTTATACTATTTTGATTTTTCAAAATTTCTATTGGGAATTTCATTGTAAATCTTATTTTTAGAACCAGAACGTACTGCCACTTAACATCTCCATAAGTCAGTTACAAATGTCTACTATACCAACTTTTATGTCATATTCGTGGTTCAATGTGGGTTTTTTGTGTACTTTTTGACTCTTTAGTTTAGTACATTTAACTGATTTATAGATTCTTACTAATGTTGTTCAGCTTTGCAAAAGAAAAAAACACGTCTGGATAAATCATTGACTTCATCTTTAATTTCTTGATTGTTCTTCATGTTTCAGGGGAACATTTACCCCAGTCGAGGAACGTCAAAAAACCCTTTCATCTGATCCCACCTCCACCTCCTCCTCTCTGGGAACTACAGAAAAACCCGAGGAGACGGTGCCATTTCAATGCCTCCGGAGTATTCTGACCTGCCCGTGTTTACCTGTGTGTCGAGGAAAAAACTCACATGTCCTTATGAAGAGTTGAGTGTGTGTGTGTGCGTTTGTGTGTGCGTGTGTGTGTTTGTGTGTGCAGGAGAGTGTTGGCCTGTAGCGTTTCATGTAAAGGTGTTGTGTGCCGGTAGTTGCCACCTCAGGGCTCAAATAACGCCTATAACTTTCGAAGACAAATTTACACACGTGTCACTGCTGCTGCTACTTTGCTTTCATCTCCTGCTTAAAAAAGTGCAAAAACTCGCCAGCTCCACCAGTAATATGTCTCCGGCTTTAAAATAAATGTCTCCAAGAGGAAAGCCAGAAAGAAATTCACCGAGTTGAAATGTTTACGATGTAATGAGAGAAGTTTTCTAGCTTTAACAGCCTAAAGATGCATGAAGATGAAGATGGAGGCAGACATTTATGTCGACTTTTTGTTATGCATTGGTCATTTAATTTGGTTTAGTTCTGTTGAAGGACTTTCACTCTCAGGCTGCATGCGCTTAGAGGGCTAAAAGGAGATGCTGCTGAATGTAAGAAAAAATACTAAAATAACTTAGATGTGTATTTCATATTTATCTTCTGGACCAAATGTTTGTTCCTGTTTGATTTAACATTGATAACAGATTATTTTCCTTAATTTGCCAAAAGGACTCATGTAACAACGTATTTGTATCCAATGTTCATAAAATCAGTTGCTTCTTAAAGATGCTTTCCTCTTTTATTCTTATTGTTCTTGTCATTATTACCTTTATTACTATTACTATTCATTTTTTGAGATTATTGTAGTCATATTTTAGCGTGCAGCAGGTGGCGCTGGCCGCTCACTTTTCCTTGACCTCATGCAGAAGGTTACTTTTGGAAGCATATTGCATAACATTCATACTGCATGTGTACCAAGATGGAGATCCTCTGTTGCTATCCGTGTGGCTATTTATAGATTTGTTTTAATGATTTATCAGATTTTACTCTTGGCCCAAATATATTTAATTAATTAATTCATGTATTTATTTATTTATTTTCTTTAGATTTTTGAACGATATTGATATTTTTATCGTGTTGTGGAGATACAGTCGGTGCTCATATAGAATAACCAAGGATCTCTTATAATAACTTACCAGACCCCTGCGGGGCAGGTCTGGGCATGTTTTTATTTGCAATCTACGATCTGTTGACGCATGACTCATCACATGTGACCAGTGTGATAAGTACATATAGCGTAGTCTGCATTATTTTAAAGAAGCATTTAAAACCAGTTCTTCTAAGTTCCGCATGTATCAAGGCGTGTGCTGCAGAGACACATTTGAACAATCGCTCCTCAGACAGTCGGAGAGTGGACAGGAGGGGATTTTGGCAAAAAATAGAACAGGATGGACCCAGTGAAGCGACAACACAGAAATATTACACACTCATAGTGATGCTGCGTTCACGAGCTGAGAAAATGTACGACGTCTCTAGACTGAACTCATAGCAATTCGATTTAAAAAGCTGTAGAAAAATAAAATCAGGTATTATCAGTGACGTTTTTCTTTCTTTTTCGATTATAGACCGCATGTGTGGATACTAGGTTGAAATGTAATATTTTAATGATTTTCATACATGCAGCAAGCAACTAAAACACAAGCGCGCGAAAATGAAGAGCTCTTTGTTCGGAGTTTTGTCTCGCCCCTTGAACGCGCCGTGTTCCTGACTACTACTCGAGCTGAGTGAGTGACAGTCCTGCTCCACACACTACTGCAGCAGGAACAGCAGAGCCCAAAAACACCAGACAGGACCGGGCGTGGACCAGACCGGACCATACGTGGGCTATACACGCGTGCACCCCCTCTTTACGCACGAACTCTCATCCTTTCGCGCGTTGAATGAGCCAAAACACCCGGCGACCGCTGCAAAAGGAGTTGGTGAAGAAGTGGACGCATGTGCTCTCTCCCAGAACTTGTGCAGCTACGACTCAGATCTTGTTAAAAGTGCGAGATAAGCGAGTCCTGCAGCCCCTCTCATTCATGCCTGCTTCGATATGGGAAAGCGTGCCAAAACTTGTAGAAATACAGTCTGAGCGTCTGGAAAGTTATTTTTTTTTATTTTTTGGTCATTTGCGCTTGCTGTCATGGAGAACCAGACGATCGACCCTCAATGCTGTGAAGACGTGAGGAAGAGCGGCTACCTCCGAAAGCAGAAGTCCATGCATCGTCGCTACTTTGTGCTTAGAATCGCTTCGGAACGCGGCCCGGCTCGGCTCGAGTACTACGAGAACGAGAAGAAATTCCGATCCACCAAAGCGCCCGTCCCGAAGAAAGCAGTGGCCCTTGAGACGTGTTTCAACATCAACAAGAGGGCCGACTCCAAGAACAAGCACATGATTTTCCTCTACACCCGCGCAGAGAGCTTCGCGGTGGCGGCTGAGAACGAGGCGGACCAGGACGAGTGGTACCAGGCCATGGTGGAGCTGCAGTGTAAATGTAGGTGTAGTTATGAATGGGGATTAAAAGTCCTGTTTGTTGTTTTGAGTCTGTGCGTGTGTGTGAATGGGGGAAACGTGGCAGATCAGCAGCTTTCTTTTGCAATAGCAGAGAGGCGCACTGCAGATGGATGCATGCCTTCTGCTTGAGCTCATTCAAACACACGCTCTATCAAGTTGGAGTGTAAAGAAGTTATAAAGCTGGGTTACAAGGCAAGTTTATTTGTATTGCACAGTTCACACACAAGGCGAAGTGCTGAACAAAGCCAGATAGAAACAATCACATAACGCATTACTTCATAAATGATTACCGTACATTAAAAGAGTGAATATAAAGTCCCTCAATTGTATGCACAGCTAAAAAGATCTGTTTTTAAACTGGATTTGAACATTGCCAGAGATGAATCCCGTCTCACATTTTCAGGAAGACGTTCCATATTGTGAACTTACTTTATTTTCTCATAAATACAAGGTCTACATGTTTGTCCCAACAGAGAGTCTTGCAAAATTTTGTAATCAAATCGGACCACATCATGCTGTCTTCATCTTATAATAGAAAATAGAAAGCCTTGTGAGCCAGGGTGGTACTCTGTTTTTAGGTTTTTGTTAGAAAAATAATATGAGATTTGAGATAAGATTTGATAAGATAAACCTTTTATTTGTCTCCCAGTGGAGAAATTTCAATGTCCAAGGTAAAGTCAAAAATGCGTGCACGTCAAAAAAACTCTAGTGACAGAATCAAACTGTTTTTTGAGAGCACTGGTTGAAGATCGACTTTATTACATAGTTCAATTTGTTGTGGTTTGAAAGTTAGGTACCCCAGCTTTAAAAGAATAAGAAACGCTTTGTAAGTTATGATGCAGTGGTTTTCCTTTGACCCCCTTAAACGGTCGCTCTTATCACACAAGTGTCAGTCCTGGTGTTTGCTGCTGATCTCCCGACAAACAACTTGTTCTCAGTGTATGCATATGAGCCTCCAGCAGTGAGCCCGCTTTCAGCCACAGCCTGTCAACTCAAAAACACACCCTTGTTCTTCTTTTTTACCGCTGACAATGCAATATCTTCTGCAGCATTGATCCAAGATGGAATGGCTCAACTCTGCAAAATTGCCCTTTTCACTTTGTTATTGTGACATGGGCCTTTTAAAAGTGAACAAAGTCAAAGTTGCAAACAGTTGTAGTGGTCGTATAGGGAGCTTTTTGATGGACGATATATCAGTGAAATATTGTTATAAACTATTAACGACTTTATTAACGATGCCACTGTAGTAGTTTCGTTACAATCTTTATCATTAAAAGGAGAGAGGAAACAAAAACACAGACTTTATCATCTTACTATTGCAAAAGAAATCCATTGACATCATATATTGCGCTCCAAAACCTGAATAATAGGCCAATAAATGCAGGTTTTCATGTATATATTGAGAATTTGCATGAGTCCATATGTCCAAGTGGCGTGGAATCTGCAGAACGGTTCTACTTTTGGGTTTAGCCTCGTACCAATTGGCCAAATAATGTGAGAACGCCTCAAACGGTGTCTGTGGTTAGTGAGTAAACACAGCTGTCTGCGACCACAGCAGAGATCACCTGTTCAATACCAGACTGGCACCGTGACGCAATGTGGACAAGCCACAGATAGGAGGAGTTCAAGGTGCTCCGCTCGCATGGCCTGCTGCCCTGTTACATAAAGGCACTGATATTGACCGATCGAACACCTATTGACAGTACGGTTCAGTGAGATTATGTCAACACTGCGTGGGATTTGAACAGGGCACATACTGTACTTTCTCAATGTTTTAGCAATTCATTCATTTGTAGTTAGGGAAAAAAAGGCAAATTGACTTTCTGTATTTTTAAAGTAAGACAAATGTTAGTTAATTTTGTGGTTATAACAGATTGATTGAAAGAAAATGATGTCTTTGCAGGGTTGAGATATTGTCTACAATATCTCTGACTTTTATTTGATGTAATCCTGGCCGGGATGAACGCAGAATTTAAAAAAAATTCGGTCATTATCTGAAGGATAGAAAACTGTTATATAAGCGAGGCTACCTTTCCTGCCTTCTATCTTCTATCACTAGTTTCATATGCATGCATTTATTCACCTCTGTCACATATATGCCATATTCTCTACTTTAACTCTTTTGCACCGAGAGCCAAAGCAGTTTCCTGGTTTGTGACTTGTTACTCACATGGTAATACTAAAAAAAACCTGATTGATTCATACAGAGCTCAGTCTTAAAAGTTAGCAAAAATAAAAAGTGTTTTCTAATAACATTTGGAAAGTATCTTATGGTTTTTATGACTTTTTACTACCACAAGTCTCCTGTTCAACTTTAAATAACACATTTGCACCAATTTTCCAAGTTGGCGTTTGTGGATCGGTGCATCCCAAATATCTTGAGTTTTGACTTTTCCATGAAATCCATTCAAAATACGATAATTAAACCAAGTGCGTTTTTGGACACAGTTTCTTAGTGCAGGATTGTCAGCTTCTAAAATGGAATACGAGTCTTGGTTCTGGTAAAAGTTCAAAGTTGCTTCCAGTGGATGCATTACAGGATTCAAGCACAGCCATTTAAATTTAATAACATGTCAACATCTCCGCCTCCCCCGCGGCTCTCACACAACTCTCTCTGTGTGTTTTTGCTCAGCACTGCCCACTTTTCCCAAGTATTCGTCAAGTTTCCGAGAGGCCTTGAAGCGAACGGACAGATGTGGGGAGCCGAGGATGCAAGTTTAGCAGTTAGCAGTTTTTTTAATGCCAAATATAAAGGGGGGAAAAAGTGCTAGATGGGAATCATATGTACAGGGATAATGGCGTGTGGGGGACAGATGCGGCCCACTCGAGTTCACCGTGACATATTTGAAATTACACGTCTGTTGCGTCGCGCCGTTTGGCTCCCTGGTGTCCTCTTTTGTTGTTTGCCAGTGTTGGTTTTCCAGAGTAAATCTCTCATATGACAATGACAGAGGGGCTGGCGACTGTGTAAACTTGCACGCCGTCAGGTCCTTTCTTGTGGTATGCAGCGTAGCTTATAGACTTTTGCATGAGGGCAAAAATGAGGCCACAGACATGTACGTGCTACTGTGCGGAGCGGGACAGCACAGTATTTCCAGTTAACTCGGTAATGAAGCAATCTGGGTGTACTTTGCACAGTTGTGCAGTTAAAAATGAGGTGAAGCTTTCTGAACTTCTTCTAATAGAAATGACCACACTGTCCTTGAACATACTAAAATACATGTAGGATATGAAGCCACTGACAATGCCATTTTGGCCTTTAATAATAGCACAATATGTGACAGATGAGCTGTGGGAGTTTGATCCAGTGTGGAAAAAATAAAGCCCTCGTACTAAAGCAATATTAAGACAATTGTAGTTTTCGGAATTTAGGGCTCTACCTTGAGAGGAGTTTCCTGTGATTTCTGTTGTGTGGATTTCACGGACATTCAGGATTCACAAATGTTCTTCATTATGCAGTTATTGCTCACAGTGTAACCGGATTTTGAATCTGACCAGAAATCTAAAACTATCTTTTAAAAGATTGAAAATATCAAATATCTATGTACCAAAGCAGTCACAGATTAGAACACGACTTCTGAACATAGGAAAAGAGGACACGATGTCTTTATTAACAGTTTAGAGCAAATTTGATGAATATGATAACTACTGTGGGTTCCACTTTAAAGGCTATAGTTATCATTACACGTGCGTTTGTTTAGTTCTGCTTCAGCATATGTTAGTTATAAGCTAGTTTGAACTGACCAATTGGCTTGTTTGTAGCCAGTTGGCAATTTTGTTCAGGGGAATATATAATTTTATTTTAATATTTATATACATTTATAGATGAAACTCCTTTTTTTTTTGTGCATCCCCAAACACTTGGAAAAACCTTGTACTATATATACTATATATTGCAAGTAAATAATTTCTATCTTCATGACAGCTTGTTATGTAAATAAAGATAATTCATAAGGGACTCTCCATGCAGTAAATACATTTAGATAAATGAATAACATTGTGAACTTGTGTTTATGACCTCCGTGGCTGCTGCGGACTGTTCATAGTTCTCAACATTACATGTAATGATTGTAAAGCAGTGATTTCTGCAGATTCCAAGCTTTAAAATGAGGTACAATATGTCTATTTTGGATCAAGCTTAAAAAAATAGTTGGTGGCAGACTGAGGGCTGTAACCTCCAAGGATTTAAAAACCATAAATCAGTCCAACACTATTAATTTGATCCATGGTGCTGATCCTTTTTGCATACACGCACCCTTTCGTAAATATCCGCATTACTGTGCACGATTTGTGATCAAATGGAAATTAGGATGCAGATATGAAAAAAATCTATATGTATCTTTCTTGCCGTATCTCCAACCCCTTGTGCAATTCAAGACTACACAAGAAATACCAGTCTAAATATATACACTCCATGAGAAGTATTTACATTCATATCTGGTATGTGAGCTTGTACAGTTTCAGGTGTTGAAGGACCACTACACATACCACACACACAAACACACTTTCCCAAATCCATCGGTGTCCCGTGTAGTGATATAGTCACTAGCCCCAGTCCAAATGCTCTGCTATTCGCGTCCTGAGTGGAGAAGGACACGAGACACTGGCCTATGCTTCTTACATACTTTCCAGCGCACCACACCATCCACTTGATACCTGTGTCGTTACTTGTATCGCCGTCTCTAAAGAGGGGAGTTGGGAACTGCTTGAAGCACAGTTCGTGCACATGCGTGGCTTTCAGGCTGACACCTCTATGTAATCTAGAGCTTTCATAACAATGTACAGTTGGAGATGCTAGAGAAAACAATCTCACCAGCAGCATTTGAAAGACTTATATGCTCCCCGCTGGGTCCCAAGTTTGCAGAGCTCACCGTTGTCGCTCCCACCGGTCCATTTCATTGAATCGAGAGCCAAAAGTTCTGTTGTGTTAAGCAATATCAAGGTTGTATTTATTAGTAGACGGCAACTGCTCTTTGAAGC